CTTCATCTGAGAACCGCTTGATACGATCTTGGGTTTCCTCGGTTCGTTGGGCGAGGGGTATCTTGAGCTTTTTGCGAATGGTCTTAGCGAGGGGATCAGAGGCCTGGGCGGCCTTAATCTTGTCAAGCAGCATGGTATCCATGGGTGTGAGGTAGGCCGCGGCGAGTCAAAGGCGTTCGGGAGTCAAAATTGTGGTTGCCTGGGAGCGGAACACTTCTTCCCCCTTTTTTAGCTCATGTTCGGAGCGTCGGGAGAGGGCATCGGCTTGGTGCTGCTGGGAACCGGGGCGATAGGTAATGACAAAGTCAAAATCCGAGAAGAATATCGACCAGGGGGCTTGGCGGCGGTTCAGGGTGCGGGTGGTCATGAAGTACTGAAGGTTTTTATGGTCGGAGTAAACGGTGATCTTGTGACGGGCGCCAAGGAGATGGTGTTGCCACTGGGCAAAGGAGTCTTGGATGGCCAGAAGTTCCTTGTCGTAGATCTCGTAGTTGATCTCTTCGGCCGTGAATTTGCGAGAGTGGAAGGCCACGGGTTGGAGCTGATTGTCCTGGTCAGGTTGGAGGAGAACTGCGCCAAGAGCGAAGTCGGAGGCGCCAGTTTCGACGACGAAGGTCTTCTCTGGGTCAGGGTGAGCAAGGATGGGGGCGGTGGTGAATGCTTTCTTCAGGTTCTCGAAGGCTGTGTTTGCGGCGGGTGTCCAGGCATACGGGATGTCTTTCCGGGTCAGGGCTGTGAGCGGGGTAGCGATCTTGGAATAACCTTGGATGAATCGGCGATAGAAGTTGGCAAAGCCGAGGAACCGCTGGACGCCTTTGACAGTCTTGGGAGGTTCCCAATCCGTGATGGCAGCGATCTTCTTGGGGTCCATCTGGATGCCTTTCTCGGAGATGATGAAGCCTACGAACTCAACAGATTCGCGGTTGAATTCGCACTTCTCTGGTTTGGCGTACAACCCATGCTGTCGGAGGCGGGACAAGACTTCGCGGACATGTTTGGGGTGATCTTCGGGGTTCTTGGAGAATATCAGGATATCGTCGAGGTAGACGACAACAAACACATCGAGAATGTTGCAGAAGATGTCGTTCCTGGAAGACGCCAAGAGCATTGCTGAGTCCAAAGGGCATGACATTGTATTCGAATAGCCCGTAGCGGCAGCGGAAGGCAGTCTTCCATTCATCGCCCGGGCGCATGCGTAAGAGGTTATAAGCGCCGCGGAGGTCGATCTTGGTGAGACGGCGGGCGCCGCGCAAACGATCCATGATACCGTTGATCAGGGGCAGGGGGGGGTAGCGATTCTTCACCGTGATGCTGTTCAGGCCTCGATAATCCACGCAGAGGCGGAGAGAACCAGTCCTTTTTCTTCACGAATAAGACTGGCGCACCGGCAGGGGACTTTGAGGGTTTGATGAATCCTTTGGCAAGGTTTTCTTCGAGGTATTCGCAGAGTGCCTTCATTTCTGGTTCGCTGAGGCTGTAGATCGGGCCGGAAGGTGGCTGCTTGCCTTCTTCCAGATCGATTGGACAGTCGTAGGGCCGGTGCTCGGGGAGAGTGTCAGCATTTCTCCTTTCGAAAACGTCGGCGAAGTCTTGATATCTGGGGGGCAGGAAGTCTTTGATGTCTTTCTCGGGTGTCGGGGGTTACTGGGGCTAGGCGAGGCCGGGAGATCGGGTTTCGCAGGGTTGGCGTAGGCGACAAAGACCTGGTCATGCCTTGCTGCGACCCGGAAGGCTGGGGCGGAGATGAACGAGACTCGGAGCGGCGTGGGAGCCGGTTCTGGGGTGCTGGAGCGAGATACCTTGGGTACTGGAATTGACCATGTTTGTCGACGGGGAACTTCATCCTGGGGGATGCGGATCAAGGGCTCGGGGGTTCTGGCGGGTGCTGGGCTCGGGGGTGCTGGAGAGTTGTCCCAATTCGCGAATTCATGGTACTGACAGTCGCAACGGAAACGACCGAAAGGTTCTTGAAGTCAAGGTTAATGTCGTGGAGGCGGAGCCAGGGGAGACCAAGGAGGATTGGAGCATGGGGTGATTTGGTGACATGGAAGACGAGTTCTTCGAAGTGGTCGTCGACCCACATGCCTACTGGTTGGGTGTGATGGGTGATTGGCTCAGCAGAGCTGGGTTGACCGTCAACAAGTTCGATCGTCAGTGGACGCTGATGCGGGACTAGGGCGATGCGGTGTTTGCGGGCAAAGTCTCTGTCGATGAAGCAGGACAGGGCACCGTTGTCGATCATGGCTGAGGTAGGTATCGGGGCGCGGCTGGATGATACCATATGGTAACGGGGTAGTTGAAGGGTTCGACAGGACCCAGCGCAAGCATGGCGTGGGGGTTAATTTCGGAGTTTTTCGACATGGGCAGCGGCTAGGAGGGTTGTGTCGGCTATAACGGAGTCAGGAACCAGGGGGGTGGCCTCTCCCGTTGCAGGAGCTGCGAGGTTAGGAGGCCCGGGCGGATGTGTGTTGTCCAGTCGCTGGGGCTTTACTGCGGCTGGACCTTGGGAAAACCCTGTTCGGGGAGGGTTCTTTGATGTCGACGTTGGCGGCACGGGTGGTGGTCTTGTTCTTGACGGGGCAGACTTTTGCAATGTGCCCCGCGTCACCGCAGTAAAGGCAGAGGTTGTTGGAAATACGGCGTTGGCGTTCCTGAGGGCTCAGAGGGCCGCGGGGACGAGCGGCGTCAATCTGCATAGGCTCGCTGTGGTCGACAGTGGTTGTAGTAGTAAACGAGGTGTGGGGAACCGGGAAGGTCTGGCGGCTTCTGTTTCGCTCCAGGCGGCGCTCAAACAGCCGGTTATCGCACTGGATAGCCTGCTCCATCACCACATCAATGGTGGCCGCAGGGGGCATTGTGAGCATCAGGTCTTTGACGTCTTCTTTGAGGCCACGGCGGAAGGTAGCAATCAGGGCCTGGTCGTTCCAGGAGACATCGCATTGTAGCTGGCGGAACTCAGCGACGTACTCGGTTGCTGCACGGGTTTGGCGAAGGTTCTGGAGCTTGTTTTCAGAGGTGCGGACCCTGTCGCTGTCTCCGAAGACCGATTGCATCTGACTGATAAAACTATTGAAGTCCTGAAGGCTGTGATCTTGGCGTTCGACTAGGGGCGCCATCCAGGCTTGCGCAGTGCCGGTGAGGTAGGTGCCAATAGTTTGGATCTTGATGATGTCGCTGGGGTAGCGGTCGGGCTGGAGAGCAAACATCAACCAGATGTTGTTCAACCACCCACGGAATTTGCTGCGGGTACCATCAAACTTCTCGGGCAAGCTGATTCTTGGCTCCAGAGCAGGGTTGGCGACTTGGGGACGGGTGTACGTATCGGCTTGAACCTGGGCAGCGATGCTCTGGGCAGCTTGTGCGTCGGCTTGGGCTTGCGCTAGGTTTGCCTGCAAGTTGGCGTTTTGGCTTTGCAAGGCGGCGATGGCTTGGCACATATCGTTCCATTCCTTGGCGGTACGGATTCGGGTTGGGACATGGCAAAAAAGGTTTGTCGGATGCAGGGCTGGACAGGTTCTGAACTTCGCAGTGTTGGAGCTGATCAAACTGTTATGATCTCGACGACGGGGGCGGAAGCGAAGTAGAGAAGACAGGGCGAGTGTGATAGGCGACAAGAGATTGTATTGGCGAAACAAGAAACAAGGACTAGAACAGGAGATGAGAAGAACTGGTGTTGATCTGCTGGGGAGGAAGGGAATGGACGAAGAGAGGCCGGCTATTTATAGATAGGCAACCCAGCAGATCAGAGAACAACAACAACAAGAGGGGACTGGGGGGCGCCAGCTATGCTCCTAGAGCGTGCGTGGCGAGCGTAGAGAGCATTGCTACAGCTGCTGGCTATGGGGAAGCAGTGGGGGGTGTGGAGAAGCCGAGGGGGGATTGGCGAAATGAGAGGAGAGAGGAGGAGTGGCGATATTGCAAGAGGATCGGCGAAATGAGAGGAGAGAGGGGGAGTGGTATTGACATTGACACTGACATTGACACTGACATTGACATTGACATTGGCGTTTGACATTTGGCGGTTGACATTGGCGGCTGTCAGTAGGTAAGCTTATCGTATGGGCGCGTCGTCCATAACATCACCCCTCTCTTTAGCGGCGGCGGCGGCGGCGTCGAGTTTGGTGTGGCCGCAGAGGAGGTGCTACGGGGACAGAGGAAGGCTTGTTGGGGTACGCGCTGTGGAAGTCCTGGAGGAGTGCGTCGGTATGGGTGAGGTGTTCCACGGGCTCCCAGGTGTTCTCGGGGTCAGGCCAGCCCTGCCATTTGACCAAGTACTGAAGGCGACGACAATGGATGCGAGAGTCAAGGATGGCTTCGACAACCCACTCTTCTTGACATTGGCGGCTGTCAGTAGGTAAGCTTATGGTATGGGCGCGTCGTCCATAACAGGTGAGGCGAAGAGCCTTGCCGAGGAGCCAGTTGATGCGCTCAACACTGGGATCGCGGATGAAGTGATAGGTGTCGCACTGGGCAGGGCCCGATTTGGTGCATTCGCGTGCAGTCATAACGTCCCCATACATAGTCTGCCACACGCCGATGTGCATGGTGGCTTTTTTGCTGGCGACATCGATGGCATCCGTTGGCTGGTGGCGGTGTCGAACATCCTTTGACAGCTTCTCAAAATCCTCCTCCTTCCTATTTTTTCACCACCTTTCCAGCCGCCTTCACGAAACCCGCCTGCCACACCGGCCCAATGATTCCAGGGAGGAACATGAACAACGCATTCCCATCCTTGTCCACTCCAATTGACGGCTCCCTCCCACTTTCGATATCGTCCAAACCCTCAATGCTGGAGTTGGTGCAGTCAGCATTCTTCGGTTTCGCAGCCAGCTCACTCAACGCTACGTTGTCAAAGATCCAAACATTGTTCTCAACGGCACGCACTACCTTGTTGCAGAGGTATTCGCGCATTTTACGGGAAAAGAGAACACTGGCTTCCATCTCTGGGAGAGCAGGGCCAGAAGGGATCTTTCTGCGCTTTGAAGTCTTTTCTTTTTCCTTCATGGTTCCCCTCTGCCTTTCCCTCCACAGCCTTCGTAGTCGCTGTCGTCGTCGCCATTGCCGTCGTCATAACCGTACTCAAAGTCGCCTTCTTCAAGATCAAGGTCCAGGTTGATTTCTACCTCCTTCGTATACTGAACTCGGACTCGACGCGGGCGAAGGCGGTTACGGATGTTGTCTTCGTCGACGTATTCGGTGTTGGAGATGGACATGTTGATGCACCCGCTGACGCTGAAGTTCGAGCCGCCGTTCGAGCCGCCGTTCGCGCCATTGTCGCCCCCGCCGCCGTTGCCACTCTCGCCGTTGCCATTCCCACCATTGTCACTGCCCCTGCCACTCTCGCCGTTGCCATTCCCACCATTGTCACTGCCATTGCCACTCTCGCCGTTGCCATTCCCACCATTGTCACTGCCATTGCCACTCTCGCCGTTGCCATTCCCACCATTGTCACTGCCATTGCCACTCTCGCTGTTGCCACTCTCGCCGTTGCCATTCCCACCATTGTCACTGCCATCGCCGTTCGCACGGCTGCCATCGCCATTGCCACCGCTGCCATCCCCGTTTGCACCATCACTGCTGTTACCGTTCGAGGAAGCTGCGTTGTTGCGCCTCCGAGTGCCGCTGTGGGTGCTGCGTCTAGAACCCAACCGTCACCGCTGGACGGCTTGGGTTTTAGGGCAAGGCTTGACCATTGTGGCTGTGTGAAACGGGAGGAATAAAACGAAAAGGAGCTTGAGGCAGAGCAAAAATGGTCGTGGCTCGAGCTGAGAACGGGTAAGGACTTGAGGATTGGTTAAGGTAGCTCTTTCTGTTGCGGTACTTAATTGTAGTTGCGCTGTTCAGTTAACACCCACGAAGCGCCGAGCGCGACAGTAGTTACCACGCCGCGCCTAGCGCGACAGGGGTCATAATCTGAACAAACAAAGAAGTTGTCTGGGAGTGGGAATTGAACTCGCTACCTGCACGTCTGCAAGGAGAGCGGTATTCAACTGTGCCAAAGCGCCAGTGTTGTCAGAATGCAATTACAGTAGTACCAGAAGAAGGGTGTACTGTACGGTACAGGTGGCCAAAAGAGCGTCCGAGAGAGCGTTCCATCACGTGGGTTTCATCCGCAACCCTACCCGCAACCCTCCCGCAACCCTCCCGCAACCCTACCCGCAACCGCAACCCTACCCGCAACCCTACCCGCAACCTCAACCCTCCCGCAACCCTAACTCGGGTCTCGGGAGTGTTGGGTGGAACATGTCCCAAAAAGGGCGCGCCTCTCTCTCTTCTCCTTTATCCCCTGGGTGGATACGCCATATGCGCCAACCCGGGGGCTGCTGACAGTGGTTGCATGCGCCATATGCGCGAAACCATCTGGGCAGGGTACCTCATCTCCTCACCTCCCTCACTCGAGAACCTACCTTCGGTCTCCATGGGTTGTTATGTAGGCAATGGACGTTATTCTGGTGAATGTACGGGAGGTTTGCACAAGGTGCGTGCGTTAGCAAAAGAAACGTTCAGGCGACCGTGGCAATTGTAGCATTTGTCAGGAAGCATACCAAAGGAGACTATCGGCCTCATCAGCATCAAAATGGCTCAATAGTCGTTCTTGCTGGGAGACGGTGAGATTTTGTCCATTGTAGCCAGATCCAGAGGGAGGGGCGGGCGGATAAGGCGAGTACTGCTTCTGAGACTTAGACGGCGAACCCCTGGAACTCTGCTTCTTCGAGCTCTGCTTGCGATGTTTGCGCGGGGGACGGTGGTCGCTGCTATCCGACAACGAGTCGGACAACGGGTCGGACAGCTGGTCGTCGTCAACTTCCGCTAACGCGACGGTACGCTTCCTTCTTTGGCGTTGAGGTTTTGCAGAGTCGGGGATGGTCGAGGTCGACCCCTTATCGAGGTACGAGGTCCGCGGAGTTGTCTGCATCCCAACCTCCTTCCTCGCTGATTCTATGTGTTTTTTGACGACTGCAACGCTCGGGAGTTTTGTCCCCCCAACTTCCTTCGCCACCTCCTCTGCCCACCACCATAGTATATTGAGCAGGTCCTCCGACATGGGATACCTTGGCAATGTCATGATCATTGCGCAAAGCGCCATGGCTCTAGTCGGGAACGGATAGTAGTCCTCTGATGATGTGTGGGGCGGCAACGGTGCACCATCGCCCCCATCAGCGCCGCCAGGATCGTGACCGCCGCCGCCGCCTTCATCTTCATCCGTTCCACCTTCGTCTTCGTTACTCCTTTAGTCGTCAGACGCCCACCCCATGTTCGCAGGATCCTTCGCAAGCTCCTCCATCAGGTCGCGGTGTGCTTCATCGCGGCGAATGCTACGATAGTTTTCCATAAACTGGTGAAAGTTCGTCTCAGCTCGATAATCCCCAACATTAGGATGACCGAATTCCTCCTCCTCAATATCCATGGGTGATGAAGGTGGTGACCCAAACGGCGGCAGGGGAGACTGCGCGAGATCGAATGGGCGCGTCCAACAGTCCTCCTCGCGCATGTTGCCATACCCATCCTCTTCCATGTCCCCACGCCCGTCATCCCCAATGCCCACCTCAGTGCCCTCCATTGCCGACGCTTGCTCCGCTGCGTATGCCGACGCTTGCTCCGCTGCATATGCCACCGCTTGTGCCGCCGCCGCCGCCGCTTCTTCTGCTTTTGCTGATGCTCGATGTCTCAGACTCTGAACATGTTGCCGAAGCTGCACAGGCCGGTTGGTGATCGCTATATTGCAGGTGGGGCAGAAGGCTTTACTGCCGGTGTATATGAACTGCTGCTGGTTCATTGCTTTGTTTTCACTGCTCGTTGCGGGCTCAGTGTGATCTGGTGATTGTTAGAGTGATTGCTATGAACCCCGCGACATGTGCTGTGCTGTTTCCCCCTCTTTTTGAAAGTCTCCCGGCAGGTGCGCTCGTGGAGGTTCCCAGTGAACTCCCCTGGAGGGACCTCGCGAGTTCATGCAGTGGAGGTTCGGTAAGAATGTCTGTGGGCGGAGAATGTACTGGAAACGTCCACCAGAGGAGCCTGGGGAATGTCCTGGGCACGTCGCGAAAGAAGGCGCCCCGGACTGGAGTTGGGATGTCTGGGGAAGGTGATTAGGGTTAGGGCTAGGGGTAGGGCTAGGGTTAGGGTTAGGGTTAGGGTTAGGGCTAGGGTTAGGGATGTTAGGGTTAGGGTTAGGGTTAGGGTTATGAGCTTGCAAACAGAACCATCCAGGGCCTCCGACTCGTTAAATCCGCGCAAATGGCATTTTCTATTATTGGGGGTGTAGTCGAGCCTCCCCCTTTCTTCTCTTTCTCCCATGTTCTTCTCTTTCTTCTTTCTTCTCCCATGACCAACCAGAAACTACTTTTTTGACCCATACATACCAAAGATGAATCCAAACCAGCTGCAAGCGTTGGCCGGTGGAAGCACAGAGAGGCAGTTGCGCCAGTGGAGGGAGGGAGTGGTAAGAGCGATCGCGGACGAGTACCCCCATGATGCCATGATATAAGATATGTACAAGTAGAACGAGGGTATCGTATGTACAAGTAGCCTCAGAAATATAGCTCCCCTCCGAATCAGTAGCGAACCGCCTACCTAGACGCCACAAGCATTGGACTCACCCCCTCTTCTTCCCCTTCTTCCTCCGTTTCTTCTTCCCCGTCGCACCCGCCGCCTCATTCACATCCTCACCACCATCAGCCTGCGACGCCGACGCCGAGGGTCCCAAAACATCCGACTCCCCATCATCACCAAACACATCCCGCTCGCCTGCATCCGCTTCCTCAAACCGCACCTCCCCCGCATCAACACTACCCTCATCCCCACCTCGTCCCGTGAGTGAGGCCTCCGAGACACTCGAGTCCCTAGCTGCCGATGAGAGCGGGAAGTTATCCTCGCGGTCGCGTTGCAGGAGGCGGGAGAGGGAGGGCATGTGGGTGTGGTGGGTTGAATGGGTCTGTGTCGTTGCGGGGGTAGCAGATTTGGTGGGTGATGGTTGGCGGTGGGAAGATGAAGATCGCGGTTTACTGAGGAGGGTGGTATCGTGGTCGGGAACGGAGGCGGGTATGATGCGCAGGTCGGGGGGGATGTGCAGGTTTGAGGTGTTGCCCCGTGATGAGGACGGTATCCGTTTGTCCGTCTCATCCGCACCCTGCTGCGATACGCTCTCGTCGCCCTCGCAGTAGCCGTGGTCGTCTTCCTCTTCTCCGTGGGCTGGTTCACTGGCCCCATCATCTCTATCCGGATCCGCTTCCCCAGCGCTGCTGCCGGCCCCTCCCGCGGGACCATTCTCCGCCCCACCTGCGCTCTCCAGCCACCCCACAACACGTTCCAAACCCCTCACACCCCCCATCCCGCGCTCATCCCTCAACTGCTTCATCCACATATCAAAATACACCCCATCGCGCATCCGCATAAGCGTATCGTGATTTCCCCTCTCCACAATCTGTCCGTCTTTAACGACCAATATCATATCCGCGTTGACGATGGTGGAGAGGCGGTGTGCGATGACGATCGTGGTGGAGCGCGTGGAGGAGGAGAGGAGTGCGGACTGCACGGCGGCTTCGGAGCGCGAGTCGAGGGCGGAGGTGGCTTCGTCGAGGAGGATGATGGAGGGGTGTTTGAGGAGCGTGCGGGCGATGGCGATGCGTTGCTTTTCGCCGCCGGAGAGGCGGAGGCCGCGTTCGCCGACTTTCGTGTTGTATCCTGAGATTCCAAGAATCCGGGGCGTCAGCTTCTCAACCGGTGCCTGGGTGTATGTACAAGAGGTACCTCCAACCGCAATACTCACCATCAGCAAACCCCAATATCCGCTCATGTATTTGCGCCGCCTCCGTCGCAGCCACCATCTCCTCCTCCCTCGCCCCCGGCCGCCCATACATCAAATTATACCTCAACGACTCATTGAACAGCACCGTGTCCTGCGGCACGACGCCAATCACGCTCCTCAGCTCGCCCTGCCTCACGTCGCGGATATCCACGCCATCGATCCGGATGCTGCCGGCTTGCACGTCGTAGAACCTGAAGAGGAGTCGCAGGACGGTGGATTTGCCGGAGCCAGAGGGGCCGACGAGCGCGACGGTAGATCCGGGGGCCGCGGTGAAGGAGATTCCGTCGAGGACGGGCCCGCGGCGCGCGTCGTAGCTGAAGGAGACGTTGTCGAATACGACCTCGCCGCCTTTATTGGGGAGGTGTTTTGGGTTAGGCGGGTCGGAGATGTCGACGGGTTCCTTGAACAGATCCAGCATCTTTTCCATGTCTACGAAATTCTTCTGGATGACGCGGTAATGGTTGCCGAACCAGTTCAAGGGGCCGTAGAGTTGGGTGATATAGCTAAGATACAATACGAAATCGCCGACGGTCATTGTATGGTCGTACACGATTCGTTTCGCGCAGACCAAGCTGCCGACGATCATGCCGACCTGTATGAGGATGTTCTGCGCGGTGTTGAGTGTGAAGAGCACAATGTTGGATTTGTAGTCGGCTTTCTGGTACTCGATGACCGCGTCCGTGAAGCGATTGACTTCGTACGGCTCCGCGTTGTAGTACTTGACCGTCTCAAAGTTGAGGAGAGAGTCGACGGCTTTGGCTTCCATCGCGTTGTCGAGCATGTTGGCTATGCGGCGGTAGTGGGTGCGCCATTCAGTGATCACGATGGTGAAGTAGATGTACAGACCCATGGTGGAGAAGACGATGGCGCCGAAGTAGATGTCGAACGCGAGGGCAAAGTAGAAGCACCCGATGCCAATATCGGCGAGCGTAGGGACGACGTTGAAGAGAATTGAAGAGAACAGGGACACGATGCTGGACACTCCTCGATCTGGGAAAAGACAGCAAAAAGACCGATCAGAGGTCTTTCGCACTGATGCATATGCGTTTTCGAGCATCACCGTCCCATCCTTCGCGATCAGGCATTCCGCTCTCTTCCCGTCCTTCAACCCAACCTCCGCAACCCACCCTCCCTCACATACCTTGAACCCTCAAAATCTCCCCCGTCTTCCGATTCAAATGAAACCGCAACGACAAATTATGCAGATGCTCAAACATCTTAATCGACAGCTCCCTCGTCGTAAACTGCCCGACCGGCACCCATATATAGCTCTGCAAAATGCTCAACACCCCTCCCCCGCCCGCCAAGAACTTCAGAAACACATATATCAGTATCTCCACATACGGTAATGGCGGTCGTGTCACTGTCTCGTCGTCACCAGCAGTCGCATACCCCACGCGACCTCCGTGAGAAGTAACCCCGCTCACATCACCCAAAGCATCAATAACGCGTTTGAACTGCAAGGGCACGAGGAGGTTGATGATGCGCCCGAGGACGATGAGGGCGAAGCAGGCGAGGATGAGCAGTTTGAGACGGAGGGCTTCAGTGTCATTGCCTTTGGGCCAGATGAAGGGGGCGAGACGTTTGAAGTGGCGTGCGTATTCGCGCATTGTGGTGGGGGGTTTGTAGATTATGTTTTCGGAGTATGCAGATGGGGTGGCGGCGGGAGCGGGAGCCGTGGGTGGGGCGGCGACTGATGGTGGTGGTGGTTGGGAGGGTGTTGTGCCGAGTCCGTTAGCGTTAAGGTTTGCCCGGTCGGCGGGGATTGAAACCCCGCTTCCGTTCAAAGTTGCGTTGGGAGTGCCATTACTTCCGCCCTGAGCTATCGATGTTCCCGCAGCAGTGGCCTGAGCCATGGTGAGGCCTCACTGTTCTCGTTTGCCTAGCTGTAGAGGTGGTCTGTAAGATGGTGGATGAAGGGTTCAAAGTCCGACTGGATCGAGCGCGGTGCTTGAGCCGAGGAAAGTGCTTCAACGCCGGGACAAAGGGAGCACTACGTTGTTCTCGCAGGAGAGGTAGTAGCAGTAGCGCATATATGGCGAGCCTGAGGGTAGTCGTGGAGATGAGGGTGAGGAGTATGGTGCGTGGGAAATGCGGAGACGGGCTGGGCAGGATCTTTTATGGGGCGAGCGATAAAGGGACGTCATCACAGGCGCGAAACAACGCCCGGCCTGTCAATCCACGCCCCCCCCCAATTGCATCCCGTCACTCGCACGCCGCAACTGACGTCTCTCCACCTTTTTCGAGTCCATCCCTCCCAACAAGATCGGACCGCCCTATCGCAAGACTCCCCCGCAAAAGGTTGAGGTCCGCGACCACGGCCTTATGATGGCACGTGCAAAGTACTTCCAAGTTCCACAGGATGTTCAATCAATAGTGCTCTTCATTAACAAATACATATGATACAAATTGTGCGAAACCACAAGAGAAAGCGAAAAACAAAGGGACTCATCAAAGTGACATAGTGTTGCCTAATTCAGGGGTTGAGGGTATTTCACATTCACGCCACAAGTGTTCACCACCCATCGCCACCATACGCAGCAGCCCCCTCCCGTCTTCCCCTCACCGGCGATCTCGACCGCTCACGTCTCCTCTCGCCCCGTCCACTGGAACTCCGATGACCCCTGTCACGGCTCCTGCTCCTGCTCCTGCTACGGTGCTCGCGGGTGCTTGTGCGCTTGGAGTCGGGCTGGTCTTTATTGAGGAGACGGAGGGATTGGTGTTGTGCGGCAAAGAGCTCCTTTTCGAGGTCCCTGGAGACGAGCTTGAGATGCATAAAGTTGCAGAAGCCGCCGCGGGTGCATTGGGCTGTTTCGTGTTGACGGCAGCAGGCTGGAAACAAAGATGGAGATATCAATGTTTCTGTAAATACCATCACAATAGAGGGTACGAATGGGGACGGTTTTTCGCAGCTCCTTACCTTCACCGAAATCCGTGACAGGCGACAACTCGGCATAAAGCGGCCTCCCCGCATAAAACCGATTATTCAGCGCCTCCACCGCCTTGCCCGCATCCTCCTCATACGCATACCGCACATACACATTCCCAATCAGATGGTCGCCAACATTATCACACACGCACATCTCCTCAATCTGGCCATACTTTGCCAGCTCGATAAACAGGTCCTCCCAGAACAGGTCAAAGTGCTCCTGCACCTCGTCGTCGGTGAGCGAGCAGCCCTCGATGTTCTTGGGGTTGATGTAGACGTTGGAGAGGAGCACGGTTTGCGAGAAACCGGGCTTGACGTGCTTGCGACTGCAGCGGTCGCCGTGGCGGCAGGCGCCGATTTTGAAGTAGAAGGAGCAGTTGACTTTGTCTTTTTCGGTGCCGTAGATGGAGGCGAGGTGGTCTGCGGAGGGTAGAGGGAGTAAGCATATTTCAAACGAATGTCTCAGGGTGCGCTACGCATAGGTTTAGTAGAAAAGGGAGGCCCTAGGGTTCGCCAGCATCCTCCGCAGACTGCAATGTGATCCACAAACTTCTCCGAACGACATCAGCGCCCCCTTTCCAAAGCCCTGCTTCCTTGTCACCGACCGCTGCTGTTCGCCCGCCCTGCCAGCCTCCATCAGATCCCCTCCAGTGGCTGGCCAGTAGAAACTCACACCTAACCGATCCTGACAATTATACTGGCTTATATTTTTCAACCAACTACTCTTCCTTCCCCGTCCCCTTCTGACATCCGCACAACCCTCTATGCGCTCCAGCCAACTTGCTATCCCATCCACCCTACAAGCACTGCGGTCGAAATCAAACTTACCAGCCATGATGACGACTCTGCACCTAGATTCCTCTGTTTCGCTGTATCTATGAGTCCTATATTCACTCGCTCGCTAGTTGCAAGCCCCAATAAGGCTGTCTGTTTGCGTTGCTATTTGATTTATCTGTCCTGCAGTGCTGATCTTGGGCAAGTCGATGAGTTACGGTTGCGAGTTGGGTTGAGCTGTAGGGCTGTGCTGCCGTGATATTCGGGGGCCGTGGGTAGGTGGTATTTAACAAAGACAGCGGTGAGTAATGATGATTAGTAACACCCCCAGATGACTCACGCCCTCACGTCATTTCGACAGCGCGTGTTCTTCCATGTTGCTGTCTGCATCCCGTCAAGGAGTGTTAGAACGTCCACCAACGGAATCCCATGAAGAAATGCCAAACCACAACGTCCGAATCTTCATAGTCGGCCCCTCGGGCACCGGCAAAACAACTCTCAGCAATGTGCTCGCAGACCTCACCGCCTCGCTGCCGACCGCGCCGCATGCTGGGGGTGTTTACCGGGCCACGCAGGGTGTGAGGTGGGTGGTGGAACATACTTCCTCGACGTTTTGTTCTATGAATGTTTATCGATTTTGGGGTATTTTGAAAGGATACTGGAATTTGACCGCCGCATCCCTCCCCTACCCAACTCTGGATCCACGCGTCCGATGGATGTGGCCTGTGAGGTGTGGGATTGTAGCGGGTCGCCTCGGTAAATATCACATCCGCATCGCTGCGTCCCAGTTCCTCCCACGGATTCATATTTCGATTTCTCAGGTTCACCGCATCATGGCCAGCCCTCACGCCCTCCGCCCACGCCGTGATCTTCGTGGCGAGCGGGGAGACCCGGGAGCGTGATTTAGAGGCTTGGTGCGTAAACACTCATCTCCATTCACACCTCCAACCTCCCATTGGGAATCTCACCCCCCCCCCCCCCCCCCGCCCCATCCTCCCCAACAGGCACTCCCAATTCCCCCACCTCCCCCCCTCTTCCATGGTGCTCTTCTCCCCCTACGCGTCGAAATCAAAACCGTTCAAACCAACCTCAAATTCCCCACTGCACGCCCTTCCCGTAGTCACCGCCTCCTGGGAATCCGACCCGGAGGTCGTGCGGCAGGAGTTCGATAGAGTGCTCGCGGGGGTTGTTGGTGAGATGGTTGGTGGGAAGAGGGGTGATGCTGGGGATGGGGGAGGAGATTGGGCGGGGATGGAGAGGGTCGTTGTTTGAATGCGGGAATATAGAGGCGACATGGACATGGGCGACATGGACAAGCGAGGGCGAGGAGTCGTGATATATATATGGCGCATGTATACACAAGAGGGAGTACATACAAGATATGCGCAGTGGGCTTCAGTAGCCGGATGTGTAAAAATGCCATTTCTCCCATAGAGGCTGGTAGTCCCGTAATATACCTGAAAAAAAAAGGATATCTCATAAGCCGCAAAGCCACCGCTTCCAAAACCCGACCCGGAACTTCTCATCCACATACCAGCAAGAAGCGAAATAAGCGGCCTCCTACTCGCCCCCTCAATAAACGCCCCCATCCTCTCCTTGGTCCACTGCTCATAAAACGGGTTCCTCAGCAGATAATACAGCAACAGCCAATATCTTCGTTTATACTGCTCCCGCTCCAGGATCGTCAGGTCGCGGCGGAATCCCAAAGTGCTCGGGGACAGGGAGGCGGTTAGGCTGAGGACTTCCATGGTTAGGGAGAGGAGGTAGGGTTTGTAGGAGGAGGGGCCGTAGCGGCGGAGGGCTAGGACTGTTGAGAGTTAGCGAGTGGGGGTTGAATGGAGAAAGAGAACAGGGGGGAGCGTACGAACCATAAACAAGCGGCCTCAACACAAACATCCACTCGGACACCTTCCTCCTCGCCGTAACAATCGGTCTCAACAAATCCATCGGACTTATCGCCGCCTCCGTCAGCGCTTTCGACAATAAATACTGCACGGCGTGGTCATAGCCGCCCTTGTCGGATTTGGTGATATGGTCCACGCGGATGTGCTCTTTGCCTGTCCGCGTGCCCTTCCATGTCGCGGGGTGTTCGGAAGGGGAGGTGGGCGGGGGCTCGACGGTCGCCGGGTCGTAGTCGCGTTCGGGGACCGTGGCGTGCATGGTCATGCGGTTGCGGGAGAGTTTAAGGAGAATTGTGCGGCATATTACTCTGACGGTGCGAGAAGTGGTGCATCAATAATCCGCCTTCGGTTTTCATGGTAACCTTTCATAACCACCCCCGACATCCACTCCACGTACTTAGCAATCTCAACCCCCACCACAACCCTCTCCCTCCCCCTTCTCCCCCCAACCCTCCTGGCACCCATCTCCATCAACACCTCACACATCTGCACAATGGTCAACGTATACGCCACGCGCTTATACGTGCTTCCACTACGCAGCATATAGCGCGTGTATCGGTTGAATTTCGTCGCGGGAGTTTCGGGTTGTTGCCGCAGGGCCGCGGTGGAGAGGATTGTGTCGTGGTAGAGGGACATTAGGTTTACGAAGGTGAAGACTGGGTGGAGATGGGGTTAGTCGTTGGGATGAGGAAAGTGATAATGAGGGAAGCGGAGTGTCGTTGTTGCTACTCACTTGCTTCCGAAGCCATGTCAGAGTTCTCGAAGCGTCCTGTAAGGAGAGGTAATCACCGGATTGATGGATTTAGCATTACGCCCAGGGGATACTACCTATTTCACAGATTGACGCATGTTGACCCCCAGCATGCGGAATGCCACCGATCCCTCCTAGTTCGGAACCCACACTCACAACCCTCATCCCCGCCATCCTTTCATCCACGCGAGAAGACCGCAATCCCACACACATCTCACACATGGTCTCTCACACAACATCCCGCTCACAACGTCATCTCCATGCCCCTTCCCTCTTCCCCTTGGCAACAGCTGTTAAGCCTAACCATACCTGGAAGCAAATAAGTAAGCGACCGCAACCCGCTCTCCAAGCCGCTGATCTGCGGCGCATTGTGGAGGACGAAATCCTCGTATTTGGCTAGGATGGGTGGTGACATCTTTCGGGGGGGTGGGGGGGGGAGGGGGGGGGTCGGTGTGTTTTCCTGGTCGATATGGGGACTCAGAAGGTGTATAGAGCTTCCTGTGCTGAGGGTGTCCGGCGGGGCCAGTTTCCGTAGTCGCTTGTTCGGTCCTGCTTATGCCGTTGAGGATCGTTTCGCTGCTCGGTCGTTGTCGATTGGTGTCAGCATCTCTCGCAAACGCCCCGGGTGAACGCGGAGACAGCCATGCGGGTAAACGCGGGTCGCTGCTCACCGTTGCCTATATATTTAAGTCCGGAGAGTCCGGGTGGCTGTGCAGGGTTGCCCTGAGAAGCTCCTTCTTCCGCAACTTTCCTCTCCGCCGTTCAGCGCCATCGTCGAACCGCCGCCCGTCCTGTAGTCGTCCCCAGACTAGCCCCTCGCTCCCATCCTTGCTACCGCACACCCCCGTCGTGCCTAAGCTTTTTTCAAAACAGTAAGTTCTGTCGGCTGTTTTATTTGCATATATATTGTTTAACGACAATGGCTACTTTGCTCTGTCAAGTGAATTCACGCGGCTCCATTTCGTTTCGTAACGGGAACACTTATTCCTACGAGTTCCCAGAATTCAAGATCCGCATTGAAAAACTGAGTCCTCACGTGGCACGTCTCTGGTTTGCAAACTTCCAAGGTCAACAGATTCCAGTTCCGCCCAACACATTTCTGCTCGATGAGAATAACGTGGCGCACAACGACTTTGGCGGTTCCTTCTTCATCACCTGGATTGGTTCTCATACCATTACCCGTAACGGCGTTGTTATTTTCAAGACCAATAATAAAAAGCAAGTGTCGGTACACGCATCAGCAGAGCACTGGGAGGTGCGTGACGTTATGGGTGGGCTGAGAAGACGGGACGGACAACCTGTGATTTTTGCACCATTGCCCAACATCATACAGCAAGCTGTCCAGTTTCCTCAACTTGATGATGACGATGAAGAAGACGAGGAGGAATAGGGGACTGGTGGCTGGGAGAAGTAGTTAGCATGAGTGTTTGTTTTATTACAAACTCAGTTCAGGGGTGTGCGCTGCCAATCTGCCCTACATAAGGAGCTGACCAGCGACATTCCCATATCATTACCTGTGTATTCTGTTCGGAACGCCAGAAACAGCTGGCAGCAAAGACGGTGCCATCCCGCAGTGATTCCACCCTCCGAAACCCCTCCTCCGGTAGGTTTGACAGATTCAAAATACATAGTGTTTGCGACATGTATGCAGTCGTATAATTAAAAAGAAGCCAAGCAAATGTACAGAAATAAGAATAGTGGGTTGCGTGATGTACATGCGAACCCGAAGAAAGGGGGAAAATGAACCAAAATGCGGGACTTGCCGGCCGTCCAAGGACCATATATGGAGCTAGGTTGACGACGACTGTGTGTGGGGGTGTGCGTTCTTGCACGCTTCGAAAGCGACGATGTGGATGCGGACGCTATGGCAGTCGTAGCGAGGACGATGAGTGTGTGGTGGTGAACGGGTATGTGTATGGTGGGAAAGTGGGAAGCCCCAGTCCTCAACCTGCCGAAGACATGAGGAGACTCTCATATGATGGAAGGGAAGTTTATTGAGGGGCGGCGGCTTGTTGTGTGAGAAGCAGACCAAAACGCCGCTTCAGTGTCACACGGTGCCGGGAGTACTTGTCGTCAGGGGAGAAGCGGGCTGGACAGAGAAAAGGTCGTAGTGAGTACACTGTGCGGAAAAGTGACGAGCGAGTCTTCGGGGGTTATACCTGGGTGAGCCGACTTGGTGACGGCGCCATCGGGCGTCAGCTTCTTGAGCGTGTAGATACGCTTGCCATTGGCATCGAGGTAGTACATCAAGTGCATCGCGGGCGAGTTCCTGAACCCACGAAAAAGGAGAAGAAAAGAGAAAGGCAAGTGGATCAGCTCTCAACGTTCGCCTCACAAATCTGTCACACAACGATGACGAAAGTAAATCCCTCACGGTACAAAAGTATGTTCAGAGGTAAGGTTATCGTCGTGAGATCATTAACGACAGAAAAACCCCCCATAACCCACCGCCTCCCTAGAGAGACCCCAACCCAGTCCGAACCAGAGAAAAGAACTCGCTTCAGGCGACGACAACCACCCCTCGCACAACAAACGTGAGACGACTATCCACAGAAGAACGAAGAACAAAAGACTTCCCCACCGGCAAATCCAGAGCCCGAAGGCCCCTTCAACCAGGAACAGGTACTATCTCCGCCCCAATTCCCCCGCTTCTGCCCTCTCCCATCCGCCGTCCTCGGAACAGCCGCAAACCATCAACTTGCCCCCCCTCACAGTCCGAAACCGAGAGCGGGAAAGGTGGGTTCCAAGGGATAGACTCTATCGTCCCGCTACCGGTATGGTCTTCCAGGCCAGTGTTGGGGAGAGAAAACCTCTGCACCCATCTTTGCGCTGGTTGACGACCGGCGGCAGCGATCCCTTGTCAGAGAATGGATATAACTGATGCAATCATGACACTTTTGTACTTGTCGTGAGGGTAGCGTTGCTTGGGCGGGGCCTGCACACGTCGTTGGGCCGAAAATCCCGAAGGACAAAGGGCTTCCTGGGCGACTTTCGCCGGAGATGTTCCGCAAGGCTCCCCGTTGCAATCCTACGTCGTCTAGCTGTCTATGGCAGTGTTCTCAGCTTACCTTTGTGTATACCTTGGGAAAGGATTGCCGTGGGATTGAATCGAAAGCGAAGCGTGAGAGTCGAGGTTTTTGACCTTGGGAAAGTCGGTCCTCGAAGAGAAATCACTTTTGGGTCACGTGCACTGTTGCCGGTCACGTGTCTCTTCAACTTAAGTGACGAGATTATATTCTTGAGTTAACGGAACAACGTAAGCCAGAGATGTGATGCAGTGTTTTCCATCAATTGCAAGTCTTTCGAGGGCAATGTTAGTCCCCTCTATCTATATACATATGTACACATTACGCCGTGGGATGATTGTTGTGTGCAAAAAATCGTGGGCTCTCCGAGTCCACCTTAAACGCCCGTATTCTCCTCCTTAAACACCAACAGCGCCGCAATAACGGCCCCCACAAGGAACGCAAGAGAAATCACAAACCACACGGCACCCCACGCCTGCGCGGGCAGGCAGTGTCCGCCGCAACACAGCTCGGCGAATTGCGATGCGTCGGATTGGTTGACTTTGCGCGTGACGAGGTCTTCAATGATGTCCCAGAGGGAGTAGAGGCAGGACATTACGCTGAAAGTGGGAGAAAATGGGAGGGTTAGCGGGGTTTTGCGGGAAGGAGGGAAGAAGGGAGAATGGTCGGAACTCACCCGACAAAAAGCACAAAATATCTCAGATAATATCCCGAATCTAACCACCACAACAACGCGACCAGCCCAATAAACAACACCGTCACACCCCTCGCGAGCCAATTCCGCGCCCACCACAGCGTCGCCAGCATCGCGACGGCCAGCATCACCGACACGATCTTAGACGCCAAGACATCAAACCCGGCGAAAATCATCAGGGCGCCCCAGAATGCTGAGCCGATGTAGCCGGCTGGGAGGGCGATGTAGGGGGAACCGCCGCGGTAACGGGTGAGACCGCCTTCGTCGGGGTCGAGGGTGATGGAGACGATGTGGCCACCGGTGAGGAGGGCGGCGAGGGCGTGGCTGAATTCGTGGAGGGCCACTGTTACGATCTGGGAGGAGGAGGAGATTGAGGTAAGTCTTTCGCATAAGGAATCCACACAGATTCCATGCGACGTTCCTACCTTGAACGGCCATAGAATCTGTTTAAGAACGGGCACGTTCCATAACACTGTGATGACGGCCGCATAGACGGCGATGAAGATGATGGTGCGTTTCTGTTCAGGCGATGGTTCTGTGGAGTTTTCAAAAGAGATATCAGTTCAAGCAATAAAGGTAGTGGACCAACTCGGGTCTGCAACCTTCAATGCCGTCCTGCGAAGCCTCTCACACACTCAAATACTCACCTAACCGGCTAGCAAAATCATCTCCGATGGGTGCCCGTGGATGTATTATGAACGGCGCCATTTCTGATATATGTAGGGACGTTATGCGTGCGTACGCGAATGTGTGTGCAAATCAGAGCGTGTGAAACAGGTCCGTTTCTCCTTAACAGTGGCGGTCAATGGGAATGCCGACTGTTATATGTTACAATCGTAGGAGCCGATGGCAGCACGGGAAGCCTTTTGGTTTCTGCTGAACGTATTGTACTGTATCTCAGGGTGGTTTCCGAGCCTGAAATGTCGTTCGCGAAAAAGTGCGAATGCCGAGGAAACGGCAGTCACGGCACAGAGTGCGCCAAGCCGTGTTTGACAGACACGCGCAGCAAGCCGCCTCGCCGTCACTCCGCCACAGCAACCCGCCGTCATTCCAGTGAAGGAGCATCGACAGTAGAAATCTGCAACAACAGGGGCTGTCATATATGCTGTAAAATGGGCATTGTCGCTGAATGGGTGAATCAAATTCAGATGTCTGATGGAGTACGATTGTGCAGAAAAAAAAATCTTGAAGGGAATCAATGAGCTTCCAGTGGCAACAATGGCGGGGGTTTTCCTGATTACTGGGCATAGTTGGCCTTCCAAGTTCCAGGGGTTCCAACGGAGGTGATGGCTCTTCTTGGTTGCAAGTCGCCGGAAGACAAGGCCAGAGTTCTCATGTGCAGTTCATTATGTTGGATAGTTCTGTGCGTGCATTGTTGAATTCGATTCAGGTCGTCGATGGAACATGGATTGTGCAGGAAAAAAAAACGGACAGGCATCAATGACCATTGAGCAGCAATAATGGGCGTTCCCACGCTTCCAAGGGAATTTCCCTCCTATATATTACAAGTCGCCTGCAAAGAACACCCAGACGTTCAGACATGTTTTATACATCCATTCACCTACTAATACTATATACATTCACCATTCAACATCCAACTAATACATGTACAGAGGGGGTTCAGTCATAGACTTAAAAGACCCGCGCACGCCCATGTCCGCCTCCCAAGCTTATTTATAAGGAAAAAAAATACAAGAAAGGTCCCCGCCCACATATAACAAATCCACAGATGTCCGCCCCTTTTCCGCTCCTCGATCCAAACAACCCATGCATACGCCGCCGACGCCACCTATTAGCATCTCCAGTCCTCAGATTGGTCCTTGTAAGAAGGGTCTGTCTTTAGTCCCGTAGGTAGACGTGCAGCGTAGCACAGGGTTGACATCAACTCATCATCTGCTCGATGGGCCAGCTTTCGCGCCTTCCGGTGATTGAGCCGTGTCCTGCTTCAGTGCGGCGGTCGCCATAGTAGGCACAGCGGGTACATGGCGATTCTTCGCTGTTGATGGTTGTTGTTGCAAACTGACCGGTTTCACGGCAGGCACCGGGGTCACAACACCCGTACCCGTTGCCGCTTGCTGTCTCTGTGCCGCATTCATCGCGTCCATGGCCACGTTGACAGCCGCAGAGACTTTATCATTCGTGCTTGTTGTAGCGGGAGCCCCCGTCCTCGTCTGCTGCTGTGATGAAAACACGGGAGCGATTGCAAGTGCCGCCTGCTGTTTCTGTACCGCATCGGCCACGTTGGCCACATCAGTCGTTGCCGCAGGGAAGCTGTCTTTCGGGCCTGTTGTAGCGGGAAGCGCCATCGTCGTCTGCTGCTGTGACGGAAATATGGGAGCGACTGCGACTGCCGGACCAGAAGGCACAACAGGCACAAGCGTAGCCGCAGTCGAGGTTGGCGCAGGACCAGGAGCCGCCGAAGACGCACGTGCACCACCCTTCCCCGCCAACGCCGCAACCATCGACGCCACGCTCTTCTCAATCTCGCCGATCGGGAACTGCTTCGTTGGCGGAGTGACATCAACAGCCGGAGCCGACGTCATGCCGAGACATCCACCAACATTCGCTGCAACACTCGTCGCAACACCACCACTGTTTCCCTTCCCCACAACACTTCCCCCAACAACATGCACATCCTTCACCACACTCATCGGATCCGGCGGCGACGACAAGGGGATCTTCGGCAGGGGTGGGGGTGGGAGGACCGACTCCGGTGGCGGTTTCGGTCTGATCTCCTTATACTTGGTGATGGGCGTGATCGTGTTCATGGGTTGAGTAGACGGAGGCACAGACCCTCCCCGTGCAACAAGCTTAATCCCGCCCTGGTTGAATAGGGGTTTCGGGGTCGTTGCTACGTCTTGGATGGGTGTGCTGGATTTAACTGGTTTTGCCTCCGGGGCCGGAGCAACGGTGGGTGCTGGTGTCGGTGTTGAGACGGTACTTGCCGGTGCCGTTGACGGTTGCGAAATGGCCGTACGTGTGGTCACACCCGCAGCCTTCAACTTCGCCAGCAGCTCCAGTGCCGTGGGCAGGGACAGTTGCGGTGTTGCGGTACAGGCTAGAGCTTCGCCTGGTTTCGCGGGCTGCATCGTTACACTCGCCGCTTTCAGTTTCGCGAGGAGCTCAAGGGGTGTTGGGTGGGACTGCTGTGGGATGGTCGGGCGGAGGAAGACGTCGGTTTCCTTTGTGCCTTGCATTGGTACAATCTGCTGTCTTTGCAGTGGTGTTTGCGTACTCGGTGCCGCCGCGGGAGCAACTGTGGGTGTCAGCTGATGCTGTGGAACACCCGGGCGAGCAAACACATCACTCTGCTTGACACCCTGCATCGGCACACTTGCACTCGCCTCCCGTTGTGCGGCCGCCCTCGCACCCGCCTCAGCGACATCAACGGCCGCAACCATATGCATAAGTGGATGCGGAGGCCGCTGCTGGACCACGGACGCACGTCGATACGCCCCGCTTCTACCGCGGTACGCTGCAGATTTGCTCTGAGGCGTCCGCATGTCTTGCGGCGGCACGCTCGTGGCCCGCTGCTGCTGCCCCGGCTGTGTTCTGGATGCCGCAGCGGCTACGGCTTGGGCGAGCGGGTGCGGGATGCGTTGCTCCGCACGTCGTGAGGAAGGAGGGGTTGTGTCGCGCTCTACGGAGTTCCTGCTGCGGTCATGAGACCCGATCCAGCCATACTCGGTCTTCACGTCCTGCATCTGCTGCGATTGTTGCTGTTGCGGTGTTTGCTGTTGTTGTTGCTGCGGGCTTTGTTGCTGTTGTTGCGGTGTCTGCGAAAACGGCGGAACCTGCATCCCCGACTCCTCACCCCCGAGCACACTCGCCAATGCGCGCATCCTCTTCTCCAACACAGCCGTTCGCGCCCGTGCATCATTAACCGCAATCGCGGCATTCCGCTTGACAATCTCCAGCACAAACCGGCACTGCTCCTGCTCCTGCTGAGCGGAGGTAGCGGCGGCTTTCGCTTCGGCGAGCTGCCCGATGAGGGTATCGCGCGCGGCGGTCGCAGCGCGGGCCTCGTCGCGCATGACTTGGATCACGAGCTCGAGTTGCCGGTGCCGCTTGTTTTCGCGGGTGTGGATGGTTTGCAAGGTTTGGGCGGTTTCGCGTTCCCAGATCTGGGTGAGAGCAAGGAGTTGCCAGGGCGCTGGGGTGGTCGGTTTTGTTGTTGTCGTGGGTGTTGTGAGGGGCGCAGGCGCTGGTGTAGGGCTTCCCGGCCCGTCCTTCTCAACAACGACAGTGTGTCCAGTTGCCTCGCCGGCCAAGTCAGCAGCTTTTTCCACTGAGGCCGCAGCGGAATCGGTGATACCCAAAGCCGCCTTAACCTCCTCAAACCGCTTCATCTCCATCGCCTCGATCCTGCAGCTCAACTCCAAACACAACGCCTTCTGCGCCTGCAACTGGTGATAAAACTTGTTCCCGCGTACAATCTCCGCATACCGCTGTTCCTCCGCGTCCGCCCGTTCGTCGATCGTCTTCAAGAGCGCCTGGATCCGCTCCTTGCATTCGTCAGCGCGCGCTTCGGCAGCTTTGGTCTCCTTGTGCAATGTTTCTATTTTCTCGACCATCTCGTTGAGCTCCGCTTGCATCTCGCTGATGATGGTGGTGGACTCGACGGCTTCGCGGTTGAGTTTGTCGAGCTCGGCTTGGTGGGCAACTGCTTTCGTTTCCATCTCCTGTTTCAGGGTTTCCACCAACGCCGTCTTCTCCCCGATCGCGGCTTCAAGATCCCCAATCCTCTTTTCGTTCTCCGCATTCTTGGTCCCCAAATCATCCTTCTCCTTCGTCAACCCCGCAATGATCTCCTTCGTTTCCACCAACTCCTTCCGACACTTCTCCGCCGCCTCAACATCAATCTTACTCATCGCGTCCGTCTGCGCCCGCATCTCCTCCATCGCAGCAGCAGTCGCAACGGCCTCAGCCTCCAACGCCATAACCTTATTCTTATTCTCCAACGCATCCTGCCGAATCTGCGCAATCTCAATCTTGTTCTCCTCAATCTCATCCAACAGCTCGCGCTCGCGTTCTTCAAGCATCTCCTTGGCGCCCGACAGCTCCGTAATCTGGCCACTAAGCTCCAACCGCTCCGCGTCAAAATCAGCAGCAGGGCGGCCTTTTGTTTCATGCTCACGGTGCAGATCGTCGATGCGTTCATGGGCTTCAAACAGCTGCGCTTTGACTTTCCACAATAAATCGTTATCCTTCTTCCACCGGGCGTCGGCGGCGCGTGCCCGCTCTTGATGTTCTTGCTCGGCTCGATCGAAGCGTCGGTGCTGTTTTTCGAGCTCGGTGGTTATTCTGGCTTTTTCTTCGCGGAGGGTCTCGCACAGCTCGCCGCGGGTGGTGGAGACCGCGGATTCTTCGGAGAGTTGAGCTTCGAGTTGGGAGATACGGGTGGAGAGCTCTTTGATCTTCTGGTGGGATTTGATCAGTTCGCGGCGTTGCGCTTCGTCCCCGCCGCGACTGTCAGCTGGGAGTTCTTTCCCGAGGTCCGGTGGCTGGTTGCCTATATCGTCAAAGTCCCCGAGGAAACTGGACGACGTTTCATCCTGGTGCTGCTCGGGAGGTTCGTTGTTACTGTTGTTAAGCGAACCACCCATGTTGTGAGAACTAGATGAATGGAAGCTATCTTCCGCCCCACCAGCCCCAAACGAGTCATCAAACCCATCAGCGTTGTTCCCAGCCGCCGAATGCGTGGCTGGTTCCGCGGCGGCGGCGGCAGCAGCAGCCGGGATGAACTCAGCGTCGGTCCTGCCACTATCGGGTATATTGCACACGCGGAGCGGGCTAATGTAAGGCTTTTCGGCGGCCGGCGGCGGTACCCAACGTGATACCGGTGCAGTGTCTCGGCTGACAACCGGTGATTCGGAATTCTTATTGTCATCAACAGCAGCGGATCGTTGGCGCTTTGCACTTGAGCTCGATAGAGTGGGGACGTTGGGCTGCTTTCGCTTGTTGGATGTGTAGCTTGACGTCGGGTCGTTTACGGCTGTTGTGTTCGTGTCGGATGTTTGTGCCGGGCCACCGACGGCGTCTATCGGTAGTGCCAGAAGTGCCTGGAAGCTCCCTGCGATATTTGTCACGGATTCACTCGAAGCGCCGCTTCTCGGTTGCGCTTTGTCAGCCTCGGCCGTTGTTCCACCGGCTACGGTCGACCCCGAACCGGCTGCTTGGCCTGGAGCAGTATGAGCTTGTTGTTGTGCGGCACTACCGGCAGTTTCGCCCTCCACACCAGGCACAGAAACAGGAAGGTTGATATTGCTCAAAACCATGGGATGAATATGTGAACCCAGTTGCTTGACAGCCTGGACATGTAACGCCAGATCCTCCTTTATCTTCTGCATCTGTTCCTGCAAGGCGTCGTTCCGCTGCTCCGCGTCAACCCAGGCATCCCACACCGTCTTTTCTTTCTGCGCAAGAAGGGTACGTGCCGAGAGTTCTTTGGTTTGATCACGCAATTTGGTAATAAGTGTTTCCAACGCGTTCAAGGCTGAGTCCATCCCGTCGCCAACACCAGAGGAAGGCTGCGCAGATGCGTCCTTTGCTGTTCGACCGACCTGGGTCTGGGTATTCTGAGCTTTTCCATCCGAGAGAACTAGTCTAGTGACACGATCTTCCCGGATGCCTTTGATCGCGTCCTCTAATCGTCCGATAGCGACATCGTTCTCATTGCAGAGACTCGATGTTCTAGTATGCGCCTTATTCAAGATCGCGCGAACGGTTTGAAGTCGCTGCTGTGTTTTCTTATCCGAGTCGATTTTCGCGTCGAGATCCTGCGCTGGAGCTCCGGTCTGAGGGGCCTTTGCTCTCGCCTGCCGTTCTTTAAAGTGTGCCATGGCATCCTCGATTCTTTGTATAAGTGACTGGAGGAAGACCAGGCGGACGTACGTGTCTTTCCTAAACGCCGCCTCAAGGACTTCCACAGGTTCAAGTGCTGCTTTGTGTTGTACCTAACAAATTAAGACGAATAAGCCAGTCTTCTCATGGGTGATGACGGAAACTCAAAGAATGGCGTAACACCCACCCGCATGCTAGTAGCTAGGCTTGGCAGACCCTTCCCAGCCATTTTACAAAATATCCGCCACCATTCAATATGTTCGATATTCCAAGCCTTGCGCGCCATCTCCAAGGCAATCGCCGACGTTCTCATCGCATCGAGTTTGTTCATGGCGCTCGACATTTTGACTTCAACTTGCGCGCCTGTATCCGGGACGGTGACATATGATGGTCGGGACTCGCCATTTCCGACGCTATTGCCACTGGCAGCGGCGTCGGGATTCGACGGTTTTAACCGCATGTAGGGCATCATGTGCGAAACGCCAGTCACCTCCAGTGGCGGCGCCATCAAATCATGAAGCTCGGCTGAAACAGCCATATGTGGAGGCGGCATCGGCTGCCTTGCCATCGCAACATCCCCGTAGGTGACGTACCCTGGCTCTGCATCCCATCGACCTTGTCGCTTGCTTGGACGTTTAGAAGGACCCTTTCCGCCCCGTCGCTTCTTAGGTGGGTTCTGAGCATTCCACTCGTCGGCATACATTGCACCTCCTTGCATTGCTGGCGCGGGCATCCCCACTTGCTGCACTACACCACCTTGGAGGGCATATGCGTCCGCATACATCTGACCGGCATCGTAAGAGTGTTGTGGCGGCTGCTGATGCATATGACTAGGCGCTGTTGGCATCCCGTACGGTTGGCTGTTCATGGGAGGTGCTGGGGCAGTAGGTGCATAGCCATATGCAATATGCTGTTGCTGTTGCGACACCGCGACCAAACAGAGTGAGCACCGGAAAAATGACACGAGCGAAGCAGCTGCGTATGAAGTAAACTTACCATGGGCTGGGGCGCATAATAGCCACCCGGCTGTTCTACCACTTGTCCATACGGCGGCGGTGGAGGGCCTGGAACGACGGCACCGGGCTGCCCTGGAATCAGCTGCGCGTACGCGTATGGAGCCTGGTGTGCCTGGTGCCCATAGGACATGTGAGGCGCCTGTTGATGCTGTGGTTGCTGGAGTTGTGGTGGGAGTCCCGGCTGCTGCTGGTGGTGTGGGACGGGCTGGCTGGGGTTCGCAAACCTATGCGCAGACATCCTTGTACTTTCCCGCCCCTCTCTCGCTGATCTTCCCGCGTCCCACCTGAGCGGAGAGAGCGAGGGACCAGCCGAGCCGCTCTGCCTGCACCAACGAAACCCTCAGTTTCTTACGGAGTGCTTTCCTGCGTTCTCCCGTCTGTCCGTACGCCCCTATTCGTCCGAACCGGCGCCTGTGTCCTGTAGTTCCCAAGTGTGATGCCCAAAGGTGTGAATTCTGCGAAGAGCGCGTTCGGCTTCTCACACTTCCGCCGTCCGCCTTCGTACGGGAACTAGCGGAAGACTCCATTGACACCCAGCAGCAGCTCGGACAACACCATGACTATCGCAGCCGTCGCCACTAGGAGGGCAGCCGTCGCCGGCCAGGCCGTCACTCGTCTGTCTACGTTCAACCGCCTTCCTCTCGCCGCATGCTCACTTTCCACACGTCTTCCCGCGTCGACGAGATCACCCGCTGCTTCCTCCGTACGCTGCTCGTCAACGGCAGGAACACCCGTAATACTGTCGGCCCCGGTCACCCAGGCCGGCCCGCTGCCAACCACTCCCCCGTCCTCGGCCCCACCACCACCGTCAGGACCGCCGAGACAGTCGATAGGCCAGGAGGCACTGGGATGGAACGCTGAGGCTGAGCATGCTGGCCCGACGACGCACTTCGGGTTCCGCACTGTGAGGGAGGAGGAGAAGGAGTCTTTGGGTAGGTGGAAGCTGGCCTGCTACTAGATGCGCCGATATTGCATACGGGCACTGGGAGACGCTCCGCTTGTATGATGCCTGCGAAACGGAGCGTTCCATTGGGCTTGCGGCTTGGGAGGAGCCTGAAAAGCTAACGTTTTCCCTCTCTCGCCTTCGTTGTTATACATTTTGATTACTGCCATAAGTGGGCAAAGTATTCGGCTCCGTCGCACCCTCCTACGACCTCATGAACGACGTCATGTCCGCCGGCGTGCACCGGCTGTGGAAGGACCACTACATGCGAGTGATCTCTCCTGGCCGCGACACCCAGCTTCTGGACGTCGCTGGCGGCACGGGCGACATTGCATTCCGCTTCCTTGACTACATCAAGGCGACGTACCGCGGCGACATGGGCTCGGCGTCAGTCGCCGTCGTCGATATCAACCCGGAGATGCTGAAGGTTGGACGGGAACGGGCGAAGAAGTTGGGGTGGGATGATCGTAAGTGTCGGTCGTAGCGTGGCCAGAACATGATTAGTGCTTTCCGCCGTTCTTCGCTCCTATTATGAAACAAAGGATATGTCTGCTAACCCGCATCCCGTATCTCTTCACACCCAGCCACCCGCCTAACGTTCACCGAAGGCAATGCCGAGCACCTCTCCCACATCCCCTCCTCCTCCATCGACGTCTACACCATCGCCTTCGGCATCCGCAACTGCACCCACGTCGACCAAGTCCTCGCCGAAGCCTTCCGCGTCCTCAAACCCGGCGGCCGCCTCTCCGTCCTCGAGTTCTCCGCAGTCTCCAACCCACTCCTCGCCCCCCTCTACGATCTCTACTCGTTCAACGTCATACCCGCGATGGGCGGCATGGTCGCGAATGATAGGGAGAGCTATGCGTACCTTGTGGAAAGTATCAGGAGGTTTCCGAAACAGAAGGCGTTTAGGGATATGATTGTGAAGGCGGGGTTCAAGGTTGAGGGACAGGGGTGGGAGGATCTGACGTTTGGGGTTGCAGCTATACATACGGGATTCAAGATCTAGTGGAAGTTCAATTAGCAAAGAAGTCATGTAGAGACGACCGTACGGAAGATTAGGTAGTTGAGAAGAATATATATGTATTTCTGCATATCCGTGGATGATGCGCTGCCACACTACATACAACATACAAAAAAAAGTACCCTTCAGGGGTATAAAAACAGGTCAATTACGCCGTCCGCCACATAGCAAACGCTCAAAGAAAAAAACCTCAAGTAGGGCAGCTAAATATACGAAAACGAAATCAAGACCTGTCTCGGCAAACCAACCACTACGCCTGATTCCTAGCATAAGATTCCAACACCTCATCAATGGTATCACTAATCAGCTGCCTCTTGCTCTCCAAGTCGCAATCAAAAGTCTGCGACAGCACATCCCTGACGCTCTTCTTCGAAATCACCATCAAGTCCGACGAATCGACAATGCGGCGCACTTCCGCGACAATCATCTGATCGGTCGGGAAGAAACTCTGTCCCGCCGATTCAGAATTTGAGTGGGGCATGGCGTCCATCTCAAAGTCATTCGTGGCCGCGTTCGTCGGGATAGAGGCAAACAGATCCCTGCGACGCACAAGTCCGCCGATACTGAGTTCGGACGCGCGGCGCTCGACGGGGTGTGGCATGGGGAACTGCACGTTGGTGGTTGCGATGCTCAATTCGGAGGCGCGGCGTTGCAGGGGGATTGGGGTGCCTCTCGGTCGTGTGTGGGCTGCGAGGTTGAGCTGGGAGGCGCGGCGTTCGGCCAGGCGGGGCATCGCGAAGGATGTGGGGGTGTGAGCATTTGTGTTCGAGTTTGCATTCGTGCTGTGCTGGCCGGGGGAGATGGCGCGGTATGCGGCGGCGGGCTGGCGATCGTAGTAGATTTCGCTGTCGGCGAGATACTCTGTGAGCGTGTCCATTCCGTTCGCCGCCGGTGGGCCAGGCGGCGCGTCCCAATCTCTCTGCCCGGCTCCTCCTCCGTGACTGCCGTACTCAACATCTCTCATCCCCGTTGGCGGGTTATTCAAACTCGTTTGGGACCTACTCCGTTCTTCAGCATGCGCAGGTGAATATACCTCTCTCGGCGCGTTCGAGTACGGCTGCACAAGCTTCCCCCTCAAAGAAGGCGGTGAAACCGCCCCACTGAAAGCAGAATGATGGTCCGATTCCTGGGGCTCGTACTGCTCCACCAACGTTTGCTGCGAGTCCTTGCGATCAAAGTATGGCGGGCGGACGACGGCCTGACGGTGGTCCGTTCTCCCTGCAGAACCGTTCGGATGCGCGTCCTGCCCGCCAGCAAGCGTGTCGCTGCTGTTATACCTCCCCAGGCTGACTCCGTGGCCTTGTGAAGGTAAGCTCACATCCGACCCATTTCCTCTCATATTCATATTCATATTCATGTTCCTCCGCTCGCGCGCAAGATGGTTCAACTCGCCACGGGACAGATCCGGCGGGGACGTGGGCGACATGTACTGCTGATTCGCACCGTGGGCATTCTCCGCCGCAAGGGTGTGAGACGACCGCGCACCGTGCAGATCCCTTCCATGTCGCTTCGCTTTCTCGATCGAGGCCTCCAGCTCCATCTGCTCCCTATACTGGTTCAGATCCTCCGCGGACGTCGAGGCGGCCGAGTGAGCGCGCGGGTGGGTCTCCAATGTCGGCCAGTAGGGGACGTTGGACGCGCTGTGGTTGCCGCCCGAGGTGGAGAATCGGTTCGTGTACTCGAACGCGATGGGACTGGCGCTGCTGGGGCGGAAGGGCGCGGCCAGGGGGGAGGCGGGTCGGCCGCGGGATTGGTACTCGGAAAGCTTCGAACTGGCTGTGCGGGTGATGCCGGGGACGACGACAGCGCGTGTGCCGACACCGACGATGGTATAGCCCTTCCCACGGCTCGCCGAAATTCGCTTGCTCATGCCCTCCTTGGTGTCGCTGCCGAACCCCTTCCCGAACCCCACCTCCATCTGCCTCTGTTTCAAATGCTCTGCCCACTTCCTCTTCGGCACCGTCGTCGGGTCAAACTTGCGCGACTCAACCGCCATCGTCGTCTTCTTCCCGTTCTCACCATAAACGACCCTCGTGTTCCCCCACGAGAAATCATCAAAGTGCCAGAACGCATACACGGGCAACAAGAACGAAAACAGCGGGATGCCGAGGATATACAGCAACATCCATATAATCTGCTTGAACTCGCGTTTAAGGATGAATACCAGGACTTGCAGGCCGTAAATGGCGGCAATCATCGCGATCGAGATGATGGGGATCGGGTTGACTTGCGACACGATGGTGTAGATCAGATACCCTAGGTAGAACAGCACGGCTGGCTGGAGGACGGTCGAGAGGAGGTCGAGGAAGATGACGAATTTCATGGAGCAGCAGAGGAACCCGCATTGCCGAATGTTGATGAGCTCGAAGAGGTTGTGGACGGTGGAGTTGATCCAGCGGCGACGTTGGGAGGCTAGAACGCGCCATTTGTCGGGGGCGCTGGTCTTGCATTTGGCGTGCGCGGTGAAGGTGCATTTCATGTGGGAGAAGTATTTGAGAACCAGGGTGGTCAGGAATCGATCCTCGCCTGCCAAAACGTCACGACATCAGTACTACCACCCGGAACTTAGCAGTCACACATTAGCCCACATACCAAGATGAAACAGATTCTTCAAGTGCAGCGTATCAACATCATTTTGCGAAAACTCATCCACAATCTCCGGCGCGATCAAGATCGGGGTGTTTTTCTGCGACTTGATTCGGTACATGCAGAAACATCCGGGGAGACAGGTAACCGCGCCAAAGATGGCTTCGAAGGCTTTGGTGAGATGGTGGGAGATGAAATACTCGTAGACCTGATAACAGATAATACAGTCAGGCACCAACGACTCGGGCGCAAAGAGGAAAGACCAGAAATGACCACCAACCTGAATCCTCGTAATCCAGCTGTCGGACGTATTGGCCAACACCGTCTCCCCACAAATCCCCACAATCGACTGGTCATTCGCCATACAATTCACAAACTGCGCCAACGAGTCCGGCATACACTCCGTATCCGCATCCAGCATAAACAGCAGATCGTACTGCGACGGGTGGAACCCAATCACCTCCGTCATCGTGCGGTACAGCTCCAATTCCAGGGGTTCCAGCTCCGCGTTGAAGTGCACGCGGGAGAGGAATTTTAGAAGAAGCAATTGCGAGTCCCGTTTGCCGCGATTACCCGGTCGCGCGACCTCGGTTTCTTTGCCAATCTTGGCGACGACGATGTAGGGGACGCTGTGCTCTTGCGTGCCCTTTTTGACTCGGTAGAGGCCGGAGTAGACTTTGGCGCGGTTGAGCTGCTGGTCGCCCTCGCCGACGGATTGGAAGGCGCAGGGTTCCGGGTCGTCTTTGGGGTCGTGTTCGAGGATGTCGAGGACGATGCGCGGCGTCGGGCGATTGTTGCCGCTGCCGACGATCATGCCGTCGCAGATAACGAACAATAACTGGAAAAAATCACTTCAGTAAGCCATTATCCAACTCAGGCGTCAGTGTGTCGTCCTGCGTTACCTTCCGCGGATCATCATAATCCATACAAGCCAAACTCTCCAAACTCTTCCTCAAACTCGCCTCGCCCTCCGTATAACACGGCATCTGACAAATCACAAACCGATTCAGCTCCTCCCTCCTCAACTTGGGCGGAGCCGAAAACTGCATCGCGACCAAAAACTTGATCCCAATAATGCCGATGATCACCATTGAGGATGCCAGCAGCACATAGTTTGAAAACTGGCAGCCCACGTCGAGCCGGTGGTCCACGATGCCGACGTAGAAGAGGTTGTTCATGCAGCTTTCGATTGCGCGGGCGGATCGGGGGTCGGGGCGGACCACGGTCGCGATCCAGGAGGAGGTGATGTCGCCGCCTTGGCTGGCCTCGAACAGACGGTCTACGGCGGGGTTGGCGAAGAATCCGGAGGCCTTATAGGTAGTCACGTCGTACACTTTATCGTAGAGCACGACCCAGGTCTTGTTCACCAGCGGCTGGGCGCGGATGTATTCGGTGTGGTACCCCACGTCGAATTTGGCGGCGGATTGCATGACGCTGATGTACGGGCTGTTGGGCTGGCGGTGCTGGAGGAGGTAGTCGATCGGGCGGTGGGCAAGGTTGTCCCACCCGGGCGAAGGCTTCTGGGCGACCCCGGGACAGAGCTGGTCGAAGTGGTCAACGCGGTAGAAGAGGCCGGAGATGTCTTTACCGAGGGCGGAGCGGACTTTGCCCATGTCCGCGCCAAAGTTCTCGTGGCGTTTCATGAGCGAGCTGACTTGGTACGCTTTGCCGTATCCGTAGACGTACGGATCGCCCTCGGTGGTCTTGACTCTTATCTCATCGAGGGATAGGAGGTTCTGTTTCGGGCATAGAACAAGCGGCAGGCCGATGATGAACAGCAGCAATACCGCACACATCAGGAAGATGATCAGACACAGGGCCAGCTTCTCCCGCCACGCCATCTGGATATCCTTCTGCTTCATCCTTCCACATATGCTGAGACAGAAAGGGAGGAAGCACCACGTAAGCGACCACGTACAGCACAGCCATCGCTTCCGTGTCGCCGACAACGGTTTCTTCGGCTCCGGTTCCTCAAGGATATATTTCGCTTTCTGCGCCGCTTCAGCGACGTTGAGCAACTCGACATCCTCAGGGCTCTCGAAATCGGCCTCGCTTTCGCTTAAGGTGCCGTCGCCGATCGGTCTGGCGAGCGTGGTGGCGAACTGCGACGGCTGCGCTTTCCAGTACGCGTCGTTCTCCTCTTCTTCAATCACTCGTAAACGGTCGTGCAGGCTCCGCCACGCCTTCTCCGACAGGAAAACTTTGGTCAACCCGAGGGCCATATGCTCCTCATTCCAGTCCATCTCCGCCGCAAAATTCTCGCAAATGCTCGCGAAATCCATTTCATCCTCCACATGGAACGCCGCGGATCCCATCAGCAGGGTATGGAACCTAGCGATGAACTCCTCGTGCGTGTAATCCGCCGCATAGTCCGCCGCAACCCGCATCTGCACCTGCGTGGCGATATGGTTGTGCGCCAGATCGGTCTTGAGCACCGCCGCGTCGATTTTCTCGCTCAGCGGTGACTCGCCGGGATCGGCGCAGACGACAAACCAGGGGGATGCGTCGGCGACGGCTGTCATGACTTGGTCGGTGAGGTTGGCGAACGTGGAGATGGCTGTCGCGGCGTCGCGTTCGTCCTCCGTGTCGTCCTGGAAGAAGAGGTTGCGGACGAACCCGTTCGCGCAGGCGTTGGAGCGACGGCCCCCGAAGATGGAGGTGATTGTTGAGGACAGGCTTTCGGTGTTGAGCGCGGCGAGGGCCTCGTAGTCGTAGATTGCGGGCGTGTTGTAGTGGTTGACTTGGAAGGCGCGGTTGCTGCGGCGGGTTTCGTCGACAGCGACGGGGAGGACGAGGTCGTAGGTGTCGAGGATGCCAGCCGGGAGACTCGGTTCGCGCGAATCCGCCGAACCGTAAAGATAGCGCTGGAGACTCTCATCGTCGACGGTCCTGAGAAGTCCCATATCCCGTGAAAGCAGGTGCTTGGTCGCCGCCGACGCCTCCTCATGGCTATCCACCGCAAACGACAACACACCTTCATGCCCATACTCCTCACACCGATTACCCAGCCAGTCCAGCATGAAATGGTGCAACCGCTCATTGACCATATTATACAAGAACCGGTCCATCTCGTTCCCAGCGTCGTGTCTGAAACTCGGCGTCTCAAACACGCGGATACTCGCGGCAACCTGGTCGTTATAGCTTTTACACAGACACGCGTTGATACGGCGGACGAGCCAGTTGACAAGCTCGGAGTACAGCGTTGCGGCGAGAAAGTTGCGTTGCGCGCTGGCCATTTGGGCGGTGAGGAAGAGGGACATGCGTTCGTGGCCGATGACTTGGGATTTATAGACGAGGGCTTCGCCGAGAGTCTGTTGGTCAACGCCGAGGAGATTGGCGACCATGTAGAGGACGTCGCCGTTGACGATGTGGCACGGGTCTTGGGGGCGCGTTTCGTCGTCGGCGAATTGGATGTTTCCTGTGGTGGTGCACGGACGGGGAGTGTCAGCGAATCACCTCATGATTATCGTTTCGAGCCGATAAGGGCATACTAACCCAGATGAAGAATAGCAGCCAGCAGCTGACACATCTGCTTCTGTAACTGAAACCCAATCCGCAGCCTCTTCAACGCCTACAAACCCACCACATCAGCAAAAGCCCCCTTTCACCCCACCCCTCCCTCACTCCTCCGCCAACTCACCTTCTGCAACTCCCTAAAAACCTTCATATCATCACTTGCAGTATGGAAGAACGGCGACCCCTGCAAGTATTTGAACTGAGCCGCATCATGCAGCTTCCAGCGCACTTTCTCCTCGGGGGAGGCGCCGGCGAGGAGGTAATAGAAGACGGGGAAGTTTTCTTCGCCAGGGGTCGAGCCGGCTGTGAAGCGGGATTTGTCGACTTGGTAGGCGATGGTGCCGACGCCGACGAGCTGTGGGAAAGGGAGGTGGGGAATGTGAGTAGCTGTTGGTGAGCGAGGGGTGGGATGACGGAGGTTGTGACGTACCTTCCAGGAATGGTCGTACTGGTACTCGACGTATTTGCAGACGAGGGAGGCGCAGCGGCTTCTAAGTGTTCGTGCGCTATCCAAATCGCGGGAGTGTAAGCTCAAGATTGTCACCATCAGCAAATGAGTCCCATCTTGATGTTTGAACCCACCAAGTAAAAGCCTCAAAAACCGGATCCATCATAGTAGCCGCCAACAGAATCTTCTGATCCTCCGTATCCTCAGTATTCGTCGACAGCATCAACAGCTGCCACGTGAACAGTTTCCGAATCTCGGCCTTCTCCGATGCCGCGCCGCCGAGGAAGATGACGGACTGGTTGCGGAAATCGCGCGCCATGTGGTAGAAGCATGATGCGGCCATGTCGAAGACGTGTGGCGGGAGCTCTTGCTTGTCGGGCGTGGTGTCGATGATCCATTTGGCGTAGTCGGCTGCTACTTCTGCCGATGACCTACTTCAGTGGTGGAGAAGATTGGGATGACATTAGAAGAGACATCGACAGGGATCACTACGCGTGCCCGACGGAATCAAACATCCCGACAAACATCACACAATACATACTCCTGCAACAACCCCGACCCGCCAACAACCAACAGCGCATTCTCCCCGATCTTCGTGAAGAAATCCCCGTTATTGTATCGTTTGCGCACGGTGTAGAGGACATTGTCGAGCGTCGGGGAGACAAGTTTCGTGAGGTAATCAGAGTGATCTCGTTGCTCGCTTGATGTTTTTATTTGTTGGCTTGACCGGGACATGTTGAATAGGGGGCAAAGTGGGTGGATCAATGGAGAGGGGGTTGCCGCAGCTGCTTTACCGTTTCCTATATGAACGGCGGTGGGAGAAGACGCGTGGGAAGGTCAGAAAGTGTATGGACATCTTACTACCCAGCGTCCCACGCCCATTGCCACCTTCGGCATTGGGGCTTTTTCCAAACTCACCTTCAGTGAGAAACGACGTTCCCAGATACACCGCAGCGGACGGGAAGTTCAAAGGACGGAGACTGCTCTCCTCAACAAACTGAGACTACCTCGAGGATGCACCCAAGATGACTTCCCTTGCAAGCCCACGATGGCCGTCTATCAGAGTGCCCTTTACGGAAGTCGCCTTTCTGGGAAGCAGAAAACGCTCCCGGATAAAGAGGGCTTTTCTTCACGCAGTGCAGTACCAGCCGGAGCTCTTTCCCACGCCATGCCATCCATATCCATCCCCCATATATATAGTGAGTGATATGAACATAAGCGCCTGTGACCGCTGACCATGTGGATCTGCCTGCGTGGATGAGAGCGGGACGAGCGAGCGAGAGGGTCCTTTCCCTTCCCTCCATCGCCATTCACGCTCGTGGCGGGGCGTAACCCGCCCGTCCCTGCTTTTTTTCTCCCGTATCTTTTGGCTTCCAGAGAGAGGGAGGGAGGGAAAACGCAATCGCATGTGGTGTCGTTGCGGCTCGCGTTTTTGTGTTGCGCCGCGCGCTGGCGGGCTTCTGGCGTGAGCATATCTAGTTGGTACCCACAGCGCACATCGCACACTCATCATTCATCCTCCTAATCGATGGCATTCCATTGTGCAAAGGAGGTTCTACCCCCGTCCTCCGATAACGGAAGGACCTTGCACACGAAAAGGGGGAAATGGCTTGATTTTGGACTTTGAATGGAAGAAAGGGGCGTGATGTTGAAAGTCTCGACTCCAGACTCCGGGATTCAACGGAGATACCAGCATTCTTGCTGTGGTCAACATGTGCCTCATTTGGTGTTCTTCTTTCGCGCTCCGAATGCCTCCGATTCTGCGGCGACAGTCACAGGGATCAATGCCCCACCGTGCACAGAGTGCAATCCGAGCGCAGTGGATGGCAGTACAGTCAGGGTCCATAGACCTGTGCCCCCTGGCTGTAACTACAGTATGTTGGCCGTTGAGCCGCCAGTGCTGTCTTTGTGCCGTGCATGCATGCCTGCGAATGTCGGTTATGCCAGCCGGTGCTTCTGGGTGCTTGCCAGTTAGGGTTCTTTCTTCCGCAGGTGGAAGGCGCGTTTGACAGCGGGAGGGAGGGTTAGGGTTAGCGCTGGGCGGATTCCCTGCGGCGATGTCATACCAACCGCACTGCGAGGCCCCCCTCAAGCAGAAAGAAGCATCGCCGAACCGCAACCTCACACAGCCAAACGACCTCCGTTGCAATATCTCGGTGCGCTTTCAGCTGAGGCTTCTCACACTACTCATTCTGTTGGGAAGGTGTCCAAAGCCGGTCTTGCACTAGGTTCGTCGGACGCGAGTTCCATTAGCAGCAACCCCGCCATCCAGACCAAATAGGAAGCCTTCAAGTGCGACCTTCTTCGACTTTGTGCAAAGGAAATTCATACAGAGACGTCCACTCGAACCTCGGAGCTTCCACCACAATCCAATCCAGTCACCAGCACGGGTAAATCTACACGCATCTTGCAGCACCGACGGCGGAGCTTGGAAACACTGCGAAGAAGAGGCTGCGAAACGTATATACGCTCCCTTGCATCTTGCATATCCGACGACATTCTTTTGGGGAGGCTACATAGGTGGAAGTATTGGACATAATCTGCCTGGCATAGGTGCTTCGTTTTGCGATGGATGCGACGCGCGAATGGTTGCGAGGCGTGCTGGGACCTGTGAGTGTTGGGGCTCGTCATGACTGTCGGACGGGAGATGGGCACTTAGGAGTACGCTCGCCGAGTCGCGCAATCTTCTCATGGCTAACCACCGATTTCTATCCAACGCCATAGTATCATAGCCGCGAGAGAGTATTTCGCGACGCAGACTCGGTCCTAGTCACATACAACGGTCTGGCACCCAAAACGGATACCTACAGTAAGGATCCCTTTGAAGCACACGCTTCCCGTTTATCTTTCTCGCAAGCGAGAACTGACACTCCCAATTCAGCTCACGAAGACGGGCGAACCCTCGTCCTGCTATGTCTGCACGGGACAATACCCATCAAATTCCGGAATGTGACCTACAACATCCCGATAGCAGCCTGGGTGCCATATGCCTACCCAACGCAGCCACCAATATGCTTCGTGACGCCCACCTCGTCGATGCTGGTGCGGGCCAGTAAACATGTGGATTTGAGCGGGAAGATATATCACCCCTATTTGGCGTATTGGCATATGAATACAGAGGTGGGTTTGGGGGCGGAAGAAACCGAAGCGCCGTGTGTGGCTATGATGAATTTCAAATGGACGATTGCTAATTCTGCTGACTTGTTCAGGAGTCGAATCTGTTGACATTCATGCATGTCCTGCAGGACATCTTCGCCGCGGAACCCCCCGTCTACACGAAACCAAGCAATGCCGCCCCAACACCACAACAACCACCCGCGCAAACGGGTCAGAATTACGGACCGCCAGGGTACTCAGCATCCCCAACACCATCCAACCCCAACGTGGGGTCTCAACAAAGCGGATATCCCCCACAGCGGCCCCAGCAACATCCCCAACAGCAGCAGCAGCAAATGTACACCCAACACCCCCCCTCCCATCCCCAACAGCAGCAACAACAGCAACAACAATATCAAAACCAAAACCCCGCCCTACCCCCTCAAGTCCTCATGCCCGACCCCCGCCGCCACACAACCCCACCTCCCTCCCAACACACCCAACAACAACCCCCACCTATCCCCCCACCCCCCGCCTACCCCACCTCCCGCGACGGCAGCCCCCACCCCACCCGTCTCCCCCACACGCCACCACCACCCCTCCCTCACAAACCCCTCGCAGCAACCCTTGACGGCCAAGCCTACCAGCACGCGACCGACGAACGCGCGCAAAAATTACAGAACGCGAAGGAAGCCGTCCGCGTGAAGTTACGAGAGAAAGAAAGGGAGTTCCAGAACCAGGTGCCGCCCGAGATTGAACGGTTGTTGCATGTGAATCGGAAATTGGGGGAGGGGGCGAGGAGGGTGGAGGATTCGCTGGTCAGGTCTGCTGAGCGGGAGGTTCGTACGAAGTATTTGTTTTTTTTTTTTGCTTTCCCCATTCGAACGGAGGCCGGAGCCGGAGTTGCGTATGCCATGTATATCTGACTCGTTTTGTGATTTGGTTTCCCACAGCAAGAAATAAAACAAACGATCGAATCCCTCAAAACCCAAAACGAGACAACCGCGCAACACCTCACCGAGCTTCGCGCGCAGCCGGACGCGAATGTGGATGAGCTGCTTGTTCCGCCTACCGTTGTGCATAAACAGTGCGTTCTTCATTTTCGCACGCAAGCGCGAAGCGCGAGGCGAATTCTGGGACTTGATCACTGATCTGTGGTTTTTGGTGCAGGTTGATGGACCTCGTAGCAGAGGACCACGCGATCGACGACACTTTATACTACCTCGCCAAAGCGCTTGATGCGGAGCGGGTGGAGTTGAATGCCTACATGAAGGTATGTCTTGCATACGTATATTCGGGGTGTTTATGGGGTGCGGGGTGGTTAAATGTTTTTTTTTGTTTAGGCGGTGAGGACGCTTGCGAGGGAACAGTTTATGAAACGCGCGCTGGTGGGGAAGGTTCGGGGTGTGCTTGGGTGAGGCGCCGGCAAAACGGGTGCTGAGGATGGAAACGGAAACGGAAACGGAATGGGTGGATGGAGCAGCGGGGACGGGGACGGGCTTCTACGAACGTGGGGGCGATGCGATGCGATGGCCCGCCCATGGATGGCTGCCTGCTCGCAGGATCTACCCTCGACGTCCGGTCTCCACGCCCCTCCCCCAACCCCGCCGCTCTCGGAGAAATCCCTCACGTCCCAACATCTGCGTAATCCGTAATCCACCCGCCTTCGAGGGCTCCTCCACCTAACCTCGTGCATCGCATTACCTCCCCATCCTGCCCCCCCACTCGCACACGCACACTCCGCTGAGACATACGTATATATACATACACACTGGCAAATGTCATATATGCATAGACGGTCGTAACATGGTGGGCGTGGGGATGACTGCATAAACTGCTGTTGGGGCACCGACGTCGCCTTCCCCCTATTTCGTTATTGACGGAAATCTTCGGCAGTGTTATCCGGCCGGTGTGAAGTGAAAATGAAAAGTAACCAATGACATCGCAACACCGGCATATGATACTGTATTTCTTTCATATTCGCATTCCGATGTGCAAAAGTGATCGCGGAGTTGAGTCCAAATCCCCAGAGTTGTTCCTGAACGGTACGGGGGTGGGGTGTATATCCAAAAGTCACGAAAGTCACGAATACGAAAACAAAACAATTGTCTCGGGGAGAATCCCGACCGCCAATCCCGCCCAGCGGGCCATCGGCTAACTACGAGACCCTCAACCCACCTAACTCCTCTTCTCCCCATGTGCCCCACCACCACTACTCCCCGTATGCCAACTACTCCCCAACCCCGTCGCACCACCAGGGGCACCCGGGTGATTGATCGAGTGCAGGCTTTGTTTCCTGCTAGGCCTCGAAAGCGTGCGCCGCAGTGATCGGCGGCGGATCATGTCCAACTCCGCGTCGACGGGGTTGGTATGGGTGCCTCCGTTGGATTGTTCGTAGCCTTTGAAATCGAGGAAGGGTCAGTTTAGGTGGGAGGAGATAGGGGCGGAGGGAGGGGGTTAATACAGTTACGTACCACTATACCCCTGCGGATTCGCATCCCTGATAAGTCTCAGGAACACCTCCTCGAGTGTCGTCTGGGAGATTCCCCACGCTTTGACCCACCACGGGCCCGACTGCTCTTTCCCATTCTCACCTTGCTGTGCAGCCGCAGCAGCAGGATCGACATTCTCGTCACTCCCCTCCAAGAACGCAATAAACCGCTGCAACTCCTCCTGACCCTCGCTCCTCGGGCCCCCACGACCCGCTCCTGCAGGGCCAGACGGGAACTGGTACAACAGCGCGCCGGCCGAGTCGTCCTCCAACACCGCCGTGGGTGCCATGTTGGCGATAACCCCCTTCGCGTAAGCCGAGTGTTCCGGGTCAACGATGATCGACACCCTATACCCGGTCCCATGCTGACTCTTCAACGTAATCGACGACCCAATCGCTCTCAACCGTCCATGCGCCATAATCGCGATCCTATCCCCAAGGACATCCGCCTCCTCCATCGAATGGGTGGTAAGCACAATCACACGCCCGCGTTTGAATTTCTCGATGAATTCCCACACATGCCGGCGGTTGACGGGGTCCATGCCCGTGGTGGGCTCGTCCATGAAGATGATTTTGGGGTCGCCGATGGTGGAGATGACGAGGGACAGGCGGCGTTTCATGCCGCCGGAGAAGGTGCCCGAGCGTTGGTTGCGGACTTTGTAGAGGCGGACGGCGGTGAGGCGGGATTCGACGAGGGTGTCCCAGGTGGAAGGGTCGACGCCTTTGAGGCCCGCGTAGAGGCGGATGTGCTCTTCGGCCGTTAGGTCGTCGAAGAGGATCTGTGGACGACGATGTCAGCGTCTGCACGAGAAATCCTTGTCAAATTCATTTCCACCTACATCATGCTGCAAACAAACACCCAAAATTTCCCTGATATCCGGGGTCTGGTCCCTCACGCTAAACCCATACATCAACGCATCTCCGCTAGTCGGCGGGGTCAAACCGGTCAGGATATTCATCGACGTGGATTTTCCCGCACCGTTCTGGCCGAGCAGGGCGAGCAGCTTGCCTTCCTCAAATGTGAGGCACAGGTTGCGCACGGCGACCTTGTCCGTTTTGGATTTGAACCAGCCGTTTTGGTACACTTTGCGCAGGTTGACGATTTGGAGGGCTGGATGGTAGGCTGCAAAATCGGAAATGAAAGGGAACGCAAAGTAAGTCGACCAAGACGTGAGCGCACACATTGAAGCTCTCACGTATTCCCGAAAACTCACCATCATCCAAAGCCCTCCTCCTCTCCTCCGCCACATCCCTCGGCTCCCCCTCCACCGTATCCCTCACCTTCGCCCCCTTCTGCCGTTTCAACCATGCCACCGGATCCTGCTGCTTGCCTCTGCGTCCCGTAACCCCCCAGTAACTCGGGGTCAAAAAGAACCACGGCGGGCGCGTCCACCCAAACTCATCGGGAATCACACTGTCAAAGTACCACGTCAATACGCCGTAGAACAGGATGTTCATGAGGAGGAAGTGCCAGCTCTGGATGGGCGCCGGGACGTCGGGGACGGAGCCGGAGCCGTAGGTGGGGAGAAGGTCCTTTGGGAGTTTTTGGTTGAGGGTGGACCAGGCGAAGCCCGGGCCCGGGATGGCGGTGTTGGTGAGGGTGTCGACGCGGCCGGTGGTGTAGGTGGTGATGTCGAGAAACATTTTGCCGCTGTGGGGGGTAGAGGTCGGGGTAAGTGATGTGACACGGTGGGGTTGATGTTCTCACAATGAGGAGTATGGAACTTACAAGTTGAAGAATGGGAAAAATATCAGAACTGCGAAAGTGGAAAGCGGAAGATGTCAGTGTTTCGGGACAGTGGACCCACTGGATGCGGAGTAAGCAAACGACCCTCAGACCACCGCTTACCTTTCCAAGCAATGGGGCTCGTCCCAGAGTCCCACCAAATATACCCCACAAAGCTGCTACTAAACACGAAGCTCTCAAACAGCAGCCCAATGATAAACACAAAGATCCCAATCAAGATCGCGACCCTGGCCTTCCTCACAAACGTCGTGATAAAGAAAGCGAGCATCATCATACCCTCGCCAAACAAAAAGAAGGTGATCAGAATAACCGCAAAGTTCGTGTTCTTGAACGCAAAGAAGTTGCAGATGAGTCCAAATATTCCCGTGACGAGGGCGCCGACGGCGATGAGGAGGGAGTTGGAAAGAAACTGGGAGAACCAGTACACGGAGGGCTTGAGGCCCATCATCTCCATGCCGTGACGGAGTTTGGCTTCCTTCTCGGTGACGATCAGGTTGAGGATGTTGATGAAGATGACCATCTCTGAGCAGAAGAAGAAGACGGGGCCGAGGGATTGGATGATGATGTCGGAGGTGGTTTTGGGAGGGATTAGGGGCCAGTCTTTGATGCTCACGTCCAGTGTGGCGGATTGAGCGTTCAATACCGAGACTGTGAAGGGGGGAATCAAGTGCCATGCATCAGCGTCCTTTTCCCAATGAGTAGAATCGGTATAACAGAGCAAGACATACTAATAGCCTCGTCAATTCCTCTCATTAGCGCAACAAGTTGCCGTCCATAGATATCCGTCCCGTTCGCCACATTGGACGAGTTGAACCAGACCTGGTACGCAAAGTTGCGCGGCGGGCCAACGGTGTCAGTGAAGTTGATACCCCACGCGGTCACGTTCGGCGTGACCAGGGAGTACTCGTACACGAAATCCTGGTTGGCGACGGGGATGATGCCCATTTTGCGGGTGGGTTTGAATTTGACGTCCGTGAGGGCTGTTTCCACGGCGAACGCTGCTTCGCCGGTTCGCGCGGCGTTCTTGGCTGCGAAGGTTGCCATGACGCTGTTGATGTCGGGGCTTTGGGGTGTGTACATAATGTTGATGCATGGGCTGTCTGGATCCTTGCCCTGAACACGGATGATTTGAGCGTCAGCCCGGCTATCGAGCCATTCGGTGCGGCGAGCCACATCAGTCCATACCTGACAGTTGTAAACCCCTTGTAACGGGGCCTCAAATGGATCAAGAACCTCCTTCCTCTGGTTCGCATTGGAAGCCTGCTGCAAGACCAGCAACAGCAGCATAAACACGATCGGAGCAACGATACATTGACTCACTGTCGATTTGGTATATCTTATCTATGGGAGACCAAAATCCATTACGAAAAGTCGTATCGCCGCCAATTGACGCAGCATGGGCATGACTCGACTTTCTTACTTGCAAGATAGTGTTCCGTTTCAGCATGATAAACAGCTGGTTTATGATAGTCGAGAACCAGTTGCGCTTGACGATCGTCGAGCCGGGCACGGCCGCCCCTGCGTCGCTGCTACTCATGACCGTCGAGATGGCTCCTCTGGGAGGGTGCAATGTGGTTTCGGAAGGCGGAGGTGCCGCAACACGCTAGCGTTGATAGTTCGGCGGCGTTTCCTATTATGCAGCGCTCGGTCGGATATGTCCTAGGTCTTTCGCTATCCAGGTGGCCCACAAATTGCGAGGTAATGGGTGGCTCACGCAAACACCGTCAAACAAGACGAGACAACGGACTAGCTGCTCTTCAAGACAGAATGACCTCAGAGACGCTGCTTTGAGACGCTCCGCTATATAAGGCGCTGCTGTTGAGCGGTTGCAAACGTGGTCGTCCCAATGTGCACCTGAAAGTCTGTGCTTCCGTGGCGCCTTGTTGCCGCGGACGACTTGTTGCGACGACTTGGCAAAGCGGTGACAAACGTGGAAGAAACTCAAACGAAGCGAAGGCACCCACTCCCGACATCTTGCGCTGGCACCCACTCACAAGCGTCAGCTAACAAGCGAACGTCACTGGCCAGAAGCTTCGGGCTGTGGGTCAGCTGTGGGTTCGCTGACCTCAGGCAATAAGTGCGTATATTTGTGGTTGTCCTCTCGGGATTCCAAAGCAGCAGGTGCGTAATGGCATGCGGTTTCCGGCGTTTGACATCTGCGGCCTTCATATTTGAACACTGGGTTCTGCCAGAGCGCCTTCTTCACTTCCAATCGTTCGATTGTCTAAGCATATGCGCATCCTTCAAAGTCTGCGTGGGGCACTTATTTCGGTTTTGTCAACAAAGGCGATGGTCGCAGCAACGTCCGCGGGCACGAATGTGACCGCCCCCGGCCAACACAACCCTCTGAAGTTTTATGGCAACTATTACGGGCACATTCTGTCCGATCTGGAAGCTCTGCACCGACATGTCGGCGAAAAGAGCGGCGATCGGGGCCTCATCTTCCTAGCAGGCGACTCGTCGCTGGACAACAAGCACTGGCTGTTTGTCGGGGACAAGACCAACCCAGGCCAATTGACGAACGATAAGGTCACAGCTGATGCACCCCCTCCTTACAAAGAGTTCTTCCAACCGCCGCGGTGTGTTCAGGATGTTGCTTACTGGCTTACCCGCAAGGCGGCATCTGTGAGGGAAGGAAAAAGTAAAGTGGGGCCATACGCAGCCATCAATTCCGCGTTGGAGGCATCTACCCTCGCCGACCGGGACAAGCATCTAACAGACCATGACACTTTCGTCCGCGACCACATTGCTTCCAACGACATTCTCGTCGTGTCCGTCGCCGCCAACGACATTGCCCTTCGACCCACGCGTGCCACAGTCTCCGCCCTAGGCACCGTCCTCTCCCTTCCAGATTCCAGCATAAAAGCCGCCACAGCAAGCACACCCGGCATCGACTACTTCGTCGACATGTTCAACCACAAGATCGCATCCTACATAGCCAAACTCACCGCCAAACAAAAACCCAAATCAGTCCTAGTCTGTATGATCTACTTTCCCGACGAAACCGTGACGGACAGTTGGGCCAACGGCGCGCTGGCGATGCTGGGATACAATGACCGGCCGGGGAAGCTGCAGATGGTTATTGAAAAGGTGTATGAGCTCGCCACGTGTAAGGTTGATATACCCGGCACGAAAGTCGTGCCCGTGCCGTTATTTAGGGCGTTGGATGGGAGGGTTACGGGGGATTATGAGATGAGGGTTGAGCCGAGTGTTGTGGGGGGGAGCAAGATTGCGGACTTGATTTGGGAGGTGATTGAGGGACAGGGGAAGGGGTCGCATATTTGACTTGAAACGGATGTACGACCGGGTTTCTCGATTATTCTGGGTGATTGGTTGACACTGGTGGTTTTGGCAATACTGTATATGTAGCCTCGCTTCTCTGGATCTGGATCTGTATCTAGTGCATCAAATCGGTTGCGGTAGTAAGTGAGGACAGCCCGTCTTCTTTACCTTTCTACAACTGTGCATACATAAGGCCTGCAAGTATGGGTGTGAAGGACGACGGTGAGCGGAGAATCGTGAGATCTCGGTGTTCCCCATTCCTCCTCTGCTTCCCCACGCTTGGCGGTCCCCACGTCTTGTTCCCACAAAGAGTATAAATAGCGTAGTCCATTGCGTTCCCCTTGTTGCTCTCCAGCAGATCAACAAAAGTCATCCCCTCTTGCATATAACTTAGAGAGGGGCCACGCTCAGGCCACGCTCGCGCGCGCCTTTGGTGCCCTGGGCCGCCGCGGGAGACCGAGATCCTTCTCACAATTGCGCACACTTGCACCTCCATAACGGTGCGCTTCGCCGCGGACCAAAACGGTGCGGGACCTGGTCTTACCGAGTTCGTAGCGGCCGAAGGGTCGTGGGAAAAAGGGTACCTGGGAAAATGCGAAGACGTTGGCGGCAGGAGGCTAACGACGTTGTGGAAGCACGGAACGGAGCACGGGCAGGACGGACGGAACGTGGGCAGGCTCTCCGGGGCTGTCTGAACGCTTGGTGGATGCTACCATGTGAATGCTCGATAATGTATTCCAAAGCGTCTATCAAGCTTCTAGCTGCATGAAGACAAAAGGAAGCCGCTACGAACTCCGACATACTTTCTCTCACAGTGTGCATATCACGGGACTAGAGAACTACAGCATTTCGGCATTGACAGCACACAATCAGTACAAAAAGGAAACGAGAGGTTGCGCGCTGGTTCTGCTATCGAATGAAGTACAAAAGCGATCTGGTCACGGCCCCCTGCGGTGCTAAACATGTCTTTCTGCGTCCTTGGCCAGTTGACTGGTTCCACTATTAAGCGGTGCCCTCTTAGAGGCGGCCTGGGACATCGAACCAGCACCGCGCTTTGGGCCTGCTAAATTCTTGTTGCTCTCGATCGCTTTGGCGAATCTGAAATGATAGGAGTTTTGTGAGGACTATGAGGGTCGCGGGAAGTGGGTGGAACACGCCCTTACTTGGATAGCATTTGGGCGAAAGTTTCCTCCATTGAAGCTAGCTCCATGATGATGGATGTGCGCTGCAGTGTCCACGACTCAAAGCGCTTTTCGGTATGCGACGCAAAAGTTAGGAGACGTCTTGGATTTTGCGAAAACGCAAACTTCCCTGATGAAGCCCATACCTGAAATCAAATTTTGTAGCCTACCAAAACGCACGCATCCGTTGAACATTGAAATGCCAATGGAGTTACAAGAAATGAAGCGATCCGAGCTCACCTGCCCCATGACTCGATCCAATTTCTTCAAAGGTAAGGTGAACATATAGCTTATGACCGCTGCAAGTAGGAGCATCACGGAAGATATGGCGGCAATGGAAGCTACGGCGGACTTCCTGCTCTTCCGCATGGCATCCAGGAGATCCTCTGCAAATCACGGAAGGTGTGATTGAGCAGCAAGAATATGAGTACTTTTGCACCTCCGGACATCATAACGTGAATTTGGAATCGATTTTACTTTCGGGAATGACGAGAATGGTGACCAACTTGAGCCCGTACGGATCCTCGATCACCAGAAGCTCCAGCATGGCGCGTCCTTGCTCAGAAGTCTCGAAACTGCCCGGTGAAACTACCCGGCACATTGGCAAAGCTACTATGAATGCGCAGAACCTCGGTGCTCGCCTCCTGCCGTTCCCATCGCGAATTCAAATCAGTGAAAAGTCAGGCTGGGAGCCGCGGTTGAAGCCATGGGAAGAATGTGTCTGTTTTCTTCAGACTCACCCGCAGAACAAGGTTGTCAGAAGCTGTGGCCTCGACTGTGCCAGTCTTCGTGGGGTTCAGTTGCATACCGGGGCGATTCCCAGCGACACTAAAGGAACGACGCTCCTTTGAGTGGTTTAACATCCTGTCCGACAACTCCAGTCATCTCCTTCGCCCATAGTAGTACATACACTTTTCCAGAAGGATATTCCCTGATGCATATGGATTTGAATCGCAGTATACTCTCAGCGAAAGGGTTCCATTGCTTTTTGTGGCCCGGCAATGACTTACAGAAGAGCGATAATGGTATTTTCTGTGACGAACAAGTTCTGCAGATATGAATCGATGGCCTTCACGTTGTAGACTCCTTGATACAGCAAGTCAAATGGTGTTGCTAAGCTTGGCGGGTTGAACAACCTTTGAGAAAGGAACGTAGGGGTCAACACCGTTGCTCACGTCTGCTCAGCATTAAGGGTGAGTGGTGTCTCCCTTCCCGGGCTCTTTATCTACCATTCATGTCTGTAGCAGCTGATCATCGTTTTCACCGTTCCTGCTATGGGAAAAGTGATAGCTTGTGCGTTCCAAGTTGTGGTAAGGACTGCGTCGGACAGCCCCTTTTTGCTGAAGCTGCTCGGTCCCATCGGTTGAAAGGTCACAGTACGATTGATCCCAACTCCCTCGCGCACGTAAGCGCCCGGGTAGTTCTGCACGTGGGTCGCATTGTAGTCCGCTTGTCGGGTGGCACGCTCCCCACTGGGAGCCACTTGATAGTTCAAGTTTGCACAAGGCCGCTTTATTAGAGGAGGACGAGCGATCTATGTGGGACTTTCACGCCCCAGGTAGTACACACACGTGCGGAACTTACCGAAGACACGATCGGCCTCCAATGCGTTCTTGACGACAGCGAAGCCCTATGCAGGAGAGATATGAGTTACCGAATCACCGCTGTGATGGTGTGTCTTTCGGCGATGGACATCATGTCTGGAAAAAGCCTGAGAACCGCATCGATAGGCATCAATCATTTCTTGCCTCCTTTGAACATCGTACAAAGAACAGCAGATGGGGAGGTAATACACGGACGGTGGACTCGGGCTCACCACACGTACCTGTCGCGAAAGTCCCATAATGCCGCGTTGCGGTCTGAACTGAAAGCAGCCGCGAAATCCTTTATCGAAAGTGAATTGCTGATGTCTGTCGGCAAAGAAGTGGTGTGCACCGGACAGTTGAGCAAAATGAAGCAGAGCTATGTCGTGATGTAAGCCGTTACCGTTGATCGCTTGAGGGCATCTCCCAGTCAAGCTAATGACTGATGATGTTGATGGAGGTGATCAGACATCAACTTATTAGGAGCAGATATCAGCCTGCGGCCCAAAACCTACCTTGATTGCGTACTTCATCGATAATCCGATAACGCAACACGCCGGTGACTTTATACGACGACCAAATGAAAAGGGTGTTGTTACAATGCCCAGTAAACCATATCTCATGGCCGGCTTCCCGCAAAAGTCACCTTCGGCAATAGAATCATCTGCGCCCTTGAAAGACAGCACTCCAAGCGGGATGGAAATTGAGCCCGCTATAATGATAGTGCAAAGCAAAAGCACCACGGCCAAAGGGACTCTGGTGCGGTGCAGACGGGATGAAGCTGAGGCGACGGCGCCGGTCTGATCACTAGAAGGGGTGTCTCGGCTTGCGCCTTCCATTATGCGAGGCTGTTGTTAGTGTCTTTCTGGGGAAGGTTACCGAGGCCCCAACTGTGTGTCCACCGGGGTTTCAACGGGAATCGCTTACCTAAGGCCATTGACAGGCCGGCGCGTGTGCTTTCTGCCTACAATCAACCCCGTCATAAAGAACCAGCGCGCTTTCGGATAATGAGCCCAGTCCCCGTAATGAAGCGCACAGCCACCGGAGCCACGGAGCCGCGCAGAGGGAGGGGAAATTGAACGTGGCGCGCGGCTTTCATGCCACCTCCCAATTTCCGACGGGAACCGATACGTGTGAGGGAAGTGTCAATCGCACGTCGCTCTGGTAACTCCCTCCCTCCCCCACGGTCCCTTCATACTACCTACTACCATCCGGGCCTCCATGTCCATGTGGACAAGCGGTGGACAGGAATCTGATGAGATGCTTCCAGTCCAAATCGGTCAAGGCTGACCGCTCTTTATAAAACAATTCCACCAAACGTCTTCTCTCCTCGTCTTCTCGTCGACATTTCCTCTCTTCTCGTCGACACCTCAAATAACCGCTGGCAATGCTTCCCGCCAACGTCAAAAAGGATAACAACGAACTGCAGGATTCCGACCATACTCTTCACGTCCATGACGTTGTAACTGTGCCGCACTCGGCCGAGAGTGCGTTCGGCAAAGACTCGATCTTCAACGGCAAAGGCACAACGAAGGAGGACAGCGACCCCAAGGTTTCGTACTTCCAACTTTATCGCTTTGCATCCCCGTTCGATTGGCTCTGTGTCATCATCGGATCCCTCTGCGCCATCGCGAACGGCGTCGGCCAGCCCCTCGTTGCGCTATTGATGGGGGACGTCATCAACTCTATCAATGGGTCCGCTCAAGCAGATGCCGTCGATGCAATACGCACCATCGTTATCAAATTTACCGTCGTCGGTGCGATCAGTTTTGTCGTGGCCTATGGTTCGATGTGTCTGTTCACCCTCTCGGCTGAAAATCAGACGAAACGAATCCGTGAGAAATACCTCCGTGCGATTCTGCGGCAGGACATGTCGTGGCACGACACCGGGAAAAACAGCGAGTCGCTCAATTCACGTTTGAGTGCTGACACACAATTGATCTTCGATGGGTTGGCAGATAAGGTCGGACTTGTCCTTACCAGCGTCGCTATGTTTGTAGCTGGCTTTGTGATTGCATTCACCCATGGTTGGCGGATGTCGTTGGTTCTCTTGACGGCTGTTCCTCTGATGGCTGGTATGTAGTTCTCCATTATCTTGGGAGGGCGAGTTCCGGTGATGTGGCTTGACGCTGACATTCCCTTTCTTCGCTAACGGCATCAGTTACTGGAGCCATTATGATGAGGATCACCACGTCAAACACAGCCGACGGACAGGACGCTTACGCCAAAGCTGGAGGTGTAGCTGAGCAAGCCATCGCATCCATCCGGACGATCTTCGCCTTCAACGGTCAACACCGGGAGCTCCGCCGATTCGACACGGTCCTCGCCGAAGCATACAAATCCGGTGTGCGCAAGTCATGGGCAACTGGGCTCGGTATGGGTTGCTTCATGTTGATCTTGTTCCTGAGCTACTCGCTTGCGTTCTGGTACGGATCCAAACAAGTGCGCGATGGTTACATGGCATCGGGCGACGTCCTGACCGTCCTGTTTGGGACGGTCATTGGTGCCTTCTCATTGGGCAATGTGGGACCCAACATCGCGAATTTCGCCAAGGCTCAAGCAGCTGCCTACACGATCTTCAAGACCATTGACCGCATACCCCCAATTGACTCCTTCGACCCCGCCGGCCTCAAGCCGAAGAACTTAAGCGGCCACATTGTCGTTGAAGACGTCAGCTTTGCGTATTCAAGCCGGCCCGATATTCCTGTCTTGAACCTCATGAACATGGAAGTCCGTCCAGGGCAGTGCGTGGCCTTGGTCGGTCACTCTGGAAGTGGTAAAAGCACGATCATCAGCCTCCTCGAACGGTTTTACGATCCGAGCAATGGTGCTATCACTATCGATGGGTTTGATATCAAGACCTTGAATGTGCGACATCTCCGAGACCTTATCGGAATCGTCTCGCAGGAGCCGGTGTTGTTCAATGCTACCATCAAACAAAACATACAGTACGGGACTCGGGAAGAGCAGACGCCGCCAACGGACAAGGATATTGAAGAGGCATGTCGCATGGCGAATGCGCACGATTTTATTTCGAAGCTACCCAACGGCTACAATACAATGGTCGGAGAGAAGGGCGCCCTCCTCTCCGGTGGGGAGCGGCAACGGATCGGTAAGTCGCTATGCAATCTTTCCCCTCTTTGGCATCGTTGAGTGGTGAATTAACCCGCTATTTCTTCCTGACAGCCATCGCTCGGGCCTTGATCAAGAAGCCAGCAATACTTCTCTTGGATGAGGCGACCTCAGCTCTGGATACCGAGTCGGAGCGCATGGTGCAAGGTCGGGACCCAATAGTCATCTCTCTATAATAATGTGCTATACGCGTTTTCTGCATGGGTCTAATTCATCACACTCCTCATGCCATTCCCGCTACAGCTGCCCTGGACAACGCCACCGCCGGCCGTTCAACCATCGTTATCGCCCACCGTCTCTCGACGATAATGAAGGCAGATCGAATCTACGTCATGGACAAAGGAGTGGTCGTGGAGTCGGGAACACACGAAGACCTTATGAAGCGCGGGAGCGTCTACACAGCCCTTGTTGCCAAGCAACAACTCAAAACGGGTGGGGTGGATGTAGGACTCGATGTCCCTCGGACGTCCACTCTCCAGACGACAAGCACAGGTTCTGGCAGTACACATCAGACTGGCGACAAGCCGGACGGCTCATTCCGACGGAACCTGCCTCAGCATTCCGGAACAACAGTAGAAGGCGCTACCGTCATCAGCATTTCGGAAGATCAGGAAACCTCTATGGCACGAGAGAAGAAGGAAGCTGCGAGGAAGCTCAAATTGGCAAAGGCACCCATCGGGCGCACGCTCAAGTACCTCCGAGAAGACATCGCACTATGTCTTCTGGGCGTCTTCTTTGCTATCATTCAAGGCGGTCTGTTCCCGACTTTCGCAAAGGTGTTCGGGCAAGCCATCGCGCTTCTCTCCAGCTTCGACACGGTCGGGGATGAGTTCATCCCCAAGGCCAACCACTACGCCTTGATCTTCCTGCTCATTGCTGTCGTCGGCTTCATTGGTTTCGGCGCCGGACTGACCATTTTCCTGATCGTTGGCGAGCGCATGACCCGTCGAATGCGGCACCTGAGCTTTAGGGCCATCCTCAGTCAAGAAATTGGATTCTTTGATCTTCCGGAGAACTCCACGGGCGCTTTGGCGAGTCGATTGGCGACCGACGCTCAGCAGATGCTTGATATGGTCAGCCAGGTGATTCTGACCACTGTTTCGTCGCTTGCGACCATCGCGATCGGCCTAGGTTTGGCATTCGCCGCAACATGGCAGATGACGCTGATCATCCTTGCTGCCATTCCGGTCATTGGGTTGGGGCAGTACCTCGAACTGGCGTCGTTGACGGGCTTCGGTGAGAAGACGCGCAAGGCGTATGAGAAGTCGGGGCAGGTGGCTGGGGAGGCCATTGCGCACATCCGCACCGTTGCCTCACTTGCGAAAGAGGACATATTTGAGAGGCGCTACATTGAAGTCACAAAGGAACCGCACAGATACGCTTTGCACAAAGCACTCTTTGCCAGCTTCGGTTTTGCGCTTTCACAGGGCGTTGCGTTTTGGGCCTACAGCATTGGCTTCTACGGGGGCTACCGGCTCGTCGAGAACAGCATAATTACATGGGGGCAGATGTTTGAGTGCATGTTTGCAGTCGTTTTCACGGCGATCAGTCTCGGGCACATCACCGCGGAGTTGCCAAAATACGCGAAAGGGAAGCAGTCCGCAATCAACATATACGAGCTCTTCGATAAACAAACGTTCATTGACGCCGACCAGGACGGCGTCAAATTTGAGGCCGTCAACGGGTATGCAGGGCTCGACAAGGTCAACTTTCATTACCCGACTCGCCAAGACGTTAGCGTGTTCACAGACGTGGATGTAGATGTCCAACCGTCGCAGATGGTTGCGCTGGTGGGACCATCGGGCTGTGGCAAATCGACCGTCATCGCGCTGTTAGAGCGCTGGTATGATGTGATTGGCGGCCAGGCTACGCTGGAAAAATACGATATTCGAAACTTGCAGCTCCACAACGCTCGTAAACACATGGCGCTCGTGGGACAGGAGCCAGTGCTGTTCGACATGTCCGTCAAGGACAATATCCTCTACGGGGTTCCTGATGGCGAGAAGGGCTCCATGGAGGAGGTCGAGGCCGCTGCCAAACTTTCCAACATTCACGACTTTGTGATGTCCTTACCCGACGGGTATGACACGAGCGTTGGCCAACTTGGGAGCCAAATCAGCGGGGGCCAAAGGCAACGAATCGCCATAGCACGCGCTCTGATACGTCAACCCCGGCTCTTGCTGCTCGATGAGGCCACATCGGCGTTAGACTCCGAGTCGGAGAAATTAGTCCAAGAGGCTCTGGACAAGGCCCGCCACGGTCGCACCACGATCGTAATTGCGCACCGCCTTTCAACCATTCAAGATGCGGATATGATTTTGGTTGTCAAGGACGGGCGAGTCATTGAGTCCGGGCGACATTATGAGTTGGTCGGTCTGGGCGGCGTGTATGCGGCGTTGTGTCTGAAGCAGGATTTAGCGGTGCCCAGCGAGTAGATTCGAAGACTATGTCCACGCGGATGTACAGTAATTCCCTTGGATATGCGCAGTTTGTTATTTTGACTGTGGTCTGATTTTGTTTGCGCATATACACTGCATTGTTCCTTAAATAACGAGACTTGTCCGAATGACAACACAACTGTCAACGCAACTGTCAAGATGCGCATTTGCGACGCCGGCGCATGCTTAGTAAGCATACTCCGCAGCTTTGCACATGATTGGAGGCGGTGCTTCGAAGTTACAATGCTATTGCATCCACCTACTAATTTGGTTTTTCTCAAGCTAGGTCCCTTTAACCGTCGTTCTTTCGCAATGTCCACCTCGGCGACCTCTCACCCTCTCACGGCTGCTAACGAATGGGCTGCTAACCCTAATGGCACAACATTGCATGGGCAGATGATAGGGCAACCTTTACCGAAAATTGTGAGAGGAATGGTGAGGCCTCCGAAAGAGCACCGATGTTGAAGGTGGTACAGCCGCTGCTACATGAAACGAGCAGAGGAAGTCTCATCATAACATCTCCCACTGGCGTCAACATGCGGGAGGCTTCCCTCGGTGCTTTTGCATGCACCGCGTCATATGCCATACATTGACAGCATTGACAGTGCTGGTCAACTGCTGTCAATCAGAGTTTGCCGCCGAGGTCCTTCGTGGGAGTGCTGGTGGTTATCGCCTTCGTCCTTTGACCTGCTGCCATCTTTCTTGTAGGCGAGGAACTGCTGGGAGCTGCGACAGTCATCGGTAACTAGCGCTCATGGACACGCGCACACGTTGAGGAAAACGGAAAAAGCGGGAAGGGTTGCCATGGAGAAAACCCCCTGGGGGGTGAGAGGAGTCCACATGGACAAATGAATAACAGAGTAAGAAATGTTATTGTATATGCTTTGCATTATTCATTTCAGAAATCCCGCACGACCCAAATCCTTTAAGGGAAAGAAAACTAATCATACCGCAACTAGCTAGCGGGACGACAGATATGGAAACGGAAGAGAACGAACGAGCTTTCCATCTTTTCACTTGAACTGCGCCTTGTTGACCTTGACAAACTCCTCAAAGGAGATTGGATCTGTTCCAACGATCTGTTTGTAACCCGGCAAAGTGTTGGCTGTCTCGTAACTCTCGTCGAAGCCCGCTTCCATAAGTTCCACCACTGCAGAGAAATGAAATAAGCCCAAGCGAAAGGGAGAAAACAGAGCGAAACACCTCATGCGCTGCCAGACTTACTGGCATCCGCGGTAAATTTGCTCATTCCCATGGTCTGCACGGCCGCTTCGGCAATGGTCGAGCCAGGGAGCGTAACAACAGCCACATCCTTTCCCAAACTTGTTGTCATGACCTCGGCAATATTCTCATTTGACAGAACCTGAGGATGGTAGAGGTTGAACGTCGCGGTCTTCCCGGTCTTGGGAATTGGACCGAGAAGCAGAGCCGCTGCGGCTCGTCCAATGTCGGATGCTGCGATGTATGGGATGTCACGGGATTTGGAGGATGCGTAGATTCCTCCGGTTTGGGTGAGGAAGTTGTCCATGAACCACGAGGCCCGAAGGATGCTAAGGGCATAGTCGTAATGTCGATAAATGTTTTCCGCCACGCCGTGCGCGCGGATAATCTTCAGATTGCTCGTGGGGTTGGCGTCAATGCTAGACAAATAGACTACATGTTTGACGTCGGCGACGTGAGCGGCCTGCGGGCAGGGATTTCAGTGATGAGTATGATGATGCAGATGGTAAAAAGCGACAAGATAGCAGATGACGAGAATGGCGGAAGAGTTCCCGTCTCTTACCTGCGCTGCCACAGCATCCAACAAGATTTGTTCCTCGCAAATGGGCGGCGTCATGGCATACAACGCCTCAACACCTTTCAACGCCTTCGTCACAGCATCCAAATCTTTGAAATCGGCAATCTGCACAAACTCCACATCTTCAACTGGGAAGAGTTTGCGAGCCTTGTCCACGTTTCGCACGAGCGCTCGCACTCGGATGGCAGCATCGCCGGTACTGGGTTTCTTGTTGGGGGCTAGGAGCGAACGCAAGACTGCTGATCCAGTTGTTCCGGTAGACCCGAGAACGCCGATCAGTTTAGGGGTAGAGGATGTGGTTGGAACGACCATGACAGGCAGATATGCGACTTCACTTCTTGTATGTTGTATGTAGTCAGATGAATATAGGGAATGCGACAGAAGGGGGGGAGCATTCCCTCAAGCAGAGCGGAACGGCGATGGGGAAACTACACATCGTGGTCAAACATCCTGCACCCAAGTGCCCAACTGCAGACGGGTGAAGCACAAGCACCGGCACTAGCACAACATCAAGCACCCCGCTGAAGCAGGGTTTTGTGACTTTTCTATGATACCATATTACAAAGCGGGCCGCACTTGAAGCGGGCAAACTACGAAGGAGCGAGGTAGGGCATGTCGTATCTAGGTTAGGTGACGGTTTAGGACATTGAGGTTTGGAGCCTTGAGTCGACGCAAAGCGGGCCGCACTTACATCGTGGAAGGAGCGAGGAGGTAGGGCATGCCGGATCTAGATCTAGGTTGGGTGACGGTTTAGGACATTGAGGTTGGGAGCCTTGAGTCGTGGAGACTTTAATGCCGCCGGCCATCAGCGAGAGCGGGGTGAAACGCGGATGGGACCCGCTTCCGCGTCCCTGCGCCAAGCGAACTTGTTACAAATCCGACGGCAGCAGCATATCGAGCTGCACTACGATCAGTCTATCACCGAATCCCACAGCGGATGGGAATTGCTAAAGCCCCTGTCAACCGCGGGGGCCCGTTCAAGTTCCAAGTTGCTATGTATCTAACCCTGAACCTGGGACGTCAATCTGTACCCATGCCCCAATACTATTGCGCACACTCTCCGTCTACTCTTGGCTAGGCCCGGCCGCAAATGTATCGCCGACGGTGAGGGGATGCCAGCAGCGGCTCCACCTGAAGGCGATGGGCAGCTGGCCTCTGAATGAAAAGACGTGAATCATTTCCGTGATGGTGCGTGCGTGAGCTCGTTCGGCCCGCGCCTGGTCCCTGATTAGATATCTGCATCTCAGGTAACTGATGTTTCGCAGCCTTGAAGGTGCTACATTTCAAACCACCACTGGCGGAGTCCGGCGGAGGATTCCGTGGGGGGAACGACAGGGGGCAAAAGCCTCGTCAGGCGTGTGCAAGCCAGGTGCAAGAAAGTTACAGTAGTTATGTAGGATTGAAGCAGACCATACGACCCCGAAGATGATAAAAACAACGCCAGGCCCCAGGCCCCTGGCAATTAACCAAACCCATCGACTCGATAGGCTCACAGGTGTTATCAACGTTCAACATGCAGGGAGCCACGGAGACAGAGGTCCGCAGAATTGTACGGGACAATTACGCCCAGGTCCCCAAAACGGCCGACCGTGAGGGCAGCACACGAGTTGCCCAGGCCTTTGGGTACAGCCTCGAGGAACTGACAGCAATTCCAGTGGAAAGCAACATGGGATTGTCCTGTGGGAACCCCACTGCAGTGGCCAATCTCAAGGAGGCGAGCATCGCGGCGGACGCGTAAGATGATCTAGGAGCGCCCAAGCTGTCCACTTGACTGACCCTCGGTTTTCCCTCCGGTGCGCGTAGGGTGAAACGGTAGTCGATCTCGGCTCTGGGGGAGGTCTCGATGTCTTCTTGGCGGCAAAGGCAGTCGGGGCCACCGGAAAGGCTATTGGAATCGACATGACATTTGTAACAAGAGTGCTCTCTGTTCTGAACGATACAATCCTTTACCCTTCCTGATTACTCGCGTATTTGCAGGAGATGATTGACCTCGCCCGCCGCAACGCCAGTAAGGCACAGGTCAGGAACGTTGAGTTTTATCTCGGCGAGATTGAGCACATGCCAATTGAAAGCAACACGACCGACTGTGTCATCAGCAACTGCGTGATCAACTTGGTTAGCAACCATCTGATTTGCAGTCCAGAATATTACCGCACCTTGCAACTGACTACGCAATGCAGTGTCCCAACAAAGACGTTGCGCTTCGAGAGATATACCGCATCCTCAAGCCCGGTGGCCGTCTTGCGATTTCTGACATTGCGCTGAAGCAGGAGGTCCCCCCTGCGCTTCAAGACAACCTGAGTGCGTATGTGGGATGTGTGACTGGCGCGATCCAGATCAAGGAATACAAGGCGTTATTACACGGAGCCGGTTTCCAAGGTTGGTTCTGAAGAGGCTTCTTGCTGATTCGAAGCTTCCCTTGGCTAAACTTCGGTCTGCCTCAGATGTTGTCATCGTCGATTCCAACGCCGACTTAAGCGTCTACACGTTTGCAGACAACGGCTGCTGCGGTTCGGGGGCTAGTTGCGGGCCTGCAGTACCTGCGGAAGTGGTTCCTGACGCCAAGGCTGAAGCCGACGGTGATGAACCTTGCGGCTGCGGTCCTACGTGCTGCGACGGTTCCCACCCGGACACTGAAGCATCTTGTTGCGCCTCTTCGTGCTGCGGTAAGGACGAGAAGAAGGGTGCTTCTGCGCCTGCCAAGTCCTGTTTGAAGGATTGGGATGTGAACGCTTTTGCAGGTATGCACGCCTTGATTTGATATCGTCAATCTATCACGAGGTTATTATCTCGGATAGCTTCTGTCAAGGTCTTCGCTACCAAACCGTCCAGTTGGGACACGCACATCGAGTTCTCGACGGAGTGCTGTTCATCTTAGACGGAGTGCCGCAAGAGATACTGTCCTTTGATTTCCAATTTGGCAGAGTTATGGGCTTGAATGTAACATGAATCTAACCCGCTCTTGTACTGTACTGTAAGTAGGTGGCCAGATATCTGGTTACGACGGGGTTTGCGCCCTGTTTGCGCCCTGTTTGTGGAATGATGTGTCCTTGGGGCGTCGTGCCCAGACTTTTGCCCACCTACTGTACTGTATGATAGCGAAATATGATGGTTCTTCCTCTGGTTAGCGATGAGCTGCGGGATCAAATTTTCTGGAGATGCGTAGGGGACCCGCTTGTCTTTGGCGCCGCCCAACCCGGGAAGCCTCGGGTTCTTGATTAGAGTGAGACCATAGACCATTCCTTCAGAAGAAGTGCAGCGACCGTCCGCAACACACGGGGCCGCAAGCCCCAGTACGCTCCTGGGGTCTTTCCCGATCAGTGCTGCATATTGGCTCACAAATTGTTGAATCTGCGTTGGCGAACATGAAAGGCTAGAAATCCAAAGTCGGCTTGCTAGCGCATAACCAGGTCCAGCAGCATAAATCAACAGATCAACAGTCATCAACAAGCATCAAGATCAACGCTAATGAGATGGCCACCCTTTATTTAGGCTTTCGCTGGACGCCACGAGACGAGCTCAGACATGATGGAAACTGTCAAAATTCCCTAAACCATCCATGTCCAGTATGGAAGATTCCCTTCTAACATATGGGTCGATGCCAAAAGCTGCGAAGGAGACGTACAATCTACCTCAAGAATGCTGGTCTCGCCGACATCTTGCACAGCCGCAGCATTCTGAAAAGCACGGGGACGGTATTTCTGTCCGTTTCCCGCAAACTTCCTACGCTCTGTCGGCAATCGGGGTCGTCCAAATAACAAAATAGTTGCACCCCTGATTTCTGATGATGCACATATAATGATAATCGTGAAATAATATGGTACAGTGGTATCCTAACGTGTCGTTCAGCAACGACTGGATAGAATAAATAAATCTACGCACTACCTGAGGATGACAGAGTACTGAAGATTACGCCCTCCGGTCTGTGAAGCCGCCTCTACTTGTGCTTCTTGTTACCCTTTTTGACCCCGCTTCCCGAAGCGCCAGCCCCGGAAGAGTTCGGCCCACTGCTTGATCCTTTTCCGGTGTTGACCGATCCGCCGGTTTGTGTGGCTTTGATGATGTTTTTGAACTGACCGGCGACTTTGGCGGCTTTGCGTCTGTGAGAAAGAAGTATTGTGAGCACAGCTGCCAGGGAAAATGAAGACCAGATAATGTTGCGAGACTTACTTCTTTCCACCAACGACCTTGCTCGTCAACGGAATGTACGCGAACGGATCGGGGCCGCCACTCTTCTTGACATCTCCCTTGGCCCTCTTCGCCTTGAACTGCCGTCCAAGCATCTTCTCCACCTCGCCCTTATCCAGACCCACATCCTTCCGCTTGTTCCTACCCTGTCCCCATCCGAGACCGGATGCGGTAGCACCCCGGTTTTCCTCGGCTTCGGGGTCAGCGTCGCCGCGCTTACGTTTTGCTGATTCGTTGGGTCGGAGGAACTTGACGCGGCCGTCGGCGGTCCGTGTGAAGGCTACTTCGGAGTGGAGCGCGGCCTTGTAGTGGTCCTCCCTGTCCTGTGTCACTTCCATTGCGTCCAGTGCGGCGGTAGCACCGGCCACGCCTTCGCCTTCATCGTCGGAGTCGTTGATCATCAGGCGCCCGTCCTCGTTGCTCTGGAAATCTGACTGTGCGCTACCGTTCGCGCCGGCTCGCTTGCCTTTCCGTGGAGCGCTGGTCACGCGCGAGACAATACGAGCGTCCAAGAAATCAGCGACATCGTCTTCACCACCCTCTCGAATCCTGGTGCTGCTCGGCGCAGCAGACTTCCCTTTTGACCTTTGCAGGGCGTCTTTGAACCGATCGGGGATGTACTTCTCATCGTCATCATCGTCCGAGTCTTCCGCATCTGTTTCGAGCTCACTCTCACTACCATAGAGCGCATCTTCGAATTGCTTGCGGGCTCCGCCTGCAGCTGCACCCTTGCCAGCCAACAACGCGGCCTTGCTGGCCTCCCCATCGCTGTCATTCTCTTCTCCAGCCTCCAGCTGCTTGGCAATCCGCTTCTTCTTCTTCTCGCGCTCTCTCCTCTTCTTGATGTTGACCAGAAGCTTCTTATCGCCTTCAGGTACAAATCCTTCGATGGCCTCGTAACTGAACCGCCTCACTAGCCTCTCAAAGATGTGTCGTACTTTCGCCTTGAAGTGGGACTTGTGATTCCGGGAGTGGGTCAAAATCGCAACAACAATGTTCTCCAGCTCGTCCTCCAAAACCTCCTGCCTCAAACACACGATAACAACCTTCATAAACCCGAGGGCAGCCTTGATGACTTCCCGATTTGTCGTGTTCATGACAAAGTTGATCGTAGACACGAGCTCCCTGACGAAACGTTCGTCCATGAGAGGGCCGAACTCGAAGACAAGACGGGACAAGGCGGCAATAGAGGCACTCTGCATCGTCGAGGTTTCACCAGCCAAACCGGCGATGACCATAGTGAAGAACTCGGACAGGTTGATCTTCTTCGCTGGGTCTTCGTCGACTTCGCCTTCCGTGTCCATCCTCCCTTCCGATGTCGGATCGCCGACGCCGCCGTCTTCAAGCATCTTGTTGCCCATTGCAACGAGACACTCGTAAGCAGCATTACGTGCCTTCTCGCTAGCTTCCTTTGTGGCGAGCATGACTTCCGACAAGGAGATGGGAATGAATTGCAGAAGCAAAGCTTTCTCCGTAAGCGGGATGGCGTTGCAGATCCATTGAAGGAGTTGAATACGAGCATTCTTCGCGCCAGAGGAAGCTTTCGACAGAACCTCCGGGTCCAGAACACGTTCGATCAGTTCCTCCAAGCCAAGTAACGCGCGGGGAAGCTTGGGAACGACCTGGTTGAGGCACTTATACGTGCGCTTCTGCATAGTAGGATCCGACTCGCGCAATTGACCGGTCAGGACCTTGTAGAACAGGAGAAGCGGGGAATCAGCGGGGAGAGCGGCATCCCCAGATTTCGAGCGGTTCTTGACCTCGGGGAGGAAAGGTAGCAGGATAAGGAGCAGGTCCAAAATGGCGTAGTCGCGCAACCTCTCTAGTTGCACAGCTGGTGATACTTTCGTTGCCTGCTCTGTTTGTTGCTCCTGGTGAGACTGCGACTGCAGTAATGTAGTGACAAGGTTCAAGAAGTAGCTGGTGACCGCCTTCTCTTCCGCAATCAGTAAAAGAGCGCCGATCGTCCGGGCGTAGCGCTGCGTCTCCCGTTCATGTAGGGCTTGTAGTTGTTGACCTTTCGCTTTCGAAGTTTGGAGCAGATCCGGGTTGACAGTCGTGTAGTTGTTGCAAATGACGCTGAGGAAGCGGTTGGCGTACTCCATCAATCGCGCGATGCCATCGGTGGCGAGTTTCAGTTCAGCAGCATTGTCGGCCGAGAGGCTGACGACTTCCTCGTATCCTTCAATCAGGCATACGATTGCATCGCACACGGTGGGCCTGAAATCGGGATTAGACGGCAGGTTGGCATACGCCTCGGTAGGTTGCGCCTGCAGAATCTTTCCGAAGAACGGCGCCACAACCGAAAATGACGAGTGTACATCGGACGGCACGGTTGAGCAGATAGCCGGAACCATAGCCCAGATCTGAGCCCCAAGCGTTTCGTACAGCTTAGCTTCCACTTCGCGCTTGGCCGTCCATGACGCACCACTCTTCTCCAGCAATCGTTGTGCGAGCGGTAGGAGCGTCGTTCCGAGGAACCGAAGAGAGTGTGGGCCGTAACGGGTCTTGTTGGAACGCTTAGGTAAGGGGCGGTTGAGGGCCTCCACGAAGGTGGCAAGTAGGTATGGTCTCCGCGTGGCGTTGGATGTGGAATCGACCTCAATGTTCAGAGGGATCCACTCAACAAACGTCTCGAGGCCGATAGCCTGAACAGCCGCGTGCAATGACACTTCCAACTCCTCCTTGTAAGGGAAGCTTCCTCCATACGCACGATCGTCACGGAAAGCGATGATATTGACAAGGGTCGTCTTCATGACGGTAGGTTTACGCGAGCCTACAGAGTCGAACAGAGCCTCGGCGAGGCGAAGAATGCCGCCCCAAGCGGCGCGATATCGGATATCCGTGAGTCCCGAGTTGACCACGTACAGGAGGGTCAGCAACTGCGAGTCGGTCGTATCGGCTACCGGTTTGACACCCTGAACGACTGGTGCCACAATCATCGAGTCGGTGATACAATTCCTGAACATGTCCGCGAACACATCCGCGGCCTTCGCGAGGATAACGGGCTTTGTTGACTGTTGCCCTAGGACCTTTTCGAAGAGTGTGGAGAACGTACCGACGAGAAGCTCGGGGTAGTCTTGGAGTGCATACTGCCACTCCTCGGACGACAACGTGGTGGCTTTTGTGTTCTCTACGTCGTTCACGAGTTCCGCTAGTTTGCGGAATCCACGTCCGATCAAAGCCAGCCAGGTCGGGATGAGGGTAGCATCGTTTTGGTATGGCCGGATCTCCAGCAACGCGCGGATGACAGAATCCAATAGCTCCACGTCAAGTTCAGGGAAGATGCCGTCTTTATCTGCGTCGGCGCCGAAAAGTGCGTCCAAAACGGAGAAGATCCATTGAGTAAGAACCGTGTTGCCCGTACCGGAGGACCGTACCGGAAGTCTCAGCAGCTTCTCGCACAGCTCATGAAGCTTTCCACTGGTGCGACCGTGTCCACCCTGCAGCGCTAGAGAGGGGATTACGGCCTTGAGGAACACCAAAACGTGCAAAACGTTCTGTTCAGACTCCTTCCTATCGTTGGCGGACCCAGTGCCTTCGACGGATTGTGTGTACTCTTCAAGCCCTCGAACGGCGAATTCGATTATTGTCAGCGTCGCGGGGTGGTGAACGCTGGGCGGCGGAGGGTGCGCCAATAGTCTCCTGATGGCCTCGTGCGCCCTACGCCTTACTTTGGGCCGTCCGTCGACCGACATAATCAACAGGACCTGCATTAACTTCCGGCAATTCACATCGCTCGTCCAGCGCTGACTATCCTGAGCAGCAAGTAAGAACTCAAAGCATGCTAAAACAGCCCTCACAAGAGGCTGGTCTTCCTGGTACATTTCAAGTATTACTCCAACGGTTTTCGCAATGTCTTCAAACTTAAGCTTCAGAATGGCGGAAGGAACTCGAGGGAAAACGATGGCCAGCAGGTAGGTAGCTGCAGCCACTAACCCTTGGGCTTCTGGTACAGCTTCTCCGCCAGTGGCTTGCTGAGACAGAATAGTCATGAGGGCTCCAAAGTACGCAAGCGGCGTCAGTTGTTCTCCTTGCTCCGTGATTGTCTCCTCCACAGCGGCAAGAATCAGAGCCGCCTGCTTCTGGTTGTCCAGTCCACTGTTCGTTTGCGTCCGAATCTTGACAAAGAGGTCGTTCGAGGCGAAGGTGAGGTCCCTCCCGGCCGAGTCGGGCACCAGGCCTCCCAGTGCTTCGGGCGAGGCCATTTCGAACGTGGCTTGCCGGAAAGTCGGGGTAGGCTTGCCCGCGGAGAGGTCCTAAAGACTCGTTTAGGAGTTTCGCAATGATAACCTCCCTTGCTGTCGCTTTCGGGGAGGAGAAAACACTCCAAGCGCTTTCTACGTATTTGTGGAGTAAAGACCAAATGCACCTTGTGAGGTCAATGGCGAGAAAATCAGGGCTCGTTTGACGAACAGGAAAAATGGGAACGAGGCAAAGAACTCAAAACGCGTGAAGAACGACGCCGGATCACGTGACATGCCCTTTTTATGTCATCCGCGTTCAAGCAAACTCCGGCGGGCTGGGCGAAAGCATGACCTGAACTCCCCTTCGGCTCCCTGATGAACAATAGGAGAAAGCGCGGTTTGGGGGAAGCTACTTCTCATTAGAACATCGGAGATGGAGGGCTGAGGGTTGCGCTTTGAATCAACGGACCTATCCAATCTCGGAGGGGTTGAATTGTATTGCGTTCAAGCGAAATTGAGGTCCGTTGATTCCGCGCATTCCATGGGTAGAAACGTGACGCCTCACAAACAAGCTCAGGCTGAAGCGGACTTCGGAGCCTATGATTTGCGACCCTTCGTGATATCCGTTCGTATAAGGCGTAGGATGTGTATCGGTCGCCCACACAGCTTTTGAACTTAGTCTTTCCGCAGTGATCCCCAGCAGTACCCCATCAAGCACGAGAGCCATGTCAACGTCCGTTGCTCAACAGCCCGATTTGGGGTCGCAGGTGCTTGCCAAGACACATTACGGCAGCCGTCTCAAGGACGCCTTGATTCGGGATCGTGAGGTCAAGGAACAGAAACTAGGCGCCCAGCGCAAGCTCGGGAGGTTCAATGACGAAGAAGGTGGGGGACGGAGATCTCGTTCATGAAATGACTTGCCACTGTCCGATCGACTTCTCAATCAATTTAACTTTCACAGTCACCGTTTTTGAAGCAAACGTCAAGGAAGCTAGGCTGCTCTATGAGCAGCAACTTGAGGAGCGGCGCCATGCGGAGGAACGTCAGCGGGAAGCTGCTGCAGACATCCTGGCATCTGAAGCGCGGAAGAAGGATTTGATCGGTTTAGGTGCGTCCGGATACATCATTTGAAATCATCCAAGTCGTCACGGCTAACAACGCATATTCTCATCTCTACGCGCTATTAGCATCTCGCATCCAAGCGTTCAAGATCCAGGTGATGAATCAAAACCAAGCCCGCGAACGCGAATTGGACTTCCGCGCGGCCACGAAGCAGAAGCGTGAGGCATTCACTCAACGGGTGAAAGTCATCGAGCAAGCGCAAGCTGCCGAGCGTCAGGAGCTTGTCGACGCGCAGGAGCGTATCGCTAGGAACTTGAAGATCATTCATGCTCTCGAGATGCGGGAAATGTCGGAGAAAGATATTGCCAAGAAGAAGACGGAGTATCAGCTGGAATATGAGCAATTGAAAATGAGGCAGCAGAAGGAGGCTGAGCAGTTGAGGGAGCTGCAGGTACACTACAGGGCATTATTTCCTGGAGCTTGACCCGCCGCTTTAGACCTTGGGCTCACTATGCCTCCCCACTAGTTACTCAAAGTCCGCCACATGTCCGAGCAAATGGATCTGGAGCTACTCAGTTCGGCCGAGATCGAAGAAATGATCGGGGAACACAAAGATCGTGAAGACCTATACCTGGCGAGAAAGTACATCGAGAAAGCCGCCGAATCCACCAAACTCGATCGTCAGCAGGCCCAGCTCAAAGCGCTGCAACTCAAAGAAGAGCAGAAGCTCGTGCAAGGGCAGTTGCTCCATTCGCAGGTCCGCCAGCGCAAGATGCTCGAGCGGACTCAAAAAAGCTCGGCGAGGTTGCGTGAACGAGCGGCGTTGGACGATGCCATGTCGACGATGGGGGAAGCCATCAACGGGGTTAAACACCGTGCGAGCGAGTTTGACGGGAGTGAGATGCAATCCTCCGCCATCGAGTCGTCGGACATGGACCCTTCCGAAGCCTCAAGCAATGTGGGCGATGTTGAGGCCGCCACTGGGGGGGAAGGCTCAACTCAAGCGGAGGACATGGAGAAGCGCCGCAAGCAGCGTACGGCCGGCGATGCCGCCACGGAGCTCAAAGAAGCGTTTGCCAAGGGCATGCAGCGTCTCCGAGCCCTTGACATAGACCAAAAGAAAGGTCTTGATCAGCTGCGCCAGCAACACAAAGACCAGGTCCACCAACGTATCCGCGAGAGCAAGCGCAAACAGACTCAGTTGCTGAAAGACCAGGAAGATGAAGTCAGGAGTATCCGCACCGAGCATGCACAGGACATGCAGGAGCTGTGTGAGCTCATCCTCCAGTCTCAGGAACTGCAACGTGCTCAACGCCAGGTGGACTTCCAAGGCAAGACCGACACCTCTAGCTCGATTGTCGAGAACATCATGCCGGCCGAGTTCATGCAGGCCATTAGGGAGGGATCGCGACCCGCCCCAGTGACCTACGAGAACGCGGTAGTGGTCCGCACCGCAATCGCCGACTACAACTCGTTGAAGCCGGCACAAAGCGTCACGCTTTTGCAGCGCATGTACGGAGCATTCGAGGAAGTCCTGAAGGAGTTCCCGGGTGCCGTGAAGGTCGCGAGCGTTGGCGACATGTACGAGATCTGCGTCGGCCTTACGCATAAGAACGCTGATGATAACGCACCAGATGTCGCTGCCACCGCCCTCGACCTCGCCACCCGCTTAGCCTCTAGCTTTTCCGCTCTGTACGTGTCGGATTTGAACATCCCCGCCGGGAAGGTATCGTTGAAGATCGGAGTCGATCGCGGTGTCGTGAAGGCCGGTCTATTGGGCAGCAGAGTCCCGCAGTTTGTCGTGCATGGTGTACCGGTCGAGCGCGCGAAACAGCTGTCGCAGGCGGCGGAACCGGGCCACATCTTGCTTGCGAAGGATTTGAAGGATAGGATGGACCAGCGCTACAAATTTGAGAAGTTTGGAAATGGAGATCTCTTCCGCTTGGTGCCTCCATCTCACTAGTGCTCTGTGTTTGAATGTTTGAATGAGGAGCAGCTGGCCCACCCCTCATGGAACCATGTATTCGCTTCATTACGCTTGTAGCGCTCTGTATTTTGTTGCATCAGAATCACGAAATTCTTAAATGATCGACCTTTCCTCTTGTTCTACCATCCGTGGCATAGATCTTGTTGCTTCTGACACTCGGGACCTTGGTCTATGTAGGATACTTGTGAACAAGCTGTCCCCGCTGGAGGAGTTTCGGGACGCGTTGTGACAGCACACGGTTGTCACGTTTGACAGCGTAGGTGAAATGCTGGTCCACCCCTTTCCGATGTCGATGGCCGTCGCTCCGGCAAGCCCACACCACTTGTCCACTCCACGCTGTGCACCATGCAGGTAAGTGGGTCAACGGTAGGTACCTTCTTGTGCATACATACGGCGAAAATGTGTATATAAAACCCACATTTTCCAGCGTCTTCCGACCGGGTCAACACCTCGTCTCGTCTCTGTAGCGTTTCTGGAGCCCTTCATTGCACCTCACTTCTAAGCGAATCTCCAAAACACAGCGCTCCCAACATCTTTCGCTACAGATATCCAGTCATGGTAGCAGCAGTCCTGCAATCCCGCACCCTCGTGCGAGCCAAAGCACCCTTAGCCCCGTTCGCCAACACATCCGTCCCGCTCTCACCTATGGACGTCGCAGTGGGCCGGTATTCATTCCCTCTGCTCTACATCTTCGCAGCGCCTGATGCGCCGCACGAGGCCTTCCAGCACGAGAAGCTCCGGGAAACGCTCAGCGATACCCTATCTGTATATCCCCATCTGGCCGGACGCGTCGACCCTGAAACCGACGAAAACCGGGGAACGGTGAATGTGCGATGCAACAACGCAGGGGCCGAGTTCGTTCCCGCGACGTGTGACGGCAGCCTCGCCGATTTCGCGCCGTCAGCGACTGATTCGGGGGCTAGAGTCAACTCGTCGGACATGGCACAGCTACCCACCGGCCTGATGCCCCAGTCGTCAAACCCCCAAGCGCCGGCACGCGAGCAGCCCTTATTGATCGTCCAATGCACGGTCTTCAAATGCGGCGGGCTGGCCATCGCTCTGAACATCAACCACCGGATGCTGGACGGGGAGGGCGGGTTCAACTTTGTAGAAGCGTGGGGCGCCGCGTACAGAGGGGTCAGTGTCCCAGTTCCATCGCACGACCGGCACCTCCTCTTTTCGCGGGGTGGGGTAGCCACGTTCCCGCACGCAGAGTACAAGAACGCTGCATCCCCACCGTCTCCACCGTTCCCTGACCCGATCCCCAAGACGAAAGCCAAACTGTTCCACTTTTCCGCTGTCGAACTAGGGAAATTGAAGTCCGATGCATTGGGGATGGAGAAGCTGGAGACCGTGGAGCCCGCGCCGTACGTCTCGACCATCGACGTGCTGACCGCTCTCCTCGTCGTCTTGCTATCCCGCGCGCGTAAAGCCGCCGGAGTCGATTTCTCCAGCAGTAGCATCCATCTGAACACAGGCATCAACGCCCGCCGGCGGCTTGTGCCGGAGCTTCCGGGTCGATACGCTGGGAACGCCATCTTCAACGCGCGATCATCGCATCCGGCCACCGATGTTCTGGATGGGCAGTACCCAGCAGCAGTGGCGTTGGCGGCGCACAGGATCCGGAAGGCGGTGCTGCAGATGACGGATGCGTACCTCCGGTCGGCGGTGGAGTACGTTGCTGCTACGGAGCCCGACCCGTCGGCAGTGACGTTGGCGGTGGACTACTTTTTTGGGAAGGTGAGTTCGACGCACTTCTTGAACGGATGAGTACGTGGGGTTCGCTTTACTGATATTGCCGCATTGCTTAGGATTTCCTGATGCCCAGCTGGGCCAACCTAGGCCTTCTCGACCCCGATTTCGGGTCCGGACAAGCGGTGTACGCCGGGCCGCCCAATTTCTCCGTGGCCGACGGTTTCGTCGTCGTTTTGAACTCCGCGCGATGGGCTCGCTCTGAAAAGGGCCTTTCCTGCTATGTGTCGATGGAGGAGACGGCCATGACATCTTTCGAAGAGGCATTAGGACAATGGCGAACGCAGATTTTATAGGGCATATTTGGAGATGGAGAGTTTCTAGATTCCCCCACTCTTCTTATCTATGTACGCCGTATAGTATGTACATATGGGAGGCAGCAAACTCCACATCTACGAATCCACATTTACTAGACTACAATTATCACTGTTCACTTCTTATGTGTGTCTGGAGATAGCTTATTCTGATGCAAAGGATGCGTTGAAGCAAGACCGGGTATATATATATACCGCAACCCCCGCCAAAGCCATCATTCCCTCGGACTTCGGGTCCGTTTCCCCAGCTCGACAACGTCCTCCTCGTCCATCGCGTCCGGTGAGACAACGTCCGCCTTGCTCGCTCTCCAAATCCTTAGCACCTCCTCTATCCGTCCCATATACACGGCAACTGTCTCCTCGGGCTCCTCAACAACGATATCCTTCAAAAACTGGCGTTCGTCGTCGTCGGCGGGTCGGGTGTCTTTGAATTCCCACTCGTCGCCCTTTCTAACCACCGCGCGATAGCCGATGGCACTCAGTCGGTTTGTCGCTTTTTCAAACTTTCCCACGCCCAACTGATGAAACAGCGGGCTAGGCGGGCACGGCAGCCCCGTTTGTGCGGCCTTGCGTGTATATGCCACATGGTCGTCCAGGACGCGCATGAGCACGTTCATCGTCAACTCGCGAACATGGCCGAAAAACATCCGGCACATCACCAGCCGTTTCGCGACATGCCAGCGCGCTCCGTAATACGCGCAGATTCGGGGTAACATCGTGTGGAGGTTATCCGGTGTGGCATCTTCCCATCTGCGCCCTGCGTCAGCGTCCGAGTCCAGAACTCGCATGGCGATGTAGCTGCGGAGGTGGCCAGGATCGTACAGGGTGTGGGGTCCTGCTCTTGTTGCTGGCCCGTCTTCGGGGGTCATCATCCCCTCCAGCTCCTTCTGATTCCGCTCCGCCCAGGCATGGGCCGTGTGATTCAACATGTGCCACGAGTTGACCTCGGGATTGTTCTCCATCCACTGAGGGCAGCCTAAGAACTTGAAAGTCCCTTCTACCACGCATTGCTTGGTCGCTTGGATAAGCGCCCATGTAGGAGCCGGGAGGTCGTCGATGCAGAGGCGGGTCGCCGGGGAAGAGGAATGGTTCTCGTCCCAGAGGTGCCAGACAGCCACTTTGGATTTTACGTTGCCGAGCCTCTTGTGGCTCAATGAACAAGTCGCTCGTCCCTCAACGAACATTTCAAGTGGCCGCCAGCGGCCTGCTCGAAACTTTCCGCCAGCTCCACAGTCCGAGCAAAGAGCGTACTTATTGAGACAAGCTTTGCAGTTAAGCTCGATCGCACAGCTCGCTGCAATCCATGCTTCGCGTTTACCTCCCCCATCATCGTCAGTCGTCCGCCTGAACCCCCCAGCAGCACAAACATTCTTGCAGATATCGCAACGCGCCGGTGCATCGCGGGGTTCGAACTGAGCATGCCGCTTCTTTTGCATCACCTGTCGCTGAGTCTTCTTGTCATCCCACGCGGTGCCTTGGGCGCATCGTTTGCATGCATAGTCCTGGACGTGCCGATTCGCAATGTCCGCGGCGGCGTACAGGTGTGCAACTCCGAGACTCTCGCCACAGACGCGACATGCGATCTCCACCTTCTTCGCGCGGCACTTTGTGGATTGTGCGCCAACGCCACGTTTTCTCCACATTGAACTTGAAGATTGATGCGTCGCTGATGCCAGCTTTCGATTTGTAGTGCCGCTGGTCGTCTGCATCCGAACATCATTCGCAGGATCCGCACAAGGATCGAACGAACTAGCGCCGTCGGAAAGTAACGAATCCAGTGAGTCGGCAGACGCCGTCGGAAGGCTGCCACCCGCACCAAAGGGACTCAATTCGGCAAATGAATAAGGCGACGTCGCCAGAGACTCGCCGTCCACAAACTCGCCAGCGGAAACAAACGAAGGCCAAGCGAGCCCGCCATCCAAGTTGTCGGCCGGCTGCAACAAGCTGTCCAGCGCCTTCCAGCCGGCGAGAGTGGTATCCTCTGCCCCGACGTGTGGGAGCCCACAGGGATCAGAGGCCCATTGTTCCGGCTGCCCCGCCGAGAAGTTCAACGTCTCCAACCCCTGGTTTACAAGTGACACTCCGTCTCCCTCGAATGGATATAGCTGCTGCGGGTGACCAAGTCCACATGCCGCTCCGGTCTGGGATTGCTGCTGCTGCTGCTGTTGTTGCTGATGAGCAAGTTCAAGTTCAATCCTCTTCAGCTCTTTCTCTTCCTGCAACAGCCTGATGACGAGCTCCAGCCTCTCGTTCGACGGGTTGCTTCCTAGAAGCTCGGTAAGCCGGGACATGGCTAGGGTGAGAATTGGCCCAGGAAAGGCCCGTGCCCGCAAAAAAGGGACGAGCGAAGTGGGAAGCAAGGTGCTGCTGTCGGTGGGTGAGACACAACCGCCCTGTATATGTATTTGTATATGCACACTGTCTGGGGGGGGGGGGGGGGGTGCGGCGTGCGAACGGCGGAGTTTGAGGAGCGGAGGGCGACGCGACACACGGCATGGCGGAAAGAGCAACGAAACCGGTGTGTTCCCACCCCCTGTTCTACATACAAAGAACCCCCATCCCAAAGCTAGATCCTCCCAGACATACGCCAAATCGCCATCCCTATTCTCCTGCACCACATCTTCTTCCTACCCAAGTTCTAACACTATTGATATGACGTGCATCCTCAGACCGCTCCATTTCGCTGGGGTTTGGTGCAGCGAGATGTGGGATACATAGTGCACGGGTTGATGGGCGATATTGGGTGGTGGTGGAGGGTGTTTTCGCTTGCCCCCGTTTTTCGCTATGCAAGGAAATAGTGGATGTTTTTCTCCTACTTCCGCTTCTTACTCGGCGCCCCGCCCCTATCATCCTGCGACCGCGGCCGTTTCCCGTTGCTTGCTGCCGGTTCAGAGCCCTTCATTGCGTCCGCCTATGAAATCCATATGAGAGAGGGAGAGAGGAGTCAGAAAATCTGCTCCACGCGAAGCATTCAAACCCCTTATCTTCCACACGCACGACTACGCAGCGCCCATCCCACCATCCATGGCGATGGGAGCTGGTTCAACACACATCCCAGTCATGTGATATATTACCTTAGCAGCCTTCCTCTCCAACTCATCCCAATCCTCCCCACTCTCATCCTCACTCCCACTCCCACTAAACTCATCCTCATCCGAGGGATTGCCGCCGCCTTCAGAGTACCCCTCAGAGTCATCGTCGTCGTCAGACTCGGCGAAATCGGATTCGTCCATCTCGAATTCCGAGATTTCTTCTTCGCTGTCGTCGTCCTATATGACAAAAAAAGCAGGGGGGAGATGGAAGGGTGAGTGAGTGGGGGAGAGCAGAAAGAGCGGAAGGGGTGACCGCAGAGACATACATCGGAAGCAGGCTGCAGGAAACTCCATCCGCCCGTTTCAAAGAACCCGGCCGGGTCCGCAATCACTGTTTTCATGATCTGCGCCCAGGAGAGGTTCGCGGGGCCTTCTGTGAAAGGGATATCCACGCCACTAAAAACCAAAATCAGCAAAGGCATGTGGTCGGGAATGTGGACGCAGCGCAATACGCACTCCAACCACTCCTTGATATTATCCAGCTGCTTGACGGGGATAGTGTTGATATGACGCACGGGCTTGTTGAAGTCTTTGAAGACAAAGACCATGTCGAAATTCTTCAAGCCAAACTACAACAAAAACTATCAATCAGGCCCCGATCCCACTTCCGAAAGTCAAACACCCCCGTCTCATTTTCGTTCTCTCTCCTGCAAAACGCACCTGAACCCTCTCCAAATGCACCAACTCAATATCATCCAACGTCAGCACCAAGTTGGGTATATCCGTCAGATGCACCAGACATTCGGTGGTGGGCTGGATCAACACGAGCTGCCGGCTGAACACGCCTTGGAATCCCAACTCCCTGAATGGAATTTCTACATTGATCTGGCACTAAAAAAGAATGAAAAGGACAATCAGTTCCCCCATCCCCAAATTGTCAGGAATCCGAAAGGATACGCACAGCATCCTGAATCTTCTCCGCAAACCCCTTAAACTCCTTATTCAACCCTGCGCGTCGTCTTCGTTCCTCCGCCTCCATCGCAAGCTCATCCTCATCGCCGTAATTGACTCGTCGCGCCCGTCCACGGTTGCCCGTCTCGTCGAACCCGGCGTCGGTGACCTCGCGGTAGAACTGGACGTCCTGTGTCTTCTTTTTGCCAATCATGATGGGATTTTTGAGGTGGAAGTGGAGGATGACGATGAGCTCGTGGTCGCAGGGTTGGAAGAAGATGTGGCGGATGTTAGAGAAGAGGACGTCTGGGTGGTCGAACGAGCGCCGTTAAAACACCGTCATCAGAAAGGGTCGCTCCGATCCCCACCCAACTCACCAATCTTCTGATTATTCTTCAACTGGCTCACATATCTAATCCCATTCTGATGAATCTCCAGATCCCCGGGAAACCGTCTATCCACCTGCGGCCTCGTGAACACCTCCGGCAACCTCACCGGCCTGCGCCCCCTAACCTCCACAAGCATATCCTGCTCCACAAGATCCGCCTTCTCCTTCCGTTCCACATCCCTCTTCTGCGTATCCTTCTTCAGGTCATTGATCTCCTTATAGATATCCATGAAACGGGCGGTATCGGATGATCGGAAACTGAGGGCGCGGATGAAAGTGGCGTTGGGGTCTTCGAAGGGTTGGGATAGTTCTTTTTTGCCGACGCCGGGGGTGAGGAAGTTGAAGCGGAGGTAAATATAGTCTTGTTCTTCGGATTTGGAGACGTTCTTGAGCGTGGAGATGTGGAAGGGGACCGGTTGGCCGTAGAAGGGAAGGATGATGGATTCGTTGCGGTGGTCGACGAAGATCTACGCAGCCCGGGGTTAGAACACCTACCATCGGTCTCCTCATCACTTCGCTGCCAACTTACCTTCAAGTCGGTAACCTGCTTCGGCAACTGCGCCTCGGTCTTGTAACTCGCGAACTTCTTAAACACCTCCTTCTTCTCGCCTCCATCAAGGTCCTCCCCGTCCTGGTACTTCCGCAGCCCATCCGTTTGCAACTTTTCATGTAAGCTCTTCTGGTGATCGTTTCGGCGGGATTCGTTCTCTGCTCTCGTCTAAGGAGTCGAAGAAAGTCAGCATGGCCCATGGCGATGACGCAGATGCACTTGATTACTCACATCCCCTTGTAACCGTTTCCCCTTCCGTTCAGGTAAATCTTGCGCAACGGACGCGCGAGCGGCGCGGGCGGCCGCCCCGTTTTTGACTGGCTCCGCTTTGACCTCCTCTTCTTGTTCCTCCTGCAACAAACACCCGCGGTGAGCAGACACGTTTCGATGATAACCCATGTCGCTGAACCTACATCGAAGTCAAAAGACACATCCGCCATCTCCTTCTTAACGTCCGTCAGCAAGACAGGCGCCTCGCCAGTCACCATTACCGTATCAGCAAGCGACAGAGCATATCTAAAACAAGGGCAAGAACGACCCGGGTTAACGCCGCAGTCCTTTTGATCCACAACGACGACATTCACAAAACATACGTCTTTCCCCTTGGGTCGCTTGCTCCCGGGTTCGAAAGGTTCTGGAACCCGACCATCACACAGAGCGTCATCCCTGCCTTCAACTGGGAGTGGTGCTTCGGGGACAAGACATAACTCGGTTCCCTCAGTTCGATGCCAACCTGAAATGAACCGCCGTCAGCTTCACCGGCCCATGATCCCTTCCCCGTGGAGCAAGAAATGTGGCAACTTACACCCCAACCACAGTTCTTGACAAAATTCTGCTGCAGATCCGGGCGCTTCTGTCCGATGTAGGACATGGCTGCTTTGTAGACATCGCTGCAGGAGACGCCTGCTTTGATGGAGGCAAGGACGTGCTGTTGCAGTTCGAGGAGGAATTTGTAGTTCTTCTCTTGTGTCTGCGTAGGAGGAGTAGGAGTGTGAATATCTGAATCAGCAGTACGATAAAAATGAGTGTCGCGCAAAACACCTACCTTATTGGCATTGGTCATGTAAGTCCTGGCGATATTGGAGCAGTAGCTCTTATACCGGATGCCAAACGACGCAATGATGGTTCCTTCATGCAATGGCTCGTTGTTGCTCATGGCACTAAGTCTGAGGTCGTACTTTCCTCCGCTTTGGATGATGGGCGGATAACACCAGTCTACTTCTTTTTCCCATTGAATCTGCGAGGAAGAAGATAAATGCGTGAGCTGCGTACCCTCACGACCGGCAGTGCAACCCGAAACACCCATATACATACATCATTGGTCGGAAGCGAATATTTCCTCCGCACATCCTCACTCTCAATGACTTTCTCCAACGCATTCGTCATCTGCTCATGCGTCATCTTCTTCCCCTCCTCAATAATCTCCATCATCTCAAGCACAAACTGCTTCTTCATGATAAGCGACGACAACCGCGACGCCGTTCGCAGAAGTTTGATTTCAGTGTCTTCTTTCACAGCGAGGATGTTGGAGACGCCGTTAGATACGTCGACGTTTTCGAATTTGCGGGCGCTGTTTTTCAGCGCGGCCGTCCATGCGTCGACCATCTTGCCCTGGAAACGGTCTTTGGGGAATCCGCCGAGTTTCTTCCCAGAGAAGGATTTACCGAGCAGGTCGAGGAGGGTGTTGACGGCTTCCTGGTTCTGGGTTTCGTCTTTTGTGCGTTTGAAGATTTCGACGGGGATGGCGCCTCGTCTTGTGAGGGGGTCGAGGAGGGCGGCTTTTTTGGGGCTGGTGTGGAAGATGGCCTTGTCGGCGGTGATGAGGAGGATGGTTTCCGTGAACTCGTAGCCGAGGAGCCAGGAGTGGAGCACGGAGCTTTTGAGGAAGGTGAGATCGTCGTCGGCTGCTCCGACTACGACGCAGAGAGCGTCAGCGTCTCCCCACTCTGGTGAGCCCCTGGATGCCTGTAATTTGAGAGATATCTGAGCACGGGGTTTTGAAGTGAGCTATGCGCAAAACTTCCCTTACCTTCCAGTCCTGCATAAGGAGACCCAGCCTTCTCTGGAAGGTGTCAACATCTATTTCGATCGCCATGGCTGTTGCTCAGTGGGTTCGGAGTGGGTTTGGAGTGGGTTCGGAGTGGGAGAGTCAAATTGCCGAACCGAATAAAACCCCAGAGAGAAGGGGGCGACTTGACCTGCGGGGTGCCGACGTTATAAGCTATGCTGTATGCAACTGGGTTGGGTTGTGGGGGGAGTGGCCAGAAGGGATCGCTCACCAAGTCCGAGGGTTCTGAAGTGCACCTTGCAAGGCTAATATATGAGACTGAGCGCCTTCTCTTTCCGCCCCCAACGCGTCCGAAACCTCCACAGATTCCAAGTCGCACCCGCAAGCGTGTTCTCATGTGGCCCTCGCTTCATCCATTGCGCAATCCGCGTGCAAGAAGCGGCAGCACTGCAAGAAGCCTTGAATCGAGTGAACCAGGCTGCTGTCAATGAGTGAGTGCTTGGAAGGGTTTGACAGTGCCAACACTTGAACGCGATTACTTATCGTGTTCGAATCGCCTTAAACAACGTGGTAAGTAACACCCACGCCGCTCGCTCAATCGACCGACCTCCCTACTACAGACGTCCAAAAAAGGCTTCCCAGCAGCATCGTCCCAACCCTCCCGCATCCCAAACACCCCAAAATGGTCGCACAGACAGCAGCCGCCTTCTGGTTCCCCGTCCTCTACATCTTCGGCATAGGCTGTCTATTCGCCGCCTACACCCGCTACAACAGAGCAAAGCAACGGTCGCAACAGATCGCTCGTACGTATCTCACTCCCTCCCCCAACCCTCACATCCCCACGATCCCCCACAACTCAACTCACCCCCCTTTCAGAATCCCACGATGACGGCTATTTCCCCGCGCACACAACCCGCTCCCAATACAACGAGCTCGCGGAAATGTTTTCCCCCGAAGACCCGAACGGGATGAAGATCCTGATGGCCGGGCTCATCAAGAGAGCGGTTATTGATGTTCAGAGGGCTTTTCAGATTAGGGAGGAGAAGCCGCCGTTGCAGCAACTGGTTAATAAGGGGACCGTGGGGGAGGATTTGCTGGATAAGTTGGTGCATGCTGAGCAGGAACTTGATGCCGAGATCAATGAGGTGCGTACGCGAGCGTTAGCGAGCGGCGAGCGCAGCGAGTCTAGTGTACTACCGAGCGGAGCAAGCCTAAGCGAGCGTCAGATCTTTTGCGAGCGAAGCGAGCACCACATCAAGGCCGGCCGAACGCGCGCGACTCCCCTCATCCCATCATCCCTCTCCCATCCCGCATCCCTCTTCCGTCCACTCACCCACGCACGCACCTTCTGATTCCGCAGGTCATGGAAGAAGCCGAACTCTACCGCACGGGCTGGGGCAAATCGATTTTCCAAGAAGCCTCCCAGCTGATGCAACTCCAAATGCAGCAAGAAGCCCAACTCGCACAGGCCGCGCAGCGCGCCGACAACCCCAACGCCGTCGCCCAGCCATCCCACAGCCATCACGGCCACTCGCACGACCATGGGCATGATCACGACCACCATGGACATTCTCACAGCGACGAGAACACCACCCCGACGACAAGCACGGAATCCCTCTCCCCGACCGCCGAGACCGAGGAGCAGCGCAGGCAGCGGTTGGAGGCCGAGCTGTTGGCTGAGGAGGAGAAGGAGAAGAAGAAGGGGGGGAAGGGTGCGGGTGGGGGCAAGGGGGCAAATGCGGGGCAGGGGGGGAAGGGGAAGGGGAAGAAGAAGGGGAAGTAACGGGTGGGTGGGTGGGGAGATGTATCATCGTCGGGGTCAGAGGGGGTGACCATACGCAGGTTCGGTCGGTGGGATCTTAAGTTAGGCGTTGAGGAACAGAAGAAGAAGAAAGAAAGAGGTGGGAGAATACACCCGACAAATTCAGTGGAAATTTCCTTGAGCGTGCGGTTCCCCCGGTGGGGCATCACCTCTGTCTTCTGCACCTTCACTCTGTACCATAACCCCCTCCAACCACAAAAACCCATTCATTACAAACCCCCCCAAAAGACTGTTTGTTTGTGTTCCCTATCCGGCGTGTATTCCATCCCCCCCCCCCCCCCCAAAACTCAATCAACAAAGGGTATGTATGTGCATCGGATCCGCCGTGTGTATGTATGTACATTCGGGCCCCCACGCCTCGTCCGTCCCGTCCGTCTTCACAGATGTCCTTATTCCCTCCTCGTTGTATCCGAGAGGTGCTGTCGGGTTTGACGGGGTATGTGTTTTACAGCTGGGATGCCTTGACGGTACTACTGTTTGATACCGCAATTTGCGTCGGTGTGATGTATGCGCGGGCGGCGACGGCCCGAGTGGGGCGGGGTGGAACGAATCCGGGTGGTGCTGTTGTGAGCCGTGAGGGCGGGTGGGGTGTTGGCCTCGTTCACGTTTCGTAGCAGAGCCAAAAATTCGTGTACTGAATGGACCGGGGGAGGGGAACAGAGGCACGACCGCAATCAGTCTTCCATTCTACCGCAAAGGTTCCGGGAACTTTCGGGGCTCACACACAGTCCACATACCTCAAACCGCACCTCCCCCGCAACGCCCTCCAAGCTCCTCTTCTCATACCTCCGCTCCTTCACACCCATCCGTTTCCTCCACAACCCCGCCACGATCTCGCTCTCGCCGCCGCCTGCCCCGCCAGGCCCCAGATTGCCCATGCCCCACGCGCCGGTGTACCCGTTCCCCCACGTCGCCAACCCCGCGTTCCCCGCGCCACTCGCCCACCCGTCATCCTCAAACCACGCCTTCCTGAAATCCCAGCTCAGCAGATACACGTCCCCGCCCTCGTTCTCGACCGTGCACATCAGGAACGATCCGCGGGCGTCGAGGGTAAAGTCCGTGATCACTTCCGAGGGCCGGATCGGGTGCCCGATCGTGGCTTGGAAGGAGATCGATTCCGATAGGCGGTAGAGGAGTGTGCCGGCTTTTAGGTCCCATACGCACATCTGCGGGGGAGAGAGGGAGGGAGAGCAGTTAGGGGAGAGGGGACGAGGTCGACGGGGAGGGAGATGGTTACTCACCTCGTGACAGCGAATCCCCCGGGTGACGAGGATATTGTCGTACATGGCGAGCACGGTCGGGTAAGATGTCGAGTCGAATTCTTCGCGGTGGTAGTGGCGGGGTTCGGAGAGGGTGTGGGTGAGGGTGCCGTCGAGGCGGGAGATGATGAGGAAGACTGTGTTCTGCAGAGAGTGGTGGGGGGTGAGCACATAGACAGGCTTGTGCATGGGTGGGTGGGTTTGGATTAACGGATATGAGAGAGTGAGACGCACCTCGAACCCACAAACAATATGGTCCCCCCACACCGCAATCTTGACCTCCCTGGTCAACACCGACGGCTCGACCCCCGCAAACTTCCTCACATCAATCTTCCTCAACCGCGTATGCGTCTCCACATCCCACACATCAATCACATTATCGTTGTTATAGCTCACGAGGATATTCTCATGCGTCGCGCAGTCCAGCACGTCGACGCCGCGCATGACGCGTATGCAGGACAAGGTGGTGAGGTCCCAGATGCGCATGGTGGCGTCCTCGGCGGCGGTAACGACGAGGTTGCGTTGGTTGGTTGTGAGGGCGATGACGGAGGCGGTGTGGCCTTCGAGGATGTGCGGGGTGTGGCCGTCGACTTTGCAGACGGCGACGTTGGTGTTGGAGATCCAGATCATGTAGGGGCCACAGAGGCGGAGGTTGACTGCGTAGCCACTGTGGAGGGTGTTCGAGGGCGATCGTTTAGCGTCGGTGTGGAATGAAGGCAACTGGGGACGTGAGAGTCGTTTTCCCTACCTGCCAGCAGTGGTAGGCTGCCCACAATGCAAAATATACTTCCTCGGCCTCCTCGCATAACAATGCCTCCGTTCATCCACCAACTCCTGCCGCTTCGCCCTCTGATCCAGATCATTGATATCCGCAATCATCCGGAACCTGTTCTGCCCCGTGTACAGGTTATGCCGCTCCTCAAACATCGTCTTCCAATCCACATCGCGTGGGATGAAGTAACCTGGTAGGGCGGGATCTGATGTTGTGGAAGGGATCCCCCATGTGATGGTGCATCGCTGCCGCCAGAGTGATTGCGAGTACTCGGTGCAGATGGCGTAGAAGCGGTGGGAGACGGATTCCATGCGGCAGAGCGAGGATGGATCGAGATGCCGCATAATGGCGAGGAGGATCTCTTCGGGTAGCATCTATTTTTGTCGCATCTGGGTTGGTCTTCATTCATCTCTTTGCACGTACAGCATTCTCCCCCTTGCGCACCGGGTTCACGAAAGCATACTCACAGTCATCTCAGTCTGCCGAGTCCGCGGATGGTCGGCGACTCTTAGCCGTTTCAGCGCGTTGGTGAGGTTCTTCTCAGGCTCTGTTGGTGGTGCTTGAGCGCGCCTGCCATTGATCTCGCCATCCCCATCCTGAACGCGATTGTTTGCTTTGCAAACCTCCGCCAGTTTGTCCAGTACGCCATAGCAAACCTCCTCTGGGAAACGGCTATCCAGTAAGTTCAGAATGGATTTTATTCTTTCCGCCTCGCTTTGCCTTGTGTCCCCAGCTACAGATCGTAACTGCTGCAGCGTCATGGCCGAAGCATCCTCGGCCGCCGTGACATTTTGCACCTGCCTTTGGCGACTTGCTGACGCGGTCCAGCTATGTAACGAGGGAGGCGGGGTGGGAGACGATGTTCCCTGTGGGGAGAAGCTGCGTTGCTGGTGGTGATTGTAGCGATCCCGCCCGTTACGGGTCATGGTAGGGTCAGCCTCTTGGGAGCTCGCACGATGTTGGACAGGCGTTGTTCGCGCAAGAAAGTGGGCGGGGATGACTCTATATAGAAGCAAAGTTCTCACGACGATATCTGGAGACTGTTGCAGCTCGCGCTCTCCTTACCGTTGGCTGGATGTCGTTGGCTGGTAGCTGCGGGCGGGCTCTGATACTGGATTACAGTAGTGTGGGGTAGCGGGCAGCATAGGGTTTACGGTTCGTTGGTTGCGAGCAGGTCGTAATGCTCTCTTCACTTGGAACGTCGCGGTCTCTAACTGTCTCTAACCGTATGTCACTGCTCGGAATGCTGCGTATGTTAGCAGCGAATAACAAGCAGCTTCAAATCATACGCCCCGAACAAGAAGCATTACACACAGCCCGCCCTCATGTGCTGAGCGAGAGAGTCGCAGAGAGAGAGAGAGCGGCGTCCCAAAAGACTCCCCAAAAAACAGGCTCGCGTGAAAAACTAACCCCAAGATCTCTCAATCGTCAAGCCTCCCATCTGGACTGGTGGTCCCAACTGCTACCGAGTGAACATGTCATTACGGAGACGGGCAGCCGGCGGAGGCGGCGGCAGCGGAGGTGGCGGGGAACCTTCGCTCCTAGAGAGGTTCAAGGGTTTTGACGCTTATGCGAAGCCTATCGAAGACTTTCGCATAAAAACTACTTCGGGCGCGATAGGTAGGAAAAAAAAGAGGAGAAAAGGACTGTCAAGGGGGTTCTCACAAACGGGTGGCTAACTTATTCCACTCAACAGTGACTTTGGCCTCAGCGGCTGTCATTGCCCTCCTGTTGCTGTCCGAATTCATAGACTGGAGGACTGTCACTATGCAGCCAAGTCTGGAGGTCGATAAAGCTAGGAATGAAAAGATGACAATTAATCTGAATGTCTCTCTGCCTCATGTGCCTTGCTATCGTAAGTATCGCCCCACCGGAGGGAGGGAGGGAGCGCGAGCGAGCGGGTGCTCGAGGACTGGGCCGTAAGGACCAGGAGATCTTGAGGTCGCGAGCGATAGCGAGGAGAATGCTTGAGAATCCGAGGGACAGGGGGCAGATTGCTTGAGGGTTCCGAGCGACAGCGTGCAGAAGGCGTGCTATAGCGAGCGACAACTGGGCTGTAGGCCCAGGAATGCTTGAGGTGTGAGCCATGCGAGCCGCGAGCGAAAGCGAGCGATGGTGGTTTCGCTCGTTGCAGGGATGGTTCGGTCTGGGAGACGAGACCGACAGGCCGAACAGAGCGAACGCCTTCTGGTTTGCCATGGGAGCCTGAGCGATAGCGAGCGCGACCATCGCAAACGCCTTACGCGAGCGAAGCGGGCCAAAGGCGCAATGCTTCCCCTAACCACGGTCCTTAGCGAGCCTCAGTCAGCGTCACCTCTTTTAGTGAGCAAAGCGAGCTACGCCTACGCAGCCTAACATCCTCGGCGCGAGCGGAGCGAGCAGGGTATCGTTTCGACCACCCCTCGTTCAATGAACCATCGCTTCGGAGATGGTGGTGTTTAATGATGGTCACACTCATGAACGTTCCAACTCTCCCAGTTTTGAGCATCGACGTGATGGATGTCGCAGGCGAGCACCAGAACGACGTGGATTCGACCATCTACAAAATGCGGTTGGACCCGACCGGGCGGCCAATAGAAGGCAGCCGATCCGACATTGGGGACAGCACGAAAGCCGTCTCGAAAGCCGCCGAGAAGGCCAAAGATCCCGATTACTGTGGGAGCTGTTACGGGGCCAAATCCCCGGGTGGGAAGAAATCTGCAAAGGGGGAGGAATGCTGCAATACGTGTGATGAGGTGCAGAAGGCGTATGCGAACGAGGGGTGGGGGATGAAGACCGAGACGTGGGAGCAGGTGCGTTGACCATCACCACCACCATCGCACACATAGGATAACGTCCCAACTCACCCCCCCATCTCACCCCAGTGCATAAGAGAACATTGGGCCGAAAAAGTCGCCAACCAATCGCACGAAGGCTGCAACCTCTGGGGCCGTCTCCAAGTCAACAAAGTCGCCGGCAATTTCCACCTCGCCCCCGGCAAGTCCATGTCGCGGCAGAACATGCACGTGCACGACCTCGCGCCGTACCTGAAGGAGAAGGATCTGGATTTCAGTCATACGCTGCATTCGCTGAGCTTTGGGAAGAAAGTGGAGTTTGTGAATCCGTTGGATGGGGTTTCGAAGAGTACTAAGCAATGTGAGAATTCTCATTATTCTACTGTCTGTTCCCCCGCTCCCTCAACTCACAATCCTCGGTTTTGTTTTTCACAGCCTACTTTATGTTCCAATACTTTCTAAAAGTAGTCAGCACACGCTTCACCTTCCTAAACGGCACAAATGTCCGCACCAACCAATTCTCCGTCACCGAACACGAACGTGACACGACCCCGAGCGCACATACCGGCGGCCTCCCCGGAGTCTTTTTCAACTACGACATTTCACCCATGGTAATGTCCTCGCATCCCGTTTTATCGTTGTGTGATATGCACTCACGATATTATTTTCTTGTTTAGTTGGTGATGTACACAGAATACCAAAAACCCCTCTCGCACTTCCTCACGGACATCTGCGCCGTTGTTGGGGGCGTGTTTACGGTAGCGGGGATTGTGGACTCGTTTATTTTCACGGCGGGGAAGCAGTTGAGGCAGAAGATGGAGTTGGGGAAGAGTACGTAGAGGGGGGCGGGAGAGAGACGATTTGGGCTGCACTTGTTGTATCTTGGGGAAAATGGGCGCTGGCAAAACACCTCTGCTATTTCCCTATCACAGGATTTTGGCTTCGTTTTATGATGCATGTGTGACAGGACCGTACTCCGTCTGTGTACCACCCCTCGTTACTCCAGACCAAGGCCCCTTCGGTTGTACTGTACTCACCCACGGAGAGCCCACCCCGTCTGCCCTTCTCATGCCCATGAGGGGTTCCCTTCGCCGTAGGTTTACGGGCAACCATTTGCAGTCTTCTGAACATGTATGGCCAAAAAAGGGATTTTTGGCACTAGCGGATGAGATGGGATACATTATTGCCAACGCCTCTACATCCCCAGTGTTCATTAGTCCATCCTATAACATCTGATGCTACCTATCCTATGTCTATCCTATGCCTACGCAAGCTAGCTACCCTCAACGCTCTACCCGCAGCTCACTTTCCACAGACCAAGTCCCTCAGTGGCTCTCTCTCTCTCATCCTCGGCCTCCTTCAAATTCAAAATTCACCCCGCCTGCCCATCCCCAAAAACCCTCTCCCAAAACTCCGCCAAAAACTGCACCGCAGCCGCATGCGGCTCCAACGGCGCCACACATCTCACGCCCACATCCTCCCACCCGCCGCCCGTCTCCGCCTCCCCCTCCTCCTCCCCCTCCCCACCCTCCTCGTCCATCTCCCCCCACGGGCTCGCCCCGGCCCCGAGGACATTCAACCCAAACGGGGAAATAAGCACAGGCGCCTCCGCGTCGCGGAACCCGGGGATCGCGCGCAACACCGGCTGCGAGACGTCCCGTGTCGGTGGGGGGTGTTTGGACGCGGTGGTGGGGCGCGGGTAGCGGGTGGGGAAGAGGAGCGGGGCGAGGGTTGCGGCGATGTGCGGGAGCGGGGGGGAGGTGAGGGGGAGGGTTGCCAGGCTGCGGAAACATATCGGGGGGGGGCGGGTTCTGGTTAGATTCGATTTGCGGGGATTTTTGGAGGGGGAGGCGGGGGGGCGTACGTACCGGTGAATGTGGCCGATGACACCTTTTGCGTACAGGTACCGTGGGCGATCGAGGGTGTCGAGGAGGTGTTTGAAATCGGTGATGAGCGTCTCGGTGGGTCGTAACCCATCCCCTTCAAAAAAAAAAGAAAATCAATCATCCACCCACCACCACCCGCAGCCCTCACCCCCCCCCCCCCCCCCCACCCCAAACTCACCAATCGCGCCAACGATCCGCCTCCCCACCGCGCCGCCCACAAGCCCACACGCCTCGAGTCCCTCGCTCTGCAAATACGTCTGCAGCGTGCGACACATCCGCGCCACCTCGGCGGGTTCGAATACGAGATCGGGCGCCCATTTGCCCGACCACCCTGCCCGCGCGAGCCCGATGGCGTCGACGGAGCGGAGGTGGTGCTGGGTAAGGATGTCGGTGTGGGTTGTGTGCGCCGAGGCGAGGGTTGTGAAGTCTGGTATGTGGGGGGGAGGGGGGGGGGGGGGGGGGGGGGTCAGGGTCTCGTTTTAATGGGATGCGATTTTTTTCTTACCTTGGAGGAACTCGGTCCGTAGTTTATGCGCCGGGTTGTGCGTCACTTCCCCCTGCTCCTTCTCCTCCCCTAACGCCCCCAGCCGAAAAAAAAGATCAGCCCCAGCAACTCATCCCCCCCCCCCCCCCCCCTCAAACCAACCGCACCTTCATCCCCATCAAAAAACGTCATCTTCCTCGCCCTCGGCGGTCTCGACAGCCTCAGTTCCGGGCGTAGCGGGGGGTTGTACAGCAGTACGGGGGAGATGGGGTCGTCTTTTGCGGCGGGGGAGGGGGACGGGTGGATGCTTTGGCGGTGGCGGGAGGGGGGGCGTTGGTCTTAACGAAAACATCCATCATTAGTATATCGCCACGAGGGTTGGAAGGGGCAGATATGGGATGGGGGAGCCGTACCTGTGTCGGGAGCGAACCGGACTTTATGCTCGCCCTCGGGTTCTGCGGGCGCGTCGGGGGTGGGGTCGGTTCGGCGGTGTGTTTCGTCGTCGTCGTCCCATTTCGCGGATTTCTTTTTGAGGAGGGGTGGCGGGGCGACCGCTTTCGCTTTCGCCTCTAAATGAGCACAGGCAGGAGAAGACGAACGGGGGGGGGTCAGCCATGGAACGGTGGCATTTCTCTCTTCCCGACTCCCAGCCCACAACAGCAAGATTTGTTTTGCCTTACTCATGCGCAGATACTCCTCCCTAGCAACCGGATCCATGCCGCCGGGGTGCCATATGGGCTTCTCGCCCTTCTCGCCCTTCTCGTTCTGGAATTTCACGCTCATCGCGCGCTGTCGTTTCTTCACCGGCGGTGCCGCGTTGCTCTGTTCCGGCAGTACCGGCGGTGGGATCTCCGTCGCCGTCTCGGGATTCTGCTCACTCTTCTTCTTGGGCATGACGCGGTGGAGGGTTGACGGGCCGGTGATGACAGGGAGGAGGGTGAAGGAGAATTGTTGTTGGAAGGTGGCGGTGGCGGGTGTGCGCTGCACGACGCCCGCGCGGCGGCGGTCGGGGTCCAGGCTGGGGGTGGTAGCGTCTTTAGGGCCGGGGGGGAGGCGGATTTTGAGGATCTTCGGTGTCGCTGTGGGTGGTGCTGTTGGGTCGTCGGTTGGCGTGTCGGCCGTGATGGACTGGGATCCGTCGGTGGAGGAGGGCGAGGTTGATTTGGTATCCGTGGTATCGAGCTCCCGGTCGATGCTTCTCCCTCGTGCCCCGCGATCGATATTCCCCGGCTTGGAAGCCGCCGGATTCGTAAAGTTGCTCGTACTCCTCGATCGACGAAACCCGCCCGTCGGCCGTTTCCCGCCCGGCTCACTAGCGCTATTCGGAGAGACAGTCGGACCCTCCCACGGCACCATCGTCGCGGCGCCAAACGTCACCGCTGGCATATTCAGATTCGCCGAGCTCCGTGACCGTGACCTTTGCGTGGAGGTTGCGCGGGGTGGCGGGGCGGTGACTTTGTCGGCTGAGCGATGGGTGTGCGGGCGGGTGTAGGTGTCGGTGTCGGCGCCATCGATGGAGGTTGTCGCACCGCGGGGAGTGTATTGGGAGGGGTCGGGTTTGAGGGTGTTGCTGGCGTAGGCGGCCATACCGGTGCCGAAAGATTTGGAGCGGGATATTTTGCGTCGGCCGGTGTGGGTGAAGGGTGGGGTTTTGTCCGGCCCTGCGGGGAGGTCGGTTGCGAAGCTGACTGTTGATGCCATGGTGGGATGATCCTTCACACAATGGCTGATGTCAGTCGGCGTTCGTTGAGTTTTTGGGGTGCGAGGTGCCTAGAAACAGCGGCCGCAAACAGAAGACACAGAGGGAGGAAGGTCGCCTGGAAGCATCCAAATTGACAGTATCCAAAACAGGCGGCGAGGATTACGTCAGCCTGTCACTCTCCACACGCCCCTCTCAGTCAGACAGCGAGCCACCGAGAAGCGCGTCGCGAGCCCGTCAATCACTGCTCTCGTCGAAATTGCAAAACCATAAAACTTCCGTAGCATGTTTCGGCGGCCCTCAACATGAGTATGATTGTAATGAAACTTGTGAAGTAGGGTGCAGTACAGGAGTGGTAACCGTAGCAGCTTCACCAGGGAAAGCTACGTAAACTTCTTCTAATTGTTGTGCGGTCAGTCTGCCAAGACAAAACGCTTACCCGGACCCATCGCAGCTGCTTTCTGAGATCCATGCACAACACTCCCCCATCTCAGGAATGCGGCTACTTCAGGCGCTTTGGTTCGGATTTTTTATTGTCTTGGCATAGCACAGAGTAGTTCGTTTTCCTTTTTGAAAAACACCCGGAGCAAACGCTCCCATCAGGGTTCGAACTTGCGTATTGAAAAAGGTATAGAAAATGGGGGTACCGCTGTGCGAGCGTCCGAAGCCGAAGGTAGGAGTTTGCTTTCGATATCGTATGCGCACGCTCGAAGCGCACCTACCGACGACAGCGCCGACAACGACGTCGCATACGATATCGAAAAGAAACTCCTACCTTCGTGCGATGCTCGAGACTCGCACGGCGATGGGGATCTGGGGGGAGAAAAACGAAAAAGAGAACAAGGGCACGAAAAGGGGGCTATCGTCGCGCCCGTACACGACCGCAGGAGAGCCTACAACATACGCACGTCGAAAGGGCAAGCCGGTGTACAAGAAGAGCTCGAATCGCACGCGGGAGAACATGGTACCCGAGAAGAAGCTGGATATCCAGTACCTACCCATGCCACCCTTGAATACTTTGAGCTGGGTCCTCCGAGAGTTTCTGAGGATCGGAGAGAGCTCCGTATGCTTGCTCGCTTCTAACCAGCCACAATCCGAAGCCGTTCGGCCGTGCGCCAGCACATATCCGCTTGCTTTTCCTCTAGCGCTATCAAAGCCTGCCGTAAGTTTCCGATATTTGGAGGGAATACATGGGTTAGGGTATTTACATGCAAGACGAAGCCAAACGCGTCGAACTGATGGGCGCGTGTGAGGGAGCGCTTCTCTGACGTGTAGCCTTTCTCGCAATCGCTGCAGGTGTTTGGGAGAACGACGCACGTAGCACAATCGAGCACGCCCCCCCCCCCCCCCCCCCCCCCCCCGGACTCCTAGAGCACCTTGCTTCCTCAAACACCTCAAACCACCCAGTCTAGTCTCCCCCTCGGGCCAAAAAAAACCCACTCCAAAATGCTTTCGGGAATGCAACGTGAGTTTTGTGGGGGTGGAGTAGGGACAAGGGATTGGCTGTTTGCGAGGAGGCGGATGGTGTCGAGAATGAGGTCGGTCCAGAGGAGCAGAGAAGTACGCATTCTTTCCTTGATAACGAGGGGATACGAGAAGCTGCGATAGAGAGTCAGGTATCCGAAGGGTCATGTGAGACTATAGAAAGCGAAGATGGGGGGAGAATCGTAGAACGATATATACTCGCAGCATGGGCTCCAATCGAGCACAGGACACGAATACCCCTACGAAGAAGCCATACCAAAACCTCCGTATCTCACCCTCTTCATCCTCCACAGAGTTCGGAGCAGCGTCCATAGCAGCCGGCGCCCTCTTCTTCGCTCTCGGTGTCATGCTCCTCCTCGACAAGGGCCTCATGGCCGTCGGCAACGTGCGTATCGTATCCTATGCCCCCCATGATCCTCCCATCGCACTCCCCCCCCTCCCACCCCATCCCCCTCGGTTCCCGTCCCATGCCTCCCCCCAGATCCCATCTAACACCCCCTCGCCCGCAGATCCTCTTCCTCCTAGGCCTCCCCCTCCTCCTGGGCCCGACGCGCACAATTGGCTTCTTTTCCCGCGCCGACCGACGGCTAAGCACCGCGTCGCTTCTCACCGGCATCGTGCTCGTCCTCGTCAAATGGCCGTTTGTGGGGCTGGTGTTGGAAGGGGTTGGGGTTGTGAATCTGTTCGGGTGAGTATTGTTTTCGGGGGCGTTACGGAGATAGGGGGGTTTGATTGAGGCGTACGACAAGTTTGGCTGACTGGACTAACCGACCCCGTCTCCGCCCTCAGCCCGTTCATTCCGACGATCTATGGCTTCGTCCGCGGGATCGTAGGCCGCTACGTCGGCGTATGAATCCCACCCCCAAGACCCGCATCTGTACATATCCCATCCTATCGCATGTCTGTCTTCTCCCCCGTCTCGGTCCATGTGATGCAAAGCCTACCATCCCAAAGCATGTAAAATACTACTGCCATCCTTTTTGGGCGGAAACATGGGGGCGCTAACAGTGCAGTGCTTGATGAAGCGGGTTCCCATCTGGCAAACCACTTTGAATTCGAAAAAACCGATCTCAATGAACCCTGGGTCTTTGGGGTAGAACACATGCGTGTCGTTGGAGGACAGACCGACTTGGGGAAAACGTGCGCGCACCATGATCATCTGAATGGGGTTCGTTCAGCCGCCACGTTCTTCCCAGACAGCAGCCAAACCGAGACGGGACCCCAGGTTTGAGACGGGGAACTGCGTATAGGCAGGCGCGCTACTGTATTGTGCAGGACAGTATGTGGGGTGGTAATGCATTCGCCTGATGTTTGTTGCGCGGACGTGGTTTGTCCGCCTCGGGGAATCAATCGAGAGGGCTCAAGGCAGCCGTTTGCCCAACCACCACCCCACCCACGGCGCCAAAACGGCCCGCACCCGAAGACTACATACCATAACATGCCACACAATATATTACCGCCGCCGCACACCCCCCAAAAAAAAGGTTACAGAAAAGAAATAAAAGAAAACAAAACGCCGGGGAGAAAAAAGGAATAACAAAGTATACAAGAAAAACAAAGTGGGGAGGAGAGGGAGATCCCTAATGTTCTACGACGCTACCGGCCAAATGTCTCTACCATAAAAAAAAAAGTCCTACCAACTAAAGTACGCTCTATTCCCCCTGTCCCCCCCCTGCCCCCCCCCCCCCCCCGGCCCCCCCTCCCCCCCCCCCCCACACACACACATCTACAGATTCATACTCGTGTGTCCCTTCACCTCCGTCTTGAAATCCATGTCCTTATGGCACACCTTCGCGTGGTACTTCAGGCCGTTCAGGTTCTTGTACTTCTTCCCACACCCCTGCACGCGGCACCAGTACGGTCTTAGCGCGATCTTGATGTCCTGCGCGTGGGCGGCTGCGAGGCCCGGGGAGAGCTGGGAGAGGCCCAAGGGCGAGAAGAGGGGGAGGTTGGATGTGAAGGGGAGGTAGGGGGCCGGGGTGAATTGTTGCTGGCCTTGGAGCGCGGCGTAGGGGTAGTTGGGGTGTTGTTGCGGGTGGGTGTTGTATGGGTGGTTGTGGTTGTGCGGGTCGAGTTGGTGGGTGTAGAGAGTGGAGGTGTGCGGGGAGTTGGGGGGGAGATAATACGGGGTTGCGAATTCCGGGTGCGCCGCTGCTGCTGCTGCTGCTGCTCCCATGTTGGCGTGGGGCATTGCTGGGGAGGGGTGCATGTAGTCGGAGGGGGAGGGGGAGGACGTGCGCGGGTGGTTGGGGTGCGGGGCGGGTGTGGCGGCGGAGAGGAGTGGCGAGCCTTGGGAGGACATGGCCGAGGAGGCGGCGGCGTGGTGCTCGTAGTCGAGCTCGCAGTTGCCGTGCTCGAGGTGGTATTTTAGGCCGTTGGAGTTTTTGTAGACCTGCGGACATGAGAGAGATAGAGAGGGAGAGAGAGAGAGAGAGAGAGAGAGAGAGAGAGGGGAACGATGTCAGCCTCGTGCTTACATCCACAGTCCGGCATACTGTGCTGACGCTTACCTTGCTACAAAACGGCTTCGGGCACTTATACTTCTTCCCCGGGGTCGCCGCACCCTGCGCGTACCCCTCGTCCCCTCCCTGTCCTTGTCCCTGCTGCTGCTGCTGCTCATACCCCCACTGCTGCTGCGCATACATCTGCTGCTGCTGCTGCTGCTGCTGCTGCTGCTGAAACGAGCCATCCACCGGTGTGCTCGTCGGTCTCACGGGTGCTTCAATCTGAAAATGATGTTGAGCGGGAAAGACAGGCGGGGTGTTTGATCGTTGGATGTCAGAGAAGGCTGCGTGGCGGGGTTGTGGGGCGTACAGCATGGGGTGGGTGGGCATGAGGGGGGAGGGGTGGGCTTGTTGGTTGCCGTCGTCCTGTAACCGGAACTGCTGTTGTTCTTGTTGTTGTTGATGTTGTTGGGGTCGCTGGTGTTGCTGGTGGGGGGAGTTGGCGAGGTGCGGGATGAAGAGACCGGTGGCGTTGTATGCGATGCCGGTGTCGGAGCCCTGGATGGGGTGTTGGACTTGGAGGGGGGAAGGGTGGTATGGGTTGTGGGTTACGGCCGAGGGTCCGTTGTAGTGCCGGGGGACGCCGAAATCGTTGAAGGGCGGTGATGGTGTTGCGGAGAAGCTGGAAGCGTCGGATTGATCTGACTGTGATGTCAGGCCAGTGTTCCGTTGGCCTGCTGCCGTCGGTGCTGCGTTCTGCGCGTTCCCGTTCGCGTTCGCATTGGCTGTCTTGTCCTTGGCCGATTCGGGCGCAGCTGGTTTAGCAGCACCCACGGCGGCAGCAGTACCGGCGGGTTTAGCAATCAGCCGTCCGACATTCGCAGCCGCACGCAACTTCTTCCCATCGTCCATCGGCAGGTTCATCTCCACAAGCGACGGAGCACGGGGCCGTTTCGAACTTGCCAAAGCCCCGCTGTTTGCCGAGTCCATGTACGTATGTTGTTGTTGTTGTTGTTGGTACGCCGCATCGTGCGCAGAGGGTTCATGTAGTTGCAACTGTCGTATACCTTCACCGATCATGGAGATGTATGGCGACGATGGTGCCTGTGATGGGACGCTTATGCTGCTTAATGGGAGAGACACGGGCGCATACGAGATCTTTGGGGCGTTTCCAGATGCCTCGTCTTCCTCCTTGATCGTCTCCAAGGCTTGCGGTAAATGTTGGGCGACGTTGTGAGCGACTCCAGCGCCTTTCGTATGGACAAAGCCGTCAAGGGCGTCATAGTCGACAGCGCCGGGTGGAGCGTCCAGCATGGAGTAAGCGGTTGTGGTAGCAATCTCGCCGCCCCAGGTATTGACATTCACGTGCACGGTCTCGTAGTGAGCAAGCAGTTCATGCAGCGACGGAAAGTGGGCGCCGCAGCACTCAAAATCCTTACAGAACTGCGACTCTAGCTGTGAAATTGAGGAGCTGCTCATCACACCCCCACTGGCGGGTCCGTGACCACCTTCACCACCGAAATTGTGGGCTGTATCCTCTACGTTCCCTGTGTTGGTAGTGATGAGGTCTATCCCGCCGAGGGAAAGAGTGCCCCCAAACGAGGGTCTCCGTGGCCGCGTTGTTGCGCTTCCGCCGAGAAAGTTGAGGGTGTCGAGGACATCGAGGGTGAAGGGGAGTGGGTTGGAAAGGGAGAGTTTGCGGGAGTGCGAGGCTCGCCTGGCGGAGATATTATTGTTGTTGTGAGACATTTGGGAGTAGTCGTCCATGGGTTGCTGCTGACTACTGCTGTTGTTGCTATTGGCGAGAGGCCTGCTCTCGTTCCCTTTCGTCGCTGTCGTTGGGGCGTTGTTACTCCGCATGTTGTGGTGATGGTGACCTTCGGCAGCAACGTAGCCCGAAGTGACGACGGGGCCACCGTGCAAGGAAGTGGACATTTTTCCCTTTCGTTGCGATGCTCTCTCTGTGTCTCTCTCTGTCTCTCTCTTTCTCTGTCTGTCTTTCTGTCTCTGTCTCTCTCTGTAAGTTTTGCTCTACTTCCGAACACTCAGCCGACGAGTATTATCCGCGTTGTCGTCGTTGTCGAGGAAAGATGCCGACCCGTGAGAGTGTTTGCGGTTGTCTGAGCGAGAGGGCGTGCTAAAGGGAGCAAGGGAGTCTTTTGCCGACGAAGGAAGGAAGGAAGGAAGGAAGGGAAGGGGAAGGGAAGAAGGACGAGGGAGGAGACGGAGTGAGACGGTTGGAGGTGCGAGAGACGAGAGCAGCGAGAGAGAGCGAGAGAGTGCCTGTCTGTCGCAAGGAGTGATATCTGTCTGTCTGTCTGTCTGTCTGTGAGTGAGCGATATCCCATGGACTATGGGCATGTATTCTTTCCCGCTGCTTGTTGGTGCTTGCCTCCTTGCCTGGAGCGAAAAGGCTTTCTGTGCAAAAGGAAAGTAATTCCTCCCTCCCTCCATACATGGTACAGTACTGTAGTAGGAGTAGTAATCACTCAGATAACGGCTACCACGGGTTCCCTCGCAATTTGATTAGGCCCTCTAATCAGCCATGGTGTTTAGGAAACGAGGCGCTTGGCTAACTCTCTCTCGGAGTGAGAACCCCCAGCGGAACAAAAAGTCACAGGCCCCCCCAAACTAACCTCCCCCCCCCCCCCCCCCACACTGACACGCGCGCCGGTTGTAACTCCAAACTCCAAGTCTCTCCACACTGTATGGTCTTGCAAAAGGCGTCCCCGATCCACAACCATCAACCAGAAGGGAGGAGGAGGAGGGGGGGGGACAGTCACTTGTCCCTCCCATATGCGGCGTGTGCGATGTCGTGTGAGGAGTTATACGACGCCCGCGCCTCTTGTGAAACGCGCGCCGCGATAAGGGGGGACGGGGGACGGGGCGTTCGGCCGCAATGCCAACCATCCCCAATCCCACCGGTACCCGTCTCCCTTGCGTAACCGTACCAACAACCAAAATGGGTTCCTGAAGAAAGCTTGGACCGTGGCCTCGAAACCATTTGTCGAACAATGGACGGGGGTTCCTCACACGGCTAAATCACGTGCAAACTATTACACTCAATTTAAATCGGTGGTCACAAATCACAGATCGGAGCTTGAAGATGGATTCAAACGATTCAAACGATTCCGAGCTTGAAGATAGGGGCGGCAGATGGTCAGGTTAACCGTGGTCAAGCCATGGCGCGGTCTGACTAGGCTACGGTTTGGCTAGCAAAGTAGCAAGCCATCAGTTGACTTGGCTACAAAGTGGCAAGTCATGGCTTGACCACCGGTTAACCGGTTAACCAAGATTACTGCGATGACTGCGATGATTTGGCAGGGTTAGGTTTAGGGTTACATTCCCTTCTAAGCCCATTGTATATAAATCTGTCAAAGGAGACTGTCAGATTCTTATGTAAGCTTAACCATGGTTAACCACCGGCAAGCCGTGGCTGGCCACGACTTGGTTTGATCACCACCCTCTTGACCACCCGGTGGTCTGGCCACGGTGTCTACGTAGTCAAGCCAAGTCAAACCAAGTCAAGCCATTGCCGCCCCTACGCCCCCATATGTAAGCAGCAAAAATCCTCGAACGCGCCTGGTACGAAAAGAACAAACATATCTTCCCTGCGAGCCGCTGGGAGGTGTTTGACGCGCAGAAGGATTATGGGAGTTATACGGTTAAGGATCGGACTAAGGAGAAGGGTGGGGAGGCGGCGTAGGGATGTGGGTGTGGTGGGGGTGCACGTTGAAGGGGTGGGTTGGTAGGAAAGTCTATTGGGGTGTAAACGACGCTACCGCTTCTTGTATATATTTGCGGTAAATGGGGACCTGATGGTCTTGGGAAAAGCACTCCGAACATTCTCGCTTTTGGAGTCGTTGCTTTTCATCAGTTAGGTCCAAATTGGACTTTTCCATGGTTATAAGATTGCCCCTATGCTTTTGTCCATCATAGCCGAACTGCGTGAGAGGAATCAAGGAGTTATCGCAAACCAAGACTCTGAAACTGCTGTTCACAGCTATACATCTGCACCTATCTACATCCGACATCCATACGAAAGTCGGGCCCCCGAATGTGCTTCCGAACGTACCGCACATATGCATATTTCAGATGAAGGCGATAGCCTGAACCGCCACTATACCTGATGGCGGGCGGGCTCCCAAGTTCGCCAACCCGCGCATTGTGCGTCGCTGTGGAAACATACGGACGGGTTAGCGTAGAGATGAGCGGGGCGCTTAAGGTTTTCTCGTTCATCACCAAAGTTCGGGGTTTCAGGCAAGTGAATATGACATGACGACGATGGAGTCATGGGCGGCTAATACCACATGTGGTTTTCCATCCATCGTTTTTCACACGTCAGTATCTATCTCGCGGAAGAAGGCCATCGACAACAGAAGGCCAAGAAGGGGACAAAAAGGGGTAAAGAAGCACGCGTTGAGGACCTTCCGGCGCCTGCGACGCGACGCGTTTTCCCTTTCTCTCGTTCTTTCGGGTCTGACGAGCGGGAAAGAAGGAATGCCCCTTGCGCTGTTTAAAAGATGAACCCAAGAAACGGCCATCGAAGTATGTAGCCGCCGCCGGATCCATAGCGGTGCATTATTGTACCTAGTTAGGCTGTAACACACACGAGTCGTAGACGCAACGGTTTTGGAGCTCGCGCTTGTATATATATAAGAAGAAGTGTAAGATCGACCGCCAGCGTTAGCGGTGTTTTTGTTCATACCAAATACTTTTGCGTATACGAAAAGGGAAGGCATACCTTTTCGGGTTTGAAGGAACGAGCGGTAGGAATCGTGAACGTGTAGCTTGAGAAGAAGCTTGCTATATAACACGCACGACGTTCGGTGAGTGTTTTCGTCTGTTCCGGTCGCATGCTGGGATTTCCGCTGTCGGCTTTGATGAGCGGGTGGGGCCGGTAGTTCAGGGCACATTCTCATATATCCATCAAGTGGGTCACAGCACTTCGCACACCCATCACATAAAAAAATGCGGTACCACACCGACAGGGCAACGCGTCCCCTCCTCGTCGCCCTCTTCACCTTGCTTCACTTCACCCTCGTCACCGCCCAACCCGCTCCCTCCGACACCCCCTCCCCAACCCCTTCAACCGTCCCCATCCGCCTCCCACCCATCCGCGGCGGCCCAGGCGGCGTCGTCATCGGCCTCCCCGCCGCCATCGAGCATCGCCGCAACAACATCGATGCTCGCGAAGACAACCCGTCGCCCCCCATCGCGGCTCCCGTGGCAGCCCAGACAACAAAACCAACAAACAACTTCCTCCCGATCCGCATCGGCCCGATTAGTATCCCTGTCATCACTATCGGCGGGATCGGGGTCGTACCACGAGACGCGAAACCTGACCCCAACCCAGGACAAAACCGGAGAGAGAACTTTCGTCCGCGTCGAAGGCTGCAGGCGCGGAAGGACCCTGTTGACGACTTTGAGGTGGAGGTTGAGGAGGATGATGTGAGGCTGCCGGGAGTGCAGCCGCATACGGGTATGGATGATGCGCCGGTGGGTGGACGTGTAAAGGGCCCGAAGAAGGCTGGAGTGCCTCCGCCTGCGAAACTTGATGATGGTCCGGGACTAGGAAATGTCCCTGGTAAGAAACATCATGGGAAAGTCATCGGCGATGACGACAACGAAATCAAGGTTGATGATGATAAGCCCATCAATGCACCTAGGCCCGTTGAGGCACCACTCGTCGACGATAAACCCATTGAAGACACAGATCATAGCCAGCGACTTGATGACGATACCGATGAACCCAACGACAACATCAAATCCGATGACGACCGCATAAACGACGTCGTTGAAAGCCCAGCAGCGCCTTCACCCGCACCTCCCACTTTGCCCGACCCGTCCACAATCCCAACCGCGGCGCAAGCCACCGCTCCTCCCGTCCTCAACATCCCAGCCGTAGCACCAATTAATCTCGACATCAACGTCGAAGCTCCGTCAGTCGACCCGCTCACCGCTGCAGTCGCATCGCCTTCACCATCAGCAGCCACCGCCGCAGTCGATGACGTAACGCTGGACTCGGACACGGATCTAAACTCGGACTACGAACCGCCCTTCCCCTCCCTAGAGCCCTGGCCGTCTCCGGAAGCGGAACCGACCACCGAACGCACGCTGGATTACCTCCTTACGCGTACGGCACCGGCACCCGCGGCGCAGTTTACGGTTGATGTTGTGGAGCAGAAGCACGAGGAGGTGGTGGATGTGCTGCCGACGGGTGTCGTCGCTGCGGTTCAGGCGACGCAGGCTGCGGATGAGACGATTGAGGACGAGGAAGAGAACGCGGCACCGACGGCCTCACCAGCCTCGGACCTAAAATCCACAATCCCCACCCGACTCCCCATCGCCTCACCCTCCGCGTCGCCAGCAGCCCTCCCAGCCTTCCTTGGTGCGCAAGAAGACAAGATCCTCATCGCCGCAGACGACGGCGCAACCACGGCCCCGGGGGCAGGCATAACACCCGACGAAAGGACAACAACTCACGTATCGCAACTCATCGGGTTCGTCGTCTGCGCCGTCATCGTAGCTGGCGTCAGCGTGTTTGTTGTTAGGTGGTGGAGACTGAGGGTACGTACTGTGCTGTGTCTCAATCCCCCCCCCTCCCTCCCTCCCTTCTTCCCATCATTCGTTCAATCCGTCTGTCAAAGACCCCCCACTAACCTGCACCCCCATCTGTCTCCACACCCCACAGTCCGCCCGCCGCTTCCGCCGCCTTCCCACAACCACCCTCCCGCACCCTTACGCCCCAACCTCCACCGACACCTCAACGCCCACGACCTCATTCCACACGCCCAGCGACCCTTGGTCTCGCGACCCGTGGGCTCAGCCGCCCCCGATGATGAGGCCGGTAGAGCCGAGTGAGTGGGATCATGCGGAGATTAGCGTGCCGAGACGATGAGGAGCCGACATGGGGGCATTATTGGGGGGGGGGGGATGTGCATATGAGGCCGACCCCTTTTTGCGTGTATATTTGTGGCTGTTGTTTGTCTTTGTGCATAGTGTACTTTTCTGTGTTTTGGCGGACGGTTTTCTTTGTGTTTGTGTATTTGCTTTGCTTTTTCTTGATGTAGCATCTTTCCTCTGTGTTGTGCACATGCTCATGTACCGAAATGTTTATGGACTTTATACGATTCAAATATCTCCATTCCACTCGGGATGATTATCGCTGCCCTCAACCGTTGCATGTTCGCTCTGGAAAAACAAAACCTCGATGCGGCGTAGACGATGACCACGGGTGGCTGAACGGCTACTGGGTGGCTGTGCGAGTAGGGGCCTCATGTATCCGTTCGATAAGAGAGCGAACCGGAGCGTCGTGCGGGATGCGAGGGGAGGTGCATCAGGAACCGCCCTGCACATCCTGCACGAGTCTCCGGTTGCTCTCACATCGTCTTTGCAGATCCGGCCACGCTTTTCGGTTCTCTTGATTCGCGCACACACCAAGTTGAAGTCCCGCAGTCTGCATTTCTCTTCATCTCCCCATCACCCCACCAGCCGACGTCTCCCCATTCGCAAGATGCCGCGGCAACCCATCAACCATCATCGCAAACGAGTTCCTATCCTGCATCCTCAACAGCGCCGTGCCTCCTCCGCCACAGTGCCTGGCGTGGCTTTCCATGCAGACATGAATCTTTCCCTTGCCGTTGAGATCCACGGCGCAGACGTGATTATCAGTCTTCACGCGGGAAATATTACGATATGAGGAAGATCGGGAGCAGAATACGATGCTTTTGGCATGTCTTATTGCAAATTAGATTTCAGAATCCGATCACCCAACCTAGAACAGTTTCTGCGCATGAGCCCGGGGAATAACTTAAGGAACGCTTCTGCTGCATGGATATCAAGGGGTCGGGCTTTACTTGGGGCTGTCGCGTAAAGCTTCCGATGCTCGTACGTTCGCCTGTTGGAAAGAACCTGTGGGGACACAACCGATTTATCAAGCACATCCGGTTCGACGCTGCGCCTTCAACGTGGTTTTCGTCCCGAGAACTGGGGATAACAGCTCCTCCCTTCGGGCGTGACCAGAGAAGCATAGGTCATGCTTAAAGTTGTATAACTCACCCCAAGATAGGGTACCCTTTTGGGCTTTTGCAACGTTCACCCTTGCCCTCAGACAGGGTCTACCCGTTCCTCATTCAATGGCCATCGTCCACATGCGGGATTGCTTAGGTAAGCGAAACGCGAGCCCAAACTTTTGGCTTTTGGAAGGGCCGACGAAGAGGGACGTGCTGTCAATCTCAATGGCAGGAGAACAACGAATACCCTTCGTGCAATACCGAACAATCTTTCGTCGAAAGACCACACGACAGCGGAAACCCGTTTTCATCAAATCGCATACCGACCCCCACCGGGAGCAAAAACGTCATTTCATCAGCTCGCATACCGAGCACCGATTTAGGAGCAGCATATAAGACTTATGGCGGACACGGAGCCGGCGCCTCAGGCAGAGAATGAGCCCGGCCCCATCACCTTCTGGAGCGAAATCAGAAAAGGACGATGTCGTCTTGGGGTCCTGGTCGTCAGCTTCACGACCGCTCTTTGTGTGGGAGTGGCGTTCGCAGCATGGTGTCTGACTTATAACGCAGCTTTGGTACGAGTGCCTCTGTCACTTTCCTGGAGCGGAAGGTTTTGAGGAGAGCGGTGGAGCGGTTTGCGCCAACGAGGCGCATATGACAATAGTTTTGATTTTTCACTTGGCGGCTAACACGTATGTTTTTTTTTCTAGGATTCCTCGACGACTCTGTCCTCGGAATTGGAGAGCGGCCTTGCGCAACGAGTCGTCAATTCCATCAACAACACGTACGATATTTCCGAACTGTATGTCCAGCAATGTCAGCGCACCTGGTCCTCAAAGACGTGGCGGAACGAGAACGTCGCAACTTACAGCCAACAGATGTTTTTCGCAGCCTACGCCATGCGCGATTATTTTTCGTCAGCCTACGTCACGCTTCTGCCAGAGGGACTGACGTGGGGCGGGCAAACAAACACTGGTGCCGAACCCGGAACTTATTCCTACACTGTTCTCGAGTCCGTTCCCTATACGGCAGTACCTGGCGCCGTGAACTTCACTTATTACGCGGTTAACGAGGAAGGCGTGAAGACTGGAGAAGTAGTTCACAACACGCTTAACGGGAACTACAGTACGGCTAGCTGGGTCACGGTAGGTCTGATGGACTGCACACCACCGCCCCCCAGAACTTTTGGGCAGGATGGACTCTTGTGGAGTAGCGATGAAGCCACAGGCGAATGCTGATAGCAGGCCCTTTTACAATGGAATCTGAACACCGCAGATTGTGGATTGGAACGATGCCAATGCCGCTTCGTGGACGCCTGTTTTTGTGTACAACAACGTCCCTGTCAGTACCTTTACACGGACGATCCGCACAAACGACAACCAATTGATAGGCACCCAGCACGTCGATATGTTTTTCGACTTTGTCGGAAGAACGCTGGCGAGTGAGAAAGCGGCCATCGAGTATCCATCGGATCTGTTCGCCTTCAAATCGGAAAACGACGTGGATTATTGTCTGGGGACCACCGAGGCGGGTGTGGAGATCTACTCGCGCGACCCCGCTGATCCTAATAGGGTCCTCGGTGTGCTTTCGGCTCAGGAGGTGGCGAAAACCAGTTTACTGCTACCGGCCGTCGTCGATTTGGTGATCAAACGGCAGGGCCATACGTCGCTTTACGCTTTCGCTTCGGGCGCTGCGAATCCGAAGACTCTCCCGGTCGAGACTGGGAAGGGTACTTACTACGTCCAGCTCCGGACGATCCAACGCCGCGGCGCTTCGTTGGTGTTCGTTGTTTTCCTGAGTAAACATGCGCTGCTGTCTGGCTTGCACATCAGCAACAGGAAGACACGGAATCGTCGTAGGACTCACCATCATGGCAATAGGGAGTGCCGTGGCGTTCTCATACATGATCTCCAGAGCGTTGTCGCGTTTGACTAGAGACATCGGCCTCTTGAGCAATTTCGACTTTCGAGCCGCACTTGGATCGGATGTGGAAGGTGGTAAACGGGCAGTGCGCACCAGCAGAATCAGCGAAATGTGAGTTTTGACTGTTCGTGCTCTCTCCTGATTCACTTCCACCACGCCGATCGTATGTGTTAGAACTCATGCAAAACCTCTCGCGCTGAACCGCATCTTCACCATGTTATTTGTTCAGCTCGGTCGTCGAGGCATCTTTCCGGAAAATGGTCTCGGCATTCGCCAGTGCGATGTCTTCGAACAACCAGATCACCGCCGCTGCCCGAAAAAGAGGTGTCAGCACGGTCGGTGCAGCAAATGCAGTCCTTCGTAGTAGTGATATGAAAGATTCCGAATGACCGCCTTCTAAACTCGGTTTGTTTGCGCTCCAAGAGAAAAAAAGCACTGGGAGTCCCCTTGCATAGGCTGGTATCTGGTGATATTTGTTCACGGATTTATAACTGCATTGTCCGCATCTGATCCAGCGGACTAGCTACCGGCTGGATGAGGTCGGATGCTGACGGGCGTCGTCTTGCCACCATATAAAGAAGTAGTGACCTTCTGCCTTTTCCTGCGAGCGCCACCATTTGACTACTAGGCAATGGACAATGGGAAAACACGCACGCGTCATTATGTAAGCCTTGACGCGTCGGATTTCCTCCTTTCCCTCCTTTCCTTCCCTCTTTCTTGCCTCCCCCTCTTGCGCGCGAGCATTGCGGGTTGCATGGGCAATACATCAGGTTTGGAATAAACACCTTGGCGTGTTGTAGTATGCTTGTCAAATCATCCTTCCCCTCAGGCTGTGATATCATATGATGGCTGGCGTAAGTAAGCAAAACAGATTTAGCGATATGCATCGGTTTGGAGGCGGTGGGGGCCTATTGTAAAACGCAGATCTAGAAATTCACTCGAAACTCTTCGTTTGGAGCGAAAGAGGCCAAAGAGATCTGGCTGTTCAGTTCCAATAGTGATACAAATCTGTTTGCTTGTGATCTCTCGGTACCGGCCACCCTCGCCCTGTACATCCAGAACAGTGTTCCAGTCTTTATACACATTTTTCAAAGCTTTGCGAGCAGGCAACGGAAACCACAACACGAAAAAAGAGAGCCTCAAAAACGGGTCGTAGTCCATCAGACCGCTCAAACCACGGCCGAGACCACATCCGAGCAGCTAATCTCACGTACCAGCATGTTCCCACTCTCACGCCGGCCACCACAGCGGCCCATCCTGCTCCTCACCATACTCTCCCTCCTCTCCCTCGTGCACCCGACCCTCTCCCAATCCACCATCTCTCTGACAACCCAGCCAGGCCTCACGACCCCGCTCGACGCGCAATACGTCGGCTTTTCAATCGAATGGACGCATATCGACGACGCCATCGGGCTGGGCTACGGTGCCAGTCAGGGCGATGATCCGAGGACGAGTGTTATTGTGACGGGGCTTATGGATCAGTTGGCGCAGAGTGTGGGCGGGTGGCCGCCGCATGTGAGGGTGGGGGGGAATAGCGCGACGAGATTGTAGGTTCTGGGATCGGGTTGGTGCAGGAGGGCGTGTGGGGTGTGCGATCTTTGGTCTGGCATATGGCCTTGTCGCTGATGCATGTACTCATTGGACTGGTTCAGATGGTGGCAGGGCAGCACATTACCGCGCAACCCATGGAGTCTATGGGCAGTCAATGCGATGGAGCTGCAGATCTTGGAAAAGTTTTCGGTAAGCCCAAACGCACCAGACACACTACCGCATATGTGAAAGGGCAATGTGTGATCCGTCTCGCCGACTACCGCATTCTTCCCACGAACCATCTTACTCATAAGCCTTTTTGTCACCATGTGGAAGGAAACGACGGGATGCAAATTAACCCTCACGATCCCGATGCTGAACCCGGACCCAGCTTGTGAGTACAATCCATCCCCTGTCTCTATTTCACATCACGGGTCAAACCATGGCATCGCCTCCCGTTAATCTGTATGCTCAAACGTATGTCTCTAACTTCCGCCAGACGCCGTCGAGTTCCTCGTCAACGGCATCACCCGCCACATCTCCCAATCCAACATCTTCGCAATCGAGATCGGGAACGAGCCAGGTACCCCATCCACCCCCACCCCACGCCTCCATTCCCCTCCCCCACTCATCCCCCACCCTCCGGGGCTCCGCCGTCACACCCCCCACAGACCACTACGCGAAAAACGTCCGCCGCCCCGCCTCGTACGCCTTCCCCGACTTCCTCGCCGAATACACATCCACACACGCGGCCATCGTCGCGGCCCTCGGCACCGCGTTTCATTTCGACTACCAGGGCCCGGCGTACGCGTATCAGTGGACGGAGCAGTTCTTGGCGCCGTTTATGGATGCGCAAAGGAGTACGACGCGGTTTATTTCGTAAGTTGGATGGGGTTGTGAATGTGAGGCGGGCATGATGGCCGGGAGTTTCTGGGGGGTGTCGGAAAGCGCAGGACATTTTGGGTGTCATCCACGCGTTGAATTTTCTGAACCCTGTCAAACAGGTTCCACAAATACGGCATGCGCGGCTGCTCCACTCTCACCAACCCCGACGCCGTGACGCCCGAGATCATGATGGAGGACCCGTCGCCGGACGAGTACGAGTGGTTCACTCCGCTCGGGAAGATCGCTATCGGTGAGGGGTTGCGAGAAAAACAGCTGGTGGGCCGTCCCCTCCTCGTCTTTCCCGCGTGGCTCACCCTCTCTCTTCATTTCGAACAGCCAACAACCAGACGCTGGTTTGGGGCGAGGGCGGCAGCTCGTCGTGTAACGGCACGCAGGGCTCGTCGGATGCGTACGTGAGCGCGCTGTGGACGGTGGATATGTTGTTCGAGGTAACGTTGTCAATCCGCCCTCTCTGAAGCCATGGGCCAGTGAACCCACCCAACACATCCAAATCCCCCATCCCCGCTTCTAACATCCATCCCTCGCCCTGCCAGATGGCCTTCCGGGAAAGCAAACACGCCTCCATCTCCGGCGCCGGCCAGACCTGGTACGCCCCGTACGGCATCGACGACACGGTGTCCCGGATCACCGTTCGGCCAACGTATTACGGCATGCTCTTCGTCAACCGCGTGCTCCGCGGGCCGGGCTCCCAAGTATTTCGCGCGCCGCTGGACGGCGGGTGGGCGATGTTGGGCAACGCGACCAAGACGTGGGGGGTGGCCAATTCCGTGACGGGGGAAGTGAGCGTTGTGATTGTGAGGAAGGATGCGGGACAGGTTGGGGGGGTGACGTACAGTGTGGGTGTGCCGGCCAGCGTCGGGGGGAATACGACAGGATGTGGGGGGAGTACGCAGAACGTGAAGGGGTTCGTGAGCAGGTTGGAGTGTCCCGGGTGTGGCGGGGCCGGTGGGAACGCGGCGATGTTACGCGCGACGATCGGGTTGCGGGTAAATGGACAGTCGTGGGATGGGACGCTGGACGGGACGCCTAGTGGGAATTACACGGAGGAGGTGGTGGAGGTTGTGAATGGGGCGGTGAGCGTGGTTGTGCAGCCGTTGACGGCCGTTGTGGTGCGGTTGGGGTGTACGGCGGGATTGGTGGCGAGGCAGTACACGCCGCCGACGGTTGTGTTCAATGGGACGTTTGGGGATACCGGGAACGGCACGGCGGGGAATGTGCCACCGACGTGGGGAGATGCGCCGGGCGGCCCGACTTCTGCGGACGGGTCACAGCAGCAGCTGGTGAAGCCGTGGTACACGCACACGGGCACGATTATCACGATGGCGGTTGCGGGCGCGGTGGCGTGCGTCGGGGCCGGGCTGCTGGCGTTCACGATCATGCGGAACCGGCGTCGACGCAGGTGTGGCAGTCTGCCCCCGGCCAAACTGCGCGCGGCGAGGGCGTGGGCGAGTTTGAGTATGAGTAATGGGATCGCGGCGAAGGGGGCTCAGCAGCAGCAGCCGGATGCGCATGAGTTGACGATGATGGGGGTTGAGGATGAGGACGGTGTGGAAGACCAGGACGGGTTCTTGGCGCGATCGCATCCGCATCCGTTTGCGTCGAGGAACCCGTATTTGTATCGGCAGGGCGGGGAGATGGTGTGATGCATCGACAGTGCCGCTATACGGCTTTTCTATGGGCTCGCACACCTCAAACACCATAGCTGCTCAGAACGACGACGACTCTCTTTCACCATTCTCACAAGCCGTTCGGTGGGTCAATCGCTTCTCCTCCCGAGATATATCCCAGCTCGATAAAGACCGTTTCCAAGTTTCCCCATCCCGTATCGAACGTGTCACATATAGGAGCGTTTCTCTCTGTACATGTCAGCATGTGAATATTAGTGTATGTAAATTACGTGAATCAGAACATATCTGTGTGTAAACGTCCAAAAAAAAACAACCACTCATCTATGAGAGACGCGAGTCTGATCCACACCAGAACGTTCCGCCACAATCGGAACGGACAATGAGGCCACGAACCAGCAACAAATGGTAGGTTGAGCATGGTGTGTAGTATGTATGTACAGTATCCACATATTTACAGTGTGTTTGTGTGAGGAAGCAGCTGCGGGCAAATGCCCAATGGATTGCGCCAGGAGGAGGGCAGCGTTGAAGACGCCCAAAGAAGGTCCGGGGTTTTCCGACGAGGGGAGGAAGGTCCTAAAACTTCTTTGCAATGACGATCACCAGGATGAGGATGCCGACTAGTATGCAGATCAGTGTGTTTCCTATGCCCCGCCGAAAAGTCAATTATCAGCGCTTTTGCAAGGTACCCCATTCCCCGCCTGCTCGCAACCGCACCCACCTTTCGAATTCCTCGACCCACTTAACAAAACCTGCTCCAACCGCCGCCCGGCACCCTGCAACCTCCTATGTGTGTTATCCACCCTTGTCTCGGTCTCCTCCAATAAATCAACATGCAGATCCAGCTCGTCGTTGATCATGAGGCCGATCTGTTTTTGGCGACCGATGGTTTCGGCCAGTTCGTCGAGTTGGTTGTCTTGGTCTATTGAGCAGGAGGGTGAGCATGATGGGAGTGGGGTTGACAAGGAGTGGGGACATGTAGACGCACCGTCCATTATCCGTTGATGTAGCTGTAAGGATGAGCCGGCGTCCATTTCTATCCCGTCGTTGGACTCGGTTCCGTCGAAGGGTTCGGTGAAGCGGACCGTTTTGCCTTTTGCGGAGTTGCCTGATGATGGGCGGGCCAGGAGCTCCTTTCTGCGAAGTGCGATGGGTGGTTCATGAGTGAGGGAGTCCAACCACCCTATGACGTTCGCCCGCGCCGGGAGACGCCCCTATTTTACACTTACTTGGCCAATAGATGTGCGCCGTCCTCACCCCGGGACATCACATCCAGCCGATCGTGCGTTTGACTGAGTTGCAGCACCGACTCTTCCCATCTGCGGAGCTCTGTCACATCTCTACAACAGGCGAATCAGCTATTGCCCTCGGCAAACTCATCTATGCCGTCATGCGCAGAGTAGCAGTACCTCCCGCCTGCATCCTCCGCCTCGGACAAACTCTGCTCCAACCGCCCTATTCCATCCTTCATCGTCGCGAGGTGTCGTTTAATCTTCCCATCCTGCTCGGAAGTATCGAGCCCTGCCCGTGTTGCGTGTTTCTTTTCGAGTATCAGAGCTGATATATCTTCGCCGAGGAGGGTCAGTGTGAGTTGTTGTTTTTCCCTAGGGGGGCCAGATGGGGTGAGTGAATCCAGTCGATATGGTTTCCTTGTGACGGAGTAGACCGCTAGCTCCCTCCTCCTGGATACTACTATTCGGTAAGACATACATACCATGCCGGGTTGTTTTGTGGGCGACCTTTCTCCAGGTCGGTGTAGTTTGACATTGTCTGGCGTGACCGTCTCTGTAGTGGCACTGGGGATGCGGAAACTGTCGGTCTCCGACCTCCGAAAGTGAAGTTGAGTAGCTGGGTGTTTGCCTGCGTAACTGAGCGAACTGAGGGAAGTGAGGGAATCGGTTTCTCCACGCGGGTTGTCCTCCCTCCCTCTCAGTGCGCACAGGCGAGACCCTCCTTCTGAGTCCCTTGAGCAGCCAGCAAGAGAGCACGCCCCCAGACAGCCGCCCGCCCGTACGAGGCAACCCCAGCCTTCTCCTCCTTCTCGCTCGCATAGGGACCCATAGAGCCCAGCTCCAGATCCAGCTCCCCGCCCGCAGATACCTCACCCGCCCGCAAAAAATGTCGCTCCCGTACGGCAACACTTCGCCGTCAAAGCACTACCCGCCATCAGCCGCCTCCCCTTCACCACACCAACAACAACAACAACAGCAGCAGCAGCAGCACTACCACCACCACTCCACCTTCTCGCCAAATTCCTCCTCATCTCCCTACCTCCAAAATGGCGCCCTCCCGCCACTTCCGGCAACTTCATCCCCACGCGTCCAACGCTCACTCACAAGCGACACACCAATCTCAACAACGATCAACATGAACGGGCTCGGCATGGGGGGCGGGTCACGGCCCGGCACGCCGTCCAAAGCCCAAGCAGCGGCGGCCATGACTCCCTCCGCGCGGTACGCCACGACGAGTCTCGCGGACACCATCTCGCAGCACACCACCGATCTGGCGTCGGGGCTAACGACGCAGGAGGCGGGCTACCGACGGCAGATCCACGGTGCGAATGAATTGACGCCGACGGATGCCGAGACGTTGTGGTCAAAGTTTGCGGAACAGTTCAAGAATCCGTTGATATTGTTGTTGTTTGGGTCCGCGGCCGTTTCGTTGCTGTTGGGGGAGGTGGATGATGCGGTGAGCATTGCGCTTGCGATCGTGATTGTGGTCACCGTGGCGTTTGTGCAGGAGTATAGGAGCGAGCAAAGTCTGGAGGCGCTGAACAAGCTGGTGCCGCACTACTGCCACGTGTTGCGGGATGGTGGGCAGTTGAGCACTGTCCTGGGGACGGAGCTGGTGCCGGGGGACGTGGTGCGGTTTAGCACCGGGGACCGTATCCCCGCCGACGTGCGGCTGGCGACCGCGCACGATCTGCAGATTGACGAGTCGAGCTTGACGGGGGAGAACGAGCCGTGTGGGAAACATCATGATGTCGTGGAGGGCGATAGCGTCGACTTACCCCTCGCGGACCGGCGGAATATCGCATTCATGGGCACGCTGGTACGGAACGGGCACGGGTCGGGTATCGTGGTCGGCACGGGCACCCACACCGAGTTCGGGATGGTGTTCAGCATGATGAAGGAGGTCGAGGTGCGCAAAACACCGTTGCAGATGAAGATGGACCATCTCGGCAAACAGCTCTCGCTACTCTCCTTTGTCATCATCGCCATCATCACCCTCATCGGCATCGCCCAGGGCCGCCAGTGGCTCGAGATGTTCACCATCGGCGTCTCCCTCGCCGTCGCTGCCATCCCGGAGGGTCTCCCCATCGTCGTGACGGTAACCCTCGCCCTGGGCGTGCTCCGCATGGCCAACCGCCACGCGATCGTCAAAAAGCTGCCGTCGGTCGAAGCCCTGGGATCAGTCAACATCATCTGCGCGGACAAGACGGGCACCCTGACGATGAACAAGATGACCGTGCGCAAGATCTTCACCCTCGCCCAGCAACGGGTCGTTGACCTCGAGGAAGCGGCCGACCGCGATATGGTAACGTTACCCGCCCCGATGATGCTGTACAAGATCGGCAATCTGTGCAATAACGCGCATGTCGATGAGAGCGGGCATACGGTCGGGCAGCCGACTGAGATTGCGTTCTTGGAACTGAACCGCCGGCTCGGATTACCTGATGAACGTGTGCAGGCGACAAAGGTCTCGGAACAGCCGTTCAACGCCGAGCGGAAGTGGATGGCTGTGGAATACCGCAGCAACACCACGCAGCAATTCACCACCGCCGCGCACTCCCCCTCGCCCACTCCCCAACAACAAACACTATTCTACGTAAAAGGCGCAACCGAACCCGTCCTCGCCCGCTGCAAACGCTACTACGTCGGTCCTAACGACGAACGCGTCCTTGACGCCTCGGTGCGCACCCTCGCGGAAACGATCGCGCAGACGGTCGCCCAGCAAGGGTTGCGGCTGCTGTTCCTGGCGTATGGACCGCGGTTGGATGATCTGACCCTCGTCGGCTTTGTCGGGATGTACGACCCCCCACGGCCCGGTGTACCCGAGGCGATCGAGACGCTTGTGAAGGGCGGGGTAAGGATGATGATGATTACCGGGGATTCGGGTGAGTTCTGGCCAAAAAGACGTGTCTTTCCTCTGCGTAACACTCTACAGGTCCGTGTTTTTCTGACCGGAAATCTTATTTACGTCAAACAGCCGGAACAGCAACCTCCATAGCCCACCAACTCGGCATTCCCCTCTCCCCCACCTCTTCCACCGCCATCCTCTCCGGCCCAACCCTTGACACCCTCTCCCCGCACGACCTTCCGCACGCCCTCAGCACCTGCTCAATAATCTACCGCGCAACCCCTAAACACAAAATGGCCATCGTCCGCGCCCTCCAATCCACCGGCAACATCGTCGCCATGACCGGCGACGGGGTCAACGACGCGCCCGCTCTGCGCCTATCCGATATCGGCATCTCGATGGGGAAGAGCGGCACGGACGTCGCGAAGGAGGCCGCGGACATGATTCTGGTCAACGACGATTTCGCGACGGTCTTGTACGCGATCGAGGAAGGCAAATCCATTTTCTACAATATCCAGAACTTCCTCCGGTTCCAGTTATCCACCTCCTTTGCGGCGCTGTCCTTGATCGCCATCGCCACATTGGTCGGGTTACCCAACCCCTTGAACGCGATGCAGATCCTGTGGATCAACATCATCTGTGACGGCCCCGTTGCGCAGTCGTTGGGGGTGGAGAAGGTGGATCCGGACGTGATGAAACGGCCGCCGAGGGTTCAGAGTGAGCCGATTGTGAACAGGGAGCTTGTGGGGAGGGTGTTGGGGAGCGCGGCGGCGGTGGTGGTCGGGACGGTGTTTGTGTATGCGCAGAATGTGGTGCCGGATGTCGGGGGTGCGGTCGGCGTGGGGGATGTGCCCGGGGTGGAATTGGATGAGGCGACGAGGTTGGCGAGGCGGGGGACTACCATGGTATGTGTATACACACACACTCTCTCTCCTCATCATCATCTGCACCGAAGCTCTCCTCCCCGGTGACGATCGATCCTAACACCCTCCCTTTCTTGTTTTCACCCCCAGACATTCACAGTCTTCGTCCTAACCTCCCTCTTCAACGCGCAAACCTGCCGCTCCCCCACACGTTCCCTCCTCTTCGGCCCGCGCGCGCTGGGCCTCTTCACCAACAAGCTGTACAACCTCTCCGCTCTCCTCTGCGTTCTCTTCCAGTTCGCCGCGGTGCATACGCCCTTTCTGCAGAAGGTGTTCCAAACAACCCCGTTGAGTTTCGGCGATTGGCTCGGGTTGTTTGGCGTGGCCGCTGGGGTGTTGGCGGTTGATGAGGCGGGCAAGTGGTGGAGACGGCGGAGCCGCGTTGGGGGGTGGACTGAAGCGGGCGCGGAGCGGAGGGGGAGTAGTTACCCCGCGCCACCGCCGCCGCCGATGATGTCGCCCCAGTTGAGGACGCCCGCGGCGGTGGGGGGGTGGGATGGGTGGCGGGAGCGGGCGATGGGGTGGTTGGCACCTGTGGGGGATGGGGGTGCGGAGGCAAAGGCGTGGAAGGATGGAGGGTATGAGACTAGGCTACCGCTTGTCGGGGGGGAAAGTGTGTAGGGAGGCGGGGATGGCGATCGACACGTTTCTCAGCGGCCGACCGTTGGATGCCCGCCGTGATTCCCCCCATCCCCTCGGTGCCTTCCTCTCGCGGTTCGCCCCCACAGATCTGCCCCTCAACCCTCGAATACGTGACCACCACCAGCTGCACGCATCGCATCGGAAAAATCCACCACCCCGCATACCGGTGGATACGCACATTAAAACATCACATAGCCAACCCTTCCCCCCGCGTCGCTGTACCCTTACGGCCGCATTCTGTTCGTAACATTCCCACCCCCCTGACGCCGAATACGCATAGACTTCTGAACATACATATATACCCGCCACTGTAAAACGTTGTCGATTGGGGAGGAACAGGGACTCGGCTGATCGGGTGGGTGTGAATAGATGACATGACCATGCAAGTGACACCCCCTGTACCTCCCACATCCGAACTTTCTCTTGGGAAACGTTTCGTATGGAGAATGCCCGACGATGCCTTGGCCCTACCTTCCATTTACCAACCGTGATACGAGGCCTAGTCGTCGGAAACGCAGGAATTGACCGTATGCCTCCACAACAGCCTACTATTTACCAACTACCTTCGTCTACATTACGTGCCTCCGACCTCTACCATGCAGATACAAATACGCCATGTCCGGGGGTTCTGAAGCGGGGGGATGTCCTCATCCGACCTGCTCGTCCGTCTTGTGCGAAAGCCGCGCGCACCAGCTATTAGTGGGTATATTGGGGGGGAAGGCGCCGTGAGGGTCCATGCGAGGGGGGATGGATGTCCACTCCTCCCGTTTATCTATTCGAGGGGAGGGAATACGCCGTGCAATGGAGTGCCCACCGGGCGGGGAGTCACCGTCGCGAGCGCTGGGGAAATGGGACGCCTCGGGGTGTCGGGCAAGATGATCCAAGAAGGGGTGGGTCGTCACCCACGTGTCCGGCGTCGGGCGTGGGTGATATCGTGCACTGTCCGTCAGAACAGATCCCCGTTTTCCGGCGGGATCCGGGTTGTCGCAGGGTCCACACCCGCCGCCTCGGAGGATAGCTTCACGCCTCAGATGCCGTTTGCACCCCCTTCGCCCTCCCCCTCCTCCTCCGCCTCCCGCGCACCGCCCCTTGCAAACTTCCCCAACACCGGCACACTGATCTCCGTATCGACATAAAACTCCATCAAAAAATTCTCCAGCGCCCTCAGATGCCTCTGCTCAGCCGCCGCTGCTCCCGACGCCGTTGTGGTGGGTGTGTACGGGAACGCCGAGCTGGCTGCGGAGAGGGGTGGTGGTGGGGAGAGGAGGCTGGGTGTCGGGGTGGGTGGTGGGGCGGCTGGTTTGGCGGAGGTGGTGACGGTGTGCGTTGTGACACCCTTCACGTCTCGCGTGTCACCCGCAGCCGCCACCACAGTCCTCCCTTGCTTCCCCCTCCGTCTCCTGGCTCTCGGCACCGCAACATCCGCCAACGTAGTGAACTCGCCATACTTGCTGTGTAGATACACCTTCATCTGCCTCCCAAACGCCGCGTGGATGAATCCGAACGGCTGGAGGCGGCGCGATCCGAAGAGGAAGATGAAGAGGGTGGTGAGGAAGGAGAGGACTCCGCCCATTGCCACGAAGATGTCGATCGGGGTGTAGGATTGCTCTTCTCGGTTGACGACGGCGTCGTAGAAGTTGGGGATGCCGAGCTGGGTTAGTTCGTTGATGAGGGAGACGCGGAGGTAGATGCTGGGGATGCGATGGGGAGCGGGGGGGAGAAGTCAGCGGAGGGAAGGACGACGGAGCATGAATACCAGCCCCGCGTGCGTAATGGAAAGTCTGCGACAAACGTAGGGACAGCTTACCTGGACGTCCGCCCGGTCGCCTTCCTGGCGGCCTGATCGTAGTTCCTGAGCGCCGGTGAATAGTAGAAAGAAAGAGACTGACCGAGCGTCCATCCAATCTTGACCTGCTCATCCTCGCGCAACTTCTGGTCAAATCCGTACGTGAGATACACGTCCAGCGTGTTGTTATAGATGACCGCGGCGGGGAGGGCCGAGAGATGGAATTCGTCCGCGTTGGAGGGGAAAATGGCGGTATGCATCCTATCGCTGCGGAAAGGCCACTCTTTTCCACCCTCGCATATGCGCCCCGAGTCGTTGCGGTAATGGTATCCGCAATTCACGCTGGCGATGCTTGTGCTGAAGTTCGGGTCGCTGGTATTCGAGTACGCCGTGAATTGCAGCGCCGGATCAGGTGCGAAGCGGTGGCAGGGCACATTGGCGTCTTCGGGCAGTTTCCATGATTGCCAGGCCGCTTGAGATGGTAAGCTGATGGGATATACGTGGTGGGTGAGATCCACCGTGCGCACTTCGTTCTGGTCCTGCGGGACAATCTCGCCTATGCAAACGGCTTCGGCGTCGCCGAAGGCGGAGGATGTCGCACATTGGGACTTGTAGTGCGCTGGATTGAGGCAAAAGATGATATGCGGGAGGTCTAAGGTTGTCCTTCTGACAGTGGACTTTATCAGAGGTGTCTGGGGAGAGTGTGAATCGGGTTAGAAGAAAAGGCATGTGCGAGTATGGCTTCGCCATCATCCCTTCCCCCAATCCAATATCCATACCTGCTCGAGATACCGGTGAACATTGACCGCACTGGCAGTGAGAAACATAGCCGCCATAAGCGTCACCGCAAACGTCCGCAGCCTCCTCACGCTAGCCGGGAACGGCACGGGTTTGCTCGCCGGCGCTCCTTCTCCAAAACTGATACCACTGACAGCGGAAGCCGGACTGAAGACGGTCGACGTGCTGGTTAGTGGTGTGGCGGGGGAGAGGAGGTGGCTGTCCGCGGCGGGCGAGGCGTGACGGAGGTTGGAGGTGGAGAGTGCGGCAAGCTGGCGGACGCGGGGGTTTGAGGAGCGGGGAGCCAGAGGAGTGGACTCTATGGGTTCTAGCGAAGGACTTGTGGTGAGAGTGACGGAGGGAGGCAGTGTGGAGAACGGCGGCGGCGGGAGCTCCGAGTCTGGAGTTGCAGCTGGAGGTGTTCCTTCCAGCGGGGACATATTGAGGGGGCGTGATACTTTTGGCGAAAAAGAAGTTCTAGAGTGAACCTGAATAGTCTAGCGGTGCCTGAGTAACCGAGCCTCACCATATAAGACCTTCTGGGGGATATGCGCTGTCCCTCTGCCGGTGCGCCCGTCGGTTGAGCGTGCCGTGCTGTCTCAAAAAAGCGGCTTGAGAGGCTCGAGGCTCGAGGGGAAACACGCGCTGTCAGTCGAGGCGTCAGAACACTCTCGTCTCCTATCAGTTCCTATAGCAAGCGTAGAACACTCTCTACCCCCAACTCACAACACATACAATACATACACTAGTACACTCACTACATGCCATAATGGACCTGGTCAACACAGCCTCCCTCGGCCCGACCTCCCTCGACAACATCCGCGCAGAGCTCGTGCGCATGGAGGACTCTATCATCTTCGGTATCACCTCGACATTTTGAAACCCCGCTCGCTCCATGAGGATAACCACTCACGCAACGCCTTTCTATCGTCGTTCTTACAGCACTGATAGAACGAGCGCAGTTCGCTCAAAACACGAATATCTACCAGAAGGGGTTCTTTGAGGGCCTCGACTCGAGTTTTATGGAGTTTTTGCTGCACGAGATAGAATGCGCTCATGGTGAGGAAAAGAAAAGGGGACGGAGAGAAGGAGGCCATATCCGACCTAGGAGCGCTCCCCAGCGTTGGGGTTCCACCGGTCTGCCATGAAGCTATGTGCGTTGTTTGTTCACTGACGCATACGTTCGTCCTGTTGTCTCGCGTCTCGTCTAGCCAAAGGCCGCCGGTACACAAGGTAAGGCTGTGTCCCCTTCCGAGTTCCTCCATCTCCATCCCTCCGCTCACTCGCATCTAGTCCCGATGAATACCCCTTCACCTCCCCCCTCCCCCCACCCGTGCTGCCCGCCCTCTCCTTCCCCCCATTACTGCATCGCAACACCATCAACCTAAACGACCAGATCATGGACATCTACATCACCAAGATCGTGCCCCAGCTCTGTCCGAAAGGCGATGACGCGAATCATGGGAGCGCGGCGGCGAAGGATGTGGATGCGTTGCAGTTGTTGAGCCGCAGGATACATTACGGTGGGTTGATGTGCAGGACGTGGGACCATGTGAGGTGGGGGGATCCCATGTTGATTCGACTTACGCTTCTCCGCCCATAGGAAAGTTTGTGGCCGAGGCCAAGTTCAACGATCCGGAACACCACGACCTGTACGTCGAGCTGATCAAGGCACAGGACGGTGACAAGATCATGGTATGAAACCCAAAACACAGATCGATATCCGAAGATATTGCATCCCGAGACTCGTTGCTCAGCGTGATTCCTCACACATGCATGTTTCCCCCTCCCCCATCTCCTGACTTGGTTCCCACCCTATTCTGCAGGATCTCCTAACAAACCATACGGTCGAACGCCGTCTCCTCCGCCGTCTCCGCCGCAAAGCACTCATCTACGGGCAAGAAGTCGATGAAGATGACGACGAGCTCCCCACGCCGACACACACCACCCCCAACAATCACACCCACAATCACAATCACACACATCCATCAACCACAACCACACCAACAACACACCAAAAACCCGACCCATCGACAAAAACACCCCGTCTGTCCCGCGACGTCGTGGCAGACATGTACGAGCGGTTCGTGATCCCGCTGACGAAGCAGGTGGAGGTGGATTACCTGTTGACGCGGTTAGGGTGATGTCCCTTGGCATTAACGGTAATGATGGTCATTCGTGCCCGCTGTGAATTTTGGGGTCGTGATATGCGAGCACCCCCTTTTTGTATAGGCAGTTTGGTCCGCATAAGCTACTACGTACTCGTTTAATTTTCGCATTTCATGTAATCCACAGTAATGACACATCGTATCAACATAGATCAGAACTGCGTTCGGAGGTTTTGGAATTGATGGTATTTCCAAACGACATGTCCCCGCCTCTCTCGCGCGAGGTGGGGGTATGATAAGCCGGGTTGTCATCTCAGAAGACATGAAGGGCCCATATCGGCCTCTCTCGAATACAAGCATGCGCATTACATGCCCCCAGCACAAAACGGGTTCCCTCCCAACTTCTAAACCAGCCGACAGCGCCCCCACCACACTCATTGCCGTATAAAAGTCGGCTGCGGGGCCGGCGCGCTATACGGATTCAACGGATTCGCCACGGGCGCAGGCGGTGGCGGGGCTCCCATCCCAATCATCGCCGCCCTCCCACTATCCATCGCGCCAACCGCACTCCCAGCACCCGGCGCCGCAGGAGCCTGGCCAGGAAACGCCGGCGGGGGCGGCATCCCCATCCCCATCCCCATCGGCGGCATCCCCACGGGCATCCCCATCCCCATCCCGGCAGCCCTCTCCGCCCTAAAGAAAAACTGCAAATGAAACTGCCTCGCATCCGGATCCCAGAACGTCCAAAACCTTCCCTCAGCGCCCGTATCGATCTCCTTGCTCTGCACCTTAAACGCGATCGTCTCATACGGTTCCGCCGCAAACAGCAGGTACTGGAACGCGCGGTTGGGTTCCTCCTGCCGCTGCTCGTACGCCGACATGAAGCGGTGCCGCGGCTTGATCCCCTCGGCGGCTTCGGGGTACTGGATCTGGAACAGAAGCCCGAGCTGCCGCGTCGACGGGTCCCGGATCTTCGTCACCTTGTACCCCGGCCGCCCGATCTTCACCGCCACTTTCTTGGGCACGATCCGCGGCCCGACACCCCCCGTCGTCGACCCGTCCGTGAGAAGATGCTGCGCCGTCCCGACGTTCTGCGAATCGTGCGCATCCTTCGCCGCCCGGCGCGCGAGATTGGTCTGGTGCTTCTTCCCCTGCGTGTGCGCGAGGTACGAGCCTTCGTTGTTGTGCAGCGTGAGGCAGAGCTTGCATTCGTACGAGCCGAGATGGTTCTTCATGAAGTATGGGTCTTTTGCGAGGTCGATTGTCTCGAGCGCGAGTTTGCGGAGACGCTCGCGCCGGTCCACGTTGGATTCGGAGCCGCCGGCTACGCCGCCCGAGCCGGGTTTGGAGCCTGCGCGGTTTTGGAAATCCATTTCGGGGGTGGCAAAGGTTGGTGGTAGCGGTGGTTGGTATCGCAGGTACTGTACTATCGCTCTCGCTATGGATCGAGGGTAGGGCGAATGTGGAGGGTCTTTTCAAAGTTTGTGAACAGATCAAGTGTCGAGTTGCTGGATGACCTGCTTGGCAATTCAGTTCTGTTGAGAGAGCGCCGGCCAGGAAGAGAACAGACTGAAGCCAAGGGGAGTCTGGTGTGTTGCTGAGCAAATGGGCAAGCCGATCTTGCTGTGAGCTGTGTGGGATTTTCTGGGTTCAGAAAGGGCGAAAGTCCCCAGAGATCCGTCAAGCAAAGGTGAGACTGGGAGGAGATGCTTTTCGACACTTTTCGACAAGCAAGTGCTCCATGCCAAACGCACATCCCCATGTACCAACCAGTGAGTAGCCAGCCAACACCGTCCACCCCCTCCCTACCTTGCAACCTCTCCCCTCACCCATACATCACACACAAGAAAAACGCACAAAACCGCTCAAATGAAGCCCAAAAAATCACTATTGCGTTTAGAAGTGGGAGGCACTCCCCAAAAAAGTTTTCGTACGCCGCAGCGGGGCATCCCACAAAATAGAGATAGATAAACCCCACATAGCATCACTCCGCCCCCGCCCCCTTCTTCGCCTTGACCGTCTTCGCCTTCTTCTTCGGCGGTGCGCGCGGGCGTGCCGGTGCCGGTGCCGGTGCCGGTGCAGGCGCCGCCGGCGTCTTATTCTCCGGCTTCACACCCTTCACCGCCGCTTTCTTGGCGCCCCCAGCCGCCTGCGTTGTTGTCGGTGTGCCGACTTTGGCGGTCGCCGCTGTTGGTTTTGTCGGTTGTTTCGTTGCCGGTTTTGATGGACCGCCGGGGGTGATTTTGGAGGGGTTGGTCGTTGTTTTGGATGGGCCGGCGGGTTTTCCTGCGGCGACGGGTTTCGGCGGGACGGTCGTCACGGGTTTTGGTGGTAGGGCGGCGGGGACGGGTTTCGGGAGGGGTTGTGGGACGTCTGATAGAGAAGAAAAGTGTCACCATGGGATCTCGGCGGTACAACGTGAAAAGGGGTTCCAATTCCCGTCCTTGTCAACTAACCCTTCTTCAAAATATCCGATATCTTCGTATGCACCAACTCCACGTACGTCTTGAGCTTTCCGATATGCGTGATGGCTGCGTTCTTGTCGCCAAGCGGAAACCTGGAGTAAAATGAAACAGAAATGTCAACCAAAGTGCCCTATAGTAAAAGCTGATGAGGGTTCGAGTCCTACTTCAACGTCGTCCCCAGCAGCCGCCCCGCGCCCTTTGCATTCCCTAATCCTCTGCCCCACCGGAAAATGCAGTGGAATTGACCGCCGGGGGCTTCGTAGATGTTGACGACGCAGTACATTGTGACTGGGGGGGGAAGCAAAACATGGTTGATTTGAGATGGGAGATGCGGAATGCGGACATGGGAGGACCTCGACATACCACCGGTCCTCTCAAACTTCTGCTCCCACGACAAAGACCTGACGAGCAGGTTCGAGTCGGCGTTCAGGGTGCAGTTGCTTAGTTGCTTGATCTCCGCGCCTGTATGAAAAAAAACGACAACAACACAACTCTTATTTGATAACCCTCCTCACACCAAAAGCATAGTAGGAAGCATGCTTGCCACCACCGGCATACCTTTAGCCTTGACCTTATCCGCCAACGTAATCAGCGGTATACTATCCGCTCTCGCCTTCTTCTTGCGCCATTCCTCGACGAAAATGGATCGAGCCCATCTGCCGCGGCTGCCGTCTGTAAGCCACATACAAACCACCCAACAAGAGACGACAGCATGCAACGCAAGAAAGACACCTACGTGGGATGAAACTCGCGCTTTTCATGCTACGCCAAAATGAACCACAAGCGATTAGCCCTACAAAGCAGGTTACCGAGACCCCCTTGAAAGCTCTCGCATACATACATCATCCATAAACAACATCATCCGATCACTCTCCCGTTTCTTCTCATCATCCTCCGCCTTCGCCGCCCAGTCGCGGGGTCGTTTGCGGGGGATCGAGTATTTCATCCCGTTGAATGCGTCCAGGTTCGCTTGGTGCGCTACGTTCGGGTTCAGGTCCAGGTTGAGGGGTTCGCTCGTGCTTACCTAGGACGTCAAAACTCAGTAAAAATGCCGCGTTTCATGAAAGCGGCAATGAGGCTGGGATAAACTCACCAAAGCCCTCGCCTCGATATCCAACGCCATATCCTGCGCAAGAACCTGCTGCGTCGTCGCGTTCTTCCCGAACGAGTAGACATCCGACCACAGACTCTGCGGGGTGGGTCGTAAAACCAACTGCCGTACATACGGGCGCGCGGTGGAGTCATCTCCGTCCATCGCGGACCCGTCTTTTGATTTCGCATGGCTCTGTCCGTGCAGCGTGACGCGGTAATCTCGGAGCTCGACGAGGACGCAGCCTGGTGGCGGTGGGGGGATACATAGCTCAGCCCCCTCACTAAATGTGAACAATGCCCCTGCACTCTGGGAGTTTTTTACCTTGATGAAAATCAACCGGCTTGAACAAACTCGTCGCATGCGGCGGCAGCTCTTGTCGATTCACCGTCTCCAGAAACTCCTACCGAGCCCAACACACGCATAAGCTTCCCCCCACTTCGAGGCCCCTTCCCCACCAGTGCGATTCCACACCTTCAATGGCCCACCATACTGATGCGCCGCCTCCTACAAGGGGCACACGGGTCGTCAATACCCTCCTCCCGCGGGTTATAGTAGTGGTTGTTGAGGGCACCTACCCTATGGTCGAACGTAAAATGCGTGCGGTAGAGGTTGATAACCAGCGCGGGGTTTTCTACAAACCGTCCCATAAATCACATGACCACAAGACCAACCGCAGAACAGAACACAGTACATACTCTCTACAGTCGCTGAGGGCTGGTGATCACATCCCGTAGGAGAAGAGAGTCAGATATCACTGCATCACCCAACATTGTTGTTCGAAGGGGAACAGGGGCGTACCTTTTTGAGTTGTGACATGACGAAAGAGCCTCGATGGTTTTGAAGGGTGCTCTATCTGGAAAGGAAGACACAGGCAGAAGGTATTCGAGAGGGGTGTAGGGGTTGAATGTGGGTGTATAGATATCTCTGTGATATGGGTGACGGTGGGAAGTGTGCGACATTGTGGAGGCATGTGGGGGCCGCCGCACTTCCCGACGCGTTTGTCACTCAGAGAAAGGGACTCAGGCCACTCACGCTCCGACACCATCCATTGTGCTGTATAATATGCATCAACATTGTGCTTACAGGTTTCAACGAAAGAAGAGATGAACGGCATGGTAAAAGAATGTACACAAAAGGTCCCCAATACGACTCGCCCCTCGTGTCCTGTCTGTCTTGAGGCGGTCAACAGACAAACCACCCACCCTTTCAAACATCGACACCCATCCCCGCCAACCTCCTTTCCAACTCCTCAACCCTAACCCGAAGCGCGCGGTTCTGTTCCGCCAACCCATCGTCCTGTATCGGTACCGGTATCGGTATCGGCGGCGTGAGTGTAACTTGTAATCCCGCCGAACTCAATGCCGGTGTGGTCGTCGTCGTCGTCGTCGCTGTCGTAGTAGGGGTAGAGGTCGGTATTTTCGCAAAGGAATCAGCCGTGGGCGTCGTTTGATCGGTGGGTGACCCAATCGGGGTCTGACACCCCCCACCCACCACAGGCTCATCAACCCAAACCAACAACTCCGCCGCCCCCGGCCTCCCCCCCGGCCGTCCACCCATCATACTTCTCATCCACCCAGTTTCAACCGGGAACCGCGCCTCAAACCCCTTTGGAAACACCCCCGAACGCAAATGAGCGAGATGTTGCGCGCGTTCCATTTGGGTTGAGAAGGGGTTGAGGAGCTCGAAGAGGATGATGCCTAGGGAGTAGATGTCGCTGGCGGGCGTGTAGGGGGTGGTGGGGGAGGGGTGGAGTTGTTCGGGGGAGGCGTACTATGGGGAGAGATGGGGGTTCAGTGATTCGCAGTGAAGGACGATGGAGAGAAGGTGATGTGGGGTGGGACTTACGGTGAACGTCCCAACCCCAGCCGTCCGATCACTCCCATTCTTCGACCGCTTCGACGTCCTCGACGAGCTCTGTCTCCTCCTATTCACCCCCTCACTCGACCCAACCCCCGCCTTCGGAGTCCCTGCACGCCATTTATCCAGCGACTCAACCGATGCAGGCGACCCAACCGGCGTCTCCTTCCCACTCTCTCCCCCACTCTCACACTGGGTGTCATCATTCAACTCACTAGCAGTAACTAGCCCAAAATCCCCAATCTTCCACACCCCGCCTCGTCCATCCCCCCTCCCCACTCCATGCCTCTCCTTCCAGTAAATATTCTTCGGCTTGATATCCCTATGTATGCATCCCATACTATGCACATACAACAACCCTTCCACCAGGTCTCTAAAGATCCACCGTGCTTCATCAACATCCAACGTTTGAGAGGGGTCGGAGGCGAGAAGGGCGTTACGTTTACGGAGATGGTCTTGTAAGGTGTGGGAGCAGAGTTCCATTTGGATGAGGAGGGTGAGGTTGACGTCGTAAGGGAGGGTGGGGAGGGAGAGGGGCGGGGAGGTGGCGAGGAGGGGGGTGGAGAGGTTGCGGGAGACGAGGGATTTTATGGCGGCGGGGAGGGTTGAGATGTCGTTGAATGTGCGGCGGGGGTTGGTTTCTTCTTGATAATGGCCGTTCTCATCGTTGACATCATTGTCTTCCTCGTTTTCTGGGGTGTGCGGAACCTGCGACGGCTTCCTGAAGAAACTTTTCTTGGGTGTAGCTGTAGCCTCGTTATGTGAATTCGAAGCGGAGGTCGACCAGTCTTCCGACGACTCGGTGAACACATCCGGCGAGGGGGTTCCAGTGGTATCGTCAATGACAGGCTCTGCTTCCTCCGCAAACACAATGTCCAGACTGTCTTCATCACCGGACGGCGCCAGGCCCAGATCACTGTCCGAAGTAAGGACCTCCGTGATCCGACTGTCCGTCCATCTGTCCTCAGTCGTGCTGCTTCGGTACGGGATGTTAGAGGGAAGTGTGTCAACCGTCCTGCTCGCCGTCTCGAAATCGCTCTGGAAGTGGTCATCAGGATGCTGGCCCGTGTCCTGCTTCACCCCCGCTCCATCAGGTACACCCCGATGAGTTGAATGCTCGGCAATATCCTCGACCCACGCCGAAAAGTAGCGGACCACATTCGGGTGGTGCAGCTTCGCCTGGAACTTGACTTCCCGGAGGATCCGCTCCAATGTGTTGGTGCCGAGCTTCAGACGGACTTTCTTGACGGCGTATTCAATGCCGTCCAACCTGTTTCGCACGCGGTACACTCGTCCGAACGCGCCACGGCCCAGAACGTTCATTTCTTCGAAATCCTCGGAGTATCGCGAGGCATGCGCATCCCACACAGACGGGCTTCGGTGTGTGAGCTGGACGCGACGGTTGCGCGTGAAATTCGAGTCGCGCGGCATCAGAGGGGATACGCAGCGGGTCCCGTCGAGGTTATCAGCCTGCCTAGTCGACATCAGCGGCGATTTCCCGCCACCGCCGCCATTAGGATGTTGCACCCTGTCAAACTCCTTCGCTTCAAACGGGAGCGCCGACGGGCCTTCCTGCTCTTTGATGGCGTCCATGGCGCGGATGACGAGATCCCTGAACGCTCGCTTGTATGCGCCGCGGACGCTGGCTAGTTCGTCGAGGAAATCGTGCGCCTCGATGATCCCCATCGACGCGAGCTGTTTGCAGATCACGTAGAATAATCGGCGGTTGCGTTCGGGCGACTCGTCGTAGAGGGCGCAGAAGTTTTCGAGCATGGATACGAGGAGTAAGCGGCCTTGTCGGGTTCGTCGTTCCTCTTCGTGGTGCATGCGACGGCGGAGGGACGTTTGTCGACGGATCATGGCGGCTGACGCTGGGCCTTTTGGCGTCCTTGACCGCCGGCGGCGTGACGAGCCGGCGCGTGGATGCTTTTCGGGGCTGGAGCCGGGACTGGTGCCTGTGAGATGGTGGTCATGATCACCGTTGGACGTATACGGGTCGGCATAGTCTTCTGGAAGAGAGGGAAACATTGACGCTTGCGTTAGACAGAGCTTCTCCGACCAGGTTCAGTCTCTGACAACGACCCACCTTCAGAAAGTTCAAATGGGTGCAACCCTTCTTCTTCATCGGCGTTGTCGCCGGCAAGTTGAACAGGCGAATTGTGGTGCTGCTTGTTATTGTCGTTGACGGTGGTCCCCTTCAAAGCACCTCCGCGCAAGCTCGACATTGCATTCTATGGGGGCGAATACGTAGTGCGTCCGACTGGGGGCAGGCTTGCAACAAGTTAGACGAGTACGTCGCTGACCACAAATACGATTACATTTGAGTAGTCCGTGGGGGAAACTGAGAAGCTCTTTCTTTCAAAGGGGGTATGAGTTCTCCAGACGAGGCCAAGACTCAAGCCCAGGTGCAGTTTGGGGACAGTTGTGTTTATGTTGTTTGTTTGAACGAAGGAGCAGGGGCCTGGTGGGAGTTTGTTTACGGTGGCGGAATGGCTGGACTGTAGCGAGGGGCGATTATTGCCTGTTTCGACGGCTTTCGACGGGCGCGTCTTCCTCCTGCCGCCCGCCTTCCCTCCCGCTATAATAACCATCGATTCCAACCCATACAGAAAATGAGAAAAGTCGCTGGCAACAACCTGCAAATTCCATACTCTCCGCAGACCTGAACGTGAGGATCCTTCAGAGAAATAAAGTTCTCGCTCCAGTAAAAAGCCACAGGTCCCCCCCACCTTCCAAGTGTCCCCAATCCTTCTATAATACCACAGCAGACGCGTCCCTATAATGGTCTCCCACCCATGTTACTATTCCTGACGGGCACAACTGAAAATTGCAATGAGGCGCCAGCCCCAGTGTTTTCGGCCTGGCGATTTTTTCATTGAAATAGAACTCCCTCTCCTCTTCTTCGTCCTCGCAATTTCTCAGTCTTTGTTCATCTTCCTGCGTCATTTTATACTCAGAAATCATTTCCCAAACCAGCATTTTTGAGTGTTAAACCGTGAGTGTTGGCCTGGAATAAGAGAGGGGTGTGCAAAGGGACGGATGCTGTCATTTGGGCCGATTTGCGGTTGTTTGTGGAGAGATGTGCGATGCATAGCATGGCATGCACAAATCCCCGTGCCTGTCGAAAAATGACACATAGAAACTCATCCATCCGCTCGTCTCTTCATTCCCATCCCACATAGATAAGCAACCGTCTAAAGCAACCGTCTAAAGAAAAAGATACCCTAAACCATGCCTCGTGAAATCGTCACCGTGCACGCCGGTCAATGGTGAGTACGGCAACATCAAATCCCCCACAACACTCTCCAAATACCTCTTCCTATCATCTAACTCTCCCTTCCTTCTCGCAACCCCCCTCAGCGGCAACCAAGTCGGCGCCAAATTCTGGGAAGTTGTCTCGGACGAACACGGCCTCGACCCAACAGGCCAATACCGAGGCGACTCGGACCTCCAACTCGAGCGGATCAGCGTCTACTACAACGAAGGGCAGTCCGGTCGCTACGTGCCCCGCGCGGTGCTCGTCGACCTCGAGCCCGGGACGATGGACTCTGCGCGCGCCGGGCCGTATGGGCAGCTGTTCAAGCCGGATTCGTTCGTGTTTGGACAGAGCGGCGCCGGAAATAATTGGGCAAAGGGGTTCTACACCGAGGGCGCGGAGTTGGTCGAGAGTGTGCTGGATGTGGTTAGGAAGGAGGCCGAGGGCGCGGACTCGTTGCAGGGGTTTCAGGTGTTTCATTCGTTGGGGGGCGGGACGGGGAGTGGGATGGGGTCTTTGCTTGTTTCTAAGGTATATACACATCTCTCTGCTTCTCCTTCCATAGGTCCTCTCTCTGAGCGGCCATATCCTCATCATCGGTCTGCAACCTGACATCGCCATCGCATCTCTCTCATCTTCTTCCCGCCCACAGATCCGCGAAGAATTCCCCGACCGCATGCTCTGCACCTTCTCCGTGATGCCGTCTCCCAAAGTGTCCGACACCGTCGTCGAGCCCTACAACGCCACGTTAGCGATGCACCAACTCGTCGAAAACTCCGACCTCTCCTTCTGCATCGACAACGAAGCCCTGTACGACATCTGCCTGCGCACGCTCAAGATCTCCTCCCCGGCCTACTCCGACCTCAACCACCTGATCTCCCTCGTCGTCGCAGGCATCACCACCTGTCTCCGCTTCCCCGGGCAGCTCAACGCCGATCTCCGCAAACTCGCAGTCAACATGGTCCCCTTCCCCCGGCTGCACTTCTTCACGGTCGGCACCGCCCCGCTGACAGCTAGGGGGAACCTGGCCTACCAGGCCCTCACGGTGCCCGAGCTGACCAACCAGCTGTTTGATGCAAAGAACATCATGGCCGCGTGCGACCCCCGCCACGGGCGCTACCTGACCGTCTCCACCATCTTCCGGGGGAAGCTGAGCACGAAGGAGGTCGAGCAGCAGATGTACAACATGCAGATGAAGAACAGCGCGTATTTCGTAGAGTGGATCCCTAGTAATATCAAGACCGCTAGTACGTCTCCCCCCCCCCCCCCCCCCCTTCCAATCACATCCCTTTTGATCACCTCCGAACCCTTACACATCCCCCCACTCTTTTTTTTATTTAGTCTGCGACATCCCCCCCCGCGGCCTCAAAATGTCCGCGACCTTCATCGGCAACACGACGGCGATCCAAGAGCCGTTCAAGCGCATCCAGGTGCAGTTCTCCGCCATGTTCAAGCGCAAAGCTTTTCTGCACTGGTACACCGGCGAGGGCATGGACGAGATGGAGTTCACAGAGGCAGAGTCCAACATGGCCGATCTCATCTCGGAGTACCAGCAGTATCAGGAGGCCGCGGTGGAGGATGATGGCGCGGGGTACGAGGAGGAGGAGGAGGTTAGGGGACGGGAGGAAAGTAGGGGGGAGGAGGAGGGACAGCAGGAGTAGAGGGGAGGTGGGGGGGGGGGGGGGGTCAGTTTTGAGGGACGGTCAGGTATGTTTAGGGGTAGGATTCATTTATTGGAGGGGGGTATTGGGGCTCGCTAGACCACCTTGAACTGCTAGAGATTAGCGCTTGAATAGCATTGTCGGTGAAAGGGATAGCTAGCGATTTTCCTTTTTCTGGGATACCATAACGGTGGGGAATACATCACTTATTTCGAGAGATAGCTCCCAATGTATACGTATGTTTGTGATGCGATGACGGAAGATTATGCGGAGGGATAACCACAGAAAGAGGGAGAAGAACAAGGGAGGGAGCATATAAATAACAAATGGGACGGGCTTGCGCATCAACCTCTTCTCTGCATCCTCCAGCAGGTTTATGATGTCGCGATCATTAGGCTTGACGACAGGGTCAATCATCGTCCGGGATGATACCGGCGTCATCCGAATCGAACACTCGAGTTCCAAGCATATGTTGAGGGTTTCCATCGCACCCGCGACCAGCGTAGGATTGTCAAGCTCCTCGCTCCCTTCAACATATAAGCGTGGCTCCGTACCACCGTCGGCTATCATCCATGCGGCTGCAAGAACCCCACACCGCTCCGTGCGTTCCAGTCATTCCAAGGTTGCTCAGGGAACCCTACTTTCAAGCTCGATGCGCTAGTCTGTGGAATGTCCTCGACGCGGCATCGGTCTCCCTTTGCGGGTTCGAGTGACCGACCGGAAACGGGTCCCGTTATCATCGCGTTGGATCTGAACTTCTTCGCGTGCATTTCATCCTCCCACGTCCAGTCGGCTCTGAATGTCATCATCTGTCTGACGACTAGCCATTCCGGTGCCATCGTGTCCAGGGAAGCGTGAACGCGTGACATCAAATGCTTCAAGAGTCGTGGTAGTCCCATCCGGCCAACGCGTTGCGAAACCCGATCCGGTACGACGCATATCGCCGGGCTTTCTTGTATCAGCAGCATCTGCACCTATAGATACTGTTGATGCTGCTCTCTGTTCTGATTGGGGTACCTGCTGCGTCTGCTGACCTGCACATGCAGACCCCCACCTCCCATTTTCTGTCGTATCTCGCCTTTAGATTGCTTTGCGAGCGATCTTGCGGCGCTTGTCTTGTCGTGGATCCCAAGATGCTGTAATGGAATGATGGCAAATGACCCACTTCAGGCCGCTCGCAACTCGGCGGGTTTCGCCGGGCAGTGTCGCATGGCCGTCACTCCCATTTATTTCTCATTTAATGGCTAATGCGATTTTTTGGGCAACTGGTTCCAGCGGCACCGCATCGTCGGGGACGGAGCGGGAATGCTCGAAATAGACGAATGTGGTGGGTATCCCTCCATGAAGTTACGCTCACAGCACGCGACCAGAAAAGCTGAATTAGACGGTGGTCCAAGTTGGCGCGACTCGTACCTCCGTAGCTGTGACATGCTGCGACTTCGCCTGCCGGAAACTTCCAAGTCAGCCCCTGCAGTGGCATCAACACCACTTCTGTTGTCGGCATCAGACTCTTTGACAGCCGTTGTTACCTGTGCCCAATCCTCACGGTCGCGCCAGCATCTTTGAATAGGCTTGCATCTTTCGTTGCGCCTCGTGGTGACGCAAAGTATGCTCGACGCTGTAGTCGAGTATGCGCAGAAAGCAAGGCAGTATACTGTACCTTGCTTTGGAGGCAATACGCCTTGCCCTGAGTCTCCGCAGGCAACAGAATGACACTCCGCTTGCTTGGTGACGATGTTTCCGACAGGTTAGCCGCCGCGGCAGCACCGGGCGAAAAGTGGGCTCCCCCAGACATCTCCTCGAGCACCATTCCGTCACCTCGAGGTGAATAGCATTCTCCCATCCAAAACGAAGTCCGCATCGTCAAAGTCTGCGCAAAATTGAAGTCCACATCGTTTCGTTGACGCCCTGACTCCCGGTGATGTTGCTGCATGCCTTCACCGAGATTCGAACTCGGGACCTTCTGCTTACTAGGCAGACGCTCTATCCAACTGAGCCATGAAGGCGAGATGAATCGTCGTTTGAAAAATTGATTTTTTCTCGCATCTCCGGCAAATTGTCGCGATACTGCGCGCAGTTAAGTCGAGAGCTTGACGGTGGCGATCCGGTTTGGTATTGCAGTGCCTTGCTTACTACAGCAGTACAGCAGATTGTTGCGGTTGATGAGGCCTGACGACGATTCCACATCAGCGTTGTCGACTAGCCCCAAATGTGGGATAGGTTTCTCGGCGGGAACATTGGCAATTGACTTCAAAAGAGCGGAAGCGAAGATGGACGATGAACGAGTAGGGAGGGCGCCAGAGGACAGCGCGACGATCAGTTGCCAGAGAGAGAGTGTTGTGGAGTGAGAGTCGCAGTTGATCTAGCGAGGATGGCCTGCGATTTGGAGCGTGGGGGGAAACCAAGAAGCGTGAGACGGCTAGTGAGACGGGGAGACAAGGGGACGGCTGCCGTTCATGACGCGTCGATGTCCAGAAGCGCTCTCAACTCTCTCGAGGATTCATTCGTCGGGCTTTCAACCTCGCAGACACTCCCACCGCACCCGGAGAGAGATCTCACTAGCTGCCTCGCTTACTTCCTGACGTACACTCAGCAAACTGCACTCTCGGCTGAACGCACTGCCATAGGGAATCCGTCTCGCACGCCCTCTTTGAATCTGCAAAGTCTTCCAATCCCAAATCACGACAGTTATCTGAAACCAACTCCAAAATGGCGGACTTTGTAGACGACGAAGCCATCATGCACTTCATTGAAGTGACAGGCGCCGACCCAGACATCGCCAAGAACTATCTGCAGGTGGGTAGACTTGTTTGCCTGGAAGCCGTGCCTCCCTCTACATCACATTTGACTGAGCCTCAATACGCATTCCCAGGTGTCTGAAGGAGTCGTTGAGCAAGCTGTATCTCTCTTCATGGAAAACGGAGGAGCACCATTGCACACCGAAGCAGCCGCGTCCACCAGTACCAGCACAGGGCCGTCTTCAGCCCCTTACATCCCCGCTGACCCGGAAGTCAGGGCGCCGATCGCGTCGAAGAGGGAAGCGTTGTTTGACGCTGACATGTCGCCTTACAACCATCGCGTTGCACGTGAGTTCTGGTGGCTTGAGCGGGTGGACCTGTCAGTGGGACCATGGCAACTGACAATGACAACATTTGATGCAGCACGGAGATCGCATGCGGCGGCTTCGAACAACCCGTTTGCGCAACATGATAACTTGCCGACCACACCATGTACGGCTTGCACAGTTTACGTGATGCGTTAGATGCGACGAAAGATTCCCAGATACTGATATCTTGTGATTTAGCACTATCGAATGACCCAAACAGTAGACTGGCCGAAATGTTCCGACCGCCCACGAGTATCATGCACGTCTCAAACTCAACGCAGCAGGTGAGGATGAGGACGAGAAAGCATCGCTTTTGCATCTGAGAGTCTTCGCGTTTACTGAGGTAGAAGAAGTCTAACACGATCACACACAGGCTCGCGACTTTGCAAAGATGCGAAAAAAGTGGCTGATCATCACATTGAACGAGCCAACTTTCTTCCCATGCCAAGTTCTGAATCGCGATCTGTGGAAGGACCCATCAGTTCTGACGCTGATCAAGGAGCATTTCGTGTTCGTTTACGTAAGCTGTTTCAGGGCTTTTCACATTCCGCGCTTTGCGATACTAACTTCATCTCTCCAGTGGGTAGCATCCAGTCCCCCCGGACTTGAACACCGCAATCTGTATCCCTTCGAGGAGTTTCCGTATATCGCCATTATTGATCCCATCACTGGTAAGCATGCGCTTCGAGAGGCAGAAAATCGATTAATTCGGACCTCGCTTACCGATCTTTCCAAACTCAGGCGAGCGCATGAAGTCGTGGAACACCGCCGTCGAGCCGAAGGACTTCATGCAAGATGGTGAGTCTAACATTCTAACACTGTAATATGTCCTCAGAGAAAGCGTTGCACGAAACTGACCAAACGTTCTTCTGGCCAGCCCTGACATTCTTAAGCACACATTCCCTCTTTCAAGCGGCGCCTTCCCCAGCGAAAAAGACGAAAGTCAATCCGACAAAGCAAAAGAAGGTAGAACAATGATACTCCTCACACCAGTCGCACCCTTCTCCGTCACATAATCTAACATCCCATCCGTCCCAGACAATCACAGAACTAACCGAAGATGAACAACTAGAACTCGCCTTAGCAGCCTCCATGGGGGACGCCGGGCCATCCAAAAAGCCAGGCGACGTAGTGGACCTCACGAGCGAAAAGGACGCGGACGAGGATAATGAAGTGGAAGGTGCTTCCGGTATGTCGCCCTGTATAGCCTTTTAAGCGTTGCGAACAAGGCGGGCTTATATTTCCCATATCCCCCTTGCAGTGCTAGACCTAATTAAACCGCAGCTAAACGAAGAACCAACGGGCAGCGACGCGCTCCGGATACAGTTCCGCCTCCCCGACGGATCGCGCAAAGTGCGCAAATTCCGACCAACCGACCCTGTTCGCACGCTGTTTGAGTATATACGCGCTGATGTGCCCGAGGCGGGTGATAAGCCGTTTGAGGTATGGATGGGAGTTCCACAAGAGCTTCGGCCCTTTCGTTGCGTGTTTGATTGCTCAAACCCTGTTTTGCGTTTCTCTTTCACAGTTGATGAACTTCCGGGACCCGCTACTCCCACGGCTCAAGGAAACGGTCGCGGACGCGAAACTCGCCGGAGCGTCCATTACCGTTGCCTTCTCGTAGAAGCTGTAAACGCACAAACATGCATCTTCGCCACGGAAAAACAAAACGCAAAATTGGGTTATGTGCTCAACAAACACAATTATTTTAGGTCGCGCAACCTACAAAGAAAAAGAACAGGCTCTTCCGGCCAAAGGTCGTAGCCCTGGTTACAGCGAACCCGCCCATACCAATCATTGTTCCCTGATACGACCCCTTCTATGCCCGCCCGTACTATATAATCCCTCGCGCCGGGGAGGGGTATCACATCTCCACTGTACATAACACCGGCCCAAAGCACGTTGTTTTCCGTAAGCGGAATGTTCATGTGTGATAACACAAAAAGTTCTTGGGTTGGTTGTTTATGTGTCGGTGTCGGCTTCCGCGACGACTTCCTTGCCGTGGCAGAAGTAGAGGCGCGCTTCGGTTGTGAAGGGGTTTGAGATTCTGTATTGGTTGCCTGCATGAGGGGAGAAAATCAACGGTTATACATTCTGGCGATTTCCAACAATCCTGCGGATACGGAAAATCGGGCTTTCTTTACCTCGCGGAACCATAAACGTCGCCTCCTTGGCAACCACAAAAGTCGTCCTATTCACCTGCACCTCCACTTTCCCGCTCAGCACCACAAAAATCTACGCGCGCTCAAGAACATCAGCACTCCACTCGTTCCGCACCCACCCACCCACTCCTTCCCCCCCGCAACCGCAAAACTCACCATGGTACTCTGCGCAGAATTCTTATTCGGCTTATGGCTCCCTTTCGGCATGACAAGCACGCCCGAGGCGATATAGTTGCCCTCGCTGAACACTTTCTGGAACTTGTAGTCGCCGGCGCCGATGTTGCGCGGGTTGAGCATTTCGGGGGTTGCCACGATTTCTGCAAAAAAAATATAAATAATTCCAAAATCGGTAAATATAACTCGGCCTGACGATGGGGTTGAGTGATGTTCGTTTACGTACGTTGATCCTCCTCCTCCCCAGTAACGATATTGATAACAGGGATATCAGGCTGCGCGACGGGGACAGAGCCGTGCTCGCGCTTGACGCGTGAGGAGGCCGTTGTGCGGGCACGTCGGCGGTCGTGGTCTTCCTGGTCCGAGTCCACGCGGATCAGTTCTCTTGTTACGCCTCCTGAGGGTATCATGGAAAGAGGTTAGTATATCACGCTATGATTGGATGTTTGAAGAGGGGGGGGGAGGGGGGGGGGGGGGGGGTTATGTATGTGCACGTACCGGATTCCCGGCGAGCGATCTTGAGCCCTTCGCCCTTCCAGAACTGGAACGGCTTGTGACGCTCGCGCTTGCTGCGGCGGATGCCGCCGTTGTCCTCGTCGTCTTCGCTTTCGGGGAGGGTGGGGCGTGGTGGCGCGGGGCGGGATGGTTGTTTGGTTCGGGTTGTGGCTCCTGTGCACGCAACTCCTTCGTTTAGTCTTTTCATCATATGACACGGCCCCGAGCTGCGTGATACATACCCTTGCCTTTCTGAGCCACAGTCTTACTCGTCCCGCTTTGCTTCGCCGCCAGCGCCTTGCTCCTGCTAGGTACAGTTTTTCGCGTCGCCGTCGGCTTGGACCGGACGGGCGAGGTTGCCTGCATGCCCGCATCGCTTTCCGAAGCATTATCGGCGCTGTGGCCCACGTCCCCGTTCACGTCGTCTTCATGGTCATCTTGCTGCTCCATATCATCGAACTCAGGCTGTGGTTCCGGTTCCATTGTCGACTCGTTTGCGGATGCGTCATCCTGAAATGCAAGGGAAGTATAAATGTCAGCACCAACCTTCGGAACATCGTTGCCATTCGACGGAAGCTTACATGAGCATCAGAGTCATTCCACCCATTCCGTCGAGCCGATCGCTCGTTGTTTTTCCCACTCCCATTCCGGAACCCTTTATCCGCTCCATTTCGACCCGACCCAAGCAGCGGTTGCGAGAAGCTCTGTTCGTCATCATCATCACTCTCATCATCGGCAGGTTGGAGTTCCTCAGATATCTTTCTACCATGCTTAGCCGCCGTAGTTTTGCTCGAAGTGGGCTCCGGCCGCGATTGTTTTTTCGCTTTGCGGGTAGACGCAACGGGCTCCCTATGTGTCTCCAGCTCTTCAACTTCATCGTTATCATCGTGATCGTCCGCATCATCATCGTCATGATCAGCGTGTTGAACCGCCTCAGATATTTTTCGAGTACGGGTAGCCGCCGTCTTTTTGCTCGAAGGGGCCTCCGGCCGTGCTTGTTTCGCTTTGCGGTTAGACGCGACCGGTTCCCCATGTGTCTCCGGCTCTTCAACGTCATCATCTTCCGGGTGAGGATTGGCAGGCTCCTCGTTAGATGTTGATGGATCTCTGACGACGCGTTTGTCCCGCGTCTGGCGTTTCGGTTCAGCTCTTTTCGACATAAGAGGGCTGCTCTTGTTGCTATTTCGCGCCGATTCACTTTGCGATTGCTTCTTCAAAGTCGCGGTTGGTGCAGGGGGTGTTTGTTCAGCCTCCTCCCCCTCAGACTCTTCCGCCCCACGACGGGATCGATCACGGTCATCAGACAAACGCAGCTTCTTCGCGCTGGGCTGCGGCCGTCTCGGAATCGCCGCGACTTTGGCCTCAGACCGTCCATTCTGCTGCTGTTGCTTTTTCCGGATTGTTGTATCATTGTTTGACGCGTCCGAGTCGCTGTCATTGCTGATCACCTTCCGCTTCCTGTTGCCTTCGTTCCGCTTTCGCGAGGGCGAGCTGGGAACGCTCTCCTGGTTGTTTTCGACCATGTCGTCGTATGCTTGTTGTTCCTCCTCCTCGAGATCCGCTTCGATATCAGCTGGTTCCATGCTGACATCAAGATTATCTGCTGAATAGTCTGCTGACGCGCTTGGACCTTCCTCCAGCGCTTCCTCCTCTGCCTCGACCTCTTCCCCACCAAAGGTCTCTTCCGCACCACCAAATGACTCCGCATTCTCCTGAGCATCGAAGCACTCATCCTGCGTGTCCGCCGTCGTCATCTCCATCAAGGGATGCGGCGGTCGTCCGGAGTTCTGTGCTGGTTTCTGAGCACTGTGCACAACCTCCTTCACTCTTCGCTGAGGAGGCGAATGCTGCACCACCGTCCGTCCCGGCACTCGCATCGTTTCACGTGCCGTAGCGGGGCTTTTTTTGCTGGAGGTGGACGATGATACGTTGGCGTTGGATGACATGCTGCCGCTGGTTGGCAGGTGGAAGGGTCGGACGGGACTCAGAATCGCGCGAGGAGATGGGATATCCTCTTCGACAATGGACGAATTAGAGATCATGGAGAATTGGTGACTGGTATTGGCTGAGCTGTGAGGCGAATCTTCATCCGTTGGGCTGAGCGCCGGCGGTATCATAGATGGGCGGGGAAGACGATATATGGCGTTCCGGGCAGGCTCTGGCGTCGCGGAGTTTTGGGCTCTGTCCGTCGCCGGCGTTATCGATACTGGAGCTACGTTTATTTTCAGTCCGTGTCCAACTTATGATAGCGTACAGTTTCTAGCAAGGGGACTAACCTGGTGAAGGCACGGCCTTTGACACCGCAGCTTTCGGAGTGCCAATGCTTCCTGAGTCGGCTGGTTCATGGACCGTCAGATCGTCCATTCCCTCAGGCTCCTCCTCCTTGAACCAATCCTCGATCATTTCCATCCCGTTTTCATCAAGGCGGACATTTTCCGGCGCCTTGACCCCCGTTTTCCTGGAATATTAGATCAGCAACGCGGTCTCATAATCCCCGCATCAATATCGACCTAAGAAAAGAAGAACAGAGCAAATAGAGACTGGGAAGAAAAGGCGCAACACGAACCTGCCTCGCACACCGATCTCGAAGAAGTTGTTCGGTCTCGGTGCCCTCTGAGAAAGAGCATAGTGGATGAGTAGCTACCCCACCATGAAAGAGCATCCCCAGAATGCCGTTGCTCCGCTTCTCTGCGCACCTTATTGGTTTTCTCCTCGTCCACTTCCGGGGCGTTGCCCTCTTCGGGATCGGCAGCTGCCAACATTGCTTGCGGATGGGTGCTCTAACGTTATGAGAGACGCTTAGGATCGCTTCGACAGCTTTCAATCGGTGCGCCGTGACGCTAGACACTGAATCGAGTGAACGGCAGAGGTCTATATAGAAAGAGACTGCTGCTGCACGGGGCACTCGATAATAGTCCTCGGGGGCAATGAGTGGCGCGAGTTGGCAAGGGGCGACGCGTAGCCCAGTAATAGAGAGCGCTCTTGTCCGATCGAACACCGTTCCAACCCGCAAAAAACAACGCAACATGCCTGCCCCCTTGCGGATTCGAACCTGCGCATGGGAGGCTTGTGCCTCCTCACGTGACACTGAATTAAATCCGCCCCAGCAAAGCGAGCGATAACGACCGTGAAACAGCCAGTGCCCGCATTTGAGCACATCCACACCCCCCAACTCCGCAGAAGACACCCCCGCCCCACTCGGCAAACGGGAGGCGCTTTCAAGGTCTGGGTCTCGGCATAAGCAGGACCGGACGAATCGGAAGGTATAAATTGGGAGAGAACTGGGAATCACTCAACGCTACTGGACACCGGTCGGGTCTCCCCCGCTATCAACCGCAAGCGACAAAAGCGCCACTCCATTTGGAAACGGAACGACGACCGACAATTGTGCAGACAGACCGCCGACGTTCGACAGACCAAGAGGAGGCTGGAGTTTCTCGCAAAGGACTGTTCTTTCTACTTTTTCTGCCGTTTCGCTCCTGTCAATAAAAGAAAAACGCAACTCCCCGGCCCTTTCCTACCTTTACTTGTTTGTTGAAAAAACTGTGTGCGCTCCGTCGCAGCCGGTCCTTCGATTCTGTAGGATCGTCAGCGTCTCTAATCCATATTGGGCTCATCTGTGTGCACTGGCCACTTGCTTTAGCTTGGTGGGAAAATTGGGAGTTTGGGCAGAAAAGCAGAAGAGGAGGGTTTTCGAAATCTGAGGCTTTTAGGGACGGAAACGGGTGGGAAATTATCTTGCCAAGAGGTGGGGCAAAGGGAAAGAGGAAAGAAAATAATCAAACACACACAGGCACATCAGCCTTTGTTTCGTTCGTCCTCAGTTGGCCTCGGTCTTTCACACTAGTAGTGAATCCCGAACAACCGATATATTCGTGACGTTCATCTCCGTGAAGAACTACTAAAGCGTCTTCATAAGGAGAGCCTCTCCTAACGTCGTCGGTCCATCACAATGACGAACACAGCGGCGGCGGATCTGGAGGCTATTCGGCTCGAATATCGGGCGTCCTTGGCCGACCTGACGTTCAACTCCAAGCCGATCATCACGAACTTGACGATTATCGCGCAGGAGAATGTGGGAGCAGCTGGGGCGATTGTCAAGGCGATTGAGGACCAAATGCGTAATGTAAGTATCAAGGACTTTGTGTCTCTGGATCGTATTGGGATGAATTTCGATTTCTCTGCGGAAAGCCTCATGGTGTTTTCGTAATTTTTGTTTTCTTAATCAAACTAATGTTCATGTTCACAGGCACAACCTAAACAAAAGCTTCCGGTTCTCTATCTGATGGACTCCATCATGAAAAACGTCGGAGGAGCCTACATCAGCATTTTCGCACGAAATATCGTGCGCACATTCGCGTCCGCCTTTGAACAGGTCGATCCTGCAGATAGGCAGAGGTTCGTGAAAGTTCTTGCAACGTGGAAAAACAACCCAGCGGGTCCGCTTTTCGCAGTCCCCGTGTTGAGGGAGTTGGACAATGTCGTCGCGACGAAAATGAGGGAACCGGCACAGCGCAGACCGTCTCTGGGCGCCATTCACGTCAATCCAAATTTTGTGGTATGTAGCGTTATGTCATTCTTTCCTGCATTTCCTAAGAATTTGATTGCTCACAAAATCTTTCCATCTTCAGGGTTTATCACCATCCGTGTCTCCTACAGCTCAAGCACCACCATCAGGGAACAACTTCGCCAATGGTGGTGCTTATCCGCAAGCAGACGGCCATTCAAGGAATGGAACTGGAAGATATCCACAACGCGGGCCATACGACCGCCCTCCGTCAGGCCGTGGACGTCAGGATTCGGCAGGGCTAAGGCGTGGCGTCAGTAATGGGCAAACCAGGAGGGAGACGCCCGTAGCGCGAGCGGCACCTAGAAGCACGGTAAGTAAGACCGATTTTTGTATCTTTAGTGTAGGGGAGCGGGAACGGCAGCCCGTGCAATCAATTGCGAAGGTGTTTCCGTCGACACCGCACGGACGACACCCCGATACGGATTACAAGGTTCCGGAGGGATTGCGTCTCAGTTACACCTTGATACACGGCGCTTGTTGCGCAGCACATATTGAAAAGTTGGAACAGTCCCTTTATACGAGCGTTGAGGAATCTAAAGATCCATATACATATATGAGTGATGTGGAAGATGCATATCGATCTTCGTCTACATATAAACCGCCTCGACGATATACATAGGCCTGCGTGAAATGATGTTGCGATGGGGATCATATGGACGGCATACTGATCTCCTCCTTTCCCACATCTTCCTCTTCTCTTCACTTCCGTTATGTTGGCCATAGTATCACTCACCGCAGATGCCCGGCGGCGGCAGCCAACCGCTAAACAGCAGCTTCAACGCGGGCGACATCCCGCCTTCCGGCACGAATCCGAGCGTTGACGCTTTGAAACGGCAGATCGAGCTTGTTTTGTCGCAGAAGCAGGCTGTGACGCTGCTGAACCCGCTGGATACGTTGACGTTGGGACATATCCAGGTCTTGACGCAGGTTCGTAATGTCATCCTGCGTTCTGTCGATAGATTTGAGATGTCGACTAAACTGACGCATGTCTCCTTGTATAGCTCCTGCAAGCTGTGAAGACGACAACCCTGGACGCCAACTCCATTCAACAAATTAGCCAGATGCTGCAGCAGTACGCCTCGACACCGCAACTCACCAACCCAACACCCAACTTCGCATCCCTGCAACCCCAACTCCCGATGCAGCAAACCGCATCCGTCCTATCCTCCTTCCTCCCACCCCAACCAATCCTCACATCCGCTGCATTAGGCGGGTTCAGTCTCCCGCAAATGACCAGCACCTCGTTCCCGGCCATGGCGAACACCTATATGCCGACCATGAGCACTTCTCAGGGCATGCTGCCGTCGAGCGTGCAAAGCCTGCTGTCCGACCCGAATGCGTTGAATGGGTTGTTGGGGACGTTGACGCCGGGGTTGGTTGGGGGGCAGCAACAGCAGCAACAGCAACAGCAGCTTGGGAATGGGTTGTATGCGAACGGGATGGGATCCAACGGGCGTGCGAATGCTCCCGTTGTGGTTATGCTGTCGATTGAGGAGTTGCCGCCTATCCGGTTGACCCATGAGGACATCAACAAGTGAGGCTTCCCCTTCTCGCCTTTCACTTCAAGTACTTGTGTGTGCGGGGCACTCACCACATCACTGTCATCCCTCTAGAATATACCCCAACGCAGTAACCCTCCTCTACGAAGGCCTGGACCTGCAATGCCGGCAATGCGGGACACGTCACCGCCGCGACGAGAACGGACGCGCGAAGATGGACGCGCACCTCGACTGGCATTTCCGCCAGAACCGCCGGCTGAAGGATAAAGCCAAGAAAGCCATCTCAAGGGACTGGTTTGTTACTGAGGAGGAGTGGATTGCGGAACGGGAGGTTGATGTTAAGGATCGGAAAGGTATGTTTTGGCGTGTGTTGTGGTGTTTGATGTCGCGAGGTGTGGGTGCCTCATCCAGATGTGTGTTTGTCTCTCTCCCATTAGCACCAGCACTGTTCTTCGAACACGAAGGCGAAACACCCGCAGAACCTCCCGAAGAGGTCTCCAATATACCCGCCGCGGGACAAAGCAACCCACGCTGCGCCATCTGCACCGAACCGCTCGAGAAGTTCTATGACGAAGAGACGGACGATTGGATGCTGAGGGCTGCTGTTCGCGTTGACGACGTTGTAAGTCTCTACATACTCCTAGCTGCAATGACGTACAACTGCACCTGAGTTCGAAACTCATTATTTCCTTTCTCTTTCTCCTCCCTCTTACATACAGCTCTACCACCAAGCCTGCTACAAAGATTCCCAAAAGTCCCTCCAAGCCGCGCCTACAACAACGTCGCCAGACACAGGCGCAAGCACGCCCGTATCCGAGACGGAGCCCGCAAGTGGCGGCAAGCGGAAGCGCGAGCAGGGCGATGGCGATGACGTGAAGAAAATTAAGACTGAAACATCGGTCTGATGTTGAGGGAACCCGGGATGTATGGAGTGTCATATCAACTCCTTCTGTCTCTTTCTTCTCCCGCGAATGGGCGTCGTATCGTGGCCTGTAATACAACTGAAGCTATGATGTGCGGATATGTGCGAATTTATGTTGGGATGTGTGGGCTTTTGGCTATCTCTTTCTTGCGTACTACGTCTGTTCATTTGTTTCCGGAGAATACATTTGCTTCAAACAAGCCTTATTCACGAACGGAGAAATGGCGAAGTCCCCAAGTCCCGTACGAGTGATGATATTCGTGAGGGTCAAACTTTGTAATATGTAAACAAGTCCCATCCCGCACACCGTCTCACGTCCATGTATATACGCTCTACGTAGGTCTGAAACTAACGCGTCCAAGGTCCGCCTTGCTCGCCAAGCTGTCACTCAAAATCGCTCAACAAGGGACCACCCATCCAACTGCGCGAGCTCAAGTCAACCCCGCCCGTCCCCTCGCCTGCGGCGTCCGATTCGCGCTCCGTTTTTCCTTCTCAGACGACGACCCCACCGCCGCAGCCGTAACCTTAACAAAAACAGGTACCGGGACATCTCCGTTACTCTTCCCTTTGCCCCGCTTGTGGCCTCTTCGTTTCCCACCTCCGCTCCCACCGCTACCCGCGCATGCTGGCGCCGCCGGGGGTAAGGGCCCACTCGCAAACCCAAACGAAGGCGGAGACACGGTGTCGATATCGGCAGTCGGGGCATGCAGAGGTAGTGCCTTTTTCTGCGGCCGGGTCCGCAGGCGAGCGAGGTTGGCTTGGATGTCGCGCACGACGGGGTCTTCTCCTGCCAGTGATGTGATCTTTGATGGGGGTTTGCGGAGCGATGGTTGATTTCGGCCTGCTGTAGGAAGTTCTTGTGTATAAGAATGTGACAAAAATGCCTCGGGAAGCCCAATGGCTCCGGCATCCGTCCCCATCAGTGCCGCAGGGATGTGAACCGGCACGATCCCACTAGGCTGGTACGCCAGCGGTTGGTGCGCATATTGTGTGCCGTTCTCATCGTAGGCGGGGTATACTAGCCAGGTCGCATCACCAGCATGTTCCGTCTCCTCGTCTACGCTACCTCTTCGTCTCGGTGGGGTCCACTTCGAGCTAGCGCCCATAGCCCATTTCGGCACAGGCGGGGCCCAGGTGTAGTCGGGTATCGCGACGAACGGGGCCGCCTGCTTGATATGTGGCATGTGATGCGGGTACTCCGAGGACAGGTTGTTGTTGGGTATAGGGTGTTGTTGGGGTGGCGGGAACACGAGCCCGTGGTGGGTATAGACAACCTGTCCGTGCATCTCCACAGCCCCGACATTGTGCTCGTCGCCGTCATCGTAGTCATAGTCGCCGTTGACGGATTGCGTGAGCATGTCGCTAGAGAGCTGACTGAGCTCTGGGTAGTCTCTGCGTCCGCCGGTTAGATCCGGCAGGTCGTCCAGGTAGTTGCCGTGGTGCTCGAGACCGTCGTCGCCATCGCTATTGCCGAACGAGTCTTCCTCGTTGTGCGCGCGTCTGAAGGTGTCATATCGGCCGTGTTGATTCGGAGGCGGTGTAGCGGATCGACTGGATGTTTGACTCATGTTGGCGTACACGCCGGGGTCGTTGGAGAGGTCTGGGAGATCGTCCATGTAATCGCCGTGCTCCTCGGTCACTTCGGAAAATACGGCTTGCTCAACTCTCGTGATCTGAACGAATCCGTCATCATCCGCCTCTTCCGCTGACAATCCAAGTTCGCGGTGAACTTCTCCGATGCTCATGAATTTGGCGGACGCCACGTCTTCAGGTTTTGCAACGCGGGTGACAGATACACTGGCTATCCGCGCGTTCGGCTCCAATGTCTGCACATGCATCATGAAAGTTCCGGAATCTGGATGGGATCGGTGTTCGGACACAGCCTGTATCGCCGGAGAACTGGATGTCACAACATTGGCAGGCTGCTCAATGAGTGGCTGAGGCCCGGAGGGTACTTCTCTCCTAACCAGTCCGGAAGGGCCTGGTTCGACGGTCGCCTGATTCCGAACCGCCGTCTCATATTCCGACAGAGCTTGCTCATCATCCTCGTCCGACGCAACCCGTCTTCCCTTCCCCTTTGCTTCGGCCTCCCTCACCTCCCTCATTCCCCTTTTCCGTTCCATCCGATCCCTCCGTTCCTTCCGGTCCTCCTGATCCTGCATTTTTTGAAACTCCGCGAGCGACATAGTCGTCTTCGGCTTCTCTTTCTTCTTCTTCTTCGGTTTCGCCAACTTCACTACCGCAACGCCGCTAATCCGACCGTCCACGTCCGCGTCATAGTCTTCATCTTTTCTGAGGATAGTCGCGGTGCTCATATCGATCTCGTACGCGGAGGGCCGGTAATCGGACCCGGCCAGACGGGCGGCTTCGCGGCGTTTCCGTCGTTCGGCGCGCCGCTCTTCGCGTTCTTTGATGAGTTTTGCTTTGAGCTCGCGGAGCTCGGGGGTATCGAATAAACCGGAGATGTCTTTTTCTAGCTGATCTATTTGGGAGTCGTCGGAGGAGTCGGATATTGCTTCTGTTTGTGTTCGAGGTGGTGAGGAAGCCCGGCGGGGTGCAGGGGAGCTTGCACGACTACGAACCAAGATTGGCCGCGTTTCCCGTTTGTCGGCACTGCTGTCTTGCCCGTCGATGCCATAATCGGCTCCGAGATAGACGGATCGAACGAAAGGAGGAGCTGCGGTGCTTTCGGACTTCTTCGCATTTGCCGCTTCTATTATAGCTGCTGTAGACGGTCCCTTCAGTGCCGCCTTACGCCGCCTAGACAACGATCGCCGAGACCCGCTCCGTGACCTTGATCGGATCTTCTTGGTGTTCCCCCGTCCACGCGTCCCGCCTGCCGGCTGTTGACCCTTCTCATAAAGGATGCTCTTCGAAAAAGTCTTTCTAAAGCCTCCCGTCGCGCTCACGTCATCGAATCTCATGATGACACCATCGCAAGCTGGTGTCGGACACTCTTGCCCCATGAGCATATCCTTCGACAGCCCATAAACGCGCTTCTCGATGCCGCGCCAGCAGGATTTGTGGTAGTAGAGGGAACAATTCTTAGGGGCATTGCAAGTGACCCTAGCGCACAAGGTGCCCCTCTTCTCCCAGAAGATCTTTGGCTTCGCACATTCCTCATGTTGGCAAATCTGGTCGGGTTTTGGTCGGCGATCCGCTTTGGCTTGTTCCTCTCGTATTAAGTCTCGGAGTTTATGTGGGTCAGATTCGGGAATCTCGACCTTCTCGTCGCCGGTGCTGGGGTAATAGCGACGAGAAGAATCGGGCAAGCCTGTGCAAACTTCCAGCGCGCACTCGAGAACTGTGTCGACCTCGTCGCTGAACTTGTCGAATTGGTTGATGGCCTGACCATATGCCCAATGCACGAACGGTAATGAGTCCGAAGCGACTTGAGTGAGGAGTCGCAGCACACCCAAAATTTCCGGCCCGCGTTTCGGGTCATTATCCAAAAGCAAGCTCCGCGCGTACAGGTATCGAAGAAGGTTCAGCGAGTAAGGGTATTTCTCCGTCTTCTCACTGGGCATGTTCTCCCACTCCTTAATGGCGAAGGAGAAGTTCAACGCCGCAGTCACCCATTTGTCCTGGTTGAATGCAGTCATGGCGCTCGAAACCCTCAGATGGATCGCATCAACGCTGTTCTCCATTTGCTCCTTTTCGCGCATGAGCTTCTTCCTCTCCTGCCGTGCTAGTTTGTATGCTTCCCGTCGTTCTCTTTCGCGCTCCGCTTCTTCCCGTTCTACTTGTTCGCGACGTTTCTCAAACTCCTCCCTTAACTCTTGTTCCTGTTGTTCGCTTAGTGCTTCCTTCTCCTTCCGCTTTTGCTCCGCGTGCCACTTGACTTACCCACTCGCCAAAGTCTGGGGGTCGCCCGGCCTCAAAGTCGAATAACGGTTCTGACATGGGTGGCTGAACGTACGGCGCATCACTCACGTCATCATCGTCGTTGTCATCAGATTCGAATGGCGTGTCGCTTTCGTCTATTATGTCGGGCAAATCGTCTGGGTTGCTATTGCTATTGAACTCCGACCGGCCTGTCCCCATGGCCAGGTAGTCGGCGTCGTCGTCGTACTCCGAGTCCGATTCGGTACTGTCCTCACCGATCTACGTAGGAGAGAGGTTTGAGTGAATTTGATTCCGAGCTTTGCCCCTCCGTTGGCCTAACTTCGACGGTCATTATCATTCAAATGCTTCAGAAAACTCACCAAGCCCGGCATTTTGTCCTGGTCGGACATACTTTCGACTCGGTGCGACAATTTCGGCTTCGTTGCCCTGACAAGCGGCTATACTGGACTTGAAGGGGCCGTTACTGCGAACAACCGATGACTTGCGATATAGGAGGGGACTGGGCGCTCAGCAGTCAATAATTTCTGGAACGAGGTGAGGCCCCCTCGAACCCCGAGTCCAAGGTGGCCCGGAGTGGAACTCTCCGCAGAGAGAGCGGTCCAGTGGGTGTCCGAAAGGTCCGAAAACAAACTGGACGGACATATTATTCATTATCAATTCATCCAGATCACGTGACTAGTCATGTGCCTCGCAATGGGGTTCCTCGTTCTCGAGTTTCTGGTTGACAACCGTCCGAAGCTCAAACTGCCCAACACCACCCATTCTCAGTACGCTTTGAAGCAGTCGCACCCGCGCTGACAGCGCCACTCCGAGCCAACGAAGGAGCGAAGGGAACCCACTCTGCGAATCTGCGAGGAGTTCGTCGATCGTCAAAAGTCTGCTGGATTCCTTCGCTTGAGGCAACCAGTGGAAAGCAAGTCTTCGACAACGCGATCTTGCGTCTGAAAAACGATATCCGGTCGAAACAAATATAGCTTGGCAACATGAGCGCACGTAGAATAGCGGTTCGAACAGCAGCACGGGGATGTGCATGGGGCAACTCTACCCCAACAGCAAGGCTGCATAGCTGCTCTCGGTTACCAGCCCATGTTCCCGCCTCCATGTCCTCTCTAATTTCGTCCTTGCGGTCCCGACGCTACTCAACCGAAACAACACCAAAGCGGAAGGCACAACTGACAGCCTTCGCTGCACGAAGCGGCTTCCAATTGTCGTCTCAGGACCTTCTCACACAAGCATTAACCCACACATCGTATGACTCCTCACGGTCGGATTCCCTACGGCTAAGACACTTAGGTACGCTACGAGAAGCGTTTTCTGAGCGCCCATTCTGGAATGCTTATCGTTTTGTCCGGTTGTAGGAGAGCATGTGTTGGGATTGTATGTGACGGAGCACCTGTTCAGCAAATACCCACTTCTGCCGGCAGACAGCTTGAAGAGTATAGTGACTGCGTATACGGGGGATGATGCACTGCAGAGCGTTGCAAAGCTGTTTGGAGTGCCGCAAGTGATGCTGTGGAAGGTGGGCAACCTGTCGATCTGAAAGATAGAACTGGCCTTAAAAAGCTGATCGTTTCTCCAAAATACGGTAAAGGGGTCGAAGGGACAATCTACAAAAGGAGAAGATCCAGTCGCGGCGCAGATCCTGTTATCACTCATCGGCGCCCTCTATACCGACAAAGGCCCAAAAGCCGCCCGCCAATTCATCCAAAACCATTTCCTCACGCGATCGGTAGAGCTAGAGAACCATCTCGATACACCCAACCCACAAGCCCTACTTGTCAAGCTTACGCTTGCGAAGGGCCAGGTGCGGCCGATATCGCGGTTGATGAAGGAGACGGGACGGCAGTCTGCCACGCCAGTGTTTTTGGTGGGCATGTACTCGGGGGTTCAGAAGATTGGACAAGGGTATGGGAGTTCGCTGAAGGAGGCGGAGTTTAGGGTGAGTGTGGTACTGGTAGATCAAAGTTATGGACTTTGACAACACATTTATTGACTGATCGGGAAATTTCAGGCCGCGAAAGATGCACTGCACAAACACTATTTTGTCGAAGTGAGGGATTTTACTGTGCCTTCGGATATGGAGGCACCGTCGAGCTTGTTGGAGGAAGAGCCATAGCCTGATCACACTTCTAGCACACACTTTGCTTGCGGGATACCGATCTGAAAACCTCACAACTCTCCTACCGCTCGCTCACTCTTGGGATCGCGGTCACCACTATACACAAACGCACCGGGGGGGGGGGGGGGGGGCGTTTTGGGGGTGCCTGGTCACCTTCTCGTCGCTCGTCCTATCCTTATTAGAGATCGTTCTGCCCCATGTTCGTGTGGCGCATATGATGATGTAGCATACACATAGACAACAGATTCTGTGCGAGATCTTCCTGAGATTGTCTGGAAAGATTTGTGGGGATCTTCCTCCCGTGCTTCGTCTTTATGGGATTCCCGAAATTACAATTCGGTAGGGGCACACGTGATTCAATTCCACGTCCGATGGTTCGCATCTCCGCGGGAAGTCCCGGAGGCGAATTCAAATGCTCTTTGAGCTCGGCTGAACCTTGCCAGTTGAGGGTTGTTGGAGTCCCGAGTTGCGCGTCCTTTTTCGCCCGCGCCTAAACGAGCATTTTGGCCCCAGGCGTGCCCCCCCCAATCACACCAACCCACGAACCCCCACCCGGAATTCTTGGCCGCTACTGTAACGACTGCGGTATAAAAGACACAGACTCCGACTTTTTTTCCCGGTCCGTTTCCTCATCGGTCGCAACACTCCAATCTACCGTACTCGCATACTTCTCACCCACTGGGTTAAGTCGTCAAGACGTGTAAGTACTCCCTCCATACTCTCCCACTCTCCTTCACTATCCCTCTTCTCGTGATTCTCGCAAGCTCCACGCGGGGTGTTCTGAGACCGCAACGGAATCCAACCCTCGCTGGGGGAGAAAACGGATTCAGCATAAACACTCCCCAAAAATCTGAGCATATTACTGATCGCTGGTTCTCTCTCTTCCACATATGCAGACGGCAATCAGCTTTACTCGTCGCACAACAGGCACCGGGGAAATCGTCGAAGGTTTCCCAAACCCAAAACGCACTGAGCTTTGTCAATCCCAGGCTCAACCCGACCTGCCTGTTCCAACTTTCGCAACTGCTCTCCACACAAAACACAAACAAAAATGCTCTCCGCTCACTCTACTACCGACCACTCGGCGTCGCCCAGCGTCAACGGCGTCGCCTTTGAACACTCCACCGGCTCCCGCGAGACCTTCCGCGTCGAGTCCGAGAATGTGGTGTACACTGAAAACCACATCGACTCCACCTATGTCTACCGTGACTCCAAGGTGCTTCGTTCCGCTAACGGCTTGACCGTCGTCCCCACCGAAAAGACCTACCATTTCCGCACGAACCGCAAGGTTCCCCGCGTTGGTCTTATGATGGTTGGTTGGGGAGGTAACAACGGTTCCACCTTGACGGCTTCGATTATCGCCAACCGTAAGAACATCACCTGGCGCACCAAGGAAGGTGTGCAGACTCCCAACTACTATGGGTCTGTTACTCAGGCCTCGACCTTGAAGCTAGGCGTCGACGAGAAGAACCAGGACGTCCACATTCCGTTCTCGGAGGTCTTGCCCATGGTTCACCCCAACGATCTCGTCCTCGGAGGTTGGGACATCAGCTCTGCCAATTTGGCCGAGTCCATGGAACGTGCCCAGGTTCTCGAGTACGACCTTCAGCGTCAAGTCCGTGACGAGCTTGAGGGTCTCAAGCCCCTGCCTTCCATCTACTACCCCGATTACATCGCGGCCAACCAGTCCGACCGTGCTGACAATGTGCTCCCGGGCACCAAGCAGCAGCATCTCGAGAAGATTCGTCAAGATATTCGCGAATTCAAGGCTGCTAACCACCTCGACAAGGTCATTGTGCTCTGGACCGCGAACACCGAACGCTTCTCGTCCATCATTCCCGGTGTGAACGACACGGCGGAGGCTCTCCTGAACTCTATCAAGCAAGGTCATGACGAGGTTGCTCCTTCCACCGTCTTCGCCGTTGCTTGTATTCTCGAGAAGGTCCCGTTCGTCAACGGCTCTCCCCAGAACACCTTTGTGCCTGGTTGCGTCGAGCTCGCCATCACCCACAAGGTCTACATCGGCGGCGACGATTTCAAATCCGGCCAGACCAAGTTCAAGTCCGTGATGGTTGACTTCCTCGTGAACGCTGGTATTAAGCCCATCGGTATAACCTCGTATAATCATCTGGGTAACAACGACGGCAAGAACCTCTCTGCCCCCCAGCAGTTCCGTTCCAAGGAAATATCCAAGTCTAACGTCGTCGACGACATGGTGGCGGCCAACCCCATCCTCTACAAGAAGGGAGAGCACCCCGACCACATCGTCGTCATCAAGTACTGTCCCGCGGTCGGCGATTCCAAGCGTGCCCTCGACGAGTACGTTTCCGAGATCTTCATGGGCGGTCGCAACACTATCTCGACCTACAACGTCTGCGAGGACTCGTTGTTGGCCTCGCCCTTGATCTTGGACTTGACCATCATCACCGAGCTCATGACCCGTATCGAGTACCGCACCGACGACATGGAGGAGTACTCCCCCTTCCACTCGGTCCTCTCCGTCCTTTCCTACATGTTGAAGGCGCCTATGGTCCCCCCCGGGACCCCCGTCGTCAATGCGTTGGCTAAACAGAGGGCGGCGATGGAGAACATCTTCCGTGCTTGTGTCGGCTTGCCGCCCCAGAACGATATGATGCTCGAGCACAAGGCCATCTAGATTCCGTTGGATTTGCGGATCTTCTTTTCGTGCTTTCTTACCTTTTTCGTTTCGAGCTTTTGTTCCGTTGGATGGTAGTTTCGTCCTCCGTGTTCCGGTGGTACTCTCGAGTTGTTCTGATATCTGTCTGATGTACTGAGATTTGAATCAAATTGGGTGTGTTCATTCCCAGAAATATGTCGTATTGGAAGCTTCGTTTGTGCTGTGCGATGGATGATTGGAACGAACTTGGATCAAAAGTTGGAGAGTTGAAAGCGGCGCATGTCGTCGCCGAAAACGTCCTTCCGGCGCGCGTGTGTTTGTGATGTGTGATGAGAGGGAAGAGTTGCGCGTCATGGAATTGTGCAAGAGCTTCCCTCTGAGCTTCCCCGGCTCATTCCGCAACATCCCCTGGGAAAAACAACGCAAATCGCATTCAGATCGGCAGAGCACAGCAGGGAAGCGTAGTACTTGTTCCTCGTCAAGCAGCCGTCCCTCTCACCTTTCTCCGCCCTTACAACGCCCACAACAAGCCATGGCCCTGCGCCGAATTCAAAAGGTATGCAAGCCCATCTTGCATGCACCACTTTCGTCGCTCTTATCGGAGACCCAGACTGACATAAAAGTCTCGTATCAGGAACTGGTAGACCTAGCCAAGAACCCGCCCCTAAACGCCTCCGCTCAGCCCGTGAGCGATGACGATATCCTGCACTGGAAAGGCGCATTAACCGCTCCTGTAAAGCCAAATCGCGGACATCATCCTTCCTTCGCCCATGTGTGGAAAGCTAATCACCATATCCCTTAATCAATAGGACACCAGCGCATATAAAGGCGGCACATTCCAGCTCACCATCGAGTTCCCACCAGACTACCCCTTCAAACCCCCATCCATCAAGTTCGCGACCAAGATCTACCACCCGAACGTCGACGACGACGGGACCATCTGTATCGGGTTACTAAAAACCGAGGTATGTGCTCCCCTCAACTCTCCTCACACTCCCCGTGTCTTAATGTAATTGTGGTCATTCCTTTAGGTGTGGAAACCATCAACCAAGATAGCCGACGTGCTGATAGCCCTCGTGGACCTTCTGCAAAACCCGGTGCCTGAGGACGCGCTGCAGTCGTCGATTGCGCAGGTGTATAATTCCGACCAGCCGGTGTTTGAGAAGACGGCAAGGGAGTGGGTTAAGAAGTATGCGAATTCGAAGTGAGGGGGGGGTTCGATGAGAAGGGAGGGGGGCGGGCGGGAATCGTGGCACCGAAGTGGTGAGAAGGAAGGAGGATACGGAGGCTAGCCTCGCATAGCATGCAACATTTCTGCGAGATGAGGTTCTGTCGGCGAGTAGCGAGACGGAAAGTAAGAGTAGGGGGTGCCACTCAGAGAACAGATGACGTAGGGTTCGAATTACGGGAATAAGTTAGGAGGGCGGCCGGTTTCTTGTCACCTTTCCATTTGTTTGAGATTAGGAGACGTGCTCTGAGGACGTATGTACATATGGGGTATTTTTGTGTGAAATATATAGTGCCGTAGTCGACGGTGTTGGTTTGAGATGACCTCCGCCATCATCACCGCCTTGCAATATTTCTCAACTCGTCCTTCCCCATCCCTTTCAACCCAAACCCCTTCATCCTCCCCTCCTCGCCCTCCCCACCCCGCTCCAGCACATCCAACTGTGACGCCTTCTCCTTCATACTCTCCCTCAACCGCCCAATCTCCCCATCAATGTTCGTCTGGTCCTCCGTGAGGAGCGTGCTGACGGAGGAGGCGGGCAGTTTCATGAAAAGGCCTCCGGCGAAGAAGTAGGTTTTTTTGTCTGTTAGGGGGTTGTTAGTGGGAATGGATGATGAGATGGGAAATGGGAGGGGGGATGGGGACGTTACCGGGTTGTGAGGAAGAGGTTTTTTGGATGGAACGCAGGGCCATGCGGTTATCGTTTCGCCGCCGGTCGAGATCGACGACAAGCTGCTTTTTGATGAGGATGTCTTCGGCGAGGCGTTCAACTTCTGCTTGTTCTGGGGCGGGAGAGCTCGTCAGTTGGACTTCGACGGGGGGTTTCTCCAAAGACAGACGATGTATGTATAACTCACTTTGGAGGAAAGTTAGACTTGTCATTGTGGCTTGCACGAAATGGGTAATGGGGACGATGACAGATGTCACATTTGAAGTCATTTGCTTACGCGCTCCATTAGCTAATGGGGAAGGCCCAGAGCGCAGCGGTTGCGGTTGCAGCTGTTTGGCTTGTCCCCACCCGGAAAAGGAAAAAAACAAAGAGAGAGAAGAGACGCAGGAACCCGCTTCCTTTCTTTCTTCCTTACTCGCAAACATGGCTACCGACTCAAAGTAAGTACTACACATACACTCACACACATACACTCACTCTGGCACACAGCTATCGCTGGGCATATGCGGAGCGGGGGGAGGTGGGAGTGAGGAGAAGACATATTCGGGCGAGAATTTGCTGTGGAATGGAGGAGCTACGAGCCGACTTGTCGGAGCCGGTGGAATTGCTGGGAATGGGTGATCTTGGCAAGGGACGGCGCTGGCGAAAATGCTGCCCTGGTCCATGGAAAGAGGCGGGGGGACCACTGCTTCCAGGAAGGCTGGGGAGCCAGGCGCAGCACGATTAGAATTGAATTGCCAATGCTGATCTCCGCAATTTTCTTTCTCTCAACAGCGCGCCCGCTGCCGATGGTGCTTTTACCGATGTTCCCGAAGGGGATATCGAGGTAGGGCTTCCCAAGTTCACAATTGTGGGACGACGTTCTCTGCACAGTAGCTCAGAGTGCTGACCGATTGTTTCTGTTGCCGATTTTCCCACGCCTACAGTCCAACTGGGACGAGGTCGTCGACAAGTTCGATGACATGAAGCTTCGTGAGGAGCTTCTCCGTGGTATCTACGCCTACGGGTAAGTAGATACGACAGCAATCGTGTTGCACTCATGTGGAGAGGAGCTGACTTTCTTTGGGATTGAAATAGTTTCGAGCGTCCTTCCGCCATTCAACAGCGCGCCATCCTCCCTGTCATCAAGGGTCACGATGTGATTGCTCAGGCTCAATCTGGAACCGGAAAGACCGCAACCTTCTCCATCTCGGCCCTTCAGTCCATCGACGTGTCGAAGAAGGAGACTCAGGCTCTTATCCTCGCCCCCACCCGGGAGTTGGCCCAGCAGATCCAGAAGGTCGTCATCGCTCTCGGTGACTACATGGGCATTGAGTGCCACGCCTGCATTGGTGGTACCAACGTCCGTGACGACATGCGCAAGCTCGAGGAAGGAGCCCACGTCGTTGTCGGTACCCCCGGTCGTGTCTTTGACATGATCAACCGTCGCGCTCTCAAGGCCGAATCCATCAAGATGTTCATTCTTGATGAGGCCGATGAGATGTTGTCCCGCGGATTCACCGAACAGATCTACGAGGTCTTCCAGCTTCTGCCCCCGGCCACCCAGGTCGTCCTCCTTTCCGCCACGATGCCCGCTGAGGTTTTGGAAGTCACCAAGCGCTTCATGAGGGACCCCGTCCGTATCCTCGTCAAGAGGGATGAGCTGACCCTTGAAGGTCTCAAGCAGTTCTTCGTCGCCGTCGAGAAGGAGGAGTGGAAGCTCGACACCCTTTGCGACTTGTACGAGACTGTCACCATCACCCAGGCTGTCATTTTCTGCAACACCCGCAGGAAGGTCGACTGGCTTACCGAGAAGATGCACGCCCGCGACTTCACTGTCTCCGCCATGGTATGTGCCCTTCTCTATATTATTCCCACCACCGCAAGGTCACTAACAGTTGGACGTTCCTAGCACGGAGACATGACCCAGCAAGAGCGTGACGTCATCATGAAGGAGTTCCGTTCCGGATCTTCCCGTGTCCTCATCACCACGGACCTGCTCGCCCGTGGTATCGATGTCCAGCAGGTTTCCCTGGTCATCAACTACGACCTGCCCTCCAACCGTGAAAACTACATCCACCGTATCGGTCGTTCCGGACGTTTCGGTCGTAAGGGAGTCGCCATCAACTTTGTTGCCGCTGAGGATGTCCGCATGTTGCGCGACATTGAGTCCTTCTACAACACCCAAGTTGAGGAGATGCCCATGAACATTGCTGAGCTGTAAGTTCTTGTCACCATATTTGAAGTTCGACCATACCGCGGAAGATGCTCATCATTCTCTTTCGATGTACAGCATCTCCTAGATGTGCCCAACCAGCACAGGATCCCAGCCACCTCACCGTACGAACGATCCGTCCCTGCAAAGCCACTTCCTGTTCTTCCGTCAGGGAGGTTGGAGGCGGCAGTTCGCAGGGCAGAAATGCAAGCAGCTTCCCTTCCCTTCAGCGATTTCGAAAATCGTTGGGTTGTCAGTCGCATGTATTCTCTGCACAACAATCCCCATCCATCTGTTTTTCTCCGTTTTTATTGTTGCATTTATTTTCTCCTTCTCCCTTTGTAATTTCTCTGGTGTGGGGTTTCATTCCGCTGGTTGTATACTGAGGCCCTCTGTATATTCTGTAAACTGAATGTTGTTCCACATCATTATCCTTCTGAGCAATGCTGTATTGGAGTTGTGCAAGTGTCTGGGTTTGGGAAGTCATCCCGATACAGCAGGCATGTGAGGACAGTTGATCGCGGCACATAAGTCGACGAGGGTGGGAAGGCAAATTCAGAGATCTCCAGACTGCTCAAGTGCATTTCAACAATTCTTGGCCGACTGAAGACCAGATCCATGGAAGGTAAGAATGTTCGTCCGCAGCATAGTTTGTCCTCATCGACTGGTCCCTCTGCAAACCCTGATCGCCTCCTCGTTCTATCTTCCACCAGACCCACCGTCGAACGACGCCTTATCGGCGTTCCTGCAATGGTGCGCTTCCAAGGGCTTCACGCAGCACAAGCTGGTCGTCGCCGAGTTCGCGGAGACGGGGAGGGGCATGCGGGCCGTTGAGGATATTAATGCACGTCTGTCTTTTTTTGAGTCGTCCTATGTATGCATCCACCTTACCCTTATACTGCCACAAACAGGCCGGTGACATCCTAATAGCAATCCCCGCAACACTTCTTCTCACCTCCACCACGCCCGACGTCCTCTCCGCCTGTCAACCCTACACTTCCGCCGCATCCCTATCGGAACACGCAGCACTAGCAGTGTTCCTCGCCGTCGAGCGCGCGAAGGGGGCGGCGAGTGCGTATAAGCCGTATGTGGATGTGCTGCCGGAGGCGTTTGGGAGCGTGCCGGCGGTGGGCGTGGGCCGGATGGGAGAGGGATGGGGTGCGTGGGTGCCGGAGGGGGTTAGAGGTATGTGTGGGATGTTTGGGGGTGGGTTGAGCGGTTCTTTTGGAGGGATGTGCGGCGTCGGGAGGATCAATGCCAATTAACCGGGTTCAGCTTCTCTACCCTGACAGATGCGACGCAGAGGATACGGAAGAAAGTGAGAGATGATTATGCGCTCGTCATGGGTCTATGTCTGCGATGTGTCGAGGATCATACCCGCGGCGACCCGCCAATACAATGCACATCATGTCCGACGACGCCGGCAGCCCCTTACATCCCCTTCGCCGCCTTCCAATGGGCGTGGTTCGCCGTAAACACCCGCTGTGTCTCCCTCACAAGCCTCCCCGCCACACCCCAAAAACGGTCCACACCCAGCGCATCACCCGCGAAACCACTCACAACACACCTCTGGCCACCCCACCTCCGCGCTTGCAAAATCGCCCTTGCGCCCATGCTCGACTTTCTGAACCACGGTAAAGATGCTAAAGTCGAGGCTGGGTACTCCACCAATTCCTCGTCTTCGTCCTCCTCCTCCCCAGACTCCGAAGGCTACAAAATCCGCACCCTCGTCGCCTACCCCGCAAACACAGAAGTCTTCATATCCTACGGCGCGCATAGCAACGAGTTCCTGCTGGCGGAGTACGGGTTTGCGATACCGGGCAACGAGTGTAACTTTTTGACGGTGGATGAGGGGGTGTGGGAGGTTGGCTTTGAGGGGGAGACGGGGGAGGGGAGGGAGAGGGCTAGGGCGGTTGTTGAGGGGGTTGGGTTGGGGAGGTATGGTTCTTACTTCCGTGTTCTGGTTTCATCGTTCTTGACTCCCTCATCGTTTGATTATTGATCACAGAGAGCATACACTTCACCCCCACGGTGAACCCTCCCCTCGCCTCCTAGCCCTCCTCCGCATCCGCCTTCTCTTAGTAACAACGCCAAACCCACTTCCACCCTCTGCCATCGACGCCTGCTGGATGGAACTCGCGCCGGATCTTGAGCGGAGGGTGCGGAGGGCGGTGTGGGGAATTTGTGGGCGCGGGTTGGATGATGCGAGGAGGTCTTTGGCGGGGTTGGATGGACAAGGAGAGGAGGTGGGTGCAGGGGATTTGGGGGATTTGTCGGAGGAGTTGAGGGAGTTGGTGCGGTTGGTGTGGACGGACGCTGTGGGGATTTTCGAGAGGACTATGGAGTGGGTGAGGGAGGAGGATAGGGCTGCTGGTGTACATTGAACCTGTAATTTATTGCCGGACGGTGTTGAATGCACGTACAAACAGGAGCACATGAACATAGACTAGACGGATATTGGACTTTTCTAATCCGTGTCTTCCATGTGCACTTGTCCTCACAAATCAAAGTGACGAGCCCTTGCCGCCAAGGAATCATTGCAGAAATGGATGCGAGTAGTATAGATCTGGAGCCTTTATACCGAGTATGTGCAGCTTACCGAGGCTTTTCAGCCACCATCCCAGAAACTGGGTAGGGGGTCTGAAAAGCGATGAAACCCAGCCAAGGAAGATCGAGTCAGCATGGACTTGTGTTGATGCTGATAACAAAACAAATGGGGCGAGTTCGTCTGTACTTGGCCCAATTTGAGCCGTGATGTGAATAGAGCCGATAGAGCCAATATCACATGCCACTCATGGTCGACTGAAACAGCTTCAGAATTTGCATACACATGCAGACGATTTTGTGGAGCGATTGCAAGGGGACCTAAAATGACAGGACAATGACAGTACAATGACAGTACAATGACTGTAGATCCGTCACATTCATGACATAATCCCGAGAGAGCGACGGTATTGGGGCTGGTGAAGTGACTCGGGGATATATCTGTAGATCCTAGAGTTGCAGGGCAATACAAGGAAGTTCAAGAAGTCCACACCTTTCACACCCTTTTGTCCGACACCCTTTCTTCCGACGTAAGCGGCACTCCGACCTCGCTCGTGCTACATACATACAGTATGGAACCAGCCCCGCTCGCTCGTTCAACCTCCCGACGCTTTCCATACGATCAGAACCCCCCTCATCACGCTTTTCCACCCGTGGCCGAAACGAAATGCGTACCACCATTCTCGTCGCCGCAGCGGCGGCCACTGCGAGCCTGGCTACCGGCGCTTCCCTGAGCCTCAAAGAATACGCGACCGACACCTGCACGTCCGCCGCCATCCTGGAGTCGGTGTATAACGAACGAGGTAGGCTCGGTCCTCTTGTTTGAAGACCACGATTGTTGTTTAGTGTTTCTTTAGCTAAACAACTGTCGATATCTCCTAACAGCGTGCATCTACTTCGGCGGACTCTATGCCAGAGCCTCTTGCGCGAATGGAACCCTCGCGCTGCAGAACTACGGTACCGAGGCCAATTGTCTCAACCAGACAGCGCTCATCAACACCACCGCACAAGCTGTTGATACCTGTGTCGGAGGAACCAAGCTTTACTGTAACGCAAACACGTTATCAACGCCGAACAAACCGCAGGCTCAAGAAGCGTGGAAGTTTTCGTTCGAAGCGTACTCCACTTTCGCAGATTGCGGAGCCGGCAATGTCGCAAAGGCAACGAGCACGGTCGCCCCAAAAAAAGTGAACTTTTGCTTCAACAGTACGCACGACGGACTGTCGACCTCAACGTTCTCCACGTGCGACTCGGCCCGCCAACAGATTTGGGAGTACAACAAACCCGGGTGCCCTGATGCGGACTTTGCGGGTATTTCCTCCTACCTGAACAACCAGTGCTTGGCGATGACAGCCAATACGACTGCCGAGTCGGGAGTCTATCGCTGCTCGATTCCCGCCGCAGTTACGCTACCCGCCTTTCCTGGTTTGTCGGACTCGTCGGCTTCGTCTACTTCGTCTGCTTCACCTACTGCGTCTGCTTCGCCTGTCAGCGCCGCATCTGCCTTGCGCCCGTCCCTTGTGGCTCTGCTTTCCCTGGTGATTGTGTCTGCGGCTTCTCTCATATAGTGTAAACGACGCAGCACGAGTTCAGCGAGGGACCTATAAGGAAGGAATATAGGAACATTTTCAAAAAAGGTTGCAGTCAACAGTTCTCGAAAACCGTGTACACACTTGGCAGGCGGGAGGGATATGGATGTAAGCTCCTCGGGAAACTCTACAAACCCAGCAACCTCCTGAATTTGAAGGGCACAGATGTGCAGGAGGCAGGTGGTCCTTGCAAAATGCTTTCGATGTTCCCCCACTGCCCCCTGTCGGAACTGTCGGAAGGATTAAATGCTTTCCTCACGTGACAAGTTTAATCTTTCGCGAAGCATGTCATCAGCGCCTCCCTTATCGCACTTTCCAACCAAGGATCAAGAATTCTTGCACTTTCATCACAGTCCCTGCACTCACTAATACCGACTAGTCCCATCTCCAAACCCTTCGCTATTCATCTACCGTATCATGTCCAGGCGAACGACCCTCTTTGTCGCCGGGTTTTCTCTCCGCACCCGCGCCAAGGAACTCGCGTATGAGTTCGAAAGGTAAACAATGCCCCCCCCCCCCCCCCCCCCTCCCCCCCCCGATCTCGTGAGAAACGAGCTGCCGCTAACGCTACTCTACCCTGCTTAGATATGGGCGACTAGGCAAGTTTTGAGCCTCTGTGCTCTTCCTCCCGTAATCCGCGAGAAGTATGTCTAACCGATCTCTTTCGATTAGTCCGCTGTGATATTCCTGCAGCCAGAGGGTCCCAGGCTAAACCGTAAGTCCCATCTGCCTGATTGCGACCGATCGGGAACGCTCGAAAGTCTGATCCGCTCGGACTTCGCTTATTTCTTTATAGCTATGCTTTTGTCGAGTTTGAAGATCCCCGAGACGCTGAAGATGCTTACTATGAGATGCAAGGACGTCGAATCGAAGGTCACGCGTTGCACGTTCAGGTACGATCTTTACCAAGTCGAACATCTCCGAGACTCGATCGACTCACTGGTACTCCAACCGAAACAGTGGGCCAAGAACACGCCTGGTCGAGGCTGGCGCTACGAGGATGGTGGACGCAGGTCGCGCTCTCGCTCTCCACCCCGTCGCCGGGCCCACCGCGACCGCTCTCGCTCCCCCAGGTCCCCGCGAAAGCCTAGGTCGCCTGTGAAGACGGATCGCGCTCGCACTGCGTCACCGGACGGCTTCGACGACAGGAAGGAGAACGGAGTCAAACGCGTCGATCCGGAAGTCAAGGAAGAGATCTCAAAGCGGTCCCCTAGCCCCATTGGAAATGGCGGCGCACGCAGTCCGTCTCCTCGTCCTGCTGATGACGATCGTAACGGGCGCTCGCCTACCCCCTGAGCTCCTTGAGATTTTGTCTTGGGAAAAAAAGGATGTACAGGGAAGTCCGTTTGTGAGGGATAGGTTGGCATTTCGGAGATACTTCCATCAATATCCCGAAGAAATGGCCTGGACGTCGACGTTGCTGCTTTTGATGGCCTGACGGGTGTTTTTCTTTTCTTATGCTTTTTCTTCTTTAATGACACGCTCGCTCCGAGATTTTGTTACATAGCGGATTAGTGGCCTCGTTGAACGTCTTACTCCGCCACGTCGGTCGGTCGGTCGGTCGGTCGGTCGTCATCGATTCTACGGTCCTGCGAACGACTACAATGTAGCGAACGATATCGTGCGATTTTTGTACCCCTTACCTACGTAAAAACGAAACAGCTTTACTTATCCTTACGTCCGAGTGGTCGATATTTTTGCGATAACGGTCGATAGCTTGATTCGGATTGCGGACGTTTCTCCCGCCGAATGCCATCCCCAGGCCGGTCCAACTTGTCGCGCGAAAATCAGGTCGTAACCTTCGTGCATTCCCATCCGTCGCATCCCGTCTACCGGGCCGAAGCATCCTTTCCGCGTCATGACAGACGAGTTATCTGGTCAAGTTGACAATCAAGTCTTCTCTCTACCTCGAGGCCGTCAATCCGCCGCCCTTCGTTCGTCGACTGTAGCGCACGGTCCAGTCCTACAGTACAAATGGCGCCCTAAACGATCCATTCCACGTCCAATCTCGTTTCGCCCGACCTCTTGACGATCATCGTTCGAATGTTACTTCAAAGCCATGTCCATGCCCTTATCGTGCAAGTTTCTTCATTTTCGGTCGCCAAAGCGACAGTACCCTCACTGGTCTACATCGTCAACGCATGAATCTGCATTTCATAACCCCACTTGCCCCCCACATCGGCTGCCGTCTACATCGATCAAGCCGCTCCCCCAGATGACCTACGTTTCCCTTGCTGCGTCTATATCACCTCACATCATTCGCCCGATTCCCGTGGAACTCTATGCACTTGTTAACGCCTAACATGGTTTCCGCACTTGTACGCCAAACGACTTGTCGATACTCATTTTTGTCAGAGTTTCAAACGGAACCCGAGAGAGTTGGAAAGTCAAATCCCGTGGTAATCTGCTGAGCTATACCCACCGTTTTCACGTCGACTTTCTACCTTCCTACAGGAGCTTCCGGATTTCCTGTGCCGAACCCAGATGTTTAAGGACTGTATCTTCGGCGACAGTGGTTCTCCAAAGTACGCGCAGAAGAGCAGCCTTTTTAGCCACGCACACGCATAACGGAGCGGCATATTATCCATGGACGACTCGCCGCTGGAAATAAACGCAACTCGGTCAACAAACAAGATTTGGGCGTCGATATATCGGAACAATTCAAGACCGCGGCGAAGAACATCCGATCAGTGCTCAGAGTAAGTTTCCCATTGTAATTCCATCATATCGATTTCAGAAGCAATTATTGTTCATCATCGCACTGGTTGGGGTAGTCCTGAGAGTAACGAAGCTTACTTACCGAAGCAACGCATAACGGAGTGGTATTTTATCCGTAGACGACGCGCCGCTGGAAATAAACGGAACTCGGTCAACAAAACAAGCATTTGGGTGTCGATATATCGGAACAATTCGAGATCGCGGCGAAGAACATCCGACCAGTGCTCAGTAAGATAACGCATTGTTATTCCATCATATCGATTTCGGAAGGTCTCTCTTGTTCATCACCGCACTGGTTGGGGTCCCCTGAGAGCAAAGAAACTTACTTACCAGGCACACGCACGGCGGAGCGGAATATCTTCCATCGATATTTCCTTACTGGAAAATGGAACGGAATTTGGTCAACAACAGTCATCTGGGCCGTCGACACACCGACACGCTTTGATGTCGCGATGTGAGAGAGACATCAATACAGCGGCAAAGAACATCCGACCGATGCAGAACTCGTCGGTTTTCTCATCACATCATTTCGGGAAATATGCCCCCATCATCGCAGGTGGGGTAGTGCGCAGAACGAAGCAGCAATGAAAGTCAAAACGAAAAGAACAACAAAGATTTCCTTGCAACACTCCGCATGAAATCGGGCTGATACATGCTCATCAGCGCATGGGTCGGCATCGGACGTCGAATTTACATACCTCGCCTTTGGGGAGTGATACCTATCTTTTTGGATGGCTAAGGACGCACCTTTTATATGTTTATACGGGTCAGGTCCCTGAAGGAAGGTAAAGTATCGATCCGTCCATGTTCAGTCGATGTCATGTCAGCAATCATGTCAGGAGTTCGAGGGACCGCATGCATGCTCGAGTTAGGAGTTCTCATCTCGGCTGCGTTCTGAATGAGGAAAGTATGGCGTAGGAGAGCATTGGCTAGAGAAATGAATGAACGAAGACGGCCAATGCGGTTAGATAGTCCTCGTTACCTTTCTTGTATGGTCTGTACTTGGCTTCAATGGTTCATCAATGGCGTTGGAATACCTGTTCAATATACCGGTGTCGAATCTCCCTTCATTCATAGATCTGTCCGAGGAGTCCGAGGAGGGTAACTCAACTCGATGATAAGTAGTAGCTAAGGGCAAGTATGAAGGCATATCAGGTGCTCATCGGACACTTCTCTGACAGGTGTGCTTTGAACCTCTTGACCCTGATGCGGTGAAACGTAAGCCTCTTCGCAAAAAAGATAGTCTTCCAGCTCACTGTGAGGCTGATGCTGTTCTCTGATAATCGAGAAATCGGTCATTACGACTGTCCCTCTCTCTGTGAACCGCCCAATAAAAAGGCAATAATGTAGGGTAATATGTGGGGAACCCCTCGGGACCGAAATCTGTGCTATCAAAATCGACAGCCTGTTGACAGGGAATTATAGCCGTCAACATCACGTGACACCGAATAAGATCAATGTCAAGGAGGAATGCAGGGTCGCTCGCTGGTAACATCACCACTTCTGGGGAACAGAGGATTTGGTCGCATTCGAGTAGATCCTCTAGAGCCTTCTGTTTCAAAACCCTTGAAGACCTAACTCATTAAGCGCTCAACATGGACGTGGATCTCTACGACGAGTTTGGCAACTACATTGGTCCGGATTTGGACGACGAGGATGATGAGGAAGAGGAGTACACCCTTCCGCAAAGTCGGCCAATGGAAGTCGGCGACGAAGAACCCGAGGAGGAGGAGCGGGACAATGGAATGAGCTTGATGCACGTAGACGGTGAGTGTCCGCAGCTGCAGATAATCAGTAGGCCTGATCGAGTCGTTCCGGCTGATCCATGACCTCCTTTCCCAGAGCCAACAACGCAGATCGTGCTCCACGAGGATAAGAAGTACTACGCGACCGCAGAGGAGATCTACGGGCCGGATGTCGAGACTCTAGTGCAAGAGGAGGACACGCAGCTGTTGACGGAGCCCATCATTGCACCCGTAAAGAAAAGGAAGACTTACGTCCAGGAGAAGGACCTTCCACCAACATTCTACAACAAAGAGTTCCTGGCAGATCTGACGGCATTTCCAGAGTTGACGAGGAATATTGCAATCGTCGGGCATCTGCACCACGGCAAGACGTCGTTGGTGGATGTGCTTGTATCGCAGACGCACGATATGCAGTGGGATCTGGAGAGCAAGGAGCGATACACCGACGTTCACGAATTGGAGCGTGGTCGTGGAATTAGTATCAAGAGCATGCCCATGTCGCTGGTTTTGCAGGGCCTGAATGGAAAATCGCATCTGCTGAATATCTTTGATACTCCCGGCCATGTCAACTTCTCCGATGAAGTTTCCGCTGCCCTGCGGATCTGCGATGGAGCTGTGCTCGTGGTTGATGCCGTGGAGGGTGTGATGGCCAACACGGAACGCATTATCAAACACCTTGTGGCAGAGAAGATACCGGTGACCCTGCTGATTAACAAAGTCGACCGTCTGATACTCGAGCTGAAGCTTCCCCCCAACGACGCATACTTCAAACTCCGACACACGATCGAGGAGGTCAACACCATCCTTGCCACTTGCTCAGAAGACGTGCGGTTATCGCCCGAGCTAGGAAACGTTTGCTTCGCTTCGAGCCAGATGGGATGGCTCTTTTCGCTCAAATCCTTCGCTCAGATGTACTCCGAGTCCTACGAAAACTTTGACACTGACGAGTTCGCGAAGCGTCTGTGGGGGGACATTTACTTTGATTCGGAGAAGAGGACATTCAGGAGGAAGCCGTTGGACAGTTCTAGCAAGAGAACGTTTGTGCATTTCATCTTGGAACCTCTGTTCAAGCTATATGCGCATGTCATCGGCGAAGACCCTAAGTCTCTGAAGAGCGTTTTGTCGTCTTTGGGCATATACCTCAAGCCGGCCCAGCTATCAATGAACGTCAAGCCCCTCCTGAGGATCGTTTGCGAGCAGTTTTTCGGAACTGTTGGTGGATTCGTAGATATGATTGTTGATAAGATCCCATCGCCGAAAGAGAACGCGGTCACAAAGGTGGAGCACATCTACACTGGTGACCTCAACGGCCAATACGGAGTAGCGATGAAAGAGCTGGATCCGGAAGGCCCTCTGATGGTCCACATTGTCAAACTGTACAATGCGACCGACATGACGGGCTTCGACGCCTTTGGTCGAGTGATGAGTGGAACCGTCAAGCTGGGCCAGAAGGTCCGGGTGTTGGGAGAGGGGTATACGCCGGACGATGAAGAGGATATGACCGTACGGGAAGTGACAGGCCTGGCGATTTACGAAAGCAGATACAAAGTCAAAGTGACCTCGGCGCCTGCGGGAAGCTGGGTGCTACTGGAGGGCGTCGATTCCGGTATCCTGAAAACTGCCACGATCACGAGCACGGATGTCGATGAGGACGACCCGGTGTACATTTTCCGATCGCTACGATACAACACACAGCCTGTAGTCAAAGTCGCAGTCGAGCCAGTGAACCCGACGGAGTTGCCGAAAATGTTGGATGGGTTGCGAAAGATCAACAAGTCGTACTCGATAGTGCAAACGAAGGTGGAGGAAAGCGGAGAACACATCATTCTTGGAACGGGAGAGCTGTATTTGGACTGTGTCCTGCATGATCTGCGACGCCTATACTCTGAGATCGAGCTGAAGGTTGCTGATCCTGTTGTGAGGTTTTGCGAAACGGTGGTGGAGACGAGTACTCTGAAATGTTTCGCGGAGACTCCCAACAAGAAGTGAGTTGTGTTCGCTTAGTCTAATCTGGCTGGCCGTAGTTTGCTTACAAGGGTCGATTCGGCAGGAACAAAATTACCATGGTTGCAGAGCCTCTGGAAAAAGGGATTGCGGAGGACATCGAAGATCTACGTGTATCAGCGAAGTGGCCAACACGTCAACTGAGCGACTGGTTCCAGAAGAAGTACGACTGGGACATGCTTGCATCACGGAATATCTGGGCGTTCGGTCCCGACGACGAAGGCGGTCCCAACCTGCTCCTCAACGACACGCTCCCAGCCGAGACGGATAAACAGCTCCTCACAGCTGTTCGCGACTCCATCAAACAGGGATTCCAATGGGCTACCAGGGAAGGCCCATTGTGTGACGAGCCGATCAGAAACGTGAAGTTTAAGATCCTCGACGCGTCGCTGGCGCAGGAAGCCATCTACCGCGGAGGAGGCCAGATAATCCCCACCGCCCGCCGTGTCTGCTACTCCTCCTTCCTCATGGCGACACCGCGCCTGATGGAGCCCGTCTACTTCGTCGAAGTGCAAGCCCCAGCCGACTGTGTGTCCGCAGTGTACACCGTCCTCGCCCGCCGTCGTGGCCACGTTACACAGGATATCCCAAAACCTGGGTCACCGCTGTACACGGTCAAAGCGTACATCCCCGTCATCGACTCGGCAGGTTTCGAGACGGATCTCAGGACGCATACCCAGGGTCAAGCCTTCTGCCAGCAGATGTTTGACCACTGGCAGATCGTGCCCGGGGATCCGCTGGACAAGAGTATTGTGCTGAGGCCGTTAGAGCCTAGTCCCGCACAGCACCTGGCGAGAGACTTTATGGTCAAGACGCGGAGGAGAAAGGGGTTGAGCGAGGATGTCGCCGTAACGAAGTTCTTTGATGACCCGATGCTGGTCGAGCTGGCGAAGGTTGAGGGTGGCTTATTGTTGTAGAATATTTTGCAGAGACGATATCTTATTTCCAAAGGGCGTGTGAGGGGTATATGGCGGCTGTTGCATATATGTAAATTGAATAGGATTCTACAGCGATTTGTATGTAATATTGCATGATTCACGGCCCCGACGCATACTTCGGCTGAGTATTAGCGACGCCTTCTCTGCGGCCGTCCCATTCACGTATCTCTGACTTAATGCCGCTTTCCTACACATGCGGAGGGGCCATCAAATTCCAACAGCACACAAGTCCAAAATGTTATCGAACTTTGTCCTATCCCAAGGACACTTCGGTGCCGACATGGCGACAAGTTGCACTGCGCACGAAGCGCACAATCGGTGGCCACATGGGTTAACCACTGCAAGGGCATGTTCAGCAAGATGGAATATCTCCTTCAACTGACGTGGCGCACCTTTACTCTCCATCGCATCAAAACATAGCTGACATTCGCGTAACGGCTCGTCTGAGGGGTTCGGCTCTGTCGGGACCGTACATGCTGCTCCGAGTGCTTCTTTATCATCGGCCGCCACCACGTCTGTAGTCTCTGCGTCGTTCAAACCGCTGCTTTCCCTGCTCTCTGCATGTTCCTCGACATCAGCACGACTGCTGGAGTTGAGCATTTCGCGCTCAAGCTCGGCAAGAAGCGCGTCGCATCGTTCGTGAGCTAGTCTGATGGCTTCATCACGCGATTGTACGATGGCGCGTTTGCGTGCTTCGTAGGCTTCTTTATGTGATTGTGTAGACTCCCTGATGGATGCTGGTATTTGAGCGGATGCGGGCCGTCGCTTTGGTGATGGATGTGATGGTGATGCGCTTGCTGAAGATGGTTGTACGACGGAAACTGGCTCGGCGCCGGCTTCGCTTTGCGACAACATGCTTCTGCCGTTCCTATGTATGCCAACAGCATCCCGCCTAAAAGAACCGCCTGTTAACAGCAATCCCTCGACAGCACCTTCACATGTCCTTGACATACCACACGCGTCGTGGGGCAGGCGTTTGTGGCGGCAACGCGGCGGGGATAGGCAGTAGATGAACACCTTTCTCTGGCGACAGTGCCGCTGGTGACGGGGGCGTGAGGGATAATCGCACTGCCTCTGGGTTTGTCGTTTGTGAAGCAGCTGGTGCGCTCGAGGGTACACTGTTGATCGCAGAGTCGCCCATCCGCTGCACGAGGTCCGTACACTGCCTGGCTTTCGCTTCCCTGCCTGGTTGGGGGACATGAGGTCAATGATGCTATGGAAAGCAACTGTTTCAGATACGTACCCTCCTTGAAACACAACTGCAGGAAATGCGTCTCTTCCACTGTAAACATGAGCAGCGGTTTCCCGTCCGACAAGTTTTTGAACCGAATGTCCGTCAGAAGAGCACGCGACCAGCTGATTGTAGTAGGTTTGCCTGCAACAATTGGGCCGGCATTCTTCATCAATTGTGATGCTGAAGGCAGGATGCCGTGCCATGATAGTCGGGACTCATGGAGCCGCACGAGGCCGCAGCTTAGTTCAATCTATAGAGCAAAGTTTGAAAGGACGTCAAAGGGTATGGAAGTACAACAGGGGTGAGGATGTCACACTTACGAAGTTGTAACAGATGACAACGTCTGCGAAGATGGTTACAGGCTCCTCGTCTGAGGAATCTTTTCCATTTTCTGCCTTCTCATCTTGCACACACCACCTTTGCAGTGTGTGCAAGATCTCACTGATAGACTGCTCGGGCGTCTTCGCCTCTTCTTCAGAGAGCTTCTCTCGCGCTTTATCCTGTCATAATAAGATTGAACGCCGGCCAACCGATGTCGGCGAAGGTAAGGCCTATATAAGCGCTTACCAAGTCCTCCTCAGTCACAAACACCTCCTGAAAGTCCCCAAGGCCAAACACATCCTCGGTCGTTTGCGTGTCGATAGGGAACTCAAACTTAAGTTGGCTGGATCCCAAAGTCGACGCCTCCGAACCGACACCTTCCTCCTTGTTCCACCCATCATCCGCATGTCCATCTTCATCGAATCTGCCGTTTGAGGGGATGTACGCATCGGCATCCTTCGTGCTTCCACCTGCACCAAACATATCCTCACACGAGGGGCCGGGTGACCCTACCATCCCTCCCAATCCAAAAGGCGGAACCCGCGTCAACCCCTCCCCTTGAGACACACTATCAGCATCGTGTGAGGCTTTCCAGGGTTGAAGAGCCTGTTTGTTGTCCGGGGTGCCGAACAGCCGGTCGGTCAGAGAGGACGTCCGAGCCTGAGGACGAAATGGGGAGAAGAAGCCGCTGGTGGCCGAGATGTTGCTTTTGGAGGAGGTGCCGAAGCGGCGAAGGGGCGTGTCGGGCTGGAAGTTGCGGAATTCGGGGGTGCCCATTGTCGTATGTAATATCGTCGCTGCAACTTCGGAGTAGTTATACTTGCTCCCAGATAGTTGTGTTTGACGATGGTTGTCTCAGCTGGGTGGTGTGACAACTTCTATGCATGCAACGTAGTACAGTCCAAAGCAAAAAGGGGGATGTCGAGGGCAATCCACTGCTTTCGGACCTGCTTTCGGACATGGCCACTCCCGTGCGTACAGTACGGAACGCCAACCAATTCATCGTCTGCTTTGCAGCCAGCTTTGCAGCCATAGAACACAACATCCAAACAATTCCACAGCTGTCTCTACTGTAGCCCTACGGAGAATCCCCACCTTTTATACAATTCTAGACGTATAGACCTATAGCAACATGGCTTCTCACCTAGCCTTTACTGCGGACACCACCGGGGAGCTGAACTTTCCCTTCGGAATCGCAGACCTTCGTTCGTACGCACTACACCAGCCACCTCCGGCCACTCTGGGCTCAGGGTCCAAATGGGGCCCAACCCATTTGTCTGCCTTTCATGTTGTTACGAAAACAAACCTTCCTGTTGAAGCCGTCGTCCCTGGCCATTTGTTGCCTTCCCGGGACGTGGTTCGAGCTGCCATTCCATCCCTTTTCTCTGTCGATGGCGATGTCGTACGTGACGTAGACTTCACTCTCAAGAACGCCCCGGAGGAAATCAGGTCGACGATACGGTCCGAGTCCTATACGTTTTACCGGAACCTGCAGGCGGTCATCGCTCATACCTCAGACGAGTCGGTGAGAAGTGCGTCCACCACAGGCCCAGACTTGTCCAGCACAACAGACGAAGACAAACCAGAGAACGTCGGGGAGGCACTACTGAAAACCTTTGTCGGGCTGGTGATAGACAGTATGGGGCCGACTATTTCGCGTAACGGCAAAACATACGAGATTGAGCTTCGGTACGGTAGTGTCTGTCCAGATCTGAACTCAATCCACCGCTGATCGTCCGTCACTCTCATAGCCCCGAGCCGTTAGAGAGGACTATAAGGCTTTGTGGGGGCATACCAGCCATTGTGAGGAGCGACGGATGGTTGGCTTTGGTAAAGTCTGCCACTTCAAAAGGCAGTCGTCGCGGCAGGCTCGTCGGAGGTGTTACATTATGTGGAATTGAGGTATAGGCTTCTTGGTGTGCATGCTGTCGTGAAAGCGGTATTCTAAGGTGGACTTTAGGCCAAGCGGTACGGACACGAACACTTTATCGACGGGATTTACGGACAGCTTTTCGCGGAGTGTCTGGCTTTAGCTTACAACAACCGGACCAAAGGGCCCGGTGACCAAGAGGTAAGGACTCAGCAATCGTCGATGTGTTAGGAACCCATCACAGCCTTTCTTAACTCATGATTCGGCTCTTGTAGACTTTTTTGATCGGAATTCATCATCGGAAAGTCTTCATCGTTCACGTGTTTCTTCCTGCATCCTATTTGGATGCTATCCAGCTAACGGTCGACTTGCCCGATAACGTGTATGTCGTTTTGAAAAGGAGTCGCGTGTTCGACCTCCTGTGGAGCGAAGACAGGATGGAAATGGCGCGTGCGGTGTTAGCCATGGAGGCGCATCTGGGCACCACGGCGAATCTGGTTGGCCGCATGCGGTCGGATCCTCTTTAGGCTTAGGATTAGGAGTCATGCTGTTGTCATCTGAGGGATTGACTAGAAGTGGGTAACTCGTGCTAAATGTGAGTAACTCGGGTTAGGGTTAGACTAGTTAGACAGCTGCCGAGCGGAGCGGGTAGACCCTGATTGTAGGAGGCCGGGTAAGGCCGACTCACCGAAGGCAAAGGGGTTAGGTTTGTTGATCAAATGGTTCACTTTGGCTGTAAAAAAGTCTTATTCTGGAGGTGAGCTACCCACATTTAGCACGAGTTACCCATTTCTAGTCACCCCCATCTGAGCGTACCTCTTCCGCTTGCGAGCAACGAGCACGCGTATATATATAGCGCCCCTCGATCGCAACACACTCCTCTCAAACACTAGCGTCACTGACTAGCGTCACTGTAATTGGAATCTGGCTGCATATCATTGGGAGAACCCGCTCGCTCGCTGGTAGGACAGCTGAAAACGGGAAGGATCGTGGCAAAACGACAGCGCGGCTCAGACGACGCCAACAGGCCGAACAGTGATGTGTCAGTGGTCTATTCTGCAGAGCACGACTGGCGACGCATGTACAGGGAATAACCGCCTCTTCCTTTGAACTTTCATATTACATTGTGTTCAAAGGTCAGCATTGGTGGATTGATGAGAGCACTATAGCCTTGTGGCTTGCCCAATTTCTGCCCGTAAGGCCGCTATCAGGGGCATCAGAACATCGTGCTGCCTGCAAAAGACAGACTTTGTTAATAGATAGTTAAAATTGCAAAGAACCGCCATGTCCTTGAATGCATACCCGTATACGTTCCGTCATCTACTTTATCCCAATCATTCGCTTCCTTATGCTTGAATGTAAACCCAACAAACGCATTCCTCAGCTCCTTCTGCACGCCCGATGCTGGGTTCGTGGCAGCTTCATTCTTCTTCTTTTCCATCTCTTTCATTCGATCTTGGACCTCCTTGTACATCGCCATGTCTTTCGGATCGCTAAAGTCGTCAAAGTAGGTCGTGTCGATCGAGGATTTGAGGGCTGGAATGAAGGGTGGGGTGGGCGAGGTGGGAGTTCGGAGGTGCGAGAAGGAGTAATCGTGGAAGAAAGGATGTTGCTGGAGATGGGTTTGCAATTGGAGTCGCACGGGCTGTTTCGCAATCAGGCTAAGAAGTACGGCGCCCAGTGAGCAACTACCCTCTTACGGACGACATTGGAACCTGCGTATCACCTTGTGACCAAGCTCCATGCCGTATCCGTCAGGTTGAACTCCTCATCTGCTCCGCTGTAGCGTGGCCGCTCAAGTACTTTTTCCCAGTGGTAAACATTTACCCATACATCATCCGTCGTTGGTGCAGTGAAGGGAGGGTATCCTGCAATTGCATTGCCTCAGTCAGATATGGTTGTCAATAGTCACCTGAAAGCGCCATTTAGGATGCCAACCTGCTAAGCATTCAAACAGGATGCAACCGATGCTCCAATAGTCAACTGCAAGACCGTAACCTTCTTGGTTGTTTGTGAGAACCTCAGGCGCCATGTAATCCGGAGATCCGACGAGGGAGTATGCCTAGACACAATCAGTTAGCTGCGGCAAGATGACGCAGCTAGAGCGGCTGAACTGACCAGCATATCTTCCCTCCGCAGCGATTTGTGAATGCTGCGTCTATCCGCAATCGATCGATGTGTCAATGGGGTGTCTTTTAGTTTATCAAGCTGCCAGGATGAGTAAAGCCATGAGTCCCTGGCTTTCATAATTTACGGCAAATGGACGAAGGCGGACCTTCTCTTTGAGACAGTCCATGATAGATGGGCTCAGTGCACCACGACTGAGTCCAAAGTCCGTCAACTTCAGATGCCCCGTTGCATCGATCAAGAAGTTCTCCGGCTTGAGGTCCCTAGACCAGCCGGACAAACACATCAGTTTCCTCCCAAATGACACGCGGACACCATCCCGTCGCCCATACCTGTGAATGTACCCCAGTCGATGCAATTCGGCAACCGCCACAATCATCTCGGCGACATAGAATCGTGCATGCACCTCTCGCAGTACTCCAGAGTTGTTCAGCAACGTCCTCATGTCGCCGCCAGGCACATACTCCATCGCCAAGTATACATGATCGCAGTCTTGGAATGCGTATAGAAGCTTGACGAGCCAAGGACTGTCCGTGCGTGTGAGGATGTCACGCTCGGTGAGGATGTGGTTGACTTCGCCAAGTTTGTGCAGGAGGGCTTTGCTCATTTTCTTGAGCGCGCAGAATTCTTTGGTGTCATTCTTCTTTGCCAAGTAAACCTATTTGCGACCGTTGGGTCAGCGAGTTTTCGCACTTGATGTGGACAGTCTCCCTCACTGTACCTGACCATATCCACCTTGGCCGACCTGAGTGACGATATTGAAGTTTGCCAAACGGATGCGAGTCCGTCTTTTCCGCAGAGCCGCTCGTTCCTTTCCGCAAAGATACTTCCAATCTCGGTCTTGCTCACCCTCGGGCACCTGAGTGGGATGACTCTGAGTAAGCCACATGGAACCTTGATAACAACTTGAATTACCGGACCTACTCCTCGAGTCTTCATATCGTCCTTGAACTTCTGCAATCTTTGCTTGCGGTCGTTCAAATAGGTAAGAAGGTCAAAATAGTAATCCAAGAAAACTGTTTTGAAGACGGTATAGTGAGCATAAAACGATTCAAGATCAAGTTCGATGTTGTGTACGTACAAACGTTTGCCATTTCGCATCTTCTCCTGGTTGCCGCGCTGGGGGTGAATGCAGCCTCCCTCTTATATGTCGCAGGCCTTGGGGCAGGGGTTGGATGGACTGATCCCGGCCCAGGGTCTCTCCTACTCTTGACTACAATCCCGTCATTGGCCTCAGCTGCCGGCGATAGATGCCGCGGTGGACGTGGAGGCTTCACAGGCTTTGTTAATGCCTCCGTAGTGACAGGAGGAATCTGCGGTCGCAGAGTATGCTTTTTCTCGGACAGGGTCAGCGTAGCGATGTTCTCCGCAATACGGTCTACTGTTGCTACCGCATCCTTTCCATGCGTCGGAACAGGGATGCGAGTCCGATGTGTGGTAGCTTCGTTGACCGGAGGTATTGGCAATGGGTGATATCTTCTGGGTGGTGCTGGTGGGCAAGGACCTGGATCGGCATTGGGTAGGCGAGAGCTCGTTGACAGCATGGCAGTGTGAGGCTCAGAATGGGATTGAGCTGGACGAGATAGATTCGGGTTGGATGCTGCGAGTCCGAACTCGCCAGAGCTCTTCAGTGCTCAATGAGGAATGATCCTGCATACCGAAAGTTCCTAAGACTCGATGCCTTCCTAACTTCTCCCTGGCAGGGCCAAGTCGATTTCTGCAGTCATACCGTCATTCGAGCGGACTTTCAAATTAATGGCGGGCTGCTTTATCGACACCGCGTGGCTGGCGCCTGATAAAGACAAGCGTAAAATCGTGCCCTGAACTTTTTCCCACGGCAAACGTTCTGAGAACTACTAAAAGGCCTGCCAGAACAAGCCCCAAATGCCAAAAACACGCACGACCAGGAGGCCTCATGTTTGTCGTTGAAATCTTCCTAAACTTCTGAGACATCTGCCAAGCATCTGGAAAGCACCGCGTAAAGTTATGGGCGGTTTGGTGCTCTACAACAGGCGCTGGAACGTCGCTAGGTAAAGCTACTGCTTTCGAGAGGAATAGCATGTCTCCGTGCAAGAAACAAGGCTTCCATTGACCAACGTCTAATAGTGACGATTTCTTCTTCCCAGCCGTCTATGGATTGTGTGTTCACTTCCTCTGGTAGTTGCGCACAGGGGGCTGGGCACGCGTCCTATTCTGCTTTCTTACGCTGACTGTTGCAACCTGTAGGCTACTCGGAGCGATTTTAGTGTATCGCCATACGTCTACGAGTCAAGAGCACGAATGCTATAATGATAGAGGTCTATCCGCGTACTTGATCATTTCCATCATCGTGCTGTCCTTCGAGATTATCAACGATGCGGTGACTGGGTGGATCTCGCTTCAAGGAACGGTCGCAGATGATCGGCCACGCAGGCACATTACGTGAGCTCGAAGATAAGCCATTTGGCTTTTGGACTGAAATATCTCATATCCTCTCCGCTTCAGCAAAGCGATCTATACACATGCGCTTCTTATGATCATTGAGTTCGTAAGTTTGCCCCAGAATGTTCATGAGCGATGCGGAAAACACGGCCTAACGATCTCTCGCAACAGGCAGTTCAAATCTTCGGTCTCAGTCTGATCCTCGGCTCGTCACCATTGACATGTCCGGAACCCTCCAAAGTGGGGCTGGTGGTTCGCATCCTGATCGGACTGAGCACAGCAGGGCTACTGGGATACTTTATCCTCACCTTGATCTTGTTCCTCCGATCGACCTCGCTGGATGTGGACGCCATCGACCATACCTCCGTTTGGCGCAAACGGTTGAAGCTCATGTTTTTCTCGCACTCGCGGAAGCAAAGGCTCGATGCGGCCGGTACGAGCACGAACGATGACGATCCGGACGTGTTGACGGAGGTTGCGAGAATCTTCGCCGAATTCATGCAGGATGCCATCACGGTACCGAGTGACATCTTGGTTGGGGTAGTTTTACTGCGGCAAAAGCAAAGACGCAGACGGGCGAAACAGTTGGAGGCCGGGAGTCAGATCTTCAACATATCCATGGCCGACGCGTCCACCACTCTCTCCGGGAAGGCGGCTGCTGGGCTGTTGGATCCGCCTAAAGCGAATACGCCTCTGGTTCAGGAGATGGCGGAAGTGGAGATACCAGCATCGTCCATCGCTACGCCGGCCACATCAACTACTGGCGTCCGTAACGTGCCTGTCCTGTACGATGAGATATCCGACATCACGTACTTCTTCCAGTACGCCGAATGCATCTACGGCTTGCCGCTTTACATGCTGACCAACATGAAGCGCGGGGTATACCATTTGTGTTGTCCATGGTCGCGGAAATCCCCGGAGACCGCTGTGGCAGCCATCCGCTCGTACACTACCGAGACTTTCATTCCGTGTCTTCCGGTTTCAATTCCCATTGGGGACCAGCTACCTCATGCCGATTTGGTCCACATCTCTCTGCAAGGGGGACTCTTCAGATCGCCGTTTGTGGTCTGCTTTGATCATCCACGGTCGACCATCGTGATTGCAGTGCGAGGGACCCTGTCGACGGCCGATATCTTGGTAGATCTGAACTGCGATCTGACCGAGATCGATGTCCCCGGGTTGGAGAGCGGTGACAAGGCTCACACGCATTCTGGAATGGTGGGTTACGTAATTGAGAGGATCGAAATCTGTAACATCGACTTATGTTCCTCCATCCCCAGTTCCGGACGGCGAAGAATGTCATGCGGGAGATTGAACGCGAGGGCGTACTGAGGCGGTTGCTGCTGGAAGAGGGAAGCAAGTACCAGAGTTATGGCCTTGTCTGTTGTGGACATTCCTTGGGCGGGGTAGGTCTTCCAGCGAAACTGGCTGTACAGGAAGCACCCCATCTCTTAACACAATCATGTCTCGAAATAGGGCGTGGCTTGTCTGCTAGCCTTCCTCCTGCGCACAAGCACGTATCCGACAGCCCGCGCCATATGCTACAGTCCACCAGGCTGCATGGTAACTCACAGCGCACAGGGATACTTCCAGCAATTCTGCACAACCGTCGTCCTGGGCACTGATGTCGTTCCCCGACTCAATCGAGCGACAGTCGAAGACCTGAAAGTGAATGTCAACAGATGTCTAAGCACCTGCCACCAGCATAAACTTCGAGTTCTGGGCTCGTGGGTGTTACAGGACTGGTTGGGCGTACCATGGTTCTTGCGTCGTGCAAACAGCCCCGAGGAGGATGGGGAGGATCGGGCTGGGTCTGATAATGGGGACGGCGGGTTCGGCGAGCAGCTCACTACAGACGATGAGGAAGATCCCGACCCCGTCGCAGCCCAACGCCGTCGTCTACGGTCCAGTCGGAAACTGCGCCACGATACCCAAGAAAGTGTCGGGAGCACGAGCAACCTGGTAGTGAACCGCACTTCCGTCGGGTATCGGCCTGGGAAGGAACAGATACATCCGACGTTGACTCCGGATTTGGAGCTGGGTAATCCGATGGACAGCTTTCAGCTTGGAAGCGGCGAGGCATCGAGTGCAGCCCAGCAACCGCGGCGCATGTCGAGTCCCAGTCCGGAAAGATCTTCAAAATTGTCGAATTCGCAGACGATATACGCCAAAACGTACCTTCCGGGCAAGATTTTGTACTTTCAGAAGACCCGGGCTGACCTTGTGCAAAGACCAGCTCGTCCATCAGGGGGGGTTTCGGCTATCCCGGAGGCCGCATCATCAGCTGCCGACCCTCTCACCGACGACACGATATCACAACCCCGAGAGCTAGAAACCATCCGAGTATCCGCCGACTCCCCCTCCCAAACCTCCCCCTCCAGCGACACTAGCGGCCATCAACGCCCCATCAAACACCACACCCCCTTCTCCTCCTTCACCCGCTGGACCTCCTCCATGCGTCCCCTCACCAAATCCAAGTCGCGGCCGTCGCCCCGATCACAAGATCCCCGCCGGCACCCGCGCCTGTACACGGCGACATGGGCGACGGCAGACCAGTTCCAGGAGATTGTGATTTCGACGACGATGGCAGGGGATCATATGCCGAATCATATGGCGAAGGTGTTTAGGAATGTGGATGCTGCTGTTGCGAGGAGGAGAAGGCGGAAGGCGGCGGCGGCGGGTGGGGTTGGTGGAGGTGCGAATGGAGATGTTATTATTGACGTAGATGAGGATGAGGCGGGGGGGCTTGATGATGGGATCGTGCCGCCGGTTCTTGGAAGGTGAGGTTGAAGTTGTTCACATTTAGCATTGGACTGTGACAATTTTGGAGGAGAATCTCATCAGAACGATGATCTCGCAAGTGATATCAATCGCAGGCCCTTGCGTATGACCTCTACATATGTAACATTTTTGGTTTTGACAAAGTCCTCGAGCGTATGATACATTGAAAATATGTACAGTGAAAAAGAAAAGGGAAAGTTGGTGGCTCTTCGAGTAAAGGAGAGCGCATGTAAAGACATGTAGGAACTGGTTCAGGCGGAGGATGGAAACAGGTCGATGGACGTCGCATGGCAGCCGTGGCCCGCAATGGATGAAGAGAGATGGGATACCTCCCAAAGCCCGATCGGTTAAGACATGTGACATCCCAATTGTTGCCATGCGCGAAAAGCGCACTAGGATCGACATCTACTGAATGACGCAGCCCTTCTTTGGCGGCTCAGCATCCCCACTAGTCTGCTTCTCAATCTCCATCAGCATTGTCTCAAACGCTTTCGCAACCCCCTGGTTCAGCTTAGCCGAACACTCAACCGTGGCACAATTCCACTCCTTCGCCAGCGCCTCGGCCTCCGAGCTCTCCACCTGCCTCTGCTGATGCAAATCCAGCTTATTTCCCACCAACACCAGCGGCACCCACTCCATGCCGGTATAATTCAGAATTTTATCACGGACAACCGAACACATCTCAAACGAGGCACGCGAGGCGACGGAGTAGATGAGCATGTAGCCGTGTATCCCAAGGGCGTGTTTGGAGTTGAGGATGGAGTACTCGTCCTGGCCCGCGGTGTCGTAGATCTCGAGCAGGTACTCGTGGTGGGTTGTTGGGTGGCGCATGGTCTTTTGGAAGGTGTTTTCGATGGTTGGGTAGTAGGTTTCGGCGAAGTGGTTCTCGACGTATTGCACAGTGAGGGAGGACTTGCCGACGGCGCGGGAGCCGAGGACGGCGATTTTGCGGACCTGGGATTTGACGTGGGTAAACGAAACTTAGAGAAGAAGTCGGGGGCGGACTTGACGAGGACAAACATGCAGTGCGCTCGAGGACCCTTATCTCTCACTCACCTTAGCTGGACTGGCCATTGTTATGAAGCTTTGTTTGAGAAGGGGTAGAAACGAGATAACCCGTCGTCTTTTCGCGAGTGGAAAGTGTGATTTGAACGAGACTAGTGCGACGGCTAAGCGCACGAACGTTCTTGGAATTCGGGCGATATATGTAAAAGCCCGAGGAGGAGGCTGAGGTTTGTCTCTGGAGGTTTCGTCAAAGTAGTCCGGGAATGACGTTTCACCTGATGTCGATGTTGTTGGAGTTCCTGAGCCTCTCTGTCGACTTGTCAAGTCAGCCCAGCCGTGGAGGCCGTGGGAAAGTGGTGACGTTCCAAGCTGCATGACGCGGCTCTCTCTCGCTCTCTCGCGCTCTCTCCCGGCAGAAGTCGCTTGGACACTGCAACTCCAACCATGCATAGCCATGGACGACATAGACCTCGATATCGAAGGCACGGAGGACGACGACTCTACCGAACTATCCTCACCAACTCTACCGCAGGAACAGCCCACCGTCGCACATTCTCTGGCCCCTCCGACTGAGCTTCTAAGCCCAAATACCCTAAGGTGAGAAAACACCGTACGAAACAATCTTGGACCAACTGGACGATAACCTCGAAGATAACCCCACTTCCTATTGGTTTGTAGTGCCCAACTGCAACAACATGAGCTCTTGGGAGAACTGCTGGACCAGTTTCCAGAGCCCGACTGGCTCGATGCGCATACGGTGAGTTGCAGAATTGGGTCGTCAAAGCATCCGGTCCCTCACACATCTTCGCTGCTTTAGCAGACGTGGGGTGCGGCGCCAGATCCCGATATGGACGAACAGTCTCGGGCTCTCATAGCGTCGATGTTGGCCGAGGAGCAATTGTATCTTGGACAGGGCACGGTCGCCCTGCCAGGATCATCTAGCAGCGCGCCAAATGAAGTTGTGACTGATGCGAACGGGAAGCGGAAACGCCCTCCAACGGCGTCTCGGGAAGATAGCGCGTAAGGGCGATACTAGATTGGCCGCATACACTGAGGAGTCGGGGTATTCAATGGTCACTGTCGTTCCTGCAGAACTCGGAAACGGACGAAAAATGAGCAGGTCCGGTCTCACAACTTGAAATGGACCAAAGAGGAAGATGCCGCTCTTCGGGAAGGGATTGTATGTGTTCGGAGAACCATTTGGGATTTTCAATTGCGAATTTTTTTCCCATTCACACCTGTTTACGACGATAGGCAGTTCACGGATATGGTGCCTGGAAACAGATTGCAGCCCAAATGCGAACGAGGACTGCTCTGCAGATCAAGAACCATGTCAGGCATCTGACGGTCTACGGAGGTGTCCATTTCGAAGGTGCAGACGAATCGCAACAGACACTCGCGAAAAGTATTAGTCCGCAGATCGCAGCAACAACAGCGACAGCCGTCGCTGAGCCCAGTGATGATCAGAATGTAGAGGAAGAGGACATCGACATTTCCGGCGACGATGAGGAAGCGATGATTCCGGCAGTACAGCCGTTGACGTTAGAGCCCTTATCGGATACTGCAGAGACGGACGAGTCCGCTGATGAAGTTGGAGAGGAGGCGGTCGTGAGCCCACCGGCTGCAGCAGATATACCCGTGTTCAAACCCCCACCAGCGTCCTCGCATGCCATTCCCCTGAACGAGGGAGGACTTGAAGCGCCACCAAAGTCTCATGGAAATCGGTTTTCCTTAGACGAGCGAATACCTGTAATCACCAAATCGCCTGATATCACAAGCTTGGATGTGGACAGGAGAAATGAGGCGACGAGTCGCGACATCGAAAGGATGGAAGTTGATGAATTGATTGCTCTAGAAAACGAATCGAGCGTCAAGCAGGATAGCGATGAGGATTATGCAAAATCCTCATTGCAACAGACGGCGGACGGAGATGTTTATGGAGAGCAGTCTGTCGATCGTCATGAGTCGGGAAAGGAAGACCAGCCAGGACTGGCAAAGGCAGAATGTCAGAAATCGCCTGTTTCCGCCTCTGAAATCGTACAAGCTATAGATTCCGTCCTGAACCCTGCTGATCCGACACTACCTGATTCCGCTGCCAATAACGCAATCGACCGGGATATAGTGTCCCGGCACGAAGTCACAGCATTACCCGAATGGTTCCTATCCACACTAGCACTATCACAGGGCAAAAAGCCCCACCCGCGGACGCTACACAAAACCCCAGAACGCTACATGAAGATCCGCAACTACATCCTGAACGCGTGGGACAAACGAAAACCCAAATACCTGACCAAAACCAGCGTCAGGCCCGGATTGAAAGGTGAAGGCGACGTCAACGCCATTGGTCGCATACACGACTACTTAGAGCAGGTTGGGGCTATCAATGTGGGATGTCCGGAGAAAGGCGGGAGGAAGAACTATGGAATGAATTCTGCGAAGAAAGGAAAAGACGAGGCGTTAGATGATTTCACTGAGCAAGAAGCCGGGAGCGTATGGAACTTCATAGACGAAGGTCAACGCCGCAAACGGCGGGTACGGAACGCACAAGGCGAATGGGTGGACGAAGACGGCAACGGCGCAGCAGCATCCGATCTCTCCAAAGAGGAGCTCGAAATAGCGCGCGAAGAAGCCCGCCTCTTCGCCCTCAACTCCAAATACTTCGCCGACGAAGAGCTCGAAAAATTCGACAAACGTCTCCTCAAACGTCGCCAACGGCAACAAACCACCAACAAATTCGAGAACGGCCCCGTCTCTGACGTCCTCGGCGAATACGACCCCTTCCGCCTCATCCCCAATCGTGCATATTCCGATTCAACCCACATCCCGCCCTTCACAGTAACGGTCGAATCCAACGCCCTCATCACAATGGACTTCCACTCCCACCTCGCCCAAACCGAAATCATCGGCCTCCTCGGCGGAACCTACGACGCCCTCACATCCACCTTATCCATCCGCGACGTCTTCCCCTGCCAATCCATGAGCACGGGCGTCCAATGCGAAATGGACCCAGACTCAGAAGTCCAAGCCCGCGACGCCTTTGCACAAAAGGAACTCGACGTCGTCGGGTGGTATCACTCCCACCCAACCTTCGAGCCCATCCCCTCCATCCGCGACATCGAAAACCAGACCAACTACCAAACCCTCTTCCAGCGACACGATACGGGCGTCGAACCCTTCATCGGCGCCATTGTGTCCCCATATGACCCCGCATACGCCGCTGCGCGAAAGTCGAAGATTGGCTGGGTGCATATCTCGCAGGAGTGGAATTCGGGGCATGAGTACAGGTTGCCGTATGCGTGTGTGGTTAGCGTTGTGCCGAGCGAGAGGTTGGGGGCGGAGCTGTTTGCGGGGTTGGTGGGGTTGGTGGGGGAGTATCGGGGCTATGAGCAGTATGTATATTCATCCATGTTTCCCCCTTCTTTGTGTGTTCAGACCTCATGGCTAACCCTACTCAATCTCCCCCAGCCGAATGGACCTCTCCAAACCCTTCGCCTCCCGCCACGACCCCTCCTACACTCGTCTCGACAAACTCATCAACAGCATCGAGTCGCACGCCCAGGTCGTGGGCACCGCGGATGAGACGCAGGCGTTTGTGACGCGGCTGAGGGAGATGGTTGTTAAGGGGTTTGGGATGGGTGGTTGAGGCTGCTTATCTTATGGCGCCTGGAGTCTCCTCTGTAGCTACCATGTAAATAGCGGATTGATGATACCTACTGCTTGCCGCTTTTGTTCAAAGCGAGCGCTCTAATGAAAAACCTGGATATCTTTTTCAAGAGTATCCTCATTCGCGTTCTCGGCGACCTCGGAGATCTGAAAGCCAAAAACAGTCTTTTCGGAGAAAATTCATTCAATTGAATTGAAACCTACATACAGGAAAGGGGGAAGATATACAAGTCGTGTAAATAGATATACTGAAGCTTACGAATCCGGAGTTCATGGCGCCTTACACGCCGTACGGGTATCAAAGACACATCAAAACAAAGTAAATCAAAGAAAAAGGAGTACGCCAAAGTCCAACGAGTATACGACTGTCCATTCACAGTCCTCCAACTCAAATCAGTACCTGAACTGCTCCCTCCCCCCTTGCAGTCGTTTCTCCATCGGACCCGGCGATCGCGCGGAGGTATACATAACCGGCATACTGTACCGTCCATTCTCCGGGTTATGATGGTGATGCGGGTGCCCGAACGGCAGCGGCGGCGAAGTGGAAGTGCGGAAACCCTGCGCCGACATCGGGGGCGGATAACTCCCACGCGGGAGCGAGTTGCTTTCAACGGGGCCGCGGGAGAAGCTGCGATGGGCTGCGAGGGCGGCTAATGGAGCGTCTTCTTCGGGGACGCCGTTGGGGAGGAGGGTGATGGAGGGGGTTTGATGGTGGTCCGTGGGCATGAGCACGATGGTGGAGCCGCTTGCTGAGGAGGGTGGGGCGTCAGGGGTGTCGACGCGGGGTTGGAGTTCCTCGGCGGCTACCGGCACGATTTGGAAAAGGGGTCCGTTGCGAGAATGCGCGCGGGTGTCGATACCAAGGAATTTCGGCGTCTCGGCGCGTTCAGGGGGCAGGTCGTTCTTCATGTCCTGGGGGTTCTTGATGGCGGTGAGACCCATCTCGTTGTACTTCTTGACGGCCAACTCCTCGTGCTTGTCGGCATCGACGGCGTCTTTGGGCAGTTTGGTGAAGTAGGTGGTTTGCACGTACTTGGCGAGACGCGCCGCGATCTTGCCCAAGGGTTTTTCGAACAGGTAGTGCAGGAGCGTGGCCATGATCATCGAGCTGCCGAATGTGAATAGCACACCATCGATGCCTTCGATGCCGTAGTTGTGGACCAGGTGGATGCCGACCGGGTGGATCATGTAAAGCGGGAAAGAGATCTCTCCGGCGAAGGTGAAAAAGTTCCATGTGAAAAAACGGCCGAAGGATCGATCCCTGCAGTATAGACTGACGACGAGGATGATGACCGCAGAGCCAATGACGGGCCATTCGCCCATGTGATCGGCATACCACGACAGCGGTTCTCGCGGGATTCGCCTATGCAGGAGAATGCGCGCATAGTACGGGAAGGTGAGGAACAGTACCAACACAATCACCCAGAGCACCAGGTCCGCGGCGATAGAGATCCACTTGGAAGCAAGTTTGCTGAACTTCTGGTTGACGTTGAGTGCCTTGGGCCGCGACTCGTAGATCACGAAGCCGTATTGCGCAAATAGGTGGTAGATGAAGGCAGCCAGACTTCCCAGCCAGAACCGAGGCATGAACGGGAAGATGTGGTAGTAGTTGATCGTCCCGTGCGACGACCAGAACATTGGCACGATCCAGATGTTGATCAGAGTCAGTGCTATGAGCAGCATGATGCGGCGCCCGAATCGGTAATAAACATGGATGACTCGGTTGTGAAGACCCTTGCGATAGTGTTCTTGCATCATCTTTTCGGCCTCTCCCAAACCTGTGAAATCAGATTCTGTTAATTGAAAGGCTCGTGTGAAGGTGATGAACTGAGCGCTAGCTGGCATACCGTACGGATAGTTTGGCGGATTGGTTTTAGTACCCATGATCCATTCCCCCAGCTTGTCCTTCCTCTCAGCCATCTCGTAGAGAACGCTATAAGGGAAGATAGGAGGTAAGAACATGTTTAAAGCATTCCCACACCATGACAAGAATCACATCACTCACATGTAGAATGGCATAATAAGGTAGTATTCGAACTCTGGAGGAATGGTCCAGAAAATGGAGTTCACATCGTAGAAGAACGCATACGGAAGAACCTTGTTCCATCCAAACGCGACGTAATTCCGCAGATCGCCGTACGGTTGGTGCAGCTCGCTCACAGCCGCAATGATGACCAGAACGATCCAGTACAGGGGCAAGATTCGGAAAGCTCGACGAATAAAGTACTTGATCCACCGTACGCTGAGCCAGGGCACAAGGATGCCATTCTCGGACCATTTGACGTATTTGGCATCAGGGGGCCGTTGCGGTTCCGTGAGGGATCTGACAGTGAGCAGGAACGCGGAGAGGACAAAGAAGAAGAGCACGGCTACGTTGCCCATCTCCTGCAACGCTTCCCAGCCGTTTAGGTACATCATCGCACCCGTGCCTCCCGTCAAGTGTCCTGCTACGACTCCAAGAGCAGCGACGCCTCGAAGGCCGGTGAGACACGGAACGTTGAAGAAGACTGCGCCTTTGCGCACGGGCTTTGTTTGTAGTGGGGCTTCTCCATCGTTGGCTTTCTTTGGTTCAGGAACGTCAACCGTAGTCGTTACCTTATGGTCAGGTCGCGTCGCCATCGCTGTGACATTCAGAGGGGCGGCCATCCGGGAATTCTCTGACAGAGATAGAAGTGGAACGTAAGGCTTTCGTTTCACACAGCGGAAGAGAAGTGCTGAAGACCGCGAGGAAGCAAGCCACGACCTCGGAGCCGGCCAATCCAACGTTGCGTGCTCATATGAGCCCATCACCACATACCTGTCATGCGTCCTGCTTCTGTAACCCCAAAGAATAAACCTTCAGCACGTTGGATATCAACGACCTTCCAAAACTACTGGGATTCTCCAAAATCTCGATAGCTTTCAGCGCAGGGAACAATCAAGATAGATGCTTGTTGAACCCCTCAAGAGTCCAGACCATGGCACGTTCCTCAAGTCGTCCGTCGTCCATCGTTCGTTTGCAAGGACGGGCAGGGAGAAAACGGAGGAACCAGCCCGCGCGCGGGAAGGGTTGGCGAACCCTTCTGAGGCTGGTTCTCGCATAACGGCGTAACTGCGGTGACCGTCAGAAAAAAGAGGGTTGGTTGAGCGCTTGCGGTATATGATGTTATTTGAGCGTGGGCCAAGGGACAAGCCTCATCCGCATGGCCCATGCGCAGAATCCAGGAGATATCGATATGGCCCTTGGTGGATGCCTGCCCTCGTCCCGCTCTTTTTGCAGAGCAAAACGGCCAATGCGCGCACAAAGCACTTCGCAGGGATTCGGAGGCGCGGGCGAGGAGGTGGAACTGACACCCGAAAGTGTTCTTGGGTGGGTAAAGAAAGGTAAAGCGGCATCGTCGTCGTTCTCCCATCTCGGCCAAGATTGGCATTGGAAGTGTTCGGGATCGAGCACACAACAAAGAGAACACTTCGTCAAACCTAGCATATCGGCAACATTGAGAACATAGTTGACCAAAGGAGCAACTCCAAGCACTACCACCAATATCACATTCTGACATTCTTCGAAAAGAATCAATACACATAACCGAAACGACAGTCAAGATGCGCCATCCAGTAACACTCATCCCACCATCCCCCACCGTCCTCCTCCTCCTCCTCGCCCTCCTCCTCACGCTGCTCAACCCAAGTTCCGCCTCCCCCGCCCCCCGGCCCCTCCCGCAACAACACACCTCCCCCAACGACCCGCTCCCCCAAGACCCGGGCCCACCACCCAACATCGACTGCATAGTCCAATGGTCCGACTTCTCCTGCTGCGCCAACAACATCAAGACGAGCAAAGGGACCGTGCTCGTCACTGCGAGTGGTGAGGGCAAGGTGTGTCCTTTGACGTTGAGTCGGACGGAGTATTGTCAGGTTGGAGACGCTGATTGTGGGCCTAATGGGGGCGTGAGGGCGGGTGTGGGTGGGGTGATGTATGCGATTGTGGGGGTTGTTGTTGTTGCTTGGGTTTCTTTGTAGGCTGAGACGGCGTAGTCGGACATCGCATGTCTCCCATGTCTTCCCATGTCTTTCCGATAATATTTGTAATTGTAGATGATGGAATGGTCCCCGTCTTCATGTATTTGTATTTAAAGCCCCCTGCGAGAGGAATCAATCGATCTAAACTACTCTACACCTACGCTCGATTTTTAATTTACTACACTACTGCTCTTGTAAGAGCTATGCCTCCGCTCTACAACGCATCCTTGAGCTTCTGATACATCTCCTCAAACCGCTGCTTATCAGCGGGCCGGATGCTCTTTTCAGCCTTCCAGTACAGGGCAGCGGCACGGTCGAGGTCGTTAGCGGTTTGTAGCTCGAATTTGATGGAGAGGAGCCATGAGTCTGTGTGAGGGGGAAAGCGAATAAGACGTCAGTGATCCGATGAGATGGGGAATACTTAGATAAACTCGCACAATGCAACTCACCAGCATCCTTCTCATCAATACCCACCAACCCTTCCCACACCCTCCTAACCCCCTCCAACGCCTCATAATCCACACCTTTCTTCGCGGCCCCATATCTCCTCACCTCCTCCTCCTCCTCCCCATCCTCCCGATCCCGTCCCCGTTTCCCGTCCCCCTTCTCCATCTCCCGCAACTCATCGGTCTCCAACTGCGCCCACGTCGCCCAAAACCTCTTCGGTCGCGTTTTGATCTGCGACAAGTGTTTTGCGACGCGACGGACGGCGGTGATTCCGCCGACGCGGTGGGCGAAGGTAAGGTATTGGTCTAGAATGGTGGCTTCGTGGGCTGGGCGGGTGTGTTGGAATGATGCGAGGGCGCGGTTGAAAAGGTTCTGTTTGTGGGTGGGGTCAAGGAGGATGGCGCTGGTGGATGAGTCGTCCGATTGATCGTCGTCGTCGGAGTCAGCATCCGAGGTGTTTGTGATGACGGGGTTTGTGGGCGTGGAAATCGACATGGTGACGAAGCTGAGGTAATGGGTCCACACCTGGGCAAGCGCGTCGGGATCGGTGACTTTTCTAGTGGCCTTTTCGTATGCGGCGACGATGGAAGATCGTTCGTTGGAGGGTAAACGGGGGATCAGAAGCAGCCATAACTTCCCGCTCGTCGGGATGCGTTCGAGTCCCCTTCCGAGGACATCGACTGATACAGACGGGGACTCCGAATCTGAGTCCTCGACGTGTAAGGTCCATTGTATGTACAGTTCTTCAGATACATTGTTTGTCGACTCCGCCTGCGCAAAGACCTTTGACAACAGACGGGATAAGTACAGCTTCAAATTGGGCTCATCGGATAACTGGTACTGCCGTTGCAAGAACACCGCATACACGCCGTACACCTCCGGGTTAGCGAGGTCCTCCACAGCCGCCTGGAACGCAGTAACGGCGGCTTTCAGAGCAGCAGGGTATGCCGGGCTATCCGACTTGACACCGTATAATGGTCGCTCAGCCAGAACCCCTCTCGCCATCGCATTTCTGCCGAAATCCCTCTCCAAAGTGTCCAGAAGTTCCTTCTGCCCTTCGGTCGTCTCTGGAAACTCTTCGTACATTTTCAAGAAGGACAAGCGGAAATCGAGGTCATTCGGGATCGTCTGTATCGCGTTTCGGTAGATCGCTCGTGGGATGAGGGTTTTCAGCAATGCTTCCTGCGACGCGGAGAGTTTCGACGCCAGCATGGGCGCCGTGTCGGACGAGCTGCCTTCTTTGGCTGATGCGGAGAGAGTGGTATCCTTCTGTAACGAGCTCTGAGAAAGACCGGCCTCCTCCTTCAAATCTGGCAGATCCACCGATTCGACTTGAGGGGCTGCGGTCGCTTGGGCCTCCTTCACAGCCCCCTCTCCCGTCTTGAACAGCACCTTTCTCCGCTCCTTGATCTTTTGCACCCACAAAAGCTCCAACTTGAAGTACTCCATCCATAGCTTCTTGCTCTCCGGGTTGATACGCAACCCCCGCTGCAACAACACCCGTGCGCTCGACATATTGGTATTATCCTCGAACTCCCACGCGGCCGCCATGATCCAAAACACATCGTAGGTCGGATGCAGCTGGATTGCCCTCGCAAACACCTTCCCCAACGCCTTTGAACTCCGGCTCGCTCTGCACCAGTCGAAATACTGAATCCACAGCGTCAGGTCGCCTGCAAACCGCTTGAGCATTTTGTCGTAGAGGCCGTGTATCCGCCGTGTGATAGAGTAGTCGGAGAGACCGCTGGTTTTGATGCCGAGTTCGATCTCCTGTGCTGTTGGCGGTTTGTCCATTCCCAAGCGCTGCTTTCGTTTCCTTCGTAACCGTTCCAAATTCTCTTCGTAGGCGATATAGCGGAGGAAATCGGCTTTAAGGGGGATGATACGGTGCACTCGGTATTCGTGCGTTGTCCTCTGCTTCACGATCGCTTTTATCTCGTGCTGTGGACGGCCTTGAGGGTCAGCTTTTCTGGCGAACCATGAATTGGACTCAGTCGCCCACATACCGGTTGGAATATTCCCCTCTCCTGCAAGTCCTCTAACTCCGGGACCATCTTCTCCAGGTGGTACTGCACCTGTTCCGCCATGCTGAGTGGCTCGCCTGTTCAGGGCCTGAAATGCGAGAGTGCTTTGTGTTTGAGAAGGACGTTTGAGTGCAAGTGCTGAGTTTTTCGCAGGAGCCCTTTCGCTACTAGAAACACACAAGCGTCGGATTAAATTTCCAAAGCACGTGAAAAATATGTGAAGGCAGAAAGCAGATTAAACAACTATGCATTGACATGAAAAACCCTCTAGAGGCCGGCACGGAGCACAGACCAACAACGTCCTTCTTTCCTCACACGGCCAAATCACGTGCAAACTACTACACTCAATTTAAATCGGTGGTCACAAATCACAAGCCGCGCACATATCGCGTGACGGATTCAGATCGGGGGGAACTTGTGCGCCATCTCCGCTTTCGGCCTTCTGCAGAGGCGAATGGCAAGTTGGCAACCGTGAGGAGAGATGAGAGGGGTGACACTTGCAATGAAGCTGGCCCACCGGCGAGGGCGTGGGGATATCTGCGCGTCGTGGGACGCAGGCAGAGGATTGGGGGCCAGGTGAAGCCCACCCCGAAACCCCCCGTCGATCTTGGGGTGCCGCGAGTGACTCATGGCTGTACGCGGGCCCATGAAACGAATGAATGGATGGATGCACATGCAATGATGCATATATACGAGACCCGTCCCACAAACACCATCCAACCGCTGTTCGGGCGGCGATCAGAATCAGAATACGTAACCTCAGAGTTGGCTTGATTCATCGAGTGGGTTTCGGGGCCGAGAGCCGGATTTCGAAGCGATCGATGCTGTCCACGGGGATATATATGTGCCAAGCATACCAATGGCAAGCCGTTTTGGCCGAGTCATCCTTGTTTACGGGCGAGCAAATGGGGTAAAGTTAACGTTTTGGTGGAGCTGTGCACTGTGGGAACATGTATGTGAGGCTAGAGATGTGAATCTGCTGCAAGCTGTTCGTCAGCGGTCATCGGTGGATCACCGACACATGGGCGCGAAATCTCCACCGACCCGATGAGGGGATCAAGATTCAAAAGATAGATTTTGTCTAGCCCTTCCGTTTGCCCCATTCGCATGTGTGTGTGCGAGCCCATGCGCACGCTGATTGTGCGCAAGCAGGGTTTCACAGAGAAAAATCAGAGTTATGACATGAGAAAATTACGCTTCGGCATCAGGACTATGATGAATACTACAGTATACAGCACAATCGATATCTTTTTTAGTTGCCCTAAATATGATATGGTGGGCACGACAGACTTCGGTCGGCCCTGCTCTTTCGTCCCGGACCCATCACCTGGCCTTCCGGAACACGAACCCTTCAGAACAAGCCTTCCTGGGAACAGCGTTCCCATCTCTTTACGTTGAATCAAGCCAGCCGGAGCCAGAGCCAGAGCCTGGACCCTCTTTTGGCAAACAACACCACTCTTTTAGTCGATACCGCCGATTGTGCCTGTTATTGTGCTTATCCGCCCGCGCCTATCACTTCGACGCGTATTTGTTTGCAAAGGGGTCTTTTCACGCACACAAAGGCTTCGCAAACTTCCTTTGCTCACCTCAATTCCGAGCAGGGGGTTCACCTTATTTGTAACCGTCGCCCTGGTTCCTTCTTGCCCCCCCCACTGACCAACAAAGGGGGACCCGCCGCTGCTGGCAAAACGTACTATCGAGGGGCGGGCGCAGCGGAATCGAGAAAAAGCTACCGTCGTCCGGAGCACTCGGAGGAAAGACACATTACCCTTTTGGGGGAGACACCGCCATTTTTCTGAAATTGAAGCATACATTTTTTCGGCCGACCCTCGACCAGGTATGGTAGATACCGCCCGAATGAAAATTCTCGAATTTCCATTCGGTCATTCGGACGGGACATATTCCCCAGGAGTATCCACTTACGGTTAACCTTCTAAGGTCAATTATCGCATTTCCATTCAGGGATTAGGAAAAACGGAACTCGCTAAGCCCTCGCAAGGCGCGCCAGGGCAGTCTAGACCGATCGAAACCTCCTCGGACACAGAACGCATCTACCCCATTGTTCGCAGCACCACATCGCTGCACGCGTTTACTGTTGACGGATTAGCCCTGCGGGTGACACTAGATTCCAGCCTACCTTTTTAGCTGTGCAGTCGAGCGTTGGAAAGCGTTCGAGGCTTCATCACAACTTACGGGCATTCCTAGCCCGTGTTCTCGACTCCAACCAGCCATCGCCGCCACGAGCGGGAACGGTGATCTGGCCAAACAACGTGCGATCGTCGATCTGTTGGACCGCCTAAGATCTTCAAGGATACTTGAACCCCTCCCCTCCTGCGCAGAGTGTCTAACATTTCGGAGCCATCGGCCTCTTGAAAGCGAACCCTGTGCCTGACTTTGTACTTAAAAGTACCGTCAAATCACCCATGCACGCGGACTCGTCAAGCCTGCGTTCTCGCCTATTCCACGATACCATTTCACTATAGCGAAAAACCCTCCTCCCTTTACGCATTCGTCCGTAACGACAGCGTGCTCGGTCAAATCAGGAAATCAAACCCCTTCCGACGATCCTTTTGTGACCCCCGGCTCAAGTGCAGACGCATTTCGGTGATCTCCACATCCATCGGGCTCGGCCATACCGCCTGCCACTTAACCCGTGGCCCTCCACAGCTACACCTCGGCCTGTCGATCTTGCAGAGCTTTCCCACAATCCTTCGGCCATACATCGACCCTTCGTGCATTGTACCTACCCAAAAGCATACCCTTCGGCGGCTTCTGCCTTCCACATTCCTCGTAGTTCCGACACTTCGACGAGGCGCGACCTCGACCCTTCCATACGTTGAAAGCTTGACGCGTGTTTCGCCACGTCAATCGGGCAGTACTATTCGGCTTCTCGACGTCGTCTCCACGCTTCGTGCCGAACAAGTCCCCTGCCTCCACATTAGCACCTTCCCCGCTCTTGACGAAGTGAATATAAGCGAACCCATCACGGTCGTACGAATCAGTTTGTTTCCCCCGAGACGCGTCAGCGTTACATGCGCACCTCGCCTTCGCGGACAGCCGACCTGTGTTTCGACCATCCAGATTGATCCCTTCGAAGGAGCGCCTTCCTCACTGCAAGCCACACTCATCCTATCCCTCATCCGCTATCCCTCATCCTATCCCTTGAGGTAATGCATACCTACTTCCAGTTCGTCTTCGCCCTTTGAATGCATCCTCCGTCGGGATCCGTCGGCAAAGTTGTTGTACAGCAGACGTGTCAGTCAGATTCTGATCCCTCCTCCTGATCTCTCCCCCCCATCCTTCCATGTAGACATACTCCGCGGACGGAAAGGGCCATGACTTCGCGGACGACATCACCGCCGGGCCTCGGTGCGCCCATCCACATGTCGCCAAGTTTTCCCATCACCGCCAACGATGGCGGCAACAGCTTCTGGCGTCGGCCACACGGTGACGTCCCTTCCGGCACGGCATCGTCCGGTAGTCTAGACAGCCCGTACTCATATGCGGACCGCGGGACAAGCCGATCCATCTTCCCTGCGCGTGCATCCGACGTCGAACCGCCGCATGCGTTGAAGGTGTATGAGCAAGGCACCCTGAATTCATCGTACATCCCAGCAGCAGCAGCAGCAGCAGGGTCGACGTCGTCGTCCTACCCGGGCCAATACCGGAACCCGTACGCGCCGTATGATCATCAGTCGACGAGCAAAGGCGGCTTCACCTGGCAGCAGCATCAGCAGCAGCGCACATCCACACCATACCCGTCGCTGCAGGGTCCGCCGTCATTGCTTCGGACCCCGCTGGCGACGCCTACAGAACCGCAGCCGCATCAGTATGTCGGGTACTCGCAGGCGGCCCCGTCGCAAGCACATTCGGCGTACCGGTTCCCGCAGGAGTTTGCATCCCAGCCGCCGCCGCCGCAGCAGCAGCAAACAGCCTATATGCAGCAACCAGCGACGGTGATGGCCAAGCACACGCAGCAGTTCTATGGCAGGTCGGCGCCGTCGGCGGAATGGCAGGGTCCGGCGGATCCAGACCTGGCGTTCCGTGCTTCGCGGCGAGACTCCGCGGGGTACATCCATTCGCAGGATGGACGATCGCCGGTGAAAGGTGGCGGTGCGGCGGCCAAGTCGATGCCGAGGGGCAAGGAGAAGGATAGTCGTCGGTTCGTGTGCAATGTGGATAATTGTAACAAGACTTTCAATACTTCGTAAGCAGACTCTCTCTGAGATTGTGATCGATGACAGCATCTCATGTCTCGCGTTGAGAGGCATATTTGGAAAAGGTTACTGACTTACTTCTTTCTCTTCTCCTTTATAGAGGTCATCTAGCCCGGCACATCAAAACCCACAGCGGCGAGAAGCCCTTCAGCTGCCCCATCGGCGACTGCATGTCCCGGTTCTCCCGCCACGACAACATGCTGCAACACTATCGCGCACACACCCGCAAACTGCGTCTCGCAGCAGAAACAATCGACGGCGCCAACGGCCAGCGCGGACTCGCCAGCCCGGAACTGACACCCTCGTCGGCGGGCGAACACAACGGCGCGCCTTCCAAACGCTCGTCAACATCAGATGGCGTTCCGAACGCCAACGCCAACTCGGGAGCAGCGATGCCCGCCCTGGTCACCCCCGCGAGCTCCACAGACAGCGTCAACACCGACCCCGCGGCGTCGTCATTTATACCCCCAACAGGCTACGCCTCCGCGTCCAACGCGCTGACCAACGCAGTCTCGGCCCTCGTGAACACCAGCAACCCGCCCCGTGCCGCCGGCATGCCGCGCCGCATGTCGACGCCCGTGCTCATGTCCTACGGCAATTACGCGGATGAGTATGCGCGGCAGACGGGTGGCGGGTGGATGAACAATGCGCCTGCGGCTTCTGCGGCTGCTTATGCGAGTGATCCCCGGACGGCGCAGACGGAGATGCGCAACCCGGGTGGTGCTGTGTACTGGGGCGGGGCGGTGTATCGCGGCGACGGCGGGCCATTCCCAGGTCAGGAACCGACCGGGCGACGAGGGGCAGAGCCAAGCCGCGGCCGCTCCATGTCCTTCTCCACCGTCTCCGCCAACGTCCTCCAACCCAACCGCGAGCAGACCGTAGCCGCCGACGGCCAGGAGATGTGGGCGTACCCCATGAACGTCGGGACAACAGGCTCAACCTCCCGAATCGTCCCTCAATCAACCGACACCTGGCCAAACACCGCCACTCCGATGCAATCCGACCCCCACAACCCCGCTCATTTCGCCCCACCCTACGAATACCGCACCTACCGCGGCGACCCGGCCCCCGACCCCGCCGCAATGGACGCGCTTGCCCGCCGCCGCGCTTCCATCCACGTTATGGGAACACAGCCGGCGGCGGCGTCGCCTGTATACCCGATGCGGTCGCCGATGGCTGGGAATAGCACGCCGGGGGTGGTGGGTGAGCGAGCGGTGGCGCCGACGTTGACGGCGGGGTTTTCGGCGTACTCCATCGGAGGCGAGGCGAGGGGGGTCGAGGAAGGGCAGTTCCGTTAGTAGTTTTCCCCCGCTGGATATTGCCGGGGGTGTGTGTGTGTGATTTGTACAATTTCCCCTCTTTTTTTTTTGTGTTTTTTGGACGACCCCCCCTTTCGTTTGACGATACCGGCGGAACAAGTGCGGAGGGGGGAGCCGGTCTTTCTCAACGGGTCGCCTCTCTCGTTCTTGCGTTCCCAACCAACCCAAAACCTCATTCAGTGAAAGCCCCCCCCCCCCCCCCCCCCCCCCCTCGCGCGCGCCACACATCTCGAAAGAAAAGCTTAGGCCCCCCTTGTACTTTCCCGGATTACCCCCGCAACGCCCTTTTCGACGTTCCCCCCCCCCCCCCCCCCCCCCCGCCCGCCCCTTTATCGCAAGACATGTTGGCCCCTTTGTGACTTACCTCCTCCCCTCCCCCAACCCGGGTTTTCGCATGGATCTGTCCCATCTCTGCTCTTCCCTTCACATCCGATGCATGGGGGATCCGACGCATGGGATCCGATGCCGATGCATCCGAGGGCGGAACACGAAACCAGGACTCTATACCTTCCCTCCCACCCTTTCTTTTCCCTTTGACCCCCCCCCCCCACTGGTGTTTTTTTGAAACTCTTTTTTGTCTCGTTTCTTGTGTATACTTGTTCTTTTGACGTTCGTTCGGTTTGGGTTGGGGGAAATGAAACGACAAAAACCAGTTTTTTCTGCTTCGAGTTGGGTGGATGGGAATTGGACCATCGCCCCTATATCATGGGGGGCTGCATTTATAGATGCATATGCGGGGTAAGGTTGGGCTGTTGCGCACGCGATGGGGCTCGCAGACACCCAGGACGCGTGGGTTCGCGCTTTCGGACTTCCCGTCGCACACGCGCCGGTCAACGACCCCGAGGAGGTGGGAGCGTTCCAGAGCGGTGGAAACTCGAAGAGCAGAACGCTGTTCACACCACCAGGAGAGACGCTTTTACTGTAGTACAACGTCAAGCGTTTCGGCAGTCTGCGCAATATCCAGATCCAGCTTCACTTCCTGAGCTATGCCGGATGCCAGGAACCGTAAAGGCCAATGATGGAGGGAGGCGTTCGCGGTGCAAAGTGTCATTTGTGTGCCGTACTGTGAACGGACAAAGGCTTTATGTACAAGGGAACACCACATTGCGCACTCTCGCTCGATACCACATCCGTAATCTACGCGTTCAAAAGAAGAATTTGGGGGGAGCGGGTTGGGGGAGAGCTTGGAGGCTGGGCTCTCCCCATAGGGCAACAGGGGGAGAGGTAAAGGGGACGGAGAAACTCTGGAGGAATCATGGAGACCGACGGTTTTTCACTTGGAGTGTAGGATTGCACGCATGTATGCGCAGAGATCGAGAGCCGTAATGAACCAAAATACATCCGTTCATGGCGTTTATGAATGTGCGTATTTGGCTGTCCAGTCGCGGGCTGTGTGAGAGTTGGGAAACGGTCAAGAGTCAGTATCAATGCACACTTTGGTATCCAGACTCCATCGAAATAAACCCCTACCAGTAGCAATCGCATCCTTCTCATTCTCCTTCCAATGCTGCGCGACGTCGTTCGCCAGTGGGTCGTCCGGGTTGGGCGCCGACAGGAGAGCTTGTATGGACAGGAGAACTGTGCGGATTTGGAGAGCGGGCGACCATTTGTCTATGTGTGGGAGGAAACAGGGTTGGCGATTAGCGCATCGTCACATGCGTTGTCTTTCATGGATCATTACCCTTCAAGATGTCCAAGCAGATACGCCCCAGCTTGTCGATATTCGGGTGGTAAATCTTTGTCAAGAACCGCACTTTTGGTGGTGCCATGGGGTACTCCTCGGACAAGAACAGTTCAAGCTTGAAATCTCCTCCTGGAAGTCGGAAGAAACGATCATCGCATGAGTTCCGGAACAAATTTCAGTACGGCTCCATTATTTTCATTTTCATAGCGCCATGGCAGTCCACCGCGCCTTGCGATCCGAAATCCTTGATGCCTTCAGATCCTCAAATCCGGGTCCATCCTGTTCTTGTCCTTCCCATCCTGCCCACCACCGTCCGAACCAATTTCCCCCTGCTCGTTCACACACCTTCGAAAGGGGACTGCTGTGGCCCGGAGATAACGACATCAAAGTAGCGCAGATTATCGTCGTGAGGTGTAGCGCTGATACCCGGTGCTGGCTCGGCCATCAGCCGTTCCGTTTCCTGTTTGTGGTGGGGGATGGGGATGTTAGTAGACATTCGGACGTGATCTGTTTTACCGTCGTTGTCTGTTTCTTAGTTCAATTATAGGAACCCCTGAAGCAGGCCAGGTATCCAGGTATCGCCGAGCAGGGTATCCCCCCACTCCGAAAAGGACCTCGAACAGTCACATCTTGGAAACCACCACGACGGCCACCCGAACCATCACGGAGTGCAGGCTCAGTCCGGCCTCCTGCATTCCCACCACCTCCAAACTATTTTGTTTCTCACCTTGACAATACGCTTTGGAAGAGCCATGATTGTTCGTGTTGCGGTTGAATTTGGAGGAGTGGGTGGCTGTTCGGAAGGTCCTGTCTATCTGTTGGGCGTGGGAAGATGGGCAGGCGGGTCGTCCACATCCGCCTCATCTTCTTCAAAAAGCACATATAAATGGAGCCGCTGGCACGTGACAACTTAAACTCGGCGTGGGTGACATCACCCGCTTCGCCCCTCTTCTCCCTCTTGGCCCCCATGTCTTCTTTAGGTGGCAAAAACAACCCTCGCAGCAGACACAGACAGATTGGACAGATTGGAGAGCCAGTGGCCCTCAACGGCCTCTTTCAGCTATCGCAACTCGCAGTGCTGTACAAGAACTCAGCAAACCCCCCTCCGGACCCAGTGGAGATCACTCTTTACCACCCCAAGATGCCAGTCGCCGCACTCTTCCAAACGAAGCGCCCTTCTTACGCGAGACACCGCTCCCTCTACCTCGTCTCCTTTGTCCTGGTAGTACTCCTCTGCCTCGCCACCCTCTCCTTCACCCCCGCGCACGCCGCCAACACCCGCAGCAGCCGTGCGAAAGACCGCGTCCTCGCCTCGGACATCCAAATCCTCACCCTCTACAAAAACAAGTACACAACCGGCAAGCGCTCCCGCCCCGTCCCCCAGCTCAAATGCACCAACACAGGCATTGAGAAACCCCTCTGTAAAGACCCCGCTGCCCTACCAGACGTCGTCCAATGCCGCCAGGTCGGACTCAACGCTGCTGGTGAACCCCAGTGGAAATGCGAGGCGGAGCTGGAGGATCTGTATAAATTTGGGACGACAGATGTGACGTGTGAGGGGTATGATTACCCCGAGGACCCGTATGTGCTGGTGGGGTCGTGTGGGGTCGAGTATACCATTTTGAAGACGCAGAAGTGGTTTGAGAGGGAGCGTGACCGCGGGGCAGGGAGGGGCAGGGAAAGTTACCGTGCGTCCGACGACTCCGGAAACTCATGGTGGGATACCCTCTTCGGCGCCTCCCACTCTCCTTCATCACCCCACTACGACCCGTACCCCGAACGAGCGACGCGGGAGCCCAAAATTACCCATTGGCTGCGGTCACTACTACCCTTTGGACTGGGAGCGCTGATCCCGGACTTTGGATTGGACCCGATCGCGTGGCTGGGATTGAGGCACAAGTTTCCGTTTTCGCTGATTTTTGGAAGTGGGGCCGGGTATCGGGGTTATAATGATGATGACTGTGAGTTTGTGGAGTAAGTTGGGGGTGTTTCTTTGGTGGTGGTGATAATGGTGGGGTGTGTGCCCCCCAGTTAGAACGTGTTTTCCTCCTATCTACTTACTCATCTATCCTTTCGCTTTCTACTCCCTTCCCTTCTCCTGCGAACAGCCTCATACGCACATTCCAACAAGACGGGCTTCAGCCTGCCGCGTCTCATCTGGTACATTGTCTTAGGACTCTTTATCTATAGGTGAGTCTTACCCCCTACCCTCCCTCCCATCCCCGCCCCTTCCTCCTCATAGTCATACCTCTCTCTTCACGCACAGTGTTTACCAATTTTGGTTCCAACCCCGCCGACCCACGCAAGCCGGACGTCCCAATCGCGGGTCTGGAGGTAACGGCGGCGGCGGCGGAGGCGGCCGCTACGACCCCTATGACCACACCCCCGGAAAGGACGACGGCACCTACACCCCCCCACGCACCGGCCGTACCGGCACAGGCAGTTTCTTCACCTCCCCCCTCTTCACCCTCGGCCTGGGTGCGCTACTCGGAAACATGCGGAACCGCAATCGCCCTTCAGCGCCACCCTCATCCTCATCGTATCGAAGCAGTCGAAGAAGCAATGTGGACGAGGATGATTATGTGAGGGATGATAGTTGGGCTGGCGCGCGGGCGAGGGGGAGGGGTGCTGCGTCTTCTTCTTCCTCCGGGTATCCGGCGTCTGCGTCCGGATCGAGTTCGCGGGCGAGTGCGGGGGAGAGCGTGAGGACGACCGCGGGGTATGGGTCTACTAAGCGGCGGTAGTTTGGGTGTGAGAGGAACCGATGTAGGGTTGTAATGGAGGCTGCGGATTGTGTATTGGGCCTCCACATTTTTTTGCGATAGGGATATGCCCTCCCTTGAAGTAAAGTAACAGCGATTGGATACAAAGGGCGTTGCACGCATCTGCGTACGTGACGATTTTTCTACCACACAAGTGTACGCCTTCCCCTCAACTACCCCTGGCGATGAAGTATTTGTTGTCCGAAAGTCCCACCTTACTCCGCCATGTGTTCCATATCTTGATGTGTTTCACCTATACTATATTAGATTGTACTACTGATCTCATCCTACAACTACTTCCCCCCATTCTTCTTCAAATGCTCGTCCAACAACGCCGTGACGATCTCGGGCTGCTCATCGACTACGAAATGGCCGCAGCCGGGGATAGATGCCACTTCGATGTTGGGGAAGCGGTTCTGCAGGCCTGCTAGATTCACCTCCTGTGTGGGGGGCAGAGAGACACAAAAAAGTTGTCAACACAAAATCGCATGGAAAACACATCCCCGATGCAATTCCAAAACCCTACCATATCCAACGCCGGATCCTTCTCCCCCCAAACCACCAACGTCGGCACCTCCACGACCTCCCTCCACTTCAAGTCTCGCCCCCTCGCCGCATAGATCGCTCTGTAATAAGTAACCGCCGCGCGCATCGCCCCGGGCACCATCAACGCCGCGCGGTAAACCACCTTGTTCTCCCCCACCCGCTCCGTCTGCACGCCCTCAAACGCCCCGTCAAAGAACCGGTCCCCGCCGTCGCGCGTGTACAGCCATTCCGGGATCGCAGGGATCTGGTGGAGGAACATGTACCAGGACATCCACAACTGGTGGGGTGTCATGTTGGCGTTGAAGGTTCTGAAATGCGGGGCGTTGAGGATCGTGAGTGAGGAGAGCGTGTCCGGGTGGATGTGCGCGTATTCCCATGCGATTGCGCCGCCCCAATCGTGCGCGACGAGATGGAATTTGTCGTGGCCGAGGTGTTTGACCAATTCCCGGACGTCTGTGACGAGTTCTGTGATGTGGTAGGGGGAGATACCCGCGGGTTTGTCGGAGAGGCCGTAGCCGCGCATGTCGAGGGCGACGCAGGTGTGGGTGGCAGTGAAGTGGGAGAGGAGGGGGGTCCACATGTACCAGCATTCGGGGAAGCCGTGGAGGAAGAGGAGGAGGGGGCCGGTGCCTTTTGTGACGTAGTGGAGGGTGACGTTGTTTACGGTTGCTAGTTCGTGTTTGCCATAGCTGGTATGATTTTATCACAGTACAATTAGAATCCTATTCTCTCCAGGAATAACGCATAAATTACCCCTTACCTCTCATCTTCACACAACTCCCTCATCCCAACCCCCTGCACCTCCCTCCCCACCTCCGGCTTGCCCAGAATCACATCTCGTACACCCAACGCAAGCCCGCCCAGCAATGTCCGAAAACTGAAGACGGGCACGAGGGTGAGATTGATGACCGCGCGGAAGATGCTGATAGAGTAGATGGATTGAAAGAGCCGGTTGGGGATGCTGAAGCGGTGCGTTAGGGCCGGGTGGGTGCGGGTGGGCGTTGGGATGGGTTTGGGCATCGTGACGTTGGGAGATGCTGTGGATGCCTGTGGACGGTCGATTGTGAACCCTGAAGGTGGGGAAGTTCACTGAGCAATACGTCCAGGTGTCGTCGCTACCTATATATACGCAGAGTCCATACACTATGTACATACAGTACAAGCAGAGGCTGCCGATCAGCACTTCTGGAGTCCATGGCGAAAGCGGAGCGGCGGAAACTCCCTGGTTGACGCGTGAGCGTGCGTTCACGTCCACGTCACTTCCAAGTTCCCAAGCAAGCGCGACTCCAACACAGACGAAGACACAGGCGAACGAACGCAAAAGATATACCTTGCTCTGTGCAGATTACATCGCCTCAGAACCCCATATCCATTAAACACCCCCAAAACCATACGTCCATCGAGTAAAAAACCGCACCCAAAAAACCCATTATGCTACATATATATACAATCATACGCCCAATACGCCGTCCAAGCCCCTCACTCAACACTAACCAGCCTTCCCTCAACCTTCTCCAACACCCCCAAAACTCTGTACAGCGCGACGCTCTGCAGGCCCAGCGCAATGAGGGACACGGCAAAGAGGGTTAGGGCGGAGAGGAGGGCGAGCTGGCGGGGGCTTGGGAGGGTGAGGATGGGGATGGGGAGGGGTATTGAGGTTGGTAGGGCGATGGGGAAGGTGGGGAGGGTTGGGATGGTAGGGAGGTGCCATGTGTGTTGCCCTGTTGGTGCAGCCGCTGGAGCGGTGGTTGAGTGGGATGAGGCCTTTTCCAACTTGTTCGGAAGTCGTGTCATAGAATCCTTCCCCTTCTCGCCGTCATTGGTCTTGTGGCCGTGACTGGTACCACCCAAAACCTCCCTCTTCACGTCCGCAGTCAGTGCTTTAACGTACTCCATCTCGGGCATATCGACATCATCCGCAAACGGGGTAAGCGGCGGTGTGGGGAGGAGGTGGGCGTTCTGGACGCCGTCGACCATAGTGAGTTGGGAGTCGGTGGAGGAGATGGAGGTTGATGAGAGGGGGCGGGTTAGGTTTGTTTTGCCCAGTGATTTGATGGGGCTGGGAGTAGTGTCGTCTGAAGGCTTCTTGGTGCTGCGGTCTCGAGTGATTTTGGCGAAACAGGTTGGGCAGGTGCCTAGGCCGTCGCATGAGCATGGCTGTGGGTCATTCAATGAGAATGAGCAAGCTGAGGACGTGCAGAATCGGACAACATGTGCAAAAGGAAGAACGTACCTCCAATTCGGCATCCCAAGAAGCTCTCAACACCCTAAACGTCTGATCCCGATTGAAAAAGCTCGCGAAAAAGTGCTTTGTCCCATCCTCCATCTCGACCTCAATACTGTTCGAAAACACAAGCGCAATAGTCCGTTTCTCCATCACAACGATCTCACGAAACCGCAGCGCAAAAACTGAGGAGCTCGTCCACCCTTTGAAGCACACATGCTTCTGCGAGACCCACATCCGGCCCTGGATGAGCAAGCCCTCTTTGTTCCACGCGCACGCGAAATCGTTAACGAGTTTGTCGGTTTCGGAGAGGTCGGGGAAGAGACGGTGGAATTCGGCGTTGTCGCGGGCGGAGGCGAGGGGTGGGGGAGAGGATGATGAGAGGGGGTCGGTGCTGTGAGTGTCGTCCCATATTCCCAAGGATAGCCTGGACGCGTTTGCGAGGTTGTGCAAGAGCTTTGAGGCGGATCTGGCCTCATCTCTCAGTGAGCGGGAGCGTCGGACGGATACACGGCTATGGAGGGATGTGGTGCCGCCGTCGGAAGAGGCGGGCGAGTCGGAGCGTAAGCGAACGGAGGGAGAGCTCACGTTGCGCGTCGGGCGTCGTGGGCCGGTGCTGAAGAGTAAAGGTTGAGGTCCGGGTTCCCGCGATAGCCATCGTTCGCTGTTGGCTTTTCGGGCAGGAACGAGCGGTGGGAGTTTTGGCCTAGTCGTGGAAGTCCTATGTTCCCTCACGTCCTGTTTGCAGAGGTGTGTAAGACAAAAGTGTATCCACCCAGCGCGACGCAATGAGCTTGCTTCCTTCCTTACCTTGGGGACAATTGCGAGTGGGAGCGGGAACGACATTTTATCGGGTTGGAGGAAGTATGCAGTTGGAGACGGGCGGTAGTTGTAATGGTGGTGGTGGGAGAGTGGTTGCCCATTCACACAGTGGTTGTAGGAATTCAGTCTGTGCTGAGCCTAATAAGAAGCGAGAGGCAAGCCATGTGCAGCGGAGAGGAAGAGAGTGGGGAGATATTCTCATGAGGGAGTCAGACCTCTTGCTGTGGAGTTGGGAGGAGGCAGCCCAGGTGGATGGCGAGCCCTCTTTCATATGAGTTCCTGCGTTGTTGTGGAGTGTTGTTGGTGGAGCGCCCCGTCAGTCAGCAATAAAGGGAATCATAACGAAAAAGGCCCACTGCAAGTCGGAGTTTGGAAGAAGGCGTTCTCCGAAAGGCCGGAGTAATCACAAATTCAATTTGAGGCATTCCCAAGCTTGAAGCCGCTCGCCGCCTGCCAGGAAAAACTTAAGAATAATGCCTGTCGGAGCATTGCAAAAGACGCCCACTTCCGAAATCGGAAATAATGCAATGGTTCTGGATGGTATCCGCCGTCCGGCAGGCGGGTAAATAATATCCTCTGAATTATTGTTGTTGCACAGGGTTCGGAGATTTCCATTGAATAAAATCCGAGGAAGCACGAGCTATTCCGTCGCGGATCCATCCAAACATGCCACGGCGTCAAACTTCAACATGCCTCTCCCTCGGAAGCCTCACGAAGGGGAGCAGGATCTTGGGATGCCTTCATCACCCCGCCCCTGGCCTGCGGGAATGAAAGCGACCGGATTCGACAGCTTCTATAGCGAGGGTGTCTGTTCTGAAACCTCAACAGCCTCTCTTGTCGAGGGTCTGTCTCCCTTTGATGTTCGCTTCCACGCGCGAAAGTTCGAAACTTACTCCGCGAATGTCGAGCCTCCGTTAGATACGTACTGTATGTACATGCCCCATCCGCTTCTCGCCAAAAGTGGCCTCTTGCCTCTCAAAAGTTACGGTAAACCCCCACTGGTGTCAAACTACATGAACGCCCAGCGCAGCAACCGGCTTGATGATGTTCTTAAAGCCTGAGGCACCATATGCACCCGACGGACAGGTTGAATATCCAGCTGGATAGATATCTCAACCGTACAGTCCGTGGCCTTCGCTGACGTCACTACCTCACACCCATGCATCTACCACATGGGTATTCAAACGTTATCCAGGCATTATGAAGATACCCTACTTTGGAGACCGCATAGATCCAACGAGCCTGCACGTGATCTGTCTACCACACGATCGTAACTCTAGGCTTACGTTGTCGTTCTTCACGAATGGAACATCCGAAGCCTCCTCTTGCATCGTGTTCAATGTGATATCTCGAGATTTGAGAGCACTGATCTCTAGACCCGGCCATGTCGCCTTTCCGCTCCTGTCCACACGGAGTCATTGTCTCATATCTGACATCCGCATGAAGAGATGCAGCGACCTGGATAGTGTGTAGAATTGGGGGGTGCCTGCAAATGTTCCTTCGCCGAGCAACGGAACGAAAAACCGTACAGACCTGAGATGTCTCACCAAGATTGTCCTTCGGAGTTCCTCTTCCCAGGAAGGCTGCCTTCGCTTGCTTACCGTCAACCGGCCAAAGAGACAAGGTCCGAGCACAATTTTCATTCTCTCCCCTAACCAACGTTGGTGGAGTCCGCCGCTGGTTCGGCATGATTTCCGTCGGCTCCCTTTCGGCAACGCTTCTGGGGCTAAATAGTGAATGAACGACTGGCGATGGAAACGGAAAGACTTTCCGACCAAAAAGGAACAATTCGTAAACCCGGATGCTTCTATACTAGTGTGGTGCTCTCTCAGTCATGGGGATCACTGTACTATGGGCGCTTTGTGTGGGATTGGGGGAAAGTTGGCCATTTTGTCCATTTCCAACTTTTCTAAGCCTTTTCACTCATCCTTCTCTTCACGATGGCTTCTCCCGGCCTCCAACTTTTCTTCAAGGAGCTTGGTCGAGAATGGGTCCTTTCGAGAGGACTGGAGATACAATGTATTGAGAAGTGAAGAAAAAGTGAAGAAGTCCTTCGCAACGGCCGCATGACAAACGATCATTAGAGCAGCGCGGATATGATGAAGGGTAGGGGCAGGTTCCGGACGCGTGCTATGTAAGCAAGCCACTGACGCGTCGCTTGCTGATAGTGTTGCGCAGCTAATAACGCATAAAAGCAGCGCCCCACTGTCTTCGTTTGGGAGATGCGTATATTATATACATTACATATACCACTGCTATACAACTTCCACGCCCCTTGCAAGGTTCGACTTGATGTCGTGGCGCAAGTCTCTCCACTTCTTCGCGCCCTCGAGCCGTGCAGAAAGTTGACGCGGGACCCATTTAGCCAGGTTAGTGACTGAGTTCATTACGGTTGACTATATTCGACTGGCTGCTCTGGCTGTGCTGCCCTTGCGAAGGATAAACGTACTACGTGAGACGGTTTCGGATGTTCGGGGGCACGGAGAAGCACGCACACTACACTTTTGTGTGTTTGTGTGTGTGCCCTTCCTCGGCTGGTCGTGAGCTTGTCGGGAAGGCATCGGCCGTGTGTCGTGAGAAAGCACATGTTGGATCAACGGCTCTTGTGTTGGTCGTGAGCTACACAGAGTCGCCTCCGTAACCTCCTTTGGCTGGAGCATACCGACCTGGAAATGTCCTTGTTTTGGCGTCCGTAGTCACTTTACTCACCACCCTTTGACTTTTCTTTTCTGGTCCCTCCCCTCTTTCCTTCTGCAATGTCGTAACGCATTCTACATATGTGTGATCACGTCCGAGTCCTGCGAGATTCGTCCCGTCTCCGGAATCCTCACCGGCGCCCCTATCACTGGCCTCGCCATCAAGCAGTAGCCTGTAAGGCCCACAACTAGAGGATTTGATGGTACGTTTACATTGCACACCATCTAACCCCGCACGATAAATACTGACGGCACCGTCGTTGGTCTTTGCCACTTCTGCAGGGGGCCAAGCACTCGTAAGCAGCGGAACCAGACCAAGATATCGCCCGGCTTCGTCCTCCGGTTCCAATGCGTAACCCGGATACAAGCCGATGGGATTGGGAGACCGCCATCGCTTGGAGGGTTTCAAAACTGGAAGATGTTCTGATGGTGGGTCTTCACAATTCAGGCCATGGCACTCCGCCGGTACGATCCCGCAACAGTACGGCTTATTGAATAGGCCATTTTTCAACCTACAAGTAGAAAAACACGCGCACGAGGGAGCAAGCACCATCAACATCACACCTATAAAGCAGCTCTCTCGACGGCATCTCAACCTTTCCTGCGGCGCTCCAGCTGCGATCTTCATCTGGTGCGTATATTCCGTCCTCTCTCATACTTCGTCTCTTGTTTTCTGGCTTTGCGGTCGTGTTCCGCTTTCTTACTCTACGCTAACGTTCCTTACTTTCTTTCTCTTCATCTTCTGACACTAGAGCGGCGCTGTAGGCGCGTTGCCGACGACTCGTCACTTCGCTAGGCGTTACAGGATCATTGGGAGGCGGCCAATGCCGGATTCCACGAAACGTTCGGTTCACCCGACCCCCATTCGTCATTGCATGGCTGCAAGTCGCTCCTCGTCAGGAAATGGTCCGTGTTGCCTTACACACATCTTCGGATGTGGGGCCGGGCTATTCGCCATCGGGAGTTAAGCACGACGCACTGGCCATTTTAGGTCCGACACTGAGCAGTGCTTACGGCTGAGACTTGGGGCCGTTTGGGAATGCCGGCGGCGGGGTGTCCTCTCGTGATCCTTATGTGGACAACTCGTCCTGATATCGTAAGTTCTTTCCACCACAATATCCCTTCATGGTGCGCCCCTCATCTTAGGCTTCTTATTTCAAAGGTTCCTTCATTCGTCGAACCTCCCCGGAATTCTGGATGTCCTCGGTACTGTAAGCAAAGTTTGCATGGTCGAGTGAATCGGTGTAACAATCTTACGTCTCTCTCTTGGCACGTAGTTCCACAGCACCTCTTCGTTAACAGTATCCCGTCGCAGATCAACTATGTACTGCACATTGCGTAGCCCCTAGGCCTTATGATTGTTGATGTAGTTGTTGATGTGAATATGAATGTGGTGTGATCGACATTTTGACTTCAAAACAGCGGCTGCCACATGTATACTGCCACGTCCAAATCCTATCCTCTGATCCAATATGCGATATCTTCGTCCAATAGCTTGCTGAGCTCTCCTTCTTTCTCGTTTATCAAGATCCCACGGTTCATCAGCACCAACCGACCAAGCTGTTAATTTCAAGTCCATCCTGAACGCGACAAGTGGGTAAAGCTTTGAACTCTTTGAACCTTTGAAAATTGGACCCTTAAAGTACAGTACATTGAAGGTGACAGGGTGTAACCAATTTTCCTATCTCTCCGGCGCCAACGTACTGACCAGGACAGCATTCCAGCTCGGTTACTTGAGAAAAGGGTCTAACCGGTCTTGAATTCACATCCAGGCTTCCAACCCACGGAATTCCCCAGAAATGTCGTTCAAAGGCATCCCTCGGCCCACCCGCACCGAAGACGAAGACGACCTCCTCCGCCTCCAAAGCGTCTTTGCCGAAGCGGCCGCCTCCTCCACTCCCGCCGCAAAAGTACAGAGGCGGTCACAGGCGAACGGGAATGCAATTTCTGTTCCGTCCGTTGCGCCCTTGAGCGCGAGGAAGAAATGGGAGGTGCCGGTGGGTGGTGAGAAGGGTGCTGAGGAGCGTGAGGAGGAAGGAGCACCGAAGAAGAAGAAATCGTTGTTTGCTGAACGACGGGCGCAGCGGAAGGCGGCGGAAGAGACCGCAGCGCCCGTTGAGGACTCGGCACCAGAATCAGACTCGAGATTCCCAACCCGTCCCATCGAATCAGCAGATCAAGGCCTCGACCGGATCCTCTCCGACATTGTCGAGCGAGAATCCTCCGCGCCGACCGCACCCGTCTTATCTACCTTCGCGTCTCCCACCACAGGTTTTCCTCAAGTCCTACACCGCCAGCAACGGGAAAGCCGACCCAAAAGGGAAACGACAATCAAAGCAGCTGTGGTGGATGATGACGGTGCGGGAAAGGATGGCGATGCGAAGGGGATACATGAGGAGAATGTGAAGGTCATTGAGGGCATGTCGGAGCGGGAGATTGAGGAGGCAAGGGAGGAGATCATGGCCAAGTTGGATCCCGGGCTTATTGCGTTCTTGAAAGCGAGGCGGGGGAAGAAGGGTGATGGAGAAGGGATGCGCTCGGAGAGTGGGGATAAGAAAGAAATGCACGTGCCGGCGATGCTGGAGAAGAACAGCTCGGGGAAGCATGTATCTTTTTCGGATGATATCGACGAGAAGGCAAAGCCATCGACCGTAGCGACAAGCGAAGGTCCGCAGGGTGAACATCCCGCGTGGATCCCAGCTGACAAGCTGGAAGTTGGTAAACTGCAATGGATGCTCGACTCGACGTCCGATACGGCAACCTCTGCATTGACCAGCCAAAGCACCACGTCCGAAATTCGATTCGACCTTTCCGGCCGAATCATCGCAGCAGATTCCAACATCCCACACCATCTCGGTCTTCACCATCACGGCGACGCACCCGAACGGGCAGGATACACATTGGACGAGATGCTAACCCTCGCTCGAAGCACGGCGCCATCTCAGCGCGCACCTGCCCTACGCATGCTGGGCGCAGTGATTGCGAACATCTACAATTGCACCTACGACCCAGACCCTCTGTGGACTATATCCGGCCTGCTCCTTAGTAAGGACTATCTCATCATTCTCCGCGCAGGACTCGACGACTCGCACGATACCGTGATTGCGAGCTCATTAGCAGGCATTGCTGCCGTATTAGGCTGCGGCTCTTTGACCGACGACGGCGAAGAACACCTCTGGGACCGCCTAGCCCTCTCCTCAGTCGGCCACCGCACCCACGCCATCTCCGTCGCGCAACAACGCCACTTCGCCCAACGCGCCACCGGCCGACCCAGCGACCCCTCCGACGCGATCGAAAACGATGGGTCTCTGCACGCCATCATGCAGCTCATGCGCTTCGATGCCCTCACCGGCCTGATACACACCCACCTGCTTGTGCGGCTGACGTACCTCCTCCAGTCGCGTCTGCTGTCCCCCGCCGCGCGAAACGATATCCTCGCCATCCTGATCCGCGTGTGTCGACACTCGCGAACAGCGGCGGCGGATGTGGCCGAATGCGAGGGTCTGATCAGTTACATCCACGCCCACTTTCTCTGTCAATCGTGGCCGGGCACCGATGTCGATAGCGAAATCCTCCGCGTTAACGCGTTGAAGATCGTGCGGCTATTATGTCAGAGCGGCCGCGACGTTGCGGAGAGTCTTGTCCAGCATGGGATCGTGCAGGACGCGCTGCGGTATATTGTTGCGGATGTGGGGGAGATGCAGGGGAGGGAGATGCAGGCGATGGGGTGGCGGGTGCAGACGGAGGTGTGGTTGTTGTTGACGGGGTTGTTTGCGATGCGGGTGAACGCGGCGGTGTTTGATGCGTACCGCGGCGCGTTGTTTGATCGGGCCAGGGACATGTTCTCACGAGTGGGGCGGGAGGGAGATGAAGACGTGAAAACAGCCGCGATGGCGTTTACGCGCATGATTAGCGTGCTGTTTACGTCGTTTGGACAGATGTTGGATGTCGGCGGCGCGGATGATGCATTGAGACCTTTTGCGGAGGTTGTTGTGGACGCTTATGAGCAAATTGGAGGGGTTGAGGATGACTTGCTGTTTGCGAGCATGGCGGATTTTTTGGCCGCGTATTTGAGGAGGTTGGGCGAGCTCGCGCCGGGAAAATTGGAGCCTTTCAAAGTGGCGTTGGACAAGATCAGCCAGAAGCAGACGTCTTCAGATCCGCTTGCATCCACGCTCAGTCGTCTGGCAATGTTGATCGACCGATTGGCGGAGCGAACGACCTTAGCCTCAAGCCGAACGTCTCATCTACACTTTATAGGGCTACGCAACGGCCGCCGTGTAGTACTGGCGGAAACGCTGGTCGACATCAACGTACTTCTAGACGCACTCACCGCCCGACTGCGTCTCACCCTCGCTGTCAAGAGTAGCGGTTCAAAGCGCCCTGAGGGAGTCATCGACGCGTCCACACTCCTTCACCGCATCTTCCTCGCCCTGCGACCTCACGTCCCGCACGCCGATCCAATCCGCTGCTTCCTGCCCGCCTGGCCGCACCTTCTCTTTGAATACATCTCCGCCTCCAAACCCCTCCAGCAAAGCGATAAAGACAAAAAAGCCGACGACGCAGCCCGCATCACACGCTGCTCAATCGCCCTGGCCGCGCTACCAACCCTTTTACCCGGCGACGAATACATCGCCGGCAAACTCCTCAACACCCACATCCTGCACCGCGACACGCTGGCCGCCCTGTACCGCCGCGCCTCCTCCTCCTCCGCGCACGCAGACTCGCCCGCTATGCGCCGCCTACAGGACATGCTCGACTATCAATTCTACTCCGACGCCTCCCTGCTTCGTTCCGAGGGCGTGTACGCGCGCAATTCCCGCGTGGCTGAAACCTTACTCATGGAAGCCGAGCCCGCCGACGTCAGCCTCCCCCTCCGCATGGACTGGATGTTCTCCATCTTCGAAACGCTGTTAAGCGAATCGCAGAAATACGCGCATCTGATGACGCAGGCGCGGAAAACGGGGGGCAGGGTGAGGGAGGATGCGGATGATGTTGTCGCGGAGTGTTTGCGGTTGATTCAGGTCGTGGAGGGTGTGGTTGATAAGCGGTGGTATGCGGACCATCTCCCGAACACGGTCAAGCTCGCACGGTTGATGTGTGTGTTTTTGCTGCCAAGTGCGAGGGAGGGCGACGAGTTGTTTGCGAGGGAGGAAGTGGATGCCATGTTGAACGACGCACTGTATCGATACACGGAGCAGTCATCACCTGAGGGTAGCACATCGACATCGACATCACAACAGACACTGGAAACAGCCCTAGGCGGCCGCGCGCGCTTCTACCACCTCTACACGGCCCTGCTCACCCACTTTGCCGCCGTCTCGTACGGCAACGCGACGTTCGCGCACTACCTCCTGCTTCCGCTCTCCATGTCCTACCCGGCGGACTACCGCCTACTCTTCTGCAACGAATTGTTCGAGCTGCTGCGGTTGTTCACGATCGCTACGCCTGATGTTCGATGCGTCGGTGGTCAATCTGTCAGTAATGCGTATTGGGGCACTGTGGAGACGGATGAAGCGGTGCTTGGGTGGTATGTACGTGCCGTGGCAGAGGGGAAGGTGACGAAGGACGGGACGCCGTTTCTGTGGGATGTGGCTGTTGGGCAGCTTTGTAAGGTTCTGTTGAGTGGCGACGAGGGTGAGGTGGAGAAGACGAGGAGGAATGTTGCGAGGAGGATGAAGGGGCTTTTGGGAGAAGGCGTGGATGAGGTGTTGAGGTGGGGTGGGGTTAGGGAAGACGGCGTGAGGAATGATGGCGTATCTGCGGAAGTTTTTGAGGAGAGGAAACGGGCGTTTGGGCGGCTTGTGTCTTCGGCGTAGTGAATTATCGACCTAGACCGTAGCTTCATTCACATTTAGCTATTTGTTTGTGTCTTCCACTAATCATCGGCGATTGCTATGCATGTACTGTATATATTAAATCCTGTCTGCTTTCGTGGTCTTATTGCAGTTGAAAGAACGGGAGGAAACCCCCACTGAAATCTGATTGCATCCCGTGACCTCTCGCTTGAATTTATTTCTGGTTGTCCTTCTTGTACACTTCCTCTTTCCTACTCTCATTCTGGACTCTCACTGATCAAAAGCATCCGACCATGAACCCACAAGAAGAGGACGTACCCGTGCCAAGGTCTCGTATCATACTCGCCCGCAGTCGCGCCGATGGCGCTCCGGCGGCACTCTCTGGAGAGAGTGCCGGACAGTCCAATGCACACGACAGTCCAACGCACTTTTCCAGAAGTCGCCGGCCTGCCTGCACACCTGAAGAAGTAAGGAAATTGACGGCAGCTGGTCGTTGACTTTTGGGTTGCACACGGAGGTTTGGCGAGCCTGTTGTACCCGGATATCTGGCCACCGTACACTGTAGCTTTGTTGTTCTTAGAATTTAAAAAAAGGGCGTTGGACTGTCGTGTGCGTTGGACTGTCGTGTGCGCTGGACTGTCGTGTGCGTTGGACTGTCGTGTGCGCTGGACTGTCGTGTGCGTTGGACTGTCCGGCACTCTCTCCAGAGAGTGCCGCCGGAGCGCCATCGGCGCGACTGCGGGCGAGTAGATACGAGAAGTATGTCCGGTTCACACAGCGCGGGAAGTACCGGGTCGAGTATGATACGAGACCTTTGGCACGGGTACCTGCCGCACCTGCCGAAGTTCCCCTTGCCATATCGGAAGCTCTCAAAGAATGCTCCGTCTGCAACGATAGGAACTAATACTGTCAAGTGGATGCGGATTTTTGGAGGATTGGAGGTTGGGAGGAAATGGTCACGGAGATGAGGCGGAGACGTTAACGAAACGACGCCATTCAGATTATACATTGCATTCGAAATAGTTTTCCGCACTTCATGTATGCGAAACCCTGCCCACTACTTCCCCGCATTAGTTCGATGCTACTTGGGTGCAAGGAATATTTCTGTGTGGCTTAGAGCGGGCCCTGCAAATTGTGTCAATACTATCGGGACGTACATATGTGCATAGTAGAACTCTCTCAAATCCTTCGCATCACCCACCCGGGACCCCTCGGGACCCGTTTGCCTCTGCGTTGGACGATTGGTAGCCTTGGTAGAAGAAACTCCGAGAGCAAGGCCAGCCTCACCTCGCCTCTGTAACGGCTCAAGTTACAGCGCTTGGGGAGCAAAGTTGGAGCAAACCATATGGTTGTCACTTCTGCTCCACACGTACAGAATGACCGATCAGGCCTTTCTTTTGATGGCAATAATCTATTTGAAGAAAATACATGTCACACAGTATGTATATAGTTCTTTGTCCAATTCCAGAGGCACATACAGGCATGTTCACCTAATAACCTTATGTCCGTTTCCCATCCACGAACGTTCTTTTTCAAACCCGACCAGCACCACCACCATGCGCATGCTCAACCTCTCTCGACTCTTGCTTCTTCTCGGATTCACGCGAAGCGTCCTGACCCGGGTTCAACGACTCATAGTCAAGCCTTTTGAGCCCCAAATGAAACAAGGACGCCAGCACACCACCAAGCACTGGCGCAAGCCAGAAAACCCAATGATCATCCCAAGTACCCTCAAAAACGGACGCCCCAAAGCTCCGCGCGGGATTAACGCTGCAGCCAGTGAACGGAACCGCCACCAGGTGGACCAAGAACAGAGCGAGCCCAATGCCCACCGGCGCGAGGTACGTATGCTTGCTTTTCTCGACGGCGAGCATGAGGATCACGATGGTGAATAATGCGGTGAGGATGACCTCGAGGAAAAACCCTTGAGCGATGCTAATCCCGTTCTTGAGAGTGTTGGCGCCCTTGAAGGGGCCAGGGAACAGTCCCTGAACAAGGGCACCCGCGACGAGTGCGCCGACGAGTTGCGCAGCGACAAACATGGCTCCGCGACGTGGGGTGATGGCTTTGGAAATAACGAGTGCGACGGTGACAGCTGGGTTGAGGAGACCGCCAGAGACGCGGTATAGCGCCCATGCGACGACGAGGAGCGACAGGCCGAAGGAAGTGGCGATCATCAACACGCCCGCGACTCCGCCCGTTGCGTCCTTGCCTCCATCGGCGGCGCTGGCGGCAGACGCGGCGTTGACTGCACCATAGGCGGCGAAGAGAAACAGGAAGGTTCCTAGGGCTTCGACGCTGGAGGCTAGGACATCGCGCATGAATGGGCTGTAATTGTGTTTTGGGGCGTCATTGCGGAATTGTCGGTTGCGACCCGCCGGCGATAAGGTGTGCTCGGAGCTCCCCGGCTGCAAGCGGCGAGGCTGATCTGAGTCTTGGATGTTGATTTCGTGGTGTCTATCAGGTGATGACATGTTGGCAGCTTTCGGTTCGGAAATGGACGGTTGTGCGAAGAGTTGAAGAGGTGCAAACCGACCTTCTTATATACTGACGGGAATCATTTCCGCGACCACGGCTCGAAGGGACAGAGCCCTGATGGGCAAGTATTGGAGATGGATGTCTCGATCTCTCGACAGGTATGTTTACGGTACTGTACGTCATGTTCGGTCAGAGCAGGTCTCATGTCGATTTTCCCTGACGCGCAAATATCGCCTCCGCTCGCCTTCCGTAAGCGCAACGCGTGCGTGTTCGCTTCAAATATCAATGTCACCTACCGCACGTGGCTGACGGACATGGACATGGACATGCCAGATGGACGTGTCGATTGCAAACCCGACCTTCAAACTTCTTCGCCCCAGTCTACGAACCCAGCACGGCGATTGGACTGCCTACCCTCTTTTAACACTCATTTCGTCTGTGGTGTTTCGCCCGATGTCCAATGGGCCCGAGTAAGCCACGAACGGTGGGTAGTCTGAAGATTTTGCAGAGGGGCGAAGGAGTGATGGAGTTTTTGTTGCTCTCCAATTGTGTGCTCTGGACGAGGAACGTAGTCCAATAGTTGCGTGACGTCCACGAGAAACCACTACTCCGACAGAACTTGCATTTTGCTTTCTTCCTTGTGCCACCGCGAAAAGCCCAACATTGGCTATACCTCTGTCTCTTGAGACGTACCAGCCCGGCTCCTTGGCTGTGCTCTTTGCTCAAGGACGGATTGGCCCATTTGAGTAAAGACGGTAATAGCAGAAATTCCAAAACACAAAGATGCCGGAATAGACTCCCTCGACGACCTCAGTCTCCTGAACATCCCTGAGCACTTTGTCGACCTCAGGCATGAGCGCGTGCTGCCCACTCTCCGCCTCGTCAACCGCAGGTGGAATGCCCTTGTCCTCAATCTCCAGCAAAGCTTCAAATCGCGAACGCTCGAGTTGACATTGCGGACCCAGCAGCGCTGGATGCTGTGCGTGCCAAACGCACTACTTGGAAGTTGATTGTCAGACGGAGCGGCCCTTCCGCTGCGACATGGTCAGACATGTTCCAGTTTTTTTCGTCTATCATTAAGCTTCTGGTCGCGCCATTTGACCCAGACTTAGAGGAGATGGATGGGCTGCTGGAGGCCGCTAGCATTCACTCTCCGAGTGTATCTCGACTCAGTGCTGGTGCCCACGAGTACAGCGGCGAGATTTTTGCCGCTTCTTTGAGTCGTTGAGAAGACACCAATGGCGGTCTCCAAAGTTTCAGCGCACCTGCAACCCTTAACTCTTCAAAAATAGTAGTCATTTCCAGACATTGTCAGCTCATGGATCCCCCACACTGGCCGGAAGGCGAGACGGAGTGGGATTCTAACCGAGAGTTCTACAGTCAGATGGGACTTCACAGCGGAGGAGCTGGGTTTGGTCATCTCCACCTTCGGACCATCATGGACGACAATAAGCCTGGTGGAGTGGGAGAAGGTGGACACAGCCTTCTTTTCCGCGTTAAATGCCTTGTTCTACCACAAGTCACTTTACTAGCCATCGGCTACAGCATGATTTTGGGACACGTCGCTTTCAACTTTACGACCGAAGAGCCCTTGCCAAGGTCCGCCTCCTCCGCCCGCACGCGTTTTCGATGACGACGAACGCCCGCCGACGCCGTCAAATCGATCCTCGCCATCTATCTCACTTGCACTTACGTTTCATCGCACTCGAGCACCTCACTTCAATCACCACGAAGCACCCTATCACTATCCCCCCAACGACACTCACCATGTCCCCCACCCCCGAAATCTACACCTTCCCCAGCACGGACGCCATCTCCAGCGCCCTCGACCATTTCCTCACGCACGAATCAGCAAAAGCCATCGCCCACCGCGGCAAATTCACAATCTCCCTCTCCGGCGGCTCGCTCCCCAAAGTCCTCGGCGCCGAAATCAAAGCCAACAAATACATCGACTGGTCCAAATGGCACGTCTTCTTTGCCGATGAGAGATGTGTGCCGCTTGACCATGAGGACTCGAATTACCTGCTTGCAAAGGAGAATCTGTTGGACCATGTGCCCATTCCGAAGGACCAGGTTTATACCATCGACCCGAAGCTGGTGAAGGACCCTGAGGCTGCTGCAAAGGCCTACCAGAAGGTTCTTGCTGCTGTCTTTGGGAGTGAGACGGATATCCCGTCGTTGGACGTTAACCTTCTCGGCTTGGGACCTGATGGGCACTGCTGCTCGTTGTTTCCTGGCCATCCTCTCTTGGGGGTTACGGACCGATGGGTTGCCGCGATCCACGATAGCCCGAAACCGCCAAAGGAGCGGATTACACTGACGTTTCCAGTTGTGAATGAGGCAAGGATCAACTTGTTTGTGGCGAACGGGGAGGGGAAGGCGGAAGTGCTGCATAAGGTGTTGGATAAGAAGGAGGATCTGCCTTCGGGACGAGGTAGGGTGTTGTTGAGTTGTGTTTCCATGGATGGTGTCCGACTTACTGATGTTTGGTGCAATTGTTCTAGTGACTGGAAAGGAGCGGCTCATTTGGTTCCTCGACGCCTCCGCGGCGAAGCATGTCACCTCCAAGGCTCAGACTTACAAGCTCTGATGCATGCGATTGTATCTTTGGTCGCACGCAGAGCGTAGCACACTTCACTGTTCATAGTCTCGCCCGCGGCGTACCGTCTTTTCTCATCTCAAACTGGTGTTAGGGTGCTAGGTCTCTCACTGGTTCACCTTTTCACAATTCATGTCCATGTACACTCAATCATAGTGCCATTCAGGTTCGAAATTGTCTACATACGTACGTTACAACAAAGGTTCCGAAAGGGGAAGATGAAGGGAAGGAAAGTGGGTATACTGAAAGAGCCTATTCAACATGAAACCGCCAATGTCAAATCTTTGTACGTTCATACATACGCCTTGAATCTCGAAAAGGAAAAGGAGGGGAGAAACTGTTAACTACCGAACGGGGGGTCGGTCGGGGAAGGAAAGACGGACTATGCGCGATTAAATCAATTAGAAAGGGAATCGGAAGAGTTGAGTGTCGGTTTTGTCAAAAGAATGAGTCGGATAGCGGATATCTTCAGCGGCGCCACACTCTCCTAATATCATCAGAATCCAGCGGATTGTCGCGCTTCTCGGCACCTTCACCGCGTCCCCGCCGACGATCGTAGTCAGACATGTAGTAGTATCCAAGCTCAGCGGCAGTGTAGCCCTGTGTGGGGTTGACGTTCCTCTCTCGGAAGGGTCCTTCGGTTCTGTTCACGGGTGAAGAGGCAGAAGCGCCGCTGCCTGAAGCCTGTACCGACGAGGTGTGACGTTCCATCTGAGCAAGCCGGCGTTCCGCGTTGCGCAGCAGAGTCTCCAGATCTTCGCAGCGTTTCTCAGTCTCGAGCTTCCCGTTGATGATTTCTTTGCGTTCCACTTCAAAGCGTTTGAGAGCAGTCTCGTGACGTTTGCGCAGGTCCTCGTAGCGCGTCTCGCTCTGTTTGAGAGCTTGTTCTAGCATCTTGATCCTGGAAGTGTAGAGCTGCAGTGTAGTAGAGGTCGTTGCAGAGTTGCCGCTAGCTAGTCCAGGGGGAGCATCCGGAGCATCGTTATCGTAATTGCCAATGCGCGTCGTGTGAACCATTCCAACGATAGGCATTCTGCCGTCGGCTTCTGGTGGGGACGGGTACATAGCCTTCTTGTTGCCGAAGAGCACAGCCTTGACGTCCATAGTGTCTTTCCCATTATCGACGCGAGCCTTGACGATTGGCGTGCGAACGTCCAATGTAGTCTATGTATACGAAGGGTATGACGAGAATCGATGAAAGGCCGGCATGAGCTGCTCGAATTTGCAACTAACCTCTGAGGCACACGACTCCGCCCAGACAGCGACAGGGGATCCGTTCATGTGCGGATCGCGCGCGGGAGTGGCCTGGTCTTGAATCCAGTCTCCTTGGGAAGAGCAATCTTGCGAGGCCTCCAGGGCTCCAAACCCGTCGATGGTGGGAGGATTGTAGACAAACTTGACCAGATCACGAGGGCAGGGGATTTGCTGGAGGGACGAAAACGATACAGCAAAGGGCGCGTCATTCACAAAAGGTAGAAGTACTTACCGCAACGTTCAAGAGAGTAACTTTTTGCTTCTCGGTGAATAGTGGCACACAAAGACCGGTCCGAACAACGCGGTCTAGGAGACTGTCGTCGATGTTGTGGTCGAACCGATTCAAGTGAATGCGGAGAGCTTCTAGCGAAACTGCAAGGGGATTAGATGAGAGGGTCAACGCGTGTGGGAAGTGAAGTGATCAGACTGCCGTGCATTACGTTTCAGCATCTCAAAAAGATGATCCCGATGAGCGGTGCTGATTGAGATTGGATCGTGCCAAGGGACTTTGCTAATAATGGAAATGATGTTCTCGAAAGGGCGCTCAGCACATTTGCGAGAGAAATGGAGCTGAGGAAAGAGAGCCACCATGTCAACCGCCATCCGTTGTATCTTGAAACTGTCATGTTTCCTTACTTTGTAGTTCCTGCAGACAAGGAGCAGGGCATTAATCTCTTCACGAAGTAAGAATACTCCTTCCTTGGACTGCTGAGAGGACGATGACCCGTAAACCAGGCCGCTTCCACTCGCACCGTACTGAGCAGCGGCACGAGGATCAGCGAATAGAATCTCAGAGGTGAACGGTTCGTCCAGGTCACAGCTTTTTTCCATGACATCGCCCTTAGGGATGCGACCAGCACGGTGCGGGAATAACGCGTCGATAAGCTCCGCTTGCGTGCTCCACTGCGCCAGAACGATACGGCCCTTCAGGATACCGCGCGAGTGCAAATCAAGGGCTCGTTGCGCGTCCGTGTACGTGGGAAACTCAACAAAGCAGTCGCTCTGGGTCTTTCCGGTAGACCGGTTCATGATAATGTGAACGGCTTGCGTGAAGTGCGGAGGGACGTGGCCAAAAGGAATCTGGTGCGGAAGAGTGATCACATTAGCATTGTGTTTGCATTTCAGCGAGGACATTTCACATACCATACAAGGGGCAAAGTAGGCGACGACATCATTGATTCCAAGATTCCACGCGATGTTGCTGAGCCTTATGACTGCAAAGCTTGAGGTAGAAGGCACATTGGGTCGCAACTGAAGCAAGGTGAACAGGGAATTGGGCGCGTTTCTCTCCGACCCTGCGTCGTTGGGTTTCTCCGATTTCTCAGCTGATTGAGCGACCTTAGATGCAAAAAGACGGGTATGAGTACGGTGTTCCTTTGAGTAATCGCTTTGGCAGCGGGCGATCGAGATCTGATGGTGGGAACTTACAACATTCAATTGACTTCCGGGTATCTTCCAGGCACTTGGGCCCGATCCACTGGCCGATCTCGGTCCCAGCTTTTCGAAGGCATGGGTAGCCTGCACGGTCTTCCCGCGTCAGGAGAGCCATCCACATCTTTTCTAGCGCTTTACACAAGGGTCAACATGCCTGCAATTCACTCTTGGATCTCGATAAAACACCCAAGTTCATGTCCAGTACCGACGAGCTGAAGTAAGAACCTGTGGGAAAATGCGCGGGGACGAGGATGAATGTAAGCATCGGGAATTAACCATACGAAGACATTGTGGGTAGCGTACCTGGCACAACATGCTGATACTCCGTTGGAGTAAAGTAAGAATAATTTGGTCCCGCATCGCTTGTGGGAACGTGGCTTTTGTTCTCTTGACCAGTGGCGGTCGGCTTATCAGAAGGGTCCATCTTCGCGAATTCCGATGACCTCGTTGGCTTAACTGTGAGTGTCTAGGAGACCAGCGGAAGCGTATCAGTCGCATTGTCCCGTGAATAGGAACTTCCTTCTGGGCACATCCCTACGATTCAACAACCAGAGCCAATCTTCCCACGCGCCATTAGGAATGCAGTCCGCTCTGTTTCTCACCTCAAAAGACACTCAGAAACGGCGGCCTCCTGTTCGCAGCAGCACACTTCCCGAACAATGCTGCTGGTTGCAGCGAACTTCCTACACCTCTGGTTCTAGAGGTCTTTCGTTCTCTCCCAAGTTGCGTGGGAATTGCGCTGGATGGGGCCAAGATGGGGGGGGGGGGGAAAGAGAGAGTTACGAAACGGAAATCTGACCTCACGGCAAAAGATCAGGACGCGCGAATAAACCGATGCCCGATCACGTGATGCGTTCACGTGACTGCTATTCCTCCACTTGCACGCTTGCTTAAACGCTCTAAGTTGGTGAAGTGCGAATGTCGTCAGGAATTGGTGTCCAGGCGCAAGCAAGAGACGTTGGATAGCAGCTCTATTCGTAGCTATTGCAGTGGACTGTAATTGTGGAAGCATTGGAGCGACCAGTAGTAATATTGTCGACCAGCCGTCGCGGAAAAGCATTTTCGACCTCCTCAGTGTGAAGCACCATGGTCAAATTATACCTGAGGTATCGGCTCGCCGCCTCCTTCGGCCTAGTAGCCAGCGGCGGAAGTAACTCTCTGTTCGACAAAACCGGCAAATATGCCATAACACCAGCGCTCGAAAATGTCACAGTCTGGGACGTCCGGAAAGGCACCTTGTTTGGGGAATGGAAGGACGCGGATAACAAGGCTGAGGTCACTGGGATGACGAGAAGTCCGTCGGGAGAGCATATTGCTGTTGGGTAACTATCCGAGTGCGACTTTTGCACATTCAGCTCACCGCGAAGTGCTAACATATGCAACCTCTTGAAAACATAGATATGCAGACGGTTCGATTAGGGTTTGGGAGCTAGCTACCGGCGAGTCAGCAATCACCTTCAACGGACACAGATCAGCCGTCACGGCACTATCCTACGACTCAACAGGCGCACGACTAGTCTCGGGCTCCAAAGACACAGACGTGATCGTATGGGACATCGTAGCGGAATCCGGCCTGTACAGGCTACGAGGTCACAAAGACCAAGTCACAGCAGTGCGCTTCCTCTCGAAAGACGGGCTGGATCACGTCGTGTCGACATCAAAAGACACGCTGATGAAGTTTTGGGATTTGGCTACTCAGCATTGTGTGGAGACGGTTATTGCGCATCGGGGGGAGGTGTGGGATATGGATGTGTCGCCTGATCAGACCCGCATATTCACGGGTGCAGGCGATGGGGAGGTCCGTGTGTGGCAGTTGGATCTGCCGGTGCTGAGATCTAAACTGGAGCCAGCGGGGAATACGGTCAATAGCGGGTGGCAAGGGACGGAAACGAACCCGGATGGGACACCGGCCACGAAACGGGCGGTTGTTGGGTTGGGCACGTTGGAAAGGCAGAGCAAAGAGCGGGTCGTTACCCTTCGAGTGCATCCGAGTGGTCGGTACGTCGGAGCGCAGGGCTCTGACAGGCTGGTGGAGGTGTTCCGGATACGCACGGAAGAGGAGATCAAGAAGAAGATGGCGCGGTTGAAGAAGCGGCAAAAGGAGAAAAAGACCAAAGGGAAAGGCGGAAAGGAGGAGGCGAACGGTAATGACGACGAGGAAGAGGAAGTTAAGCTGAGCGTGGCTGATGAGATCCCACGAGTAGCCCACATCCGATGTTCGGCAAAAGTTCGGTCGTTCGATTTCTCGCCCGTCAGTATACACAAAGGGGCGGCGGGGAGCGGGAAGGAGGCACCGCTGCAGATCCTTTGCGCGTTGTCAAACAACAGCGCCGAGGTGCATGCGGTGGAGTTTGAGAACAAGGAGCAGCCCACCCGGCTCGTCTCAGGAATCGACATCCCTGGCCATCGGTCAGACGTCCGGACGCTGGCGTTGGCGCCCGACGATGAACTGCTGTTGACGGGTTCCTCGGACATGATCAAGATTTGGAACGTGTATTCGCGGCAATGTCTGAAAACCATCGAGTCCGGTTACGCATTATGCTGTGAGTTCCTGCCTGGCAACAACTTTGTCATCATCGGAACAAAAACGGGCGAGCTGCAGTTGTTTGATCTGGCCCGGTCCGCTATGATTGAAAGTATCAAAGCCCATGACGGGCCTGTGTGGTCGCTGCACATGCGCGCCGACAAGAAGGGATTCGTGACGGGGTCGCAGGATAAGGACGTCAAGTTCTGGGATCTGGGGTTCATGGAGGACACGGAGTACTCGCGCGTGCAGAAACGCCCGACGATGGTGCACACCCGGACACTGAAGATGGCGGACGACGTGCTGTGTGTACGATACTCCCCCGACGGGCGGTTGCTGGCCATCTCGTTACTGGATTCCACTGTCAAGGTCCTGTACGCCGACACGCTCAAATTCTTCCTCTCGCTGTACGGCCACAAACTGCCCGTCCTGTCGATGGACATATCCTCCGACAGCACGCTGATCGTAACCGGCTCATCAGACAAAACGATCAAGATCTGGGGCCTCGATTTCGGCGACTGCCACAAATCCCTGCACGCGCACCAAGACTCCGTCATGAACGTGCGCTTCGTCTTTGGCACGCACTACCTCTTCTCCGTCGGCAAGGACCGCGCGGTCAAGTACTGGGACACGGACAGCTTTGAGCTGATCATGACGCTCGGCGGCACGGCCGGCGGCGGCGCGCAGCACCACGGGGAGGTGTGGGCGTTGGCGGTGGCTAAGTACGGCAATTTCGTCGTGACGGGCGCACATGACCGGTCTATCCGCGTGTGGGAGAAGACGGACGACCAGTTCATGCTTGAGGAGGAGCGCGAGAAGGAGATGGAGGAGATGTACGAGACTACCGCTGCCGACGCTGCAGATAAGTTCGACGCGCCGGTTGGATCCGGGATCGCTGCTGATGACCCCGACCATATGCGGCCCGACACCGGCGATAATGCCGACGAGGCCGCCGCGCCTGGCAAAGCCACTGCCGGTACCCTGAAAGCCGGTGAGCGGCTGATTGAGGCCCTGGATGTGTGGGAGGAGGAGCGGCGGAACCTGGACGCGTATGAGCGTGTCAAGGCGGGCAACCCGGATGCGGTGCCGCCGCCGCGCTCGCCGTTTATCGTCGCGCTGAATATCCCGGATATCACCCCTGAGGGGTATGTCCTGCATGTCGCGCAGAAGATCAGGGCGTCGGATCTAGATGAGGCGCTGCTTGTGTTGCCGTTTGCGAAGGTGGTGGCACTGTTGAAGAATATCGTTGCGTGGATCGATAGGGTACGTTCATTCTCCAGTTTCGAATCTGCCCCCCCTTTCACGATGCCCGAGATATTGATCCTTCCATCCCCAATCTCTTACCCAGGCCTGGAACCCCACCCTCACCTCCCGGATCCTCTTCCACCTCCTCCGCACGCATCACCACCAACTCGTCAGCACCGCCACCCTGCGGCCCACACTAACCACCATCCGCCGCACGCTACGCGCCCAGCTCGTCGCCCACCGCGAGAAGGTCGGGTTCAACCTCGCTGGGCTGCGGTACTGGCAGAATCAGCTGAGGGAACAGGCTGAGGTCAATGCGTTTGTGGGTGAGGATAGGTTTGAGGATGCCGCGAATGGGGAGAAGGAAGGGGAGGAGAAGGATGGGAAGGGGAAATCGAAGAGGAAACGGAGGAATGCGTAGGGATGGCCTTTTTGAATGGTTTAATTTCGTTCTCTATCATTATTTTATCACTTTGCATATCACACCCTTGTACATGATTCACTGCACGCAGTCCTAGAGAGATTTACCAAGGTTAGGTTAGGCTAGACTACAGGCCGTCAGAATAGTGTCCGACCTAGAGCTGAATATAAAGAAACCCGGACCTTCTCCAGAAGATGTCTGCGCTCACACGTATGGACCGCTACGTGTACGCAAAGAACAGCACGAGAAGCCCATGTAATTCTGCCATATGCGTGCAGAGAAGAGCTTCGCATCACGCAGATGAAGGAACCTTTGTGACGAGTAGGTGCCATTACAGTATTTCCTGCCTTGGTTCAGATGCATGGCCAAAGTCCGCGACGCGTAAAACTCGACGCGTTCTGGCTGGTGCTGTTTCTCTGCTTATCCTGTTACCTCACAGGATGTGCATGCAACCTCACGAAGAGCCGGACTGGTTTCCAAAGTCTGAATAGACCGCATCCCCCCGGTCGTAGGGATTGCGACCTCTACAAAGAACCGCCTCCGCGCCGACTCCAACTCATCGGCATTTCCCATAGCGCCAGAAACACCACCGTATGTCCGCAAGCCATTCATCGAACGAGGTATAACTGCCCTCAAGTTCAAAAGATAATACAGCGGGAAGCTAGATCACACCACTGATACCTCTGTCACAGCTGAAGATAACAAAGGTCACCGACAACTACTACGACGAGATCCTGGAACTGAGCGGGTCTGAACTGGACGAGTTCCCGACGCCGACGGAGGAGCGGTCGGTGGAAGTTACGGCCGAGGTGGAAGGAGGAGAATCTATGGGTGTGTCTTCATATGCGTGCATTATTGGAGGCTTACGTTGGGTATGGGCTGACCTTGCATCAGCGCCAGCAGGACGAGGCGACACGCCGCCCTCGGCGGGTCTGTCTGATTCAGACGAGGACTACGACGACGACAATCTCGAGGACGAGGATGACGACCAGCAGTTGCAGCAGCCACACACCCAGCTGCAGCAACAAAAGCAACGGTCTGGGATAAGCTTCAACGATGATGATGAAGACGATGAGGACGATGAGGACAACCCCATGCCGACACACCCACCTACGCGTCCCTCCGCCGCACCCGCGGGTCGGGGAACGCTGAGCAATGCGCCGATGTCGACGTCGTTGGGGTCGGGCGGGTTGCTGAACGATAATGATGACCGTGATTCGGATGGCAGTTTTGCAAGGATGGATGTGGGGCGGGATGGGGAGTTTGAGGATGACGGTGATGGTCATGAGGGGAGCGGGAAGAGGGGTGGGTTTGGGGGGCTGTTGAGGTAGGTGTGGTGTGGATTCGCAGTTCTGTATGTAAGGGTTATTCGCCTCACACTGCACATTTCAGGACGGGCGAGTCATCGTACAAAGACCTGTCGATGAGCGAGGAGCTTGCTGACCTGTTCCAGTACATTGGACGGTATAAGCCGACTGAGATGGAGCTCGAGACGGAGCTGAAGCCGTTTTACCCGGATTATGTGCCTGCGATTGGGGATATTGATGCGTTCATCAAGGTAAGCGACGGGGCTGTCCCTCCGCTACCATCCTACCCACACATCTAACTGACGAACGTGATTTCCACAGATCCCACGGCCCGACGGCCACCCCACTCCCCTCGGCCTCTCCGTCCTCGACGAGCCCAGCATCCCGCAATCCGATCCGACAGTCCTCGATCTGCAGCTCCGGTCCCTCAGCAAATCCACTACATCATCCCTCACACCGCTGACCGTACATTCCCTCCCGCACCACGACGTCGTGAACACGCCACGGCTCATCGACGGCTGGATCCGCAACATTAAAGAGTTGCATGCGGGGCGAGACGCGGCGGTTGCGGCGGCGGGCGGCGTGCCGGGGGGGGTGAAGTACTCGAAACGAATGCCTGATGTGGAGGAGTTGATGCAGGTGTGGCCGCCGGAGGTCGAGGAGGGGTTAGCTGAGGTATGGACTGTGTTCTGTTAGGCGTGGTCTTGGCGGATATGTAGGCTTTCTTGCTAACATCACATCATTGATCATACAGCTCACACTCCCGCCAGCAACCCTCGACCTCCCTCTCGCTACATACGCCCAGCTGCTTGCACTCATACTCGACATCCCCGTTGCGTCCCCAACGCCGATATCACAAGCCCAACAACAAGCAGCAAAGAAACAGCCATCGAAAACACAGACGATTGAGGCGCTGCATGTGATGTTCTCGCTCTATGCGGAGTTTAGCCATTCGGCGCACTTTAAGAATGTGGAGGTTGATGCGGGTGGTGGTGGTGCAAGTGTGGGTGGGACGGGGGGAATGGTTAAGTGAGGCGACGGGCGGTTATACCCCCTGCCTGTTCATACGTCCGCCCCCCCGTGATACGTACATATCAGACGATTTGATGAGAATGAAGGTTACTTGGCCCTCCCTTGGCCGTCCTGCCGAAAAAGTCTACAGAGTCTAGATCTACGCCTGCGTTTGTGTTGCAGCCGTCCGACGCCAGTGTGACGCGTCTTTTGGAGGTGTGACATTTCGCCCCAGATTTCGGCCGGCATTTTGCCCTCGCATTAGCACTCGCAAAACAGCTACAGTACATATCTACGCGGGAACCATCTAACGCTCGCTCTCTCTCTCTCTCTCCTTCCAATCTTCATCCAAAGCCATGCCCGAAAAGCGCAAAAAAACAGCCGACGCCGAGATCGCAGAAGCGGGCCACGCGCTCGAGAGCCTGCCCAAACGCGCTGCTACTAAACCGAAGGCCCTCGATACCAAAGCAAGCAGTGGCAAGACACCCGCTGCGAAGAAGAGTTCTAAGAGTCCAAAGAGTCCTACAAAGAGCCCAAAGAGTCCGAAGAGCCCAAAAAGTCCGAAGAGTCCTGCGAAGAAGGAGCGCCCTGCAAAGGCCAAACCCGAGGATGTCAAGGAGGAGGGAGAAACTTCAGCTGAGCACGGCAAGCGTCCGCGCTCTGGTGATGGAGGAAAGAAGGCTGCTGCTGTCAAGAAGGAGGGGAAGGAACCTCAGGAGGTCAAGCATGAGCCGGCTAGTGGCGAAGCCGACACGGCCACTAGTGTCAAGAAAGAGGAGAAATCCGACGCCAAGGAGGAGCAAGCTGGTGAACTGACATTAGGGAAAGGTACGTCCAGTCGCACGTTGTATGGCCTTTCCGCAATCCTTATCTCCAGACACAGGCACACTCGAAAAGGGTCAGATCTACTTCTTCTACCGCCCCAAAGTCGAGCTCACCGAAGCGCACTCCCTCGACGAAGTCCAGCGTTTCAAAATGATCCTCCTTCCAACCGGCGGGACCGCGCCCGGCACCAAAAATCGCATCGCGATCCTCAGTCGCAAGCGGCTGCCCAGCACGACGCACCGCGAGCGTTCGTGGGGATTCATCGAAAAAGCCGCGGACGATGTGCGGGACCTTGAGGAGCACCTGAAGAGCGAAACGTATGAGACAAAGACGAAGGGTACCAGGCATCTGGATGCGATGAGGCCGTGCGGGGAGGGGGTGTATTCGATTGTGGAGCATGGTAATCATACGCACTTGGCTTATGCGTTGGCTATGCCGGAAACACCTGGTAAGGTGTCCCTTTCTGTCGGATTCGCACTAGTCGCCACAACTTTTATTGACCGCTACCTGCGTCTAATGTATGCCAACAGGAGAGGTCCAGAAAACATTCAAAATTGAAAACCAGGGCTCATTCATCTTCTCCATCAAGGTCCGTGCGTGCCTCTTTTCCTACAGTTCAAAATTTTCGCATACTCACGCCCCTTTCCAGAACCCCACCAGCCCCTCACCCCCTTGGGCGGGCCTCAGTGCCAAATCCGCCGCGCAACTCCCCTCTTCCTACACCGCCCTCTTCCGCAACCGCCGTTTCCTCCCCGCCAACCCGCCCTCCTTCCTCGACCACGACCACACGGAGTTCCTCCTGATCGGCGCGGCGGAGAACGTGGCGGAGGAGCTGGGCGAGACGGGCCAGGAGCTGATGGACTATGAGGAGGGCGAGCATAAAGAGGTCGTGAGGTTGCAGGATGAGAAAGTGTTTAAGGAGCTGCAGTTGGAGAGGGGGGGTTTTAAGGCTGAGCCTTTGTTTGGGGAGTGGGCTTGAGGTGGGCGGTGGTCGCCCGGGGCGATATCGATATAGCGACCTCTTTTCCTTCCAGGCTTTTCCCGCGTGCCTTTGTGCGCTCGCCCCCTTGTGATTTACCTGCCGTTCAACGCACATGGCATGTTGACCAGAAAGCCCTTTTTTTGCTTGGGCGGGAGAGGCTGCATGCTGGATCTGTGGGCGGGCGGGAACGACAGGACTGGAAAGCGATATCGGAGTCGATGCGAGAAAAAGGGCGGCATGGGGGGTTGGATCGGAGGGGGGCCAATGGGCCACTGGCAAATGCGGCGAAGAACGAGGGAGACGCGCACACGCAGGCTGGAGGGGCATATCATATCAAAATGTGTACAGGGCAATCCACAAACTCTCCAGCTTCACCACCCAGTGGCACCCACCTTCCCGAACCGCCTTCACGGCACAATAAGCTTCCTTTGGGAGTACGATAAAGCAAGCCGCAAGTCTCGAACCGCTCGCTACTCTAGGTGTGGCTGTGTCTGGTGTGTTATCAAGAAAGCGGCCTGTTCTCAGACCCAAGATTGCGTGAAACTGTGGCAGTGTGTGAACTTGAACTTGGATAGATTTCGGATTTGCGACAAACGTGGAGAGTGAGAAACAGCAGTCAGCAAAGCGAGCCGCAGCGGCAACGGATTCGGTTGCCAGCATGAACGACCATTCCTTCTTCGACTCCCTGGGCACCCAAGATGTGTCCGCCGCAGCAACGCGATCCCCAGCACTTACCCCCCAACCCGACAAAACCGAGCTAATTCACGACGAGCACCACAAGCTCGAAGCCTCAGACCTTCTCGACGATGGCGGGAATAACGGCATTCGCGACTCTTCTGCGGCACCATTCCCTCTCCCGCTGTCGGAGCAGGGGACCGACCGTCCCTCGGGGAGTTTGGACTCGGTTGCGCCGGCGGAGGATGTGGCGTTGGGGAACGATGGGCAGTTTGGCGCGTCGAATGTGAACTTGAGCACGCCATTGGGAGCCAATGTTGGGGGAGGTGGTGGTGCACCCAACTGGCTGGATGCGAGTCCATTCAGGACGAACCCGTCGGTCCCCATATTGCAGCCAACTACGACCGGGGTACCCATTCCGTCGTCGCAAGGATTTGATGACGTGGCGGCCGCTACATCTGCAGTCACCCCGATGGGACTGAAATTGGGAGCTTATTCAACACCAGGTTCTTTGATCGATGTGCAGCCAATGGAACCGATGCTGACATCGGCGGCTCCTTCGCGGGCGTCCTCCACGGCACCTCCACCGCAATCGTATGTGGCAAATAACGGACCCATTCCTTTCATCACGCCTGGGAATGGACCGAGTGTATCTGCTGGCGGAGGCGTCATGGATAATGATTTCTTTGCGAGCGTGTCGTCCCCTGCACAGCAGCAGCAGCCGCAACAGGCGCCATTACAATTCCAGCAACCGACCATCTCGATACAAAAAACGGCAGACCCTTTTCGTCCACAGTATGGAGGACAGGGACAAGGAGGAGGGCAGTTGCAACAACAGGGTCCTCAGATTCTCACTACGTCTCCGTCAGGAAGCTCACCGTCTGCTGCCTCGATCGTCTCCCTCGATCGAACATCAATTGCTGGACAACCTGAGCCATCACTGGGATCACCTGTGAAGCCTTTACCTCCAACACCACCAACGCGAACCGAATCAGGACAGTATGCTGGAAGTCAATTACCAACAGGCAATCCAGCCAACTTCTTGCAGCGGCCTTCGTACATCAACACAACACGAGCATCGTTCTCCAAGGAGCCACTCCCGACCCCGCCTGTCCTTGAGCCTGCTCACGAGAACCTTCCCACAAGACGATGGACCGATCCCTTAGTTTTCTACGACATCCCTCCCCGTGACCCGGTCGGCGAGATCTTTCCCAAAGCCTTCCCACTGGAGGCGAATGTCCCACGGCCAGCTCGAAAGATTCTCCGCGCCGAAGATGTCGCAGGTGCCGCGGACCCGCTCCTCGCGCTTGTTCGTGGACATAGCTGGCGAGCGGTCGCTATTCATGTGCGCCAATTACTCATCCGTACGCATCCGGCTGATGTCCCGTCCATCATGCGGCTATGGTATATCAGGCTGGTGGCTCTCGTGCGACTGAAGCTGTACGAGTTTGCCAACAGCGAGCTGATGAAGATTTCGAATGGAGGTGATCTGGATAACCCTGCATTACGCTATGAGGCGTATCCGGATGTTTTCGGGGCGAATAAGTCTGGCCCTATGGTCACGTTTGAGCTACGGGCTTTCTGGGCGCGGCTGCCGAGCTTCAAGGGCAACCACCACGAAAGCATCAACCGCATGTACACGCTCCTATACACCTGCCGCACCATGATTCGGAACGCCAAAACGGAAGCATCGCCATCCCGGATATGGCACGCCCGTGCGGCACAGCTCCAGCTGCAGATTGCCAATCTCTTGCTGGATCTGAAGGATCACCGAGCGGCTACGGGGATATTACGCGCACTGGTCTCCTCGTACCCTACAGATGCACCTCTAGCCTGCGCATTGGGAAGACTGTACCTCCAACTAGGCAACACCCCCGCCGCCCGCGCCCTATTCGACCAACCCCGCTTCCGCTCCCAGCCCCCCAACTCTCCGCTCAACCTCCTCAACAAAGCCTTCTTGTACATCGCCGAAGGAGATTTCCAAGCCGCGTTGAGCCCCTTAACAGCTCTACTAGCTCACCACTCCGACCCATCCCTCTCATCCACCTCGCCACCGCAAAACGTGCCCTCGACAACCCACGCCCTGAACAACCTCGCCCTCGCACACCTCTACACGGGCAACGTCGTGCAAGCCGTATCGTTCCTCGACAGCACGGTGATTGAGCAGCCGGCGACAGCGGGCGTGTGTCCGCCCTTGCTGTTCAATCTGTCGTCGTTGTATGATCTGTGTGATGCGACGTTGGATAGGAAGCGGAGGTTGGTGGCGCATGTGGTGGCCAAGTATGCGGGGGATGATTTTGATACGAGTTGTTTGAAATTGTGAGGGGGAGGATTTTGGGGGTTATCGGTTGGGAATAAATTCGTCTGATACTGTCTTTTATGAGCGATCTTGTGCGTTCTGGTTTTGTCTTTGGAACCAGCACGACTGGGCTTTCCTATCGCTAGTTCCAACTCGGTTAGTCTGCCGGCAAATCTGGTGTCTGAGCTCGAGGTTGCAGTGGTTGTGCTTTGCGGTGCAGTCCAGGGTGCAGTCGAGCAGGGCTAAGGTCAAAGGAACCCTAACCCTAACCTTGAAAATGCCCGACGTCCTCTTTCTGACTTCGACTCTTCTGGACTTCTGACTTTACTATGCTGCCTGCAATCACAGCAGACATCCTGCCAGGCGCACAGCACTCAAGTTCCAAAGGCATCGCAAAGAACGGAAAATACCCGTACGGCATAGCGGAGACCCAGCTCTGTTCTTTTTTAGCACACGCCTGCTATCCTCTGTGAAACTCTAAATTGTGTCGGCAACAATGGCCTCAGAGACAGCAATCCCCGAACGCCCCGTCCCGTTGCTCGGGGTGGTTCCGGAAGGTACGCTGCTTGAGGCCCGCCGTTGGATTGGCCTGGCAATTGTCATGTGTTTCCAACACACTGAGCTTGAGGAGTACTTGGGGCAAAGTTTCTCAAACATCTTGCGAATATGTCACTGTGCGCCCCTCCACACAGGTCTGCCCCCGAAACAAACACTCCTAGGGTCCGACGATATCGCTGCGGCGTTCGGTCTCAAGAAACGTCTGCTCAAACGGTTCATTGAGCCATATCAGTTGCCTGAGGGACACCCCGACAGGCCGACGAAGGATTTTACGTGCCTTATCAAAGACCTGAAAGGTGGGAGGATGGAGAGCCACAGGGAAGAGCGTGCAGGATGGTCGTTAACGGAGGTGGTATGGATTTGCAGGGCTGTCCACTGCAAAAGGAAGCCATTTCATCCGCCGGCTGCTAACGCACGAACCGGCGAGGCCGCAGAAGATTGAGCGGATTGATCCGTTCTATATTAAGAATGCGTTGAATTTCAAGAAGGGGGTCTTGAAAGATGTGGGTTATGCCAGTCGACACTTTCCGCTCTTTGTATCGCAAACTGACAATGGGTTGATATTGCAGTATGATACTAGCGTATTTGGCGAGCTGGCACCACCGCCTCCAGCACCTCTAGTGACCGCGCCGAGTGTTCCGAAAATCACTCTCAAACTCGGTAAGAGTGATGAACACGTCCATTCCATCCTCACATCTATCCTCACTTGAACCGATATGCTCACACATCCCGCATTTCAAAGGCAGCCGCGCCTCAATATCAGCCCTACCAGACGACCACCACGCCCCCCGCCACGTAACAATCAAAGAACCCGAGCCCAAAGAAAAGATCTCCCCGACCAAACGACGTCATGAAGACGACGATGACGTGAAATCACCGCCCAAGAGGAGAAAAAGCAGTAAAGAGATGCCGCCTGCGAAGGGCGTGCCGTCTGGGTATCGACGACGGAGTATTGAGGAGGCGAGGGCGGTTGCGGCCGCGAAGTATAAGTCGAGTCAGCAGGTAGAGTTAGTCATGTGCAATCGAGAGAGGGACATTGCTGCCGCGGCCGGATGGTGTTGCAAAATGGCATGCTCATCATAACTTTCATACATCGTGATTTCCCCAGGAGCGAAAAACGAGAGAGGAAGAAGGAGAACGGCTTGAACCGCCACGAAAGAGAAAGGCCGACGAGGGAGAAAATCATGAACTGTCAAAGAAGAGACGAGTGGATGACTCGCATCACCAGGAATCCGCCAAGAAGCGGAAGAAGGTAAATACATTCTGAGCATCAGTAGAATCGTCGTATCTCACGCCAACTATATCCCATTCCCTCATTCCCATCAGCCGGCACCCCCACCTTCTCGCCGCCGTTCAGTCCTGGATGCATCCGACATTGATATCATAAACTGAGAAGAGTATCGCATATCTTCGAAACCTTTGCGCCCTACCACGGGTGCACAGTCAAAAACACCGAAAGAGAACTTTCGTGACATGAAAATAACGACACGCATCTGCACTCTTAGTTTCTGTAGTCTCCCCTTTTTGGCTAACCGTATTTTTTTGGGACTGTGCTTTTCAAGTGTATGTATATACCCGTTTTCAACATTTTTGGGGATTGAATTCTATGTAACAACAAAGCAGGAACGAAACTTGAGCGTATTAGCATCCAATGTGTTGAGAAAACACGCTTGTTGCTGTCTATACGTGTGTGGGTGGCTATGTACAGGTCTACGACAATATCAGGGATGTGGAATTACGCTGATGGTGGTGAAGGGAAAGTGCCGTGGGCAAGACGCAGCGCTCATTCCGAAGGGGGATCTTCCTCCTCGAGTGCGAGAATCATCTCGATTGCTTCCGAATAGCCTGGTATTGATTGGCCCACTGCTTGTCCGCCATCGTCGCCGGCTCTCTCCGTACCTATCAGCACATAGTTCAGCAAGATGATCCGAGGGGGCAGCTGCGAGATTGTTGCTTACAGACGCGGGAGTAGTAATCATCCACCCAGCCCAAGATCGAGTCCGTTTCGCCTTCGCCATCAGAGTCTTTGATTAGGCTATCACCTGAGCCGTTTGATCTCCTTAGTCTCGTCGTGGGTGCTGTTCCGTCATCCGTGTCGCTGTGGTCTACATAAAGACCAGCATCAGAATTCGAACGTTCCTCTCTGCTGTGCGACACTCCCACCAACCTAGTAATATCCGTTTCCGTTTAGCTGGCGCGACCAGAGCTTTCCCCCGGCCTAGACTCCCGTCGTACCGCTCCTCATACGATCGTTGTTCCCGCGCAAGCTCTCCATCCGACTCTGGATCTATATACTCGGATCGCAGGTATCCCTTATTTTGTGACAGCAGGAAATCCGAGCCGGACGAAGAGCAGCCCTGGCTTGTGTCGTTATTCGAAAGGTATCCATGTTCCATTTCTGGTGACGGTATGGATTCTGCTACCAAGACTTCTCTCGTATCGTGATCGTCCTGGACCGCTGCCATATCCTGAGCTATCCGTATATTTTGCTGGGGCAGCTTTGAAAGATCATCCGAGGAGAAGCTCCGTGGGAATCTAGCTGAGTTGAGAAGCCTGCAAAGAATCACCGCAGGATGTCAACTCTCACAGACAAGCATTCCACCGCACCTGCCTTCGCTTGCCTTCAAAAACCAAGGCTACACGGAGACGCAGCGGCAACGACCAACATCCTCAGGGCGGCACCATATCGTCGTCTTACTTGAAGACTTGGCAAACGCGTGGGCAAGCAACCAACTCGGACCAACTTCTTTCGGACTTTTCGGACTTCTGGATTCAACATCGGAACTTTTCACATCTCAGCTCAGCTCCATCCCATCACCGAGGCCCTTGACGTATGCAGGCTACTACCATGCTGAGCAATACTAAGGTGAGGGATGTGCTCCTAACGTATCGATTTCCGTTCGTCACATCTTACTCGTCAGGTTTACAGCCGCCAGCAGAGCTCCTGAAAAAGATCAAGGTCCAGACAGGGGTCGTTCGCAGGTATTGGGTAGGCTCGGCGGCGATCATATAAGCCTCCAGGAATCCCTCACACGTCGTCATTGAATGCAGGATCAGCAAAGATCTCAGCTACTATGATGAAGAAGCGATAACACAACAAAAGCGAATTGACAAACTTATCGCAGACGGAGCGGACGAGCATGATATTCGAAAGCAGAAGGAAGTGTTGGAAGAGACACATGTGATGATGCCCGATGGGAAGAAGAGGCTGGCGAGAGCGCAGGAGGAGTTGCAAGAACTTTTGGACAAATACCTTGTAAAGGAAGGAGGTGTCCTGTCACCAGCCGTAATTGGTTGCTTATTGTCCAATCTCTCCACAGGGTGCGGTAGATCATGAAGCTGCGACTTCGGAGGAAGTGCTCGCTGCAAAGTCGCTCCTGCAGACTCTACAGACAATCATTGTATGATGATGTTACTTGGAAGATTCAGGTCTTCCCACGAATGCAATTTCATTGTATATATTTGCGAGGTTTTACGGGCTAAGCGCCCAGTTTTTCGAATGCGACCAACAATATCACAAAGTCTGATGGTTCTGTATTTCTCCCCGCTGCAACTTGGGGTCGAGTAGTCGAACAGAGGGCCATAGCGCTTATGGCAGTACATACTGTATGTATGCCACCGCATATCAGCGGAATATGCCCTAACGACCTTCGGCCTCCCACGTGATGCGCACTTCATGCGGACAACCGAATGCATGAAAGGACGCCCGAAAATTGCCAGTGTCCCACTACTTTTCGGTCGACGAGCGACCTGCTTCCCTACCTTTGACGATTTATCTCTGGAAAGAGCGCTTGATTACACCAGAATGGATTTGAATGCCGCCCGCTCTATCCCTACACTGTCTGACTACTCCTAACTATATACGATAGGTGATGCCAGAATCTAAGCAGTGAAGGCATTGGAAGCGGGGGGCCGAGGTTTGTTGGAAGGACCAGCGTCGACCGCCTGCGCCTTGGTTGTTCTTGAAGCCGACGATGGCCTTATAGATTCAAAAAATGACCTCTTGCCATCCGGAGGGCTGTCATTCACCGGCGTGTTCGATCGGGTGCTTTTTTTGCTCCTGGAGCTTTGCAGCAGTGTTTTCGGCTGAAATCCGCCCGGCGCGGTCCCATGCATGTCCCATCTCGCGAGGTCTTTGATGACATGTTCCACGTACAGCAGGATTACTACGTAGAGTTGGATTGCGCTAAGATGTTGAGATTCGGTCAATAAGGGCCGAACAATCGAAGGACGAAAGTAACAGGGGGCTCACAATTGTATCACACCAGTACGTGGGAAGGTTAAACTGGTAGTGCCGACTGTTTCCATGACTATTGGGTGAATTGTGAAGTAAGGAAACGCAATGAGATGACAATCTAAACGGACGGCCTGACATACCTGTGCAGAAGATCACGATGATGATGCAACTCCCAAAGACCAAAAAGAGACTGTATTTCTGCATTGTCAACCAATCTTGACTCGCGTCCAGCCGATCCTGGGACACCACGCCCGATTTCGTAGCCCCAAAGAGTTTCGTTTTCACCTTCATTACCACCTTCGTGACGGCCCCGACCACACCAGTGATGATAACGGCCAGGACAAACCCCCACATCGCCGAAATAAGATCAACGATCTCCTCCCACCCATCCGGCCTCGTCACCAGAAGAATCAAAGTGCCCGCAAATGCGATCGCGAAAACCGCGGTTGTGAAAATAACGACGCCCGTGTTCCAGCGCCGGTTAAGACCCAGCGTGGCCGACAGGACGTCGAAGAAGCGGCGAATGGAAAGAAACCGGACAAAGAAGGACACCAGGAAAAGCAGACTGTTGAAGGCGTAGATGACGATGCGCTGCGTCTGACTCACTTCGGCAATAATGCGGAACGCCTCGCGGGAAACGGCGACGTTGTAAGCGACAAGAAGAACATGAGCTGCAAGGTGCAATTTCTCCTCCAGCGGCCTTTCGCGAAATGGTTTGCTGGATGATTATGGCCACGGAATTAGCGCCTTCCTCTTCCGTGGCTGCTCGGTCGGGCAGTTTATATTACCTCTTGTCGGAACGGAGACTTCGATTGACGGATGTCCATAAACATCCTAACGCCAAGAAGCTGGCCAAGCAGGATGGGATCAGCGAGACTAGCACGTCGCCCAGCGGTGGGGTGTCATTGAATGGCGGCGGGCTCATACTTGTGGTTGTAAAGTAGTATTCGCCAGCGCAGGGTGGTTTTTGTTCGAAGCCGGCAATCCAAATGCTGCAGGTTACGGTAAGTGCTGTGAAGATTCCAGTACGATTATATCCATGAACCCTATACGACTTTATCTGATACCGAACACAAGCCTACGGTGTTGAACTCTCTCTACGGTGTGTACGGTGTCTATCTACGGTGCCCACTGCCTAGGGTGTCAGCCCCAAATTAGAAGGTTTCGGGAAGAGCGTACAGCACTGTGGTGTTTTTCTTACGTAATGCGTTGCTTCATTCGGACGTCGGAACCAAAGCCACAAAAGTCTCGCCGGTTTCGGACATGCACCAATATGCAAAGTAGGAGGACTTCTTGCGGGCTTCTTCACGCGGTATCATCACGGGAGTCACACTTTCTATGTTGGAACAGCCATATTCAGGGACGCAGTCGAAGGAACAATGAGCCAATAATGATATGAGAATTCAGTCCGTAAGTCACCCAACCCCTCAGTAGTGGTCTTTCATTCACCCCGAGAACCTAGCTGACTGTAGTCCGAACAGCGTTCCGCCATGGCTCCGACGACGTCACACCTCCCTATGGCTGCTCCGTCCTCCCTCCCTCCCAAGGTCGCTGGTCAAGTAACCTTCTATTTGCATGTTGCGTTCTCTCAACTGTCATGGACGTACTCTGCCGCACCTGCAGGCGGAAAAGGTCCGGCCTCTGTTCTCCTATTGTGGTGGGGGGAAGAAGGGGCGGGAACTCTCTTCACCCCTTCGATAACTGGCGCAGTGGAGCAACCTACGGCCCAGACTTCTACGAAACCCCGACCGACGGCTGCATCACTTCTTCCGGTGCCACTGCGACGAGCATCCACCTGGTCGAGCGCCCCAACGAGTGAATTCCCCGCCGGGAAAGGCTTAGGAAAACCTGGGACATCCATCAACATCCCCGGCACGCAGAAAATCACGCGCCGCCAGTATCCGATAAGATGCCGCAAATCCCAGCTCGACGCGTACTTCAGAGACATGGGGCCACTTACCCTTCAGGTGCTGGTGAACTCCACCGTTTGTGGTGAGGTTACGGTTGATAATCTGCGGAAACTGACGGCGGAACCATCCGACAGCATAAGTGGACTTTATCCGATCCTTGAGGCGGTACCAGCGAACGGAAGGAGCAGCATCCGGGGCAAAAGCGGAAAGCGGAAGAAATTGGGCGAGGTGCACATATCGATGCACTTGAAACCACCAGGGACTGGTATATTAGGTGCAGTTCCACCAGGGAAAGCGTCAAAGCCAAAGATGAAGAATGTGGCGGAGATATCCGATCCAAAAGCAGGGAAGAATGACGCGTTGGGAAGTCCGGTTGGAGCTGGAATTGCGCGTGCGGATCCTCGGACGGGGAGACAGCCGGAGGAAAAGCGTCAGAAACAGTCAGAGGTCACGGAAAGTAGGCCGATTCCTGCGTCGCCTCGGGCGCCGGAAAGCGAGCACCGCAGGCACACGAATAAGAACGCCGAGGAAGCGTCCACTACTGCGAGCCATGCTTCCCATTCCGCCTCTGCCAGTGAAGGCGGAGCCGACGCCTCGGATCTTGCCGCCAGAGACAAAGCAGGCGAGCAGCCGTCGTATGTTGGAGCATCGGAGTCGGAGCAGAACGAGCAATCCTGTAGTGCTGGTTACGACACAAAGGAAGACATTGACGTACACTTGGCTGCTACCATGCGTGAGATCCAAGAGCTGGCAGGAGACTTTCAGGCGTCTCGCGATCTCGGGAACCTGTCCAGCTCTCCAGAGTCAAACTCAGATATCTTGGGAGATGATATTCTCATCGAAGCGCTGAACTCGGAAGCGGGCAAGACTCTCATCGGCCAGGGCAAAGTACGCCATCCATCTGGGTATGACAACTATGTTGCTTCGGATGACGGCAGCGAGGACGAGAGGACGGATGGAGGCCGGGATGGAGATGATGATGAAGATGATGATGGTGCACAGTCATACGAAGATCGCGACGACTTGAGCATCGACGAGCGGAAGCGAAGAGCCATTCTTCCTCGCTATCCAACAAGAGCGCAAGTAGACACAGAAGCGAAACCCGGTAATCGCAAATTGTCAATGGAGCGACTCACCTCGCTTGGCCGAGTAACCTCCATCTGCATAACTGCTCATAATCTCGAGCTGCAACCAGAAAGCGTTCCGCATTCCGCCACAGGATTGTTCTTGGACATCACTATCCCATGGGGACCGGGCAGAGGGACTGAGCGGATCACCATGCCCTCTAAGAGCCTTCCGCGTCTCACTGCGTCACGCAATGCCAGTCGCCGCCCTGTCGGAGCTCCGCCGGAAAACTCCAAATGGATCGCTGCTTTTGAGCGGGAGCAGGTGTTCCCCTGCACCTTCGACGCGTCTCTGGTCAAGTCGTGGGTGGGGAACGATATCGAGTTTCAAATTACCGCTAACCAGATCCCGGTATCCAAACTCGGTTCGCGGACCACCCTAGCTGCGCGACAAAGAACAGCAGCGCAGCCTTCGTGGTCGATAGGGGGCACGTTACCCTGTAGGAATGTGCTCTTCAATGAGGGGCTCATATTGAAAGGGAAAGTACCGCTGTCGTCCAAACGAGGAGGCCCACGAAACGCCGAGAGACAAAGCAACATTGGGGAACTACATGTCACCGTTGAGTTGCAATACGCAGCCCCCAGCTCAGTCACGGAGCAATCATCTACCCACCCATGGACAGCGCCACCATTGAACGCTCCCACAGAGGAAAGGAAAGCGAAAGCGTCGGATTTGCGTTCCGGCACAGAACCCTTCCGCGCCCCACCCGTTCCGCATTATCTGTATCTGAACATCTCCACCGCTCGAGCTTTGTCAATCATGCCAACGCTCAATGCCAGCACAGTACAACTCTTCCTCATCGTGCGGTTTTTCTCCTCGTCTAGCCCACCGATCGAAACCGCCCCTATCTCCTACAAGCCACCGTTCGATCTACAAACCGGGAAACTGAACCCTCCTTCGGAGTTTGGCTTTCACTACACAGTTCCGTTGGCGATCACGGAACAATTTGTCAGAACGCACAGCGAGACACCTCTGATCGCGGAGGTATGGATGGTGGATGCAGAAAGTGCCGTTACGGCTCCCACGCTGCCTACCACCAAGGAAAGGGGCAATAGCACGCTAGTTGATCGGGGCGCAAAACTGCTGGGACTGGTCAAACTACCGTTCTCGCAAGTACTCAAAACGCTCGTTGAGGCGTATAGATACCCAGCTGCAAGCTACGAGGAGCTTCCTGTTATGGTGCCGAACGCCGAGTATGCCATTCTGGACCCTTTTTCTGGCAATGCGAAGGGATGGGTGACTGCTTCTCTCGCTCTGGGGACCTGGGGTCAGGTTAAGAAGATTAGGCCACCGGACCACAAGCCGGCGGAGGCGGACCGCGAGACTGAACGTGGCAAATCCGCTGAGGCTTCGGGCAGAGATGAAAAGACAAAGCGGCGTCATGTGAATCGCCATCATGAAGGAGATCAGGCCGTGGGGAGCAGGAAGGCACCTCGGGAACGGCGGAAATCCAAGGAAGGTGGATCGGACTGCCAGATGCTGATCACCATACACCGAGCATGTGGATTACGAGGCTTGATTAGCGCGCTACTGCGGCACCGCACGAACACGCACCAATCAAGCTCAGAACGCGATCAGTACACGCCTTTACATTTCGCAGAGGAAGTCGGCGTGAATGCCTTTGTTCGGCTGCAAATGTTTTCGCAGAGAATATCACATGTTCGCCAATCCTCGATTTCGAGCGAGACAGCCCAAGAAGACTTCACTGAAGACGACGTCTGTGTGGAAACGCCGATCATTGCGCATACATATACCCCAGACTGGGAGTTCTCGGCCGAATTGACTGTCAGGGGTCTCGACGATGACCTGATCAGATGGATGCGGCAAGGAGGCGAGGCCAGGGGGGAGATCTGGCACAAAGTACCACGCGACGAGGGCGATGCAACATTCAGCGAGGACGTCCTTCTGGGGACCTTTGGCGTGCCATTGCGAGAGTGTTTGTTGAAATCCCACGGAGTCGACAAGGCTTGGTTGACTGTTGTAGGGCATGACGATGCGGAGGCGGCGATCAGGGTTTCCGCGCGATTTGCGCCGGGATTTGATCTGCCGCTGGGACTGGGGCAAGGATATATTCTGAGAGCGGGGGAGCATTGGTGGTGCCAAATGCAAATCACCGCTAGACGAGTCAAGGTGGCTACGCAGAGACCCAAGGCGGCCGGGACACATCTCACGAACCCATCTCCTTTCGCTGTCGAGGATATGCACATCTACGTCAGATGGCATCGTGTACGCCAACCCGTCAGTGATGTAGATGTCAGCGAAGAGTTCACAACAGAATCGTCGAGGCCAGTTCCAGCACGGCGAAGCTATGGAGATCAAACGCTGGTCGCCGATTTGGACTACTCTTTCGAAGAGGAGTTCGAAATCACGTCCTCTGTGTACAAAGCGATGGCCGAAGAAAGACTTGCGTTCGAGATTATGCAACGCGGATCAGAGGGGAAGGATGACACTCTCCTCGGAACGGCTTATGTAGATCTTTCGGAGTTATACGGGAGGATGCGAATAACACACTCCAAAGGCAAAGGGTCTCCCTCCAGACGTCAGCACCAAAAGTCGTCGATCATCGATGGAACCTTTCAAGTGATACACCCGAGTGTACCGGATCTGTTGGGGTCATCGATCGAGTTGCGTATCGGTCTTACTCGTAGCGAAGAGCCTCTGAAAGGAACGAATGCGAAACCCGACGTAGAAGCATCAGAAGAGCTGCAGACAAAGGACTTGCCAGTCCGAACGATACCAACTGTAACGATACCAATTGTCCCAACCCTACCGCCTGAGATTTCTGTGCCACCCATACCCATCGACGTCATTGTCGAAAAAGCAATGCAGCTTCCGCTCATGGCGGACCCAGTATGCACATACCTTCCGTCGCCGTTTGTTCCGCAGGATCAGCAGCAGTTGGCACCACCAAATACATTCGTCACCTTCAATTGGGCTGGAACACCCGATACAGATGTGAGAACACCGGTCGTTCCAGCGCAGCGCTCTCCAACTTGGAACTTCACTGCGACAGTTGCTCAGGAAAGAACTGAGGCCGCGTTACGGCAACTCAAGGCAGAGAAATCCATTACGTTCCAGGTGTGGCATGCTCCTAGTTATGGCATTGGACGCAAGCCGGCCCCAGATCTGATTGCAACCAACGTGGTATCCGACGACCAGCGGACAGAGCTGCTTGGATCGGCCGTGGTGGAATTGGGCGGTCTGTTTGGCGGATTCAAGGAGATACATGGCTGGTATCATGTGCTGGACGATCGAAAGTTGTCGAAGGGTCAACTCCTCATCCGTGTGCGGCCAGCCGAGAACGTGGCGGCCATCTTGCGGGAAATGACAGGCGCACTGGAGTATAAAGGCCACGGGTCGAAAGGATCATCCTGTGGTCGCCGAACGTTGGAGGATGCATGCGCAGACATGCCAGCGGTCGCCATCGCTGTGCCTTCCAACAGGCGCGAGGAAACGCTATCGAGCAGTATCCAGTCATTAGTGACGGCTACATCCACAAGCAAAATGGCCTTGCAGGCCGGACAAATTTTCGACACCTGGGTATGGACGGGAAGCAAATGGGCGCATCGACAGCTGGATGTACGTACAGTGGAAGACGAAACAAGCACGTTTCCTGCAGGCAAGCTGGATGCTGTGATATGGACACCAAACGATGCAGAACAAGAGAATCCGGGTTCCCAAAACTTCCGGGGTACCGCTACATTAGGAGGCCCAGAGGAAGGACTTGATACACGACCAAGTCCTGAAAAGACGACAACAGGCACCGGTTTGCGGTCTAGGACAGGAGTACGGACGCCACCGCCAGCAATTGCGAGCAATGGAGCTGGTCTCCCCTCGCCCAGAGCAACAACTTCCCATGATCGTCCAGCGTCCCTAATACTGACCGCAAGAACCGCACCGGTGTCAAACAAGGCTATTGAGGATTCGCCCTCGAGTTCTCCGCTATCTAGTGACGGCCTGTATCAAAGGGAGGAGCCTGACGATTCCAAACGTGGCCACTCAAACGATCGGCCTACAATCTTCGGCGCTTCACCGTCACAGTCGGAAGCCAGGGAAGGTACATGTCTTGCGGATGATGATGAAGCAGGCGAGTTGCGAGTGAGTCACCTGCGATCTCCAAACGAGCAGGGACCCATCCGCCATGAGTCAACAGCTGTTGAGAAAACTTCCCGTTCAACTGTTATATCGAAAACGGCGTCACTTTCTGCCCAGCATGCTGAGGTCTCGCAGACAAACACCGACGATGTCCAGGCTGGCATCGCGGAGAAGCCTGATGCTCACCTGCACATGGAGCATTTTCACTTAGGTGCCTCCTTGCCAGAAGCGGGCGTCCTTCAAAACAAAGCTATTGAGCAGATCAACGATGAAGAATTGAGCCCTGAGGCCCGGAAAGGAACAATTGCACCCGTCACACAGATGACGAACGGCGGGGAGTCATGTTCTATCGATCCTTCGCGTTTGGCAGGAATGGACCTGCATGATCACGTAGGTGACTTTCGTGTTCGATAGCGACAGGCTGCTGCTAATTACCATTGCCTAGGTTTCGTTGGAAAGTCATCTGGATACGAAACTGAACGATACGACAGAGGGTGTGGAAAAGCGGAATGTGCGAGGTGGGACCTCCCCCCACAGGTTCCATTCGGACCTGAAACAGCCTGTTCGAAGGCGAAACGCGAACGAAGGTTTCGAGAATGATGAGACAACGACTAGTATTGGTGGCAACACCAGCCGCGTGGCTGAAAGCCTCCTAACTCCGTCGTCATCTGTGTCCGCCGAGGACAGCGACCTCGATGGGATGTCGTCCGACGCCTCTTCCTCTACAAGCGTTCACGGTAGATCGAGATACCGCACGGATCTGCGAACCGCTAAAAACGAGGAGAATCGTGGCATTTTGCCGAATGACCTCAATGACGCAACCAGCGACGACGAAATTTACAGTATTCTTGCCAACAGGCGCATGGCAGCCGCGGCATTAGTTGCGGAATCCACGCGAAGGCTTGCCGAAAAGTCCGAACGAACTGCTGCCGCCCCATTCTCCTATCGAAACAGGCGCCAGCCACGGCACCCATCTTCCGCATCAGAAATGAAACACTATGACCCATTCGGCAACCGGAATGAGGGTAGTCGTATAGCATGGAAAATGGCCGTCGACTCGTCAGATACAGACGCCGAAAACACCTTATCAAGGGGAAAGAAAATGCAGACACGACATCATGCGCCCTCACCAATACCAGATTTTGGGGAGGTAATGGCTAGAAGTCGAATCACGAGCTTCACGAAAGAGCGTCAGGAGCGAATCGAGCAGATCTTCAAGTATGACGTGCAGGACGAAACGAACGTTACGGGTGAATAACAAGGATAACGAGCAGCTGCCCGTCCAAGACTTCCATCGCTGTGTCGCTTCTCCGCCACGTCTCCTTGGGCGGCCAAGGATGGGCGCTCTTGCGGGACACGCCTATATCCGCATTTTTCGGGAGCACGCGCCTGTACATGCGTTGAACAAGATCCATATCATTTTCGCCATACTCTACCCTGTCATCTACTTAATTAGACGAAGCAGTCTATCTATCAATAGAACGTGTGTAATCCTGCCCAATCGGGCCCTTCATCTGCACCACGACGAATCCCGCCTTTGTTGTTCGGATCCGTCTTGAAGGCATTAGCTATGTTGCCTACGACTGATGGGCTCTTTGACATCCTCGTTGCCACAATAGATGGCCTTTGATAAGGAACATAGTCGGTGTCGCCGTTCGGAATACCAGAAACATTACTCTCCGACCGAGGCATCCCGGCATTTGAGTAGGCATTAGGATCGTTCGTCATAGGTCCCGCAACATATGACGGCGACTGACTCGTACTGAATGAACTTCCGGGCGGCGCGGCGAAGTTAATGTCATCCCCGGCTGCATAACTCCCTGCAACCGCTTGCTGACTTATGAAGTCCTTTACCGACGGTTTTCTGGCCGAAGAAAAACCGGCGAGTGGTTGTGTTGAGCTTACAGAAGGAGACCGACTTCTGTTACCCACCGTTCCGCGGCCATCTCCCATCATGTTACCGGCGAACATCGACAACGCCGGACCTGTGGCCAAAGTCGGTGATGTCGGACCTCCCCTTGAGAAAGCGGCAAGGGATTGTCCTCCTTGCGCAGATGGGGAACGATTGAGACCAGGAGATCCGGTCTGGAAACCAGGCGGGCGAGAGAACGTCGAAAGCGGACGCGCTTTCCGCGCACCATCTTGCGGCATCTGTTGTGGCGGCTCTTGATGTTGGGGTTGAGGGTGTCCTTCTTGAGGGAAGAACCTCGCTAAACTGCTCTGAGGTTGCACAGAAGTAGGACGCTGGGAGCTGGGATTGGCGGCGTGGGGCTGTACGCCAATTCCTCCTGCAGGATTGTGTGATTGACTCGCGAGCACCTCAATTGGCGGCGCTGACGGCTGCTGATTTGGCGGGATATACGATCTGCGATTGTCATTTTGAGGCCGAGCGCTTTGCTCAGATTGTGTGCCGTAAAGCTGTCGCTCGTCGGAACTATATGCCGGGTTTGGCCCCATTGTCTGCGGATTCACGTTGGGAACAAGGCCTGCCGCCCCATTGGGTATCAACGACTGTCTATTCGTTTGCGTAGGCAAGGTAGAGCCTTGTGGTCCAACATATTGGGCGCCCTGAGGGTATTGCTGAGCGCCGTCAGTGGGCAGCATTTGTTGCGCGCTGTTGGCAGTTGCAGCGAAGCTTGCCGTTAGTGGTTTTCCGGCAGACGTGAAAGATTGTTGTGCTGTAATAATGTTTCAGCTGGGCGTTCATCCGTATGTACATCTGCACCAAACCTTCCGACTAGCGAACTTACATTGCAACGAAGGTACTCCCGAGGTGGGAGGGCTCGATACAGATGCTTGCCTTGCTTTCGCTGCAGCGGCTTCGTCATGCACTTCCTTCAGCGCGATGTATTTTGCTCTCAACGCCAGATTCTGCACCATTTGCGCCTGAGGTGAAAAGAGTTTCCTTTTCATCTCCTTTCCAGTTTGTTTATGCTTCCACCGAAGGATAATGCGATCGGGTGTACGTTTTACTACCAAGTCCTCCCATTGTTCCGCAAAGGCGTAGCCCTGTGTGCGGGGATGTCAGTATCATGAACATGTACAGGATCCTTTTGCTTGGACGTACATTCTTGTCAAGGTCCATCACGACCAGTCCAGAGCTAGAAACTCCGACCAACCACCTTTGCAGCCGAAATTCGAAGAATCCAGCCGGTGGGCGATCTCCGCAGCAAGGGAAGAAAGAACAACCATAACAAGCCCATTCCCGAACGAGTTCCAAATACCTGCATGACGGATGAGAGTGTGTCGATACTGCAAAGAACTCGTGAAGCGCTCTTACAGTATTCGGATGCTCTCAGTCGATCGACCCACATGTTTTTGATGTTCTGTTGAGAGACATACTTCCCATTCCTCCGGCTTCAGGTCATCATAAAATCTCCGCGGGACCAAGGTTTGCCAGTGATCATGTTTCCTGCCAATCAAAGAATTTGAGATGACGGAAATCCTTTCATAACAGCTTGTGGCCTACATTATATATCCAGGTGAATGTCGGACTTTGTCATAGGCTCCCGTGGAAATGGCGAGCATCATTCCGCCCAAAGCGACGGCATCTGACAAGGTGCAAACATATCTGCCAGTCATGACATTTCTTCTCGCCTGGAACACCAATAATTATTTCCATAGCACATCACAAGAGACTTATGAGGTCCGGCCCACATCATACCTCGCCGTATAGGAGTCTGACAGTCGAAGGATCTGTGTATTTTCGCTCTTGCGATCTCGTGACGGTCGCCTCACGTCGAAACACGAACCAATGTCGATTGATCGGATGACCTGGATCTATTGCCTCCGGATAATGTGTGTAATCGAGAACCCTACGGTCGCCATAGTATTAGAGGAGCTCGCACCGCGCTCAGGCAAGATTACCCGAGCCCCACATGGTGTTCCACTTATCCATGATGGAGAATATATCGAGGTCCGGACGGACCTGGAGCTCTGCTCGGAGTTTAGTTTTGATTATCACCGGGACCGTTGCTACTGTCAGAACACCGACCTAAGTCCTTAGCAATGATCCACAAGGCAAACAGCTTCCGAGCTTCACGAGGCAACCCTTCCTTTTCGCTTATTATAGCGCATATTCGTGAACCCAAGAGCGGGCCGGCGTTGAACTTGGCATTGAAATCATGCTCCGAGTCTCCGTTTAGAATGCGTATCCTGATTGTTACAAATTCAGACCCATCGTCCGGTTTGATATGCCGTTGTAGGGGCGGTTGCCATGCCGCCTCTCGGGCTGCTTCCGGACCTTTCGAGATCGCGGCCTGTGCTGGCGCTCTTCGAGTCAATGCTTGTTCGTGGAGAAGAGGATTGGACGAAGAAAGCCTATCGTCTTTTTTCTTGCCGAACTTCATCTTGTATAATCCTTCAGGCTGCGCTGTGATATGATGTTTTGTATGCCGCGATTCTGAGAGCGTCAGAATCAAAGCACATTAATGCACGCTTTTCGAGCAAAACGGGGAAGGTAGGCAGAGCATATATTTATGAGTGTTCTTCTTACCGTTTGGCTTTGCTTCGAATAGACTTTTCCACAAACTTGTGTTCAAACACAATTGTGCGCTTTACACTTTTTGGCGCTCCCAATTTAGTTCCTCCTTTTCGAGACTCAATATAGAAATAGAGGGTCCCTCAAAGCGACAGCACACACGCGCTGTCAAATTTCATTTGTTTGCTTACCCATAGCTCCGACTTTTGCTATTCCCGAGTGCTCCTACGTGCACCTTCAGACTGGCACCAGGAATGCCAAGTCACGTATCACTGCATGCCAACAGAGTTAACCCTAAGTTACTTTATGACTGCGAGATCTATGCTGCTGTGTATGAAATATCAGCAAGCCCTGGTCACTTCCATTACTTCCTTTCTCATTCTGTCCTACATTTCCTGTCCTTAAACGCAGAAAGTTTCCTACTACAGCCTGTTTGAAATATGGGTAACTCCACTTCAGCAGTTGCAGATCCGAATGCGCCCTACTATGGACATAGGGTGAAGCACCGAGAGGCCGCATCCGCTCCGCATCTCCATAAAATCGGTGCGAATCACGATGCTCGGGATGCCTCTTCCGAAATCCCAAATAAGAACAGAGGGGCTGAAGTAAAACATCTGAAGACCAATGGACACCGAATCCTGGAAAGCCGTGAAGTGGAAAGTGCAACGACGACTCCTCATCACTCAGAACAACCGCCGTTGCCACCACAACGTTACTCTTCTGATAGGAACAAGTTGCTGGGTTCGGCATTTGACCTGGACGTCGAAAAGGGTTGCAGCGCCCCGGTTTCACCGCAGGACCGGGGAATCAGGAGGGAGAGTTGGAGAGGAACCATGGCCAACGTCGTCGATGGATTGTTCTCTGCTGCAGGAACTATGGTCAAAGACACAGTCGATATCTGGGGAGATAATCGCCCATCGGCGCACCCAGTGCAGGACACAATGCCAGGCGCATTTGACAGAGCAGAGAATGGCAAGTGCTACGGGCAGCAACCGGCCTGAGACTAAGAAATAATCCGCGGGGCTGGCAAATAACACTGTTTGTGCGTATCTAGGTTCAGTCTTACCATCGCTGATGGACCATCAACAACACAGTCAGAAGCGTCTCCCTAGTGGAGAGGACGCTAGGAGGGATGTAGGGATTTCAACCGATGACGTGACGTCCAAGCTTGGCAGGGTTAGCCTAGTGCAGCCAACCCTACCGCCCATCCCAAACTACTCTCTCGAAATCGACTCAACGTCATGGAGTCAAGGCTACCGGTATCCAAAGCAGGCTGGGCCGTCAATATCCCCCCCAAATGGCCAATCTGGCCCTTGGTCAGCTGTTCCTCTTACCTCACAGCACAATGCATCTCAAGCATTTGCGCCAGGCGCTGTGTCTCACTTGCGGCCGATCCCCCCCATGCCAACTATCCACACGAAGCCGCGTGGAGCGCAACATGTCAGCGGGTTACCGAATGTTGAAAGCGTGCGCAACTTTGAGGAACCACAATCCGCAATACCTCATTCGCCACCAAAGGATGTTGGAGATGGCGTTATACCCCGGAGGACGTATGGCTGGCATGATGAGAAGGAATCCCCCAGCGCTGCAATAATATCGGACGCGCGCACTACGGGATCTGAAGTCGATCGACCACCCGTTCCACCCAAGCCGCTCACGATAACCAAGGCATCAGTCGGGGCACCAAAACTGAGCCGTATAACCAAGTACAATTCTTGTTCGTCACTGTTTGTCGAGTCCACAATTACCAATGCGCAGCTCAATGAAACATTGAGATGGTATGGTTACCTGCATAACTTCATCCTCCATCGGGATATTATGGAAGCTCATAACTCCGTACAGTATTGCCGGCGCTTTGGTGAAGCACATGAAGCAGAAACACCAAGGAAGGACGAATGAGTCGCCAGAGATCTTTTCTGAAGAGCATCGCCCGCTATCCGTAAGTCACTCCGGAATCATAATCTTCATCAGAATGAAATCGGGCTGATGTGTTCCATCCGGGAAGCAGAATCATATTCAGTTCCATCGTAAAATACCAGAAGATGATGATGTGTATAAGTTTTTGGAGTGCCTCTTCAACGCTGCAGAACTGACGGCCGAAGTTGGGATCATTACTCTGGTAATAAACGGCTATAGGATGCCCTCTCATATCCACTTCTAGTTGTCACGTCTAATGCTCCTGAGCATTGCAGATTTACGTGGAGAGAATGCTGAACAACATGAACCTTCGCATGACGGCACAGAATTGGACCCGCATAATACTTGGTGGTCTAGTTCTCGCAAGCAAAGTTTGGGATGACCACGCTGTGTGGAACATCGACTTTGTGCAGATCTTTCCTGATGTGGATGTTGCGGATATGTACGTCCAGTGCCATTGAGCGTGCGTCCGGGAACAGCGTAGTGACATTTGTCGAATGCTTAGGAATGAGCTTGAGCGCTACTATCTTGTCGCATTGGAGTTTAACATCAACGTGAAGCCATCAACTTATGCCCGATACTACTTCGAGCTTCGAGAAGTTGTCGCCATGGAAAAGCGGTGGCCATCGCGACCCCTAAACGTTGATACCCTGGCGGAGAAACTAGAGGTTGGCGCACTCTTGAGTTGTTTGTGTTGGAGGATATACTGAAGTCACGGTTGCGAATCTTCTCTCGAACAGCCCCGTCCAAACCGGACACAACAAGTTCAAGAGATGGAACTTGTAAGTCCCGGGACGACGCTTCCTGCTTCCCGAGACCTTCCCACATCAAAAAGTTACTCGTCCAAACAATCAAGCGTCGGTAGCTCGTTTTCGACGTCAGCATTAGGCGTATCACATGGATTGGCCGAAAGCACGAAGGCTACGACAATCAATTCGACAACAACATCACCTGGGAGCCTCCCAGCACTCCCAGGCCCCCATAGGACTTCCTCTCCAAGCAACAGCAAAGACAACTCCGAGCATAGGGCATTAAAAGCGGCAGACAAACTACCAACTGCGCACGTCCTTGGCTCAACGAATTCCACCAATGCATCAGCAGCAGCAGCATCAGCGCTTGCTTCAAATCTCGACAGCTACCTCGCTACACACGACGGAGCGAGCAGGCATCCGAATTCGACAACAGCTTCCGCGGTGGAACAAATCAAGAGCAAAGGGAGGAAGGAGAGATTAAATACGTTGCGAAAAAGCAGATCGGATCATTTCTTCAACCCGACAAAACCACCAGCTATGGTGCTATGATGGCGCCATGATGCACATTCCTGTATCTCGTTTTCTCACTTCGTACGCCATCTTATTTCTTGTAATTTGATTTTACCTTATCGTCGCGCAACAAACCAACAAATCTGCTACGGTAGGCTCCGGTGGGTTGGGGAACACAAGGGCCCGTCCCGCCGTTGACGGCTGTCAAAAATGCGGGGAAACCCCGTCAAAAAGCAGTAACCATGACGGCCTCTTAAGATTCGCAAAGGTTCCAACAGGCCCGACGCGAAACACCCGATTGATGTATCTATCACTTTCTAGAGAACCATCCCTTCTTCTTCTCCTTCTCCTTTTCCTTCTCCATCTTCTCCAAACTCTCGCTACTGCTATTTCCGGCAGATCTGCCGTCGGAATATCTCCTACCGCCGTTGTAATCTCTGCCATTGGTGTCATCATACCCGCGCCCTCCTCCTCTGCCACTGTCCCTTCCAATCGGAGCGTGTCCGACGCCTGATTCGCCAGACCGCGGCCGATCGGACATTGTCACAGCAGCTAGCCGTGCTTCAATGCTGCCCACGCGATTCGAGACCGCTCCTGCACTTGGTCGCCTGTGTTGTTCCGCTTCTGGAGGCGTATATCGCGCGGGTGGGTCTACCCGATGATACACGTCGGGCGGCGGACCTCGCCTTGGTGGTTGATCTTCATTGTACCGCAACGGCTGCTGCTCTTCGCGGTAACGTGAAGTTGATTGTGCATGGCCGTATCGTGAGGGAGGCTCGTCCTGCGCATGCCGAGATGGTCGAACCTGAGACGGGCTCCCTGGCGCGGACCGATTTAGAGGTGCGGGTGCCGGACGAGGGCCGGTGGGTTGGTTTCCTGCTGATGTTCGCCTCGGACGTTGAGTTGGACCATGACGATGCAGATCTTTCAGATCTTCCAGGAAGTCCTTCGGCGTTATCAAATGCGTCGAACCTGCCAGAAAGGAAGAGACTCAGCCCTTATCCGGTAGGACCTTCGATGAAACAGCCTTACCTATGATGATTTCACGATGGTGCGTCTTGATTAGATCATAACACACTTTCATTTCCCCTGGCGTGACCCCGCCTAGGACGAAAACGATCATTCTTGGGCCATTGGCTCTCAAGACCTCCGTCGCTAGAGGCTGAAAGCCCGTCGTTCCGGATCCGGCACCTGCCGAACCAGAACCAACATTTGCTGATACAACTGCACGGCGTGTTGCCCACGACGCCTTTGCTCGCATGGGTGCAGGAGATGCTGTGCCACTCGATGGGCCGGAAGTTGCCCACGTTGCGGGCCTGCCGCTGTTTTCGGTGGGTGGTGGCTCCCTGACCCAAGGAAAGACGTTGCCGTCCGCAAGGTTCTTGATGATATCTTCCACAATGTAGCGAAGCACCGGGGTATACCTGGTGTTGTCAAATTTATGCTCCTTTCCTCGATCTCTCAGCCCATATGCGTATTGACCACGATTGTCCGCCTTCCTTCCCATCAGACTGGTACTAAGTTTCACGCCTAACATGCTGAGATTGTGCACTGCCTGTGCCTCCTCAACAGACAGCCTAGCAGATTCCAAGAGCTTTTGTCGATCGCTTTCTGAAAGCCCATTTTGTATGACAACGTAAAGCATGACCAATCTGATCTTGTCCTCGTGCCTGGATTTGATGCGAGATTACGAAACGTCTCTTGAGGCGTGGTATGTTTTAGATCGTACCTCACTGCCGGATCATCCAAAATCATCAAGATATCTCGCAGTACCAAGCGCGCGGATTTCCCCCCGGACGTCTCCCCGACAGCTAGATCTTGTTCGATCTCGGCCACCCTTTCTAGTCGGTTCTTGTTATATACCTGCATAGCTTGGTGGCACATGCTCGTATGACCGGAGTACTGTCAAGTGAAATTGTTGGAAACCTTCTCCATGGACGACATTCCACTGGGCTCCCCTACCTTGGCCTTCATTTCTTGGTACTGCGGAAGGTGTGCCATTGTCTCCTTCAATTTCTCGATGGCGCCGAGGCTACCGGAACTACATACATGTCGATCAACATCAACGATTCGCCGGGACGCCAACCAGTGGGCCTGCATACCTTGCATTGCCCTGATCAAGCGCAAACGCGGCCGCCTTGTTTTCCGAAGTGAACTTGTTCACCGACTCTGCCAAAAACTCCATGACCTCGGCAATGTGCCAATGCCGGGCTTGACTCTGTGTAATGAATAGGATGAGCATTGATGTGTCGTTGACTCAACTTTCCACACACATACCCAAACAAGGTCGTTCTCATCGAGCTTTACTTCATCCCCATCTGGTGGTTGAAACTTATTTCCTTCGATGTTCAGCAGGTCCATTACCATGCTCTGGTACGTGAATTGGTGTAGAAGTGGGGAAACAAGATCTGCTGCTCGATCAACAATGAGCAAGATGGTCCGGGCGTAATTTGACGGGGGCGGGAAGTTGCGATCTCGCCGCGCAAGATTATCTAAATCAGCCTGCACAAGATTGGCGAACTTTCCGGCAGGTGATTCGGTTGCGCCCGGTGTCGGGTCATAATAGCGAATGTACGGATAGTCACCGAGCGAGGCCAATACGGATGCCAAACGCTTGGCTGTGCGGTCCAATTCGTAGTTTTGCAAAGACGGACTTTGCGGGTTAAAAGCGGTCTTGAGGGCATTTGGAACGTCCACGGTGAACACATGAGTTTCGTGCGCAGAGAAATCTACATTCAGCTCTTTGAAAGCGCTGATAAAAGGGGACACCGGAGAGCGTTTGATCTTGTCGAAAAGAGGATCCGGTAAAGCTGCAATCCATCAACGGGATGAGACGTTGCACCGCGATCAAGGGAAGCGAACCGCCGGAGACGCTAAACTTACGTGCTGTACTATATATGTGCACGCGGGCATATGGTGGTTTTTGAGTAGCAAAGTCGTCGACGATTCTTTGGACAGATGCCGGATCCGGGGCAATGAAGTATATGACGTCTCGATCGGGAAAAGGCTGCCTCCGCTTTGCCAGGCCTTCAACGGCTTAGAAACCAATTTGGGGTAATGGCCGCAGGTGAGATTATTATCAAACGACGGTGTGAAAAGCCAGGAGCCACCGAACACACCCATCACATTTCCGTCCGTCAAGTCACTCTGCTTCACTGCCGTGTTCAGGATACGTAACGCCTCCTCGTCTACCACCAAGACTTTCCATTTTCCTGGTGGGTTGACTGCTTTTATCATGTCATCCAGAATCTCTTATCGCAACGAAGTAGACAAACGGTAAGTCAAGACACTAGGTTGAACAGAAAGCGCCGGGGCACATACTCCTTCGTAGTAGATCTTTGATAGCCATTGTGGTGAGGTCTTAGGGGACGAACGGCCTATTCGGCAGTGAAAAGTCCTTCGGACACACCGTCTTGGTATAACCTGGCCAAGTAGTTACGAAAAGACGGCGCCTCTCTGCAGGTCGGAGTGACGACGGAGGATGAGGAGCGGATGGTAAGGGGTGCTTTTAATGACGGTTGATGGCATGGAGGGAGTTGGAGGAGTTGGTTTCAGCTAAACTGCGTTCAAACGCGCTTCGGAACATCTTGCCGCCGGCCTCAAAGCAGCCTCAAAGCCTGAGTTGTTCGTCCTGACTCCTGCGGGACTGGATAGACGATAGCGCCATGAATTCAGTGCCATGATTCGAAGACAATGATAACTGATAACGTACTATGTACAGTGCATGATGGAATGAAAGTGGGTGCAAATAAATAGTTACTACGCAAAAAAATCTACGTCCTTCTAGCGCTTCCTAGACTTTTTCCCAGGTGCATGCGATGCTTTTGGCCCCTGACTCTGACTTCTCTTCCTCTTGTTACCGCCGCCCATCTTGCCCCGTCTTGGCCGCGACCCCGCATCATCCTCCCCTCCGACATCATCTTCATCAAGCCCATCATTGGCTTCCAGCAACTTCTCGAACTCTTCCGCACTCGCAAACGCTCCCAACCCACTGCCCAGCCCCGACTTCCCTTTCGAGCCGAAGAAGTCGCCCTTGTAGCCTAGAGCTTCCGCCTTCACGGCAAGCTTAGACGGCTTTTTCTTTTTGGCCTTGTCCTTCGACTTGGCCGATTGGCCTTCATCTTCGGAGGCGGAGATGTCTTGATCTTCGTCGCCTGTCACCCACTCCGAGAAGTTCTCAAACATTGGTCCGTCAACCTCCATCTCAACATCGCTGTTCTCGGCTTCGTCATCCGTCACATCTGCAGGAGTTGCCACGTCAGCGCCGTCGTCTTCTGAGTTCTGGTCGGTTTCCGTCTGCCAATCGTCACCGCTTGCTTCATCATTGCTGGCCGCCGCCCAATCAGCCATGTCTCCCCCGTCATCCTCGTCACCGGCGCCCAACCCGTCCATTTTGCGGAAGACGTCTTCGATGTTTACATCTTCATTTTCGTCATCGTCGTCTGTTGAGGCGTCGCCGGTGGCATCGTCAAACATCTCAAAATCATCCTCATCGCCGCTGTCTTCGTCATCATCGAGTTCGGATCCCTCCATCTCTTCGCTGAAGCCGACGGACTTTTGCATAGCCTTCCAAACTTCATCCTCGTCAAGTTCTTCGCCATCTTCCCCTTCATCATCCTCTTCGTCGTCGACCTCCCTATCGCCAAAGGCGTCTGAAGCGTCCAGAAGCTCATCTGGAATCTTTTTGCTTTTCTTGTCTTTATTTGAGCCCGTGACGACTTGCTTCTGCTTGAAGAACTCGTAAAAGAAGGCCTGAGAGAGACAAAGCAATCAGTATTGAATCGAGAATGTCCATGAGGAATACGAATCTTACCTCGTCAACGGGTACCCCTTCTCCATTGCTTTGCACCCAAGCTTTTGCTCGTAAATGCACAGGTCCGTCATCCAATGCAACCGTTCCAACGTCGTCGTTCTGCACGAGGACCCCACGCTTCCTGGCAGCACTGATGATCCGATCTTCGTCCTTAGGACCGTCATTCAAACCAGCTACACGAGGCTGCATAAGACTAGATCCCTTATATGCAGACTCAACCTTTTTTGGGTTTTTGAAAACGAAGCGGTCTAGGAACCGCTGCAGAGTGTGGTTCTGGAGTGGGTCGTAATTCTTCGTATTCGCTGGAGGTACGATTGGTTGACCAGAGAGAAGCGTAGACGCGTAGAGAGCGACAGTCGGATGAAAATGGGTGGCGAACTGGCAAAGCTCCCAGAGGCAAGACGATTCCGCCCCGGCAAACAAGGGATCACGTTTACGACCGTCGTATGGCGTCACCTGTTTCCGCGAGTCCATGGCCGTACGCTCCTGCGCGCTCGGAACCTCAGCTTCCTTCTCAGAGAGAGTGGTGAACTCAGGCTCGTCCGCATCAACGAATTTCTCAACGTCGCCCTCCGCGTCCTCCTCCGGCATGTTTATCATTGTCCACAATCCAGGTCTCGCTTTCCCAACCTCGCCAATCAAAAAGAGTGTAGCGCAAACGAAAGGGACGTTTGCAATCGCGCATATTTGAATCATGCGCTTCACAAATGCCTTGACACGGTGTTCGGAGGTGTCAGCCTTCAAAGCTTTGAAGACTAGATTGAGGTACATGGCCTGCTTCGAAGCGATGTACAAGCGCGGGTCCAGCAGGGTACCGTATAATGTGCGGTAAAACCGGTCGGAAAGGGACTGTCGTCCAGATTGAACTTGGAAAATGAGGGAAAGGGATTGAATGGATGTGTTGAATGTGCCAATGTGAGTGATCCGGAAGAGAGTGGCCATGTGCGAGTCGAAGACATCGTCTTGGATCTCGGCAAATGGGAAGGCTCGATTGATTCCGGTCAAAAGAGCGGCCATCATTTTTGCGTCGATGCCATCCACCTCCCCTACGGGCGCTGTACTCTCGACTGCCTCCTGAGGTTGGTCCTTCCCGGTCTTCCGTGCCTGACCCTTCTGGCCTTTGCCAGCATTCCCCTTCCCTTTCTTGCCGTCGCGCCACCTATCTTTCTTCTTTGTCTTTGCCTCCTTCTCGGCGTCAGATTCCGCTTTCCTTTTGCCGAGACTGTCGAAAACCGCAAAGTATACGTCGATAAGTCGGTTAGCAGCGGCAACATCCTGTTCCTTATGACTGAATACAATTTGGTTCAAGAAGGTGATAGCGTAATACCGAGCTCTATCACTGATGTTTGAACGGAAAAGAAGACGCTCGACTTCCTTTATGACGACAAGCTTCATGACGGGATGCTGGAGCAAAAGCTTGGAGAGCAAATGCCCGGACTTGGAGGCGAGCTTGCGCTCCTGATCGCCGAGCTTGTTGACTAGGAGAGACAGCAGATTCTGCTCTTGCTCGGGTTTCGCTGCCAGAAGATCGAAGATGTACTGAATCATCTTGTTCTTGACGTGTAATAATGGGTCTCGTCCCAGCTCTTCCAGTAACTTGATGAAATCGAAGTATATCTTCTTCAAGCCATCCTCAAAATACCATGCAATCAAATGCACAGGCTTCACCGACTTTGAGTCTAAAGGCTGATCTCGGAAATATTTGAGCTTCCGATCCGGTAGAACGCTACCCAGAAGCAAGTCCTTCACACTGTCGATGGCCATGACAGCCTCCCTCCTCGCTTTCTTTCTCGCCATGCCATTCACGAGCTGATCACGCAAATGTCCGAGGGTATGAAGAGGTGATTCCTGCACCAAAAGCGTCAAAGCAGAAACTTTGTCCGTCACTGTTCCGGATTTCAACACGGTCCCGATGAACTCTTTGTCAGCGGACGACATCGACTTGGATTTCTCGAATTTCTCTACTTCTTGCTGATATAATACTTCGGCGCGATGGTACTGAGCGAGGATGAATGTTTCGTCGACCGTTGCAGCTTTTGCTGGCGACGTGGCTTCGATGGGAGGTAAAGCCACGGTAAACCATTTGCTTACAGGATCAAAGGCCTGGACAAAAAGGTGAATATCACTTTACTGACTGGAGACACCCATGCTACATGCCACTGACTACATACCAGCTTCCGGCTCAGTTTATCGTCTATCGTCTGACCCTTGAGTAGTTGCGATACCATATCGCGGACCTGACTGGCGTCTTCTTTGCCATACTTTGTGGCAGCGATTGTGTCCTCCTCCTCCAGGCTATCGCTCTCCTGCACACCAAAGGCAGCCCCATTGGCTGCGGTGCTAGATTTGTCCAGCGTATCATCATCGTCCTCGTCTTCGGCCTCCTCCTCGTCCTCCCCTTCATCTCTGTCAGAGTCTTTTACATCCTCCTTCCCTTCCTCATCGGCCTCCTCGTCATCCTCGACTTCGATGATTTTACTCCGCTTTGGATCAAGCTTCAAATCCACCTTCATGAAAGCCTGTAAGTCCGCCAAGAGCGCAATCTCATCAACATCCAGCTTTTCTTTCTCCAATGCGGCAGGATTTGCTTTCGATGACGATGGAGCGCCCTCGTCTTCAGCCTCCGATCCACTCAGTGCGTCGTGGATAAGATCCAAATCGCCCTCATTTCCTCCCATAGATAATATCTCACGGAGGAGAACATTTCGTGACCTGGCTGCGCTACGGCTGCCCGCTTTACCAACCGGTGCCGTTGGCGGCCTTCCCTTGTGACCATTGTTGACTTGGCGCCCTTTCTGCTGGCTCTTCCCATGTCCTTTTTCGTCTGGACGTCTTTTAAAAGACTCATTCGCCCCGAATTTCTTGGTGGCAGCTGCCGAGGGCTTTGATATACCCGTTTCCCTCGACTTTCCTTGTGTGGATGGTGCCATGTCGGGTACTATCTTTTCGGACTGAGCTTTTGGATCGGCCTTGGGAGCTTTGGGAGGCTGGCCCGTCTTCTCTCGTCGTCGGTCTGCTGCACTCTCCGGACGGTCAAAATGTCAACACCAAAAATACTGTAGCACGTGACAGTGCATGACTTGACCCGTTCAAATATACTCCTGTCTTTTTGTGCCTTCCGCTTGTTGTGTCGGAGGGTGGCGATTGTTTGATGTCTGTGATTATTGAGCTGATTGTTGCGCTGTTTTCAATTGGGCTTTTGTTTCTCATTGTGCCCCCCGCGGTCTCCAGGAGTCCAACTGCCCCGAGTTCACATATGGGAAAAGACCTCTGCCAGAGGGCCCCGTAACCCAGCGGCGCCGCGCAACGAACGACCTATCCCAGCGCCTAACCGAGGACTGCATACTGGGCGGTGCTCGGGTTCCCGACCGGGACCGGGCTTAAGTTTCAGTTTCGGCACCGGTTGCTGTCATTCCGCATGCTCCTGAAAGATTCGCCCACCGACTCGGTGCCCCTTCGCGATGCAACCAGCTTTATTGCAGTACAACGTCCTCGCCGGGAAGACGTGCTGGTCTGAAAGAACACTAGCGGGTCGGGGAGAGCACATTCTCCCAACGAGACGACGACGAGCCCGCATTTCGATTGACTCGATCGGCCCACGAAACCTCACTCGCAAATCTACTCAAAGCGAACCTGCCGAACCGTCACCGTGCCGGCAAACACAGTGCTGCCTCCCACAATGAACTCCGTCGCCTCTGTCGCTTTGCAGACCCTTCAACAGCTTGCCCCTCGAGACGATGTACGCCACACCAACATCAATAATGTGACCCAGTCTAATATGCCCCTCTTTCTCAACGGCCAGACCGTCGTTCCTCTGCCTAGGGTCCACGACCTGATGCTGCGTAGCGCCGCTTTGTCCCTTGGATGTGTGAATCTCGTGGTATGGTGTTTGTGTTTCAAAAACAAGGTGAGAGACTTCTTTGAATCGGTGATCCTTGTTCCCACAACGATTGACATGGTTGCTATTGCATTCGCCAGAGGACTGCCGTGAGTTGGGGTATAGCTTGTTTCGTGGTCACTCAATTTATCGGGGTACTGCTGAACGTCTTGCCGAAGACCGGCCTTTGTGAACCAAGCGCTATTGTCACGGTGGTTTTCGGCGTGGGATGTCTTTTGACCTCTGCGGAAACCTTCAACTGGGTACGGGACTGTTGCCGGACCGCAGTTGCCCTGCATGATGGAGAGCTAACACTCATTCTTCGTAAGGTGCTCTATCTGCGATTTTCCATCGTTAGCCCGTTCAATCGGCGGCTCCGCGTAGGAACTTTAGCGTGGCTGACCTTGGAGTCCGCCGCTGTCATCGCCAATTATGCGTTTTGGATTAGCGAGGCGAAAACTGCGAATGGGGATACGACTAGGGCCGCGGATGTCTACTATGGGTTGAGCATTGTGCAAGCTTGTACCGCACTCTATTTGTCCGCATGTAAGTCAAGAACAAAGCCGATATCTTGATAGCAGATGCCCCTTGCTCACCCTCACTCGTCCAGATTTCGTTTGGACTTATTATCTACCGCGACTGAGACTGACCAGGCGTAGCTCAAGCGCCGTCAAGGTTTTTGTGAGAACTGGAATCATGTACCTCTGCCTCGAAACGACACTGCACTGCTCCTACACAGTGACCTCTCGCGTGGTCCCTACCATCCGCACCGGTCTCACAGCGTTGCTGACCAGCGTCCGCCACGGCATTTTCCTTCTATTTGTCCTGACACTTCGAAAGGAAATCAGCCGGAAGCCGTCTGCCAATGCCTCACCGTACCGCGCGAAAAAGACGGGGAGCTCTTTCGCCAGCAACAAGAAATCTTCGGACTCACACTCGGAGATTTTATCCGACAGCGGGCCCAAGCCCTATTCTGCTTCTACGATGTCGGTTAGTCAGTCATTCTTCCTCGCCTCCAAATTTGGCCTGCACCCGGTGCCCGTCAACGGTGGAGGTGGTTTGCTTGCGCCGGGAAGGATGGAACACGCGCACCCAGCGGGCACCTTCGACGAATGGACGATTCAGAGCGAGGCAGATGACGATGACGATAGTGATGTGGAAACTGGGGACCCGGCGACTGATCTGGAAAGCCGCCGACTGCCTCGACGTCCGCTAACTGCGCTTACTCCTAGTCCTCTTCGAAGGCACATGGGATAAGGCGATATCTTATTCGCATGAACTGTAAAAGCATTTGTGTGCCTTTTTTTCCTGCTGAGGGCGGTAGGATGTCGCGGTCGGGAATTGCCAGCCTATTTCGACGGAAATTGAGCGGTGTTTATCGCAGAATAGCTTCGTGACTAGCACATTTTGATGTATATACAACGGCACGTGTGGACTCGCCCAAATAGACATGAGTAGATACTTTCTACAGGTTTCAGTGTTGCTGGGCATTCAGGCTCATGCTACTTTACTGTCGGGCCCTTCCTTAACTTTAGGATCCGAGCGAATGTGAATGCGAAGTCCTTGATGTGATAAGCACTTGGAAAGGTCAGTTGAATCAGCCATGCCGGGAAACTCTTTGGGGTGATAAACCGTGAAGACATCGGACAGCACTACGTGCTTCCTGGGCGGATTTGGGAGGAAGGCACTGTAACAGAAGCGACAATCAACAAAACGTTTGGCGATCTCAAAAACCAGACCATCCTTACTTTCTGACGTCAAAGACCATGAACCGCAATCGATATCGTCCCGCGACTCGAACGCTGACGTCGGGAAACACAAAGAACATCCCCTTCTGACCCCCGCAGTCGTTCAGGATGTGACATGGAGACACCAGGGTGCCTATGAGCACCTGCATATGTGTCTGGTTCAGCTTGGCGACTCGAAGTGACGGGAATGATTTACTCTCGGGCGTCGGGCGGCTCTCCTGAGGCCCGGCGCCATCTAGCCGCGGTCCATCGGACATCGAGTCGTGCCTCGATATCCGTTCGGCATTTGATGAGGTGTTCGAAGCAAGGGTATGTGGTACGCCGGAGTGAATATGTGGTCGGTCATTTGGATGCGACAGATGACGTATGGAGCCCTGTGGTAGGGAAGCAGTGTCGGGAGCCATTGCACCGGACTCGGACGGTGGAACGGCAAATGGGTTGACGACCATGTCGCGTTCATATTGACCGCACTCTGATACTAAAGAAACATGCGCAACCAGATTTGCAGCCGTGATGTGCCTGTTATGAGGAGGAGCAGTTAGCAACTGTATACGCCATAACGCATGTGACCCAAATACTTACATTACTAGTGGAAGCTCGCTTTTGTCCTGCAGTTCGAGTTCCAGAATGGGCGGAGGATCTAGAAGACGTGTGATATTAGTGGCGCTACACTAACGCAGTTCGAGTCTGCATGCACCGTACCTATAGGACGCCGGTCTTTCTCCCCAAATCCGATCATCCTAGCGCGTTTAGGATGTTGGCGGATCACAACACGGCTCGTCCGCAACAGCTCTTCACAAGCGTCTCTTGGTGCTTCGAAAGGCCGAATAAACGCATTGGCAAAGCGAGTGTTCAACTTGTGCCGCTTTCGTCCGGGGGTCTTCTTGACCTTCGCCGGACCACCTGCTCCGTTCTGTGGAGACTTTTCGGAGGAACCAAATACTTCCGATGATGAACACTTAGCGGGTACATCCGCGGACATGTCCGCTTCACTGGTCTGATGTGAGGGTCCTCTCCTGTCGTCATCATCGCCTGAGGACTGCGAAGATTTTGCGAACCCATTACGTTCGCCTTCCGCTCGAGCCATTGGGATGCTCGATTGGTTGGGGACACTGCCGCTGCCACGACTCGACCCGGAAGAGGCCGAAGAGTCCCTTTGGAGCTTCGATGTTGCGGAGTGCGATGGGGCTTGGTATTGAGTAGAGCCTCCCGGTTCTCGTGACGACTTTTCATCCTCATCCCGTTCCTGGGATTCATTTGGAGAGGAGCCATCATTGCTGCCGTTACTCATGCTGCTGCCGGACCCATCGTTCTGCCATTGTTCCCGAAGAGAAGCCTTCTCGTTATCTGATGTTCTCAGTTTAGAGTTTCGGTGGCCGCTACGAGAAGGAGCGTCGGCTGCTGGAGGAGTGTCCGCTTCCGGAGAACGGGACATTCGACGCTGTGATAGTGATTTAGGACGAGCCGCTACCGACTGCGAGTTTGTCGAATGAGAATATTCGTGGGGCTGGAACTGTGATGCATGGTCATCATCAGAGCGATAGCTTGGTGGATGATTGCAATAATGATTGTTGGTGCTACAGAATGCTGAAGAGTGCATCGGCGCAGCTGAGTGCGGGGAAGTTGCTTCATAGAATGCCGAAGAGGCATTCCCAGATTGCGTGAATGGGTCATAAGGACGATTTGTCGGCATATGATGTTGCGTTGGCGGAGGAAGTTGCATATTGTGAACTCGTCTGTCGTTCGGGTAAGGCGGGATGGGAATCGTCCGCCTGGGTATGTGATATGGAAATTGTTGAGTGCCCTGCGGCGAGCGCCATTGAGGCGAGGGTAACCGCCGGTCGTGCTGATCTTCCGGGTTTGAGGCCATAGCTCACAAGTCCGCAAGCGGGATCTACTAGAGCTGTATGGATGGCACAAGCTACCAGTCCCTTCGCACCGACCGCGGCCCCAGAATAGCACCTCTCAAAAGCTCAGGGCGGCCGCTTTGCGGGATCGGCGCAGTTCGCAGCTTCCCAGAGTTTGTCGCTTCAGAAACAGCGTGTGGGAGGAATAATGAGAGGCACAAGCGAGACGCTGGTATGTAGATCGCTGTTATGGGATCCTGGGATAATATACAGCACTTTGCAAGGATCGACAATGGCAGCTCTCGAGGCGAAACTTCCCAAACGTTGCGTTGCGGATCGGTTTTGCGGCGAGCGACGGTGTTTCCTTGAGCAGACTTCTGTTGACAAAGGCCGATCGCGTGGAAGGATTATCGATTTGCAACGACGAGCGCTGCGTTACGAGCGAAAGCGTTTGTTGTGGGTAAGCGGTACGTGAATAGGATGATATAGATGTATAAAGTGTCCTCTGTGCGGTGAGAAGGACAAGGAGGAGGAAGCACGAAGCCGATCTCAGGAAGCCGATCCGGAGGCCAGAGGTGGTTTTCTTTGCCGACGGCGGCGCTCAATGCTCTACATATGAAGCTTGGCTTCCTTCCTTTGCACCAAGTGTTTGGGGCACCCACCCCCACCCCCAGCCAACACATATCCATATCGATCTATCGTCCCACACAGCTGGGACATCCAGTGCAATGTGCTGTTTGAATCCTTGACTCCAGAGTTTGCATTGCACACGAAATCCAGGCATTGACAGTGCCAGAGGATGACAGGATGATGAACTGCATCGCCGATTCGTATAGGAAATCGCCGATGCGCTTTGATGAAGCCGAGTCGCGCCCTGGTTCCGGGCGTCTGGGCCCCACCATCTTGAAGCGTGCAGACAGTCGCAGACCAGGGCTCGGGCTCATTGTGAGGCTGTGTGTCACGCCGCCCGGATCGACAAGGCGATCGGACATGGAGAGAAGCACAATACGTAAAGTTCGACAGTCCTTTTGACTGTCCGGCGCCGACTTCAACCCAAAGGGAGTTGACAAGCCAAGTAACTCTATCTAATAGTCTGGTACTGCACCTCTTTCTATAGACAACATTGTAAAGACGACCATCATATACGATCTGACCATCGTCGGCTACTTCCGATCTCGCGCACAATAGGTTGTGAGCCCTGCTTGCGAAGCCGAAGAGAGATAGGTTCAGGATCGTATGAAGATAAGTAGTAGTGGAACGATCACCACAACACACCAGTTTAGCCCGCACTCTGGAGCACCATGGCTGTAGAACGAAGCCCGTACGGCACCCGATCTCGCACCGCAGAAGCCACTGCTGGAGCCAGAACCAAAGCTACAGCAGACCACACTGCAGAAGCGCACTCGGCGCTCAGAGCTGTAGAGGAATAGCAGGAGATCAGAGGCCGGAAGGGACACCCGGAGGGAGCCGGAGGGAGGATGGGGCATTGAAGAAAGGCTTTTCAAGCTGGAACAACAACTACACATGATGAATGAACAACTGCACGAACAAAAGAAGCTCATGGAAGACCAAAGAAGGGTATTGGAAGTCATCATGAAGATGCAAGCTGCCCAGCTTCAAACCACAGAAGAAAAGGAAGCGGAAGGGATCCTGGAGAAGGAAGTCGTCGTACCGAGCTGGACGGTATCGCCCATGCCCAGTACCGCCAGTGAAGCAAACGTTTCGTTCAATACGAACCAGCTGTTGAAGGAGATCCCTAAATACGACGGCAATGTGGGAAAACCGCAGGTACTTTACGAATTTATTTGTAAGGTCGAAGACTACCTCAGTACCGAAGATCTACCTCCCAACCTCTAGATCAAAGTCGTCACCAGCAAGTTCACCTCAACCGCAGACATCTGGTGGAGGACAATGACTTCGGGAAAGAAACACAGCAAGATCCCCGCTACCTGGGAAGGCTTGAATACCGCACTCGAGAAGCGCTGCATTCCTCCCGCTTTCGGTACGATGATAAGGGATGAACTAGACGGGCTAAAACAAACTTCATCAGCTATCGCGTACAACGCAGCCTTCAACCGTCTGGCCATGCAGATCCCCGACTACCAGCGGAGATCGAACATCGGTACCTGAAAGATCTTTGACAACCCATCTACTCGGCGATCATTAGTAAAGGCCTAACTATGCTCGATGCCATGCGAGAAGCCGCTGCTCATCAAGAGCAGATGATGGGCGCTCTAGCCCCACAGATCGTATCGCCCGACGACCGTTAAGCCCACAACACCGAAACGGGGAAGCCCAAAGATGACGACACCGAAGCTCACAACATCGAGAAGGCCTAAAACGGATACACCACCTAGGAGGGTATCGAGGCCGCGGTCCAGGCCATGGTGGATATCGCGGACCTCCAGACCTTCCCTGTAGACTGTGCGGCATCACCGGACACTGGACCAGCACCTGCCCTCAATTCGACGCTGCGAAGAACTTCCTGCTCGACAAAAAGACGGTCAAAGAAGAAAAAGAAGCCGAAGCGAATCTCGTCCTTGCTACCCACCGCAACGCCGACAGTATCGCGCTTGACTCGTGTGCCACACACCACGTTGTCAAAGACGAGTTCATGCTCGAGTATCTTCATCCAATCGCACCCGTTACCATCGTCGCAGCGAACAACCAGACCATCGAGGCAAAGAAGGCTGGTACTCTGAAGATCATCAACAATAGCAACCCCACGAAAACCATCATCGTCAAAAACGTACTATACGCACCCCGCGCGAAGCGAATCCTCTGCAGCACCGCCCCATTTCTGGACGACAGGTACGAAATCCAATTCCGAAAAGAAAGGGCCACAATCCTCAAAGAAGGCGAAGTCGTACCCCCGGTACACCACAATGGCAACGTCCTCTCGTGAAGAGATATATCGAAGGCAAGCCGGATGTTTTCATCTTCGCGCTAGAGGGAAAGGAAATGACCGCGATGTCAGTAAAGTATGGCACCAGCATCTTGGACATGTCGGATGGAAAGCACTTCAAGCTGCGAAACTGCAGTACAATCTCGGCATCAGCGCACATACCAAACCCACACAACCTTGCGTGGGCCGTCAAAAAGGAAATCTCACCCGAAGACTCTTCATGGGATCAAACCCTCGGCCTGGTACCACCCGTCTGGGCAGGATCCACTCAGATCTACTAGACATCGGTCCGAAAAACCAACCTTTCAACGGAAAACGGTACCTTCCCTGGTTGATCGATGAATACTCATGATACTCAGTTATCTACGCTCTCACCAACAAAAACAAAGTGATCTCCCGATGGCGTGATTTCAAAGCCTATGCCAAGCACCACTGCGGAACAAAGGTCAAGGAACTCCGCTGTGATAACGGAGGCAAATACAACAATAAAGAACTTCTAGAAGAACTGCGTAAAGAAGGGATCGTCATGATACCTACCCAGCCGTACTCTTCACAACAAAACAGCATCGCTGAAACGTTCAAGCATACGATAATGGACCAAGTTCGCACCAGAAACCAGACTGGGAACGTACCCAACAACCTCTGGAACGAAAGAGCCCTTATGGTCAACTACCTGCCTCAATGCACACCCACTGCAGCTACAACCGAGCGCCTTTATTGAAACCTTACCTGATGTAGGTGTATCTGAGAGGTCACTCAGACCGAATCGCCGATGCCTGAGAGACGTGGGCGCCCAAAGGGCAGTGTTGTGATGTAGAAGACAGTACTGTAAGCTAGAGCAGTGCGATAGAAAGATGTGTATTGAAGAGGATATTGTGAAGGGAGGGGATGGGCAACATGTCTGCCTTTTATAGGATTCTGGAGCTACGTTCTTGTGGATCTAGCTATGTGCTGGGCCCGCCGTCCAAAGCACCCCTTTCAGACCCCTCAAGACGCCAAAGATGTCTCTGAGTGCCGCAGTTGACGTTGTTAAGGTTGGTAAGGTTTTTGCCAAGTCTGTGTACCCCATGTGTCGGGGGTATCTCATATTCACTTGCATTTCATATTATACTTCTTTACTCTTACACGATCCGAGACTCGGGTGGTGGAGAATGGGGGTATCTCATATTCACTTGTATTTCATATTATACTTCTTTACTCTTACACGATCCGAGACTCGGGCTGGCCACCCGAGCTCTAGGTGATACACTACATACGGCGCCAAGCCTCACTGAAGCCACGCAAGCCCCACTGGCAGCCCCTATATAAAGCTGTCAGTCGAGCGGCCGCTGCGAAGAGCTTCTTACTTTTTTCTTCACTACAATACACTGCTCTCAGCCCTCTCAGAAGGGCCCAATATCATCTACGTTTCCTCTGACGTTACCCCATGGGCTGTCTGCTGATGTCCCATGGTGTGAAAGTGATCAGGTTGACGGCGTACAAGGAGATGAGGAGATTCAAGAGGAGATTAGTATTTGTGCACGTATGACCAGCGTGATCAGTAGTAGGATAGAGACACACCCCCCCTTCCCCCCCACTATAAAAGGACTCCACTGGCTTAGATTGACCCGCAAGGCATTTCACAGCTGTTGACCAGACCCTAAGTTTGTACCAGCATGGACTAGCATACCCATGACTAGCAGTTTGGTGTTGCCAATATATGGAGTACGCCCAAGCATGTCTACTTCTGTGGTGAAAATAGGGATTCAGTTGGCCTCTGCGTTTTACCTTGGACTCTCCACAAGAAGATCATCTCCACCCGCAAACGACCCGATTTAGGACCTACCTCAGGGAATACTCGACCACTTACAGACATCACTGCATAAGAACTCGTTCGGAAAATCAAGTTGATGAATCTCCATACCGAGGCAGATGGCTATAGCGAGGAAGAGGTATAGGACTGCCATAGGCAGCATAGGTGCGTAGGTGTTGGTGCAATCGATGCCGTTTACGGATTGCTGGCCAAAACCTTGAACGACCCCGCAGCCCTTGAATTTCTTGAAAGTACCGTTCGGGTTAAAGATTTGATGAAGCACCCAAGTACTACCGAGTACGCGCTGACTGCGCAGATGGGTACAAGTTCCCAAGTTTTGTTATTGACAAGAGCTTGGAACTCTTTATCAGCCGTGAGCTTGAAGTCAGCTGAGTGAGGACAAGCCATCGCTCGGTGCCATGTCATAGTGACTGTGTGTAATAATGCTAGGTCCGTTGCCAGAGGCTAGCTCTGTCTCCGCTCGATGTATTGAAAAAATTCTAGAATTTCTACCTCCT